CGTTTCTTGCCCTTCCTCTCCCTGTCTTAGCAATCATCTGGTTCCTTTCCCATTCCTGTTCCTGTTCCACTGTGTCACTCCAGCGTTGGAGGTTCTGCCAAAACTGGGGCTATTGACGATTTTATTCCCCATATAGTTTGTCACGACGGCAATATGTTCATGACCTATAAGATGCACATTGATGTTTATTTTTCCTCTCCAAGCTTCTGTTTTTCTTTCTTTCTTTCCCTCTCCCTTTCACTTTATCTTTTCCTCCTAAGTTCGGGTTTCTCTATTTTTTATTTTGGCTAGGTCGGCAGTTTTACTTGACGCAACGCGGTAGTGGGTACATAATGTAATTCGTTCGTCAACCATATGATGCTGTCTCTAGTTTTGTATAGCCATAGCAATGGCCAATGCAGTAGCCAATGGAGTAGCCACTGCACCGCAGAAAATACTATATTTTACATCCCCAAGCATACTACTAGTAGTACAAACTGCCAATCCTCTCCATCACACTAACCACCAGTCTCGACTCAACTCATCGCATAACAGAACCCAACTAAGCCCTCCCACGCTTCATCCGATCCCCCCTCTTTTCCCTCTTCGCCTGAGTCTTACTCAACGGCACCTCACCCCCCTCTCCCTCCGCCCCAGCACCACCACCAGTCATACCCGCAAACCCCCTCTTAACCCCCATAACAGTGGTATAAGCCAAATAAACCGAATAGACAGGAACGACAACCCACAACCACCAAGCCCGATCATTAAAGATACAAACAGCCACAATACATCCCTGCGTCCAGTAAAGCACGTCCCACATATACTCCGTCAGACCGGTAGCATTGAGATCCTCGCCTGCGGTCTTGAGGCTCGTTCCATCGTCGCTGTAGCGTGGGCGTCCGATTCGGTCGAGATAGTATTCGATTATTAGAGTTGGTGCGCCGAGGAGGAAGTAGGGTTTTAATGAGCGGGGTCGGTTAATTAGGAAGTGGAGGACTAGGTAGATGGTGTGGATTGAGATGGTGATTAGGTGGGTGCGGGTTAGGAGGGCGGTGTTGCGGGCTGCGAGACTTTTGGCGGCTTTCTGGGGGGGTTGTTAGTGGGTGGTTCTTGGTGGTTGAGCAGGAGACAGGTAGGGTGGGAGTTTGGAGCTTACTTGTGCCATTGTTGCGGTGGTGTGGAGAGAGGTGGATGGAGGTAGATATCGAGGTGTATATGGAGTAGATCGGAGGAAGATAATAGACGGGCTGAGATGAGATTATTTTCGGTATCCGGGTGTGTGAGGTACCAATTCAGACCACCTGCATATGTACAAGAGAGTACAGGACAGGACACCTGGATGTCGGCAGAGTGCAGTGCAGTGCAGTGTGGAGAGTGGAGAAGTAGAGTACAGCACCTACCCTTAGGGTAAAGTCCAGGTAGCTGCGATTGTTGCCCACCACGACCCTCACCGCCCGGCAGAAAGTGTACTTGCTGCTCTGAGACTAACTCAGTTTACTAAGTAACATTCACAGCAACATTCACCACCGGAAGCGATGTCGCCGTTTCCGTCTCTGTCTCTCAGGCACTTTGATTCGATTTGAGCAAAGTCACCACTCAAAGAAACAATAATACCTTCTCTTTCAACCTCTTTCGACCTCTCTTCTTTCCAACTTACCATTGCGCTGCTCTGCTCTGCTCCCCGCCCCATCTCTCCGCGTGGTGAGAATCACGCGTTAACATCCCCCCCGCGTGCAAACCCCTTCAGCATGGCCCTCTCGACGGGCCATGTCGCCAGTCAGCTGCGACACATTATCTACTATCACCTCGACAACAACCTCATCCGTAACGCCCTCTTCCTCGCTGAACGCTTACACGCCTATGAGCCCCGATCCTTCGAAGCGCAATACCTACTTTCCCTCTGTCACCTGCATAATGGAGAAATCAAGGCCGCCCTAGAATTCAGTCAGGCTTCGGGCTCGCGAGGCATGCATGCCGGATGTGCTTATGTCTATGCGCAAGCTTGTTTGGACCTAGGGAAATATCTGGACGGCGCAACCGCCCTGGAGCGCAGCAAAGCTCTCTGGGCCTCGAAGAATCACTGGAGTAGGTCCTCCACCAAAACACATCCTTTTCGAAAGGGCTTTTTGCCAGTCTTACCTCCCGTCAAGAATGGCACTGACCGCATATTTAGACAAACACAGCGAAACACAACGGCAACATCTTCCGGATGCCGCAGCGGTATACTGTCTACTCGGAAAGTTGTGGCAAGCGCAAAAGGACTTGAACAAGGCAGTTGATTGCTATGTGGACTCATTAAAACTCAACCCATTCATGTGGGATGCTTTTCTCGGACTGTGTTCTACAGGTTCGCCTTGCATCTTCGAGATTTGGCATTGTCGTATATACTGACTTTTGACCAGGCGTTAATATCCGAGTCCCAAATATCTTCCAGCTCAGTCCCGAACTTCTCGCCATCATTAATTCCGCCCCCGGTGCCGAGGATATCCCTTCAGATCTATTGTCTCCGACAGGAGGTAATTTCCCCACCCAGACGACCGGAAATGCGACTGCGGATCCTTTCATGGCCCCTAACTCCCGCACCGAATCCGATACCACATATGGAAGCTCTGCTCTTTGGGAGAAACTCAACGGAAGCTCTGTCACTGTCGCATCAGTACCGGCCCATGTTATTCATGAGGGCATGGAAACCCCCGGGAACCAAAGCAGTGGCTCGGGCTCAGAAGAGTTCCGCATCGCGAACGGTGTTACTGATCCGGATTCCGCATGGGAGCCTCCATTGGCCCCGGCGAGGAAAAATCGCCCAGTTCAAACCATGAGCTCAGATCACCCAGGTCACCCGCCTCCGAAGATGCGTCCTACGGGAATTCGACCAAGACCCAGGCCACGTACTGAGCCGGAGGAGCCGCCACTTGGCCCGGGAGATCGGGAACCACCACCTGCACCACGTTTTGGAGATCGCAAGCGCACCGTATCTGGCCAAGTGGCTCACCCCGTATCTCAACAGCCTGTCGAACCTGGTGCCCCACAGCGGCGGAGTGTCAGGCTCTTCAATCAAATCAAACCTACTACCAGCAAATTTTCAAGTGCCACCCTGGCCGGGCGAGATGGCCGTGAGGTGAAAAAGATCAGAGGCACACAAACAACGAAAGGACGTACAGGGACGGTCGGCCGTGTTGTTAGTGGCAACCGAAAGCCGATGGAATCATCCGACTATGATGGAAAGGAGCCGCGTGCGGCATATGTTCCTGTTAACTCTGGACCTCCACCCCTACCAAAGACAGCCGAGAGAACGAAGGAACTTGAGGCCTTGAACTGGCTTCTTGGTCTCTTCACAAAATTGGCGTCAGGATACTTCTCGTTGAGTCGTTACAAATGCCCCGAAGCTGTCTCACACTTCAATACTCTTTCACAGGGCCAACGCGAGACTCCCTGGGTACTTGCTCAGCTTGGCCGGGCATACTTCGAGCAAGCAATGTACACCGAGGCTGCAAAGTATTTCTCGCGCGTTCAAGCGTTGGCACCGACACGACTTCAAGATATGGAGATCTACTCGACAGTGCTGTGGCACTTGAAGAGTGATGTCGAATTGGCATACCTATCTCATCAACTCCTGGAAGCGGATCGCCTGTCCCCTCAAGCCTGGTGTGCCATTGGCAACACCTTCTCCCACCAACGAGATCATGACCAAGCGCTTAAATGCTTTAAAAGAGCCACTATGCTGGATCCTGAATTCGCCTATGCATTTACCCTCCAGGGCCACGAATACGTTTCTAACGAAGAGTACGACAAGGCACTAGATGCTTACCGGCATGGAATCAACGCCGACAACCGGCACTATAATGCCTGGTACGGACTGGGAACCGTCTACGATAAGATGGGCAAACTGGAGTATGCCGAGCAACACTTCCGCAACGCCGCGACCATCAACCCGACCAACGCAGTCCTCATCTGCTGCATCGGCCTAGTCCTCGAGAAGATGAACGACCCGAAGAAAGCCCTAGTCCACTACGAGCGCGCCTGCTCTCTTGCCCCGCACTCCATACTGGCCCGCTTCCGCAAGGCGCGGGTCCTGATGAAACTCCAAGAGTTCAAGTTTGCCCTTACAGACCTGAAGATCCTCAAGGATATGGCTCCCGACGAGGCCAACGTGCACTACCTCCTCGGTAAGCTGTACAAGATGCTCCACGACAAGGCCAATGCCATCAAGCACTTTACGACGGCCTTGAACTTGGACCCAAAGGTATGTTTCTCCTCCTTGAAACTACAGTATTTCTCATATCCGAATTAATCTAACATTATTTTCCCCCAGGCTGCACAGTTCATCAAGGATGCGATGGAGGCGCTGGATGACGATGACATGGAGGACGAAGACATGGCATAGAACCCGTAATGCGTACCGGGTCTGCTTTTTTTCTCTTTGCGTTTGCTTGGGATTCCGTCTTGCAAGCTCGGCGTTCTGGGGGCTGGTTATTCATACGCCTACTTCCTCTTTCCACTTCCTCTTCTTTTTTCTTTCTGCTTTTCTGCACAGCATCATCACTGGGGAGTTCTTTTTGGGTTTTCCAGGTCTAGACATCTGGCATATGGCATTTTTTTTGTACATTATGAGAGTAAGACGAGGCCTCGTCAATGAACAACAGAGCAGAGCATTATTACCAGCACAGCGGTACTCATAGATTCAAGTGTAGCTATCAAACTCCAGCACCAGCACCAACACAAGCACAAGCGTAGAAGATGCTCCTGCGTGATGCCGTCATCTGCCGCGGTCAGCTGGCGGTGAGTCGGCGCGGGCAAAAAAAGCCGTCTTCACCTCCGCAGTTCCCCCCACGATGTCCCTCATCTCTCTCGACATCCCCTCTGCTGGCCCTCAGATCTAATTACAGGTGAGAATTGCCTCCTCCCATTCTTCTTCCCTTAGCCAGAGCAACCAACAAAGCCCATATCCCCCCTAACACCTCCAACCAACACAACATATAAACTAACCCCCCGGTTCCCAACAGTTTCCCACGCCAGCCATGTCGATCAGCACCTATATTCTCCAGGGCATAAGCTCCTTCGTGGTAGTGACGCTCTCCCTCTTCGTGCTGGGCCAAAAGGTCCCCCGCGCAGCCTTCGCCGCGCGCTGTCTAGCAGCCTACGGCTCCCTCCTCCTCTGCGCAACATACGGTGTCCTCGCTTCGATAATCCTCCGCCTAATTGGCTACGGCCGCATCTCGCAATATGCCACAGCCCGCAGTTTCAAATGGGTCATGCGTCTAACGACCGGCGTAACATTTGACATCATCGAGGGACAAGAACACCTAACAACCCGTCCGGCCGTCTTCATCGGAAACCACCAAACAGAACTAGATGTCCTGATGCTGGGCGCTATCTTCCCTCCGTACTGCAGCGTGACGGCAAAGAAGTCGCTGCGCAACATCCCCTTTTTGGGCTGGTTCATGGCCCTGTCCCGCACTGTCTTTATTGATCGCGGTAATCGGGAGACTGCTATGAAGGCTTTTGACGGGGCGGTTGATGAGATGCGTGTTCACCGGCAGAGTGTTTTTATTTTTCCCGAGGGCACGAGATCGTACTCGGATGAGCCGACCCTATTACCGTTTAAGAAGGGCGCCTTCCATCTCGCCGTTAAAGCGGGGGTGCCTATTGTCCCCGTTGTTACGGAGAATTACTCACATGTGATGTCCCCGCGGGCGTGGCGGTTTAATGCGGGTACTATTAAGGTTAGGGTTCTGCCTCCCATCGAGACTAAGAACCTCACCCCCGCCGACGTGGATCGTCTCACTACTTCAACCCGCGAGGACATGCTCAAGAATATTCTTGAATTCGCCAAGAGTTCCAAAGTTGAGTCTTCTCGTGCCAACGGCGTTGCCACTGCCATTGAGATTTGAGGAGTATTACCTCTACCTCTCTTCCTTCCAACCGGTCTCTTCTTGTCTGCGGCCGTGAAATATAAACAATCTCTCACTCGACTCCCCCTTGGAACCTTCCCCCTGGGGTGGTGTTGGAGCTGACGACCCCATTCGTCCTGATTCCCACGTCCTAATCCAGGACAACATCCTCTTGCATCTGCCCTGATTGTACATCTCTCCTACTCTCCCCTCCTCTTTCCTAATTGGTACATATCCATACCATATTATACCTCCAATTCCCTTCAAGTTCCCACCTGCACAGATTCAAAGACGTGATATAGAAGCACCCCTTCCCGCTCCCCCAACGCACCCTTCCAGCGCGCCCAATGCACTTGCACATACACAAAGAGTCAAACCGATGAATAGCAGTGCTCACTTATCGCTCATTCCACGGACTTTTCCCACGGCAGTTTACAAGGGAAAGGGTGTCTATACTTGGGCAGCACGCTTTTCCTTCCTTTCATTCGACCTTTTTTTTTCGGGCTTTTTGTTTCCATTCGCTGGGTCCGAGTTCAAGTCCGAGTCCAAGCCCGTTGCGGCGAAATCTGAATTGGCCTCTTGGCTTGGTCTATCTAGTTATTAGTACACCTGGGCGCCTGCACTACCTTACTACTAGTTTTACTTCATAGACACTTGACTCGTTTCCAGATGTATATACCTATCCTTAGCGTGAAAAGATGACATGACCTGCTTTTGTTCGCTTTTGAATTCGGCTTTTTTTTCTGTTTTGTTTCGAACTTGAGGGTTGCTAGATCAATAGAAAAGAGAAGCATAAAATTCAACTTGAAAGGGCTTCCAACCTTGGGCTGTTGACCTCACCCTTAAAATTTATTGAGGTATACTAGTTAGTAGGTACGACGCTCAATGAGATACATACTACTAGCACTACTACTAGTAGTAATATAACTTGAAATTTCCAAGGTTAGCCCTCACCTGCCAGGTCGGCACCTGGGCACTCTTCTCCTGTCCCCGTGGCACCGAAGTACTACCTACTAATACTAGTACTAGCACCAACTACTTTCAATTTTGAAACCTTGGAAAGTTCAAGATCGCCCACCCAGCGCTGATCGTAACACTAATGCAGAGTACAACGTCCGTAATCCATCATCATAACGCAATGTCTCGAAAGCGCTAATACAAAAAAACATCAACCCTAAATCCTTCCCTCGCTGTACAGGTAAACAGCAAGCACTGGAACCAAAGTGTAGTGAAACAAAATAAGAACTTATTCCAATTCAACAACTCAACGACCCAAATCTTCTCGGACACTCAAAATGAAAATCATTCACCACCAGCATCAGAAGAACCATGACCACAACGTCCCTCCGCACAAGCCCTTATATCCAACTCAACATCAACCTCCTGAATAGGCAGCCAAGGATCCGTAATGACTCTCGTCCCACCAGTCCAAGGATCCTCGTCGCCAACAACCCTCCTAGTCGAAAGGGCAATATGTTCAAGTTCAATTCTCTTCTGGCTTCCGCTCCCATCAGCGGTACTGAAACTCGCTAAATGATGCAAGGCCTCGTTCCGGGCGGAGTCAGGGATAGGACCGATCTGTGGGCCAAGAGCCGCAGTCGCGATAATGAAATCCGTTTCGAAGGCCTGAAGCTGTAGACGGACGTTTTGAAGTTCGGTGCCGTCGCGGGTTACCACTACGTGAGGGTATATAGGACCCCATTGGCAGCCCGAGTTTGAGTCTGCGGGGTATGAGGAAAGCTGAATAGGTTCAGGTGGGAAAACATTTTTGAATTCGAGTGTTTTCACCCAGGGCGCGAGGAGGGCTTCGCCGGTCATTTTTAGATAGGCTTCTTTCAAGGCCCAGTATGAGTAGAAGAGCCGGAGGCCGTAGGTGATTATTGAGTCTGTGCTGTGAAATTCTGTGCCGTCGGGATTGGTGTGTTCGGGGAGGATGCTGTTTGCGTAGCCTAGGCGTCTGGCTTGGAGGAGTGCTTGTTTTGGGTTCGTCATTGTTTTGAGTTCGGTGGATGAGAAGACTTCACTGAATATTGTGACGAATTCTGTGAAGTCGTGGAGTGTTTTTGGTTTTTTGTTGCGGCGCTCGTTGATGCACGTTATGTCGATGCCGAGTTGGGGGAAGGGGATGTCTTCACCATCAGGCTGTGGAATAGTACTAGTAGCACTAGTAGTGGTAGCTCCGGTGGGCTGTCGCTGGAGTAGATTTTTTGAGGGCGCAATAGTTCCGGCCAGTATGGTTAGCGATGCTTGGTGGCTGACGTTGAACTCGACCCGGGTGGATGTTTTGGATTCGTAGTATGGTCGGTTTTGCGGCATCTCGGTCCGGCTGATGAGTATGTCCATCCATGGTACACCGCATGCATGATGCACATATAGGTACTTCAGCAGGTTGGATGCCAATGACATGCGTCGGTCTGCGGCGAAGTGATATCTCCTCACGGCTTGTTGCTCGGCTGGTCGCAATGTCTCTATTAGTGGGAGATCTAGACCATTGGCCTCCCATTCTCGAACATCGATATACCAGCGTGCCAGTGTTGGAAACCCCTTCAATGTGGGATCGACATTACGTGTGTTCGGGCCATCTTGAAGTATATCGGCCCGGTCGATCTGGTTTGTTTCCATGATGGCGGGGGATATATAAACTGCCAGTGGCTGTGTGCTGGCTCAGAATTGACAGGGCCGGATTTCCCAGAATTCTTCTATACAACTGGAGCAAGCAGTGCAGTTGGAAGACACCAGAGCACATAAAAATCGTACACACAAAGATGTCAGATGCAACGACTGTGGGACAAGAGAAGGTGGTGGTGTTTGCTGCATATGACCCAATCGGGGAAAGCGTGGTAGTCACGTGGAGATAAGCAATTCCCCGCGGAAAGATAGACATCACGTGCCTCGAAAAGAGTCATGGCGAATGGAGAACCCACGCCACTTTGAGTTCGTTCTTTTTCATAACATCTACAATCATGCCGGTTACAGTGGGAGTTCTCGCCCTACAAGGCGCCTTCTTTGAACATGTCCAGCTGTTGAAAAAGGCCTCCGAGCAGGAGTCCCTGGTTAGATGGGAGTTTATTGAAGTCCGCACCCCACAGGAACTCGCGAAGTGTGACGGATTGGTCTTGCCTGGTGGAGAGAGCACCACCATGTCCCTAGTGGCAGCCAGATCGAATCTGCTGGAGCCATTGAGAGACTTTGTGAAGTGAGTCCAGGCTCAATTCCTTGAAAAAAGAAACCAAAAGGCTGTTCGACAAATGCTAATGTGGCAACTATAGGGTGCATCGCAAGCCGGTCTGGGGCACATGCGCTGGGTTGATATTGTTGGCTGAATCGGCGAACAAGACGAAGAAGGGTGGCCAGGAGCTCATTGGGGGTCTTGATGTCCGCGTCAATCGCAACCATTTTGGTCGACAGACAGAAAGCTTCCAGGCTCCACTGGAGCTACCATTTCTGGGTGCAGATGCAGCACCCTTCCCAACGGTCTTCATTCGTGCGCCTATCGTTGAGCGGATTTTGCCCCACCACAAGGGCATCCAAACCGAGGAGATCAATTTGGAAGAGACAGTCGTTGCACCTTCGCGTCAAGCTAAGGGAGCCGCTGCGGAGGCTGCCACGGCTGATCACGTCGAGGTGCTGGCCACCTTGTCCCGGCCGGCTTCGGTGATCGCTACCCAGGGTCGAGACCTTAGTCCCGAAAAGGAACTTGGTGACATCGTGGCGGTGCGGCAAGGCAATGTGTTTGGAACCAGCTTCCACCCCGAGCTGACCGGAGATGCGAGAATCCATGCGTGGTGGTTGCGCCAGGTGCAGGCCGCGGTTCTCCGAAGAAACAAGCTGGGACAATAGAGCATCATCATAGAAAATATGGGGGTAAGAATTGTAAATAAGACATAGAAGGGATCGGGTGAAATAGAAAGAATCCTGTTTGTTCTCTAATTGATATCATGCCGAGGGAATAACGCCATTTTCCGGGACCATTGAGTCGCAACCTGTTTAAGATCTGTCCAAGACCAGGCCTACCTCCCCGCGCCGTATTCATCCTCCTCTCGTTGACGTTGTTCATCATATGCGCGACCATATCCACCACGGCCGGGGTCGTATTCCTCACGGTATTCGTCGCGGACTTGTCCACCCGATTTACCACGTCTGTTAGGTTGTTAGTTGACGCTTTTGCATCTGTTGCCAAGATCCACTCCACATACCCATACTGCCGTCCTTCTTCGAAGCCAGGGTCCAGATCTGCTCGAATGATGCGCTCATCCAGCTTCGTGCCACCAATATATTTCATGCAATCCAGGGCATCTTGGTGAGTATAGTATTCGACGAAGCAGAATCCGCAGGGAGTTTTGTTAAACCGATCGAGGCCCATCACCAATCGCTTGATCTCGCCGCACCTGTACAGATATTAGGTTACGATGAACATGACTCATGTTGGATAAGAAAGGGCGTTATGCTCACTTGGCGAAAAGCTCATGGATCTGTTCTTCGGTGGTATAAAAGGACCTAGGAAGGGTCTCCGTTAGTTGAACTGCAACCATCTCAACACTGGATTCAACACTCGATCGTAGGCGCATACAGGTTTCCGACATAGAGAGTAGTTGCGCCTTGCAGCTTGTTGTTAGGCTCCGGCTCTCGCTCCTCCCGGTCGTCTCTGCGTCTCTTATTCTGTAACCAACATTCCAGTTAGCACGATCGCATCAGCATCAAGCCATGCATCAGAGCCGGGATACGCACCTTTCCCGCATAATACGCACTGGGTCGATCCAGTCGGTCCACAGTGTTAACTTCTAAGAGGCTCATCGTATGGGTAGAAGTTGTATAATGATGTAGTTGTTGAAGTGACGTTGAGTTGGAGGAAGGAAAAGGCGGAGGAGAAGTTGAAGCTCGGAGCTCCCTTTGGTTTTCTTGGCGCGGCGCAAGAATTCCCCCATCAACAACCAACAACCTGCCAGCTTCTCTGGCCATGATTTGATCTCTCCCCCAACAACAAGACAACAATATCTCCTACCCCTTCTATCTCTGCTATCACCTATCGCATCTCTCTATGCCAAAGGTCAACAGCTACGCGCCGGCTTGGCTATGCCGGCCGTCGCCCGGTGCTAGCCTCTTTACCAGCAATTCTCTCGCAACCCCCGCGCAAGACACCCAACCTACCCCTAAGTCTTCCGCAGCTAGCGGTGCGACTAGGACGATCGCAAAGAGAGGGAATGAGGTCTTCGTCGTGATCGACAATGAGATCCGGTGGTCGAATTTGGCCCGGGTGAAGGATCAATGGCAGCAGCAGGCGAGACAGAAGAAGCCCTCGGCTGGACAGACGAAGGAGCTGGCAAAGGACGGCGAGATCCCATCCTATAGGGTAGGTGTTGTGCGACGGAGTGTCTCAAACAATATTCAGATATAGCTGACGAGGTGCAGGTTCTGGCGGTGCCCGTCTACGGTCTTATCCATCAAATCCTCCCATCGCCGAATGGCGCCTTTCTCGCAATCGTGACCGAGCATACAGTTCACATCGCAGTGCTGCCCGACTCCTCTCATCTTTCGTCTAAAGATACTTCACCTATCCGTTTAAAGACCTACCAACTTGGCCCTACCACCCATGTTATCCCCGAAGCACCTGTCGTCTCCGCGCTGTGGCACCCGCTGGGCCTGCACACCAACCTCGGTGGTTGTATTGTGACTGTTACCGCCGATGCCGCCGTACGGGTGTGGGAGTTGGACAGAAACAACCACTGGTCTTTCGATCAGCCAACTCTCGCGATTGATTTGCAAAAATTGGTCGATGGGAGCTCTTCGGACCAGGACTTTGCGCCTACTGGCTTCGGCAAGAACAAGGGTTTCTCCGCCGACATATATGATATGGAAGTCGCATCGTCTTGTTTTGCCGGCAACGGAAGCGAGAGGGAGGATGCTTGGGCTCCGATGACTCTCTGGGTAGCAATGAAGCCCGGTGACCTTTATGCGCTCTGCCCTCTACTGCCTTCGAAGTGGCAGGCCCCGTCCGCAACAATCCCATCGCTCTCTTCGGCTATAATTCCCAAACTGGCATCCCTCGAAGAGGCACCAGAGGATCTGGAAGAGGAGCTTACTGCTTGCCGACAGCAGTATGAATGGCTACGGGAGATTGATGACCAGGAGCCGTTAGATCCACCGTCCGAAATGGATACAATCCAAGGAGCGGATGTTTTCACTCGTCCCGGTAACCCAAGTGCTATTCCACGTTTACAAGGTCCTTTCCGTTTCGAGACGGGAGATGAATTAGATGACTTGGATCTCTGCGATATTCTGGTCATTGCTGCCAAACTTAACGCCGAAGACCTAATGATGGGTGAAGATGAGGAACTGGCAGTGGAATCAAGCGAGCGTGATCAGCTTTCGGCCACTGTCATCTGTCTGACTAGCGGGAATGGTCGTGTTCATATTTGTCTAGAACTGGATGGTGTGGAGGGCCAGTGGTTGCCTAAGGCCCGCAAGAATGCCTTCCGCACTCCTCTCTCAGAGCCTGCAGATCTGGTGCTGCTCGAATCGCTGGATACTATTAAGGATAGCGACGCTGCAGCGGCTACCTGGCCTACTTTTACCCGGGACGTTCACTCCCGCTACTCCTTCTTCGTCACGAATACGACCACAGTGGCCTTCTTCTCCATGTCTTCATTTGTCCAGAGACTTGAGGCTGAATTACAGTCAGAGGACGTCTCTGGATCAGGCTTCCGAATGCAGGTACTTTTTGACTCAGACGTGGCGAAGAGAGAGCAAATTCTCCAAGTCTCGGACGCCGATTTGACCGTCAAGAATGAGCACCTCGCTACATCCGTGGTCTTCTACGACTATGACCTTGGTTACCTTCTTCTCACCTACAACCCCTCCAACCCGTACGCGGCTGTGATGGACGTCCCGGCAGACGCCCTCTCTGCGTCTATAGACTTTGGCCTCCAGCAAAATTCTCCTATACCCGGATCACCTGCCCTACTTCCCCGGCGTGCGCCGTACCAAGTTCCCGCCGTCCTCTATGCACAGTCTCCATTGGATTCCTTCGTCGAAAAGCATGTCCCGCACCGTCAGCGAAACACGCTCAAGGATCAGGTGCGCCTGTCTCCAGCAACGCTGGACCTTGTGACTTCTGCCCATCGCGTACTCTCAGCCCACACCAATGCGCTCGAGAGAGCAGCCTCAGACCTCTTCCGCCGCTGTGAGCGCCTGCAGGGCGAAATGAAGGACCAACTGAAGCAGCTCTCTGAAGTTGCGGAGCGTATCAAGGGCGCGACCAGTGAGATTGGCGAGGATGGGAATCACAAGGAGGGCGCTCGAAATGGAGAAGCCCTCGATAAGAGATTGGATGCGGCGAGGGATCGACAAGCGGAACTTGCGCAGCGATATGACGCGTTGCGGAAGAAGCTTCTCAATTCGGGTGGTCGACCTCTGAGCGAGAAGGAGAAGGCTTGGGTTAATGAGGTCAATATCTTGTCGGAGTCTTTCAGCGAACAGGAGCCGAAGGGTGATGAGCAAGATCAGGTACTGGCGCAACGCTTGGAGATGGTAAGAGATGACCCCTTTGTTCCCCTAGATCTGGGCTTATTTACTGACACATCGTCTAGGTCAAACAGTTGGCTACTAGTCTCATCACCGAGACCAAGTCCATCGTCGCTAAGGTTCCCTCACCCACCGAGCCTGGCAGCCCGTCTTCCCCTGGCGGGTCCCAGCCCAGAGTGCCGCAACGTTTGCAGCGGGCTAAGATTGCAGATGCGATGAGGATGGTTGAGCGAGAGTAAGTTTTCTGAATTGTCATTGATAAATACTTTTGCTAATCTAAGTAATAGGTCGGCCGTCATTGATGCCATTACGTCCCGTTTGGAACGCCTCAATACGAGCATGTAAAACTGGGTGTTCGATATCACTGTTATTGTTACCAATATTTTCTCTTGAAACAGTACAGCTGCATTTATGATTTTACTAGTCGGATAGCATGATGGTATACATGAGATAGATTATTGACACGTTCCTACCTTACTTTCTGGGAATGAAGGCGTACTAGTAGCCTTATCAATTCGGATAGGCTTTCTATCCCATTTACTCCCGTCTTTAATCCGAACAAATATGACTTCCTTCGCTATCTTCATTGACAGAAGCTTCGCCCGGGATTACATCCGAGTCTATGTCGTTATTAACCACGAACCCAAACACACTAAATTCCCCCGTGGACACTAAAAGAAAGCAGAGTTAGTGATTTACCTCGGCACAGTCAATCTAGAATAAAAAAGACTCACCATGAACTAAACCTCGCTCCCCGGGACTCGTACGCGCACGATAATGAGGATAAACCCTCTCTACAGGCTGACATACTCTGCCCGCATCGACACCATCCACAATATCCAGCCACTCGGGGTGTTTCAAATCAAGGAACGGCGTCGCTGGCCGAGAGTCTGGGCCCGGAGACGAACATTCGTCGTCGGCGATGTATTCAAACGCGTCCATGAAGATGTCGTTGTCGTTGTCGTTGTCGGACTCGAACTCGGACTCATCTGTTGACGTTAGTATGTCAGTATTCTCCGCTGCCTCGTGCCAAACTTCATCGAATTCAGATTCATCGCTGTCTACTGGACTCAGAGTCTCAGGGTCGTCGGCTGAATAGTGCTCGTGCTCGTGCTCGTCTCCATCTGAACCCGAGATTAGCGTTCTCTTGTCTCCCTTTCTCCAGCATTCTTTGCATGTTATCGAGTCATTCCTGCAAGAAGGTGATTTTCTCGCCGGGGCATTTGGATTTGTCTTCTGGTGGGCAGTGGGTGGTTGTTATCTCGCTCGTGCAGCCGCAGAGGGTGTATGTTCGGGTCCATGTGAGGCACATTTGGATTGGGATTTTGCCTTGGTAGTATACTAGTAGGTAATGATGTTAGCTTTTCGGGATCAACTTGAATTATAAGTACTTCAACCTTGGAAGTGTCTGCTAGGCTTATCTATATATCTAGGTAGTGCCTTCCCATGACCGAGACATTCTTTGACTACGGGCTGACTTCAAGTCTGGCCATTGTTCCCCGGCGATAATGGAATTGACAAAAGACAATGGGACAAAGAATCAACAATTCTTCAATTTTATGGCCATGACCCCATCGATATGGTTGGATAATAACTTTGACAGGTGAGGTAGTATTTCCCGGACTGATTAATTCAACGTAGGGTTCATGCCCCACGTGACATAGTATTGGTATCTATTGTAGCATCCCAGGAAAGATATTAGTGTTGGAAAATGAAGTGATGAGATTGAACAAAAGTCTTCCAAGGTTAGATTTATGAACGAATCTATCATGATACTAGTATGGCACTGTACATCTGAGATTACCTCCTTTACTGAGCAGGTGGCGAGGAGCAGAGTTGGGGTAGTCGGTATTCCAAGGTTGAGCACTCGATATTTTGGTCATCGTAGATCTATTGATACCAGTAGGCATTTCCGATAGCATAGATTCAATCCAATGAGAACTACCTAGGCACTAGTAGAGTGAAGTGTTGAGAGTGAAGATTTCATTGGATTGAATCTATGTTATCGTAAACGCTTACCAGGGCCTAACTTCAAAATGTGACAACTTTTCCTTCCATAGATTTACCTTCTCAATTCCCGTACCCTCCATCAGCATATTTCCCTCTCGCCCCACCATCCACGCAACTCAGACCTAGGCCTGAGGAGCGAAGTCGATAGATTTCACATCCAGACACACCTTAATCTCCGCCCCTTCCTCGCCCACCTCTTGAGGAGGATCGATGGCATCCGGACCCAGGTAAACATTGACCTCAACAGCTCCATCATCCACAGCGCCATCCAGGACCCTCGACAGAGGCGATCCAGACCCAGCCCCGGCCCTGCCGGGGTGTACTCGACCGGAAAGACCCCTAATACGACAGAGGGAGGAAGCCATCTGATCGGGATCCTCGACCCGATCAACAATCATGAGATAAAGCTCATCGATAACGTCTTCCCACAGGGGCATCGGTAGCATGGCACAGCAGCCTTCCCACTTACTCATGTCGGGGCAAAACTCCCTATCCCACCAATATCTCCACTCGTGATAGACAAACTCACTGAGCACATGCGCGGCGAGATTCTCAACCTCATGTTTCCACTTCATGTACTCAGTCCAAGGTCCATGAAAAAATTCATCCAAAAAGTTGACATACGACGACACAAAACGGCCATAGTATTTCGCGTCAAGACGGATGCGAATCACCTCCTTAGGCAATCTGGGACGCGGGCAAGAGTGAAGTCGTAGAGTAGGTTTGAATTGGTTGATGGGGGGGTAGATGTCTTCCTCCCACTCTCTGAGTCGTTGCATTGATTTGCAGTGGATTGCCCATTCTGATTTGGGTGTCTGGGGACAGAGGAAGCTGAAGCGGTGGTCGCGGAAATGCATGATTTCTTTCATGCCTCGAACTGCGTTGTAGGCGGATTGGTGGAGGTTGGATTGGGCGACGCTCAGTTCCAGTGGGACTTGGAGGTAGGCTGGGCAGGTGAAGTGGTTGGAGTTGTAGATGTAGTTTGTGATGGAGGGTTTGCCTTCTAGGGCGAGGAGTTTTATTTCGTGGCGATTTCTTATTTCGTCGACCATTTTGGCGGTTGGGGTCCGTGTGGATGGTAGATGGTTAGGGTAGATCTGAAGAGAAAGGAGAAGAAAGAGAAGATAATGATGGAGGGGGAGAGGGATAGAAGGGTAGAAGAGAGGAGAGAGGATAGATGAGAAATCAAGAGAGGGAGGAACATGGTGATGCGAAGGAGTGAAGTGAATGGTAGGCAGCGACTGATGGAAGGTTCCTCTTCCCATGTTTACACTGACACCAACGAATATTAGTAGTTTTATCCGGAGAGGTCTAGTTTTGGCTTGTTTGCTTGAAATCATCATGTTTCATTGACAAGGCAGTTGATCTCATTTCGAGACAGACCGTTAAACGAGGCTATTTCTCTTTTGTTTCCTCACCTTCATTTGCTCTAAAATGATATCAAATGGGCTACCACGGACAACTTCCCTGAGAATCCCGTCGAAAAGTGTACCAGCTTTTGTTTGCCTTGTTCCATATTCCCATAGAAAAATCCAATCGAACGGTAAGAACCCAAGATAGGTGAATTGGCGACAAAAGAACAAAAAATGGAAAGACCAAGTCCCCTATACCCTTAGTAGATCGCGGTGTAGATCACTGGACCCTGTTGTATTGGTTCAAGTTAGTACATGATGATCAGGCGCAGGTCAATTGTCGACAGGATTCTCCATTGCATACCGTTGAATAAGGTGAACGCCCGAGGCTGTCTCCACGATACTGCTAACCTGGCCGGGCTCTAAAGCAAACGCAGCATCCTCAAACTCCTTCTGCATCTCACCGTGGCCGAAGAAGCCGCTGGAAGTCTCGTTAGCAATCGTGTTATATATTATCTGGCCAGCTTCCACATCTGCTGCATCCATTCCAGGTGGGATTGGAGTTCCAAAACGTACAGATCGCCCTTCTTACGAGCGCTGCTGCAATCCGACTCTGAGACAGCAATATCTCCCAGACTCTCGCCTTCCTGAATTCTCTGCTCATAACCCTTCAGAATCTCAATGGCTTCTTCCTTTGATCGGGTAATCTCCGCCTCGCGCCAGCTGCTGGGGCGACGACTGCCACTGTGCTTGACCAGCAGGTGGCTACAACGGATCTTGCCTTCCGCCTGACCAGCAGCATCGGGGCGAGCTGAGGGGGTGTGGTTGACTGCCATGTAGTTCTTGAGCTTCTCGGTATCTGTGCCGGATGGAGGTTCCCAACGGGATTCCTTGGTTTCGGGGTTGAAGTAGTAGGGCAGGTTCTTGGAGTTGGAATGGCGAACCTCCCAGCTGGAGGGGAGACCTGATTCAGACTGTGTGAGTGTAAGTTAGTGAATGGATGATTGATGGGAGGAAAAGGAGAAAGAGAAGGGAACGAGAGAAGAAGAGAGGAAAAGGAACAAAGGATACCATTATGTGAGAGTGAGGGAATATAACTATTATTCGTACTGTATGGTTAAGATGAAGTTCAAGTTCACTCGAGTGTTCCTCTTCAGGTTTAACGCGGGCCCGAATTGCGGGGGAGAATAGGTGCAAACAGTACAAACAGCACAAACATTTCCGCCACAGCTTCAGTTCAACTTCGCCTTCATCTTCATCTTCATCTTCCTCAACGCTCTCTCGTTTGTCGTAATACACGCCCACTCCACTCGCTATGTCTGCCAGTCCATCTCCCTCCGCCGGTGGTGACACCAAACCCTCCGACCAGATCCACTTCCGTTTCTGCCGCGAGTGGTAAGTCCTTGTCCAATCCTTATCCTCGTCGTTGTCCGCATAATCCGAGATCACCAAGCTAATAAGTCCCCAGCTCTAACCTTCTCTACCCCAAGGAGGACCGCGAAACCAACACTCTTAAATTCACCTGCCGCACCTGTCACGTCGGCGAGGACGCGACCTCCTACTGCGTCTACCAGAACAAGCTGAACAGCCAGGTTGGCGATACCGCCGGTGTCACTACGGACGTCGGTTCCGACCCCACGGTTTGTCTCCCTGCTGTCTTGTCTGGTCTTTGTCTTTTCTGCGGTGTCCCGATCGCCTGCGCCGTCTGCGAGGATACACTTTGAGTCTTGGGATACCATGGACTCCACTCCACTCCACTCAACACAATTCCGACCCCAACTTGATTTGAAGAACCCTGAACACTTCAACAATGTACTGACTATCTTTTTCTTTCCTCGCTCTAGCTTCCCCGAGCGAACAAGCTCTGCCCGAGCTGCGGTGAGAACGAGGCGGTCTTCTTCCAGTCTCAACAGCGTTCCGCTGAAACCGGAATGGTATGTCCCTGTTCTTGTTCCTGTTGATGTTTCACTTTGCCCTTTCTTCATCCTGTGTTTCCTCGAGAATTCTTTACTGATTCGGTTCAATCTCGTGAAGAAACTCTACTACGTATGCTGCGCATGCGGTAACGTCTTCATGTGAATATCCCTCTTACGACACACGGCGCGAAATATCCGGATACCCTTTTTACGTCTTCTTTTTCCTGTTCAACTCTTGCGACTTGGGATTTTCCCTTTTCCCTTTTTATGCATCTCTACGGAGTTAGGTTCGGCGAGAGCGCGGCTATACAAACTCGGAAAATCATACAGTTTTGTTTATAGAGAAGTGGTTTCAATCATAGTACACTCGAAGAGAAGAGCTTGAAAAAAAGTGAAACTTGATTGGAACTTAGTTATGATACATTGAAAAAAAATGCAAATGCTGCTCTAAACTACACACGCTTTTCCCGAATAAAGAGGTATATCACAGTGGAGGGTTGTTGTGGTTGTGGTGACGGTGATGGTATTACACGTTCATGGGTGCAAGCGACAAGATCTTAGACCACTGCTTATCGCGCAATTCCTGACCAACGACTCCTAGAGAAGAAAAAGTAATTAGCATCCACCCAATTTCACCATTTGTTTTACTTCTGCGCATCGCATCGCATCACTCGCAAATAAACCTACCGGTCATTCTTGTTCCGATGGGATCACCAGACTTGTTCACCAACACACAGGCATTATCACCGAATCGAACGACGGTTCCATCAACGCGTTGCAGCTCCTTCTTGACGCGCACGATCACGGCGTGTCGAATATCTCCGCGACGGACCTTGTTGGCCAGGGCGGTGCCGGAGCCCTCGGAGCCCGCGGCCCTTTGCTTCTGGACGACAACGACTATCCGGTCACCTGGGGGCGAATGGAGGGTTAGTACTTGAATTGCGAGGGATGGGAGGGTCGGGATAGGGTGTCTTGGACTGGACTGACCGATTGTCGCGGCCCGCTTCTTTTTCAGGACGTTCACGCACTCGACGACTGAGGCGCCGGAGTTGTCGATGCAGCTGAGTAATGTCTGTGAGGGCGGGAGGGTTAGTGGACAGGCTGGGAGGAATTGATCGTGGGCGAATGGTCAGGGGTGTACCTTTAGTTGAATCATGGTTGTGCTGGGGAGTTGATCTAATGTCGATGTTCGATGTCGGGGAAGTTCGTCCATCTTCAATTTCCACTTCCGCCCGGAGCGGGTTTCTCCGGTCCGACGAAGTATACACTGCACTCACCAGCACATCTTGATGGATTTAGTCCTTTTTTGTTCTTTTTATAAATTAATTACTGTACATAGTAGACCCATGAATATACTCAATACAATTCCTTGCATTTTCTAGATTTATTCCGGCGCGTGTTTGCTATGGCTATAAGATACCACTTGCACACGCTTTACGGTATGCCGTCGCAACACTGGCACTCAGGGCTGCATCCATCGGCTCACTTCCGTCCATACAAGGCAGACGATGTCATGGTGCAGCAAACCTTAGAAGATTGTGTAGCCTGTGGTATGGGGCATCGGAAGGTGGTTATACTACTAGTATATTTTCAAGTTACCTGGTATGCCGCGGGATAGTATCCGGTATATACTGGCCAGAGATGCCAGTACTAGTAGCTAGAATCACGTTAGCTACAAGAAAGGGCAAAATGGCCATCCATAGATCCAGATTTGTAAAGCCATTAAAGCCTTAATAAGCCATGTCTGATTGCATTGCTCGTGCTATTCTCGCCCCATGGGCTGAGGCTGCGGCTGAGGTGGGAGGCTGTGAGAGAACATAGAACTTAGGGGGTCAAAGGGGCCAAGGTGGCCTTGAAGAAGACGATGGATGATGTATATTTAGCCTGTGAATTGGTGAGGAAGTGGAAGTGGAAGTGGGAGCTGAGTGTATTATTGTAGAGAGAAGAGGGGAAGAAGAGTGGGCGGCGCTGTTCTCTTTCTGCGGCAACGCGAGCCAACCTGCCCTTCCGCTTCTTCCTCTCCTTCCTCTCCTCCTCTCCTCTTCCTCCTCTCGTGAGCAATTGGGGGTTTTGGTCTTCCCTTCACCCATTCACTATGTTGGCCTGATTTGCTTGCTTTTCAACTTTCCTTTCATTCACCACCCTCCTTTTCCAGTGAATTCCTCCCTTTCCCACCGACTCCGGCTTGAACTTCCCAACTCCGCATCTCGCGCAAACCCACCATCCGGTTCATGTCCGCATTTCTCTCCCATCTTTGGTCGTCTCGCCTTCTGTAACACCCACAATGCCACCCAAGAGGGCGCGATCCAGTCCGTCCGTCCCGGAGACCCGTGAACGCCTGACCCTGGCGAAACTCGCCAGTTACGACGACGTCGCGACGGATGCACTGGTCGATCATGTACGCCCCTGGCCCGCGATTGAAACCCCCCAGAACACTCAGACTAATCCTCATCCTGCCAGGCTTACTTTTGGACCAATATTCGCAAGAACCGCAACAAGTACACCTCCGCTCGCGGTATCCACGACGACGAGGTGGGTGGCATTCTCCTCCACGATGTCGTCGTCGACAAGGACATCCCCGGGGCCGAGCGCAAACTGTTGGAATTGCCAGGATTGCGGAAATACTCGGCCAATCTCCCTAGCCCTCGCGAGAAAGAGTGGTTTCGCCGTCATTTGCGCAAATACATCCAAATGTACCACCCGGATTCTCCGTTCGAAGTCACCACCACCAACCGCTACCTCATCACTCAGGCGGAGGCCGCCCTGTGCGCCCGCAAGTTCATCAAGGCCGGCCAGGAGATTAGATACCTCAGTGGTACCCTCGTCTCCATGACAAAGGAGGAAGAGACCGATTTGGGCCTGACCCGGAAGGATTTCAGCGTCGTCATGTCAAGCCGTCGCAAAACCGCCTCCTTCTTCCTGGGCCCGGCCCGCTTTGCCAACCACGACTGCGACGCCAATGGCCGTCTCGTGACTCGAGGTACTGAGGGCATGGCTATTATGACCACACGTGAGATCCACGAGGGCGAAGAGATCACCGTCTCCTATGGCGAAGACTACTTTGGTATTGACAACTGTGAATGCCTTTGCCTAACCTGTGAGCGCATGGTCCGCAACGGCTGGGCGCATCATGCCGACTCCGACGCAACCAGCAAGGAGTCGACCCCCGTGTCTGTTGACGAAGCGGGCCCCGAAGAAAATCACTCCCCAAGAAAGAAGCGCAGGCGTGACTCTGATGTGGATTCAGAAGATCTACCTTCCGTCTGTTCGACCCCGCGCAAACGCGCCAAGTTCTCGCGCCAGACTTCTAAACTGCGAGAGGAGATCTCGCTCTCCGAACTACCAGTGGACTCCACCGCGACCCCTGAAACTGACACCCCGCTTACCCCGGCCCTGAAATCGATATCCATCAAATTCAGTCTGCCATTGCGGTCGGTCGACCGATCTCGGGTCTTCGACAAGAAGTGGTTATCTCCGAAGTAGTAGAGTCCACCCCCGAAGCCCCGTCTACGGATGCTTTGCTCTCATCCCTGGAGGGCCCCGAGTTGTCGGATTTGAAGAATCCTGACCTCGCGGGCGCTGTCAAGGCAGCTCTCGCTCCCATCAACCCCAGTGAGACTACCGGGACACAGCCTTCTGCACTACCAGGGCATGAATCACCTAGTTCTGTCACTGGCGAATCCCATCGGTCATCGACATCCAGCCAGCCCACCTCAGTGGACGATCTCACCAAGGTCGAGGGACCAAGCCTCCTTGAGACCATAAAGGCAGAGATCGAACTTATACCAGAGATCAACGAGCCCGATCATCTTACAGGTCAGTAAACCCAGAGGATTGTGGGATTCTTAAGGACCTGTCCCCCGCATAACAACTCAGTGATTCCAAATTACTCGAACTTTACTAACACGCTGAAATAGACGATGCTTCCGAAACCGCCCCAAAACGGAAGCGCTACCAACGCAAGAAGTGGAAAGTAATTGCTTCCGTCGAGACCGAAGCCCCCCCTAGTCCGAACTCCAGGCGACTACACCCGAACACCCAAACTGCTGGGGCAAAAATACGACCGCTGGGTGGAGTGCCAAACATGCGACTCGTGGTTCGTCCAATGTAACTCCTACCAGACCCGTCGCGAATGTCCTCGCTGTGAGCGACACTCCAAGCTTTACGGGTACCAGTGGCCGCAGACGGACAAAGGACCCGATGGCGAAGAGCGTGTCATGGACCACCGCACCATCCACCGCTTCCTCTCGAACGAGGAGGCGAGTACCGCCCGAAAAGACCAGCGTCGTGGTCTCAGTTTCGGTATCACGCCTACACCCGAGCTCTCGGATCGCACTGAGACGGAAAATAACGACCCGCCTGGTTCGGGTTCAGGGTCTCGTCGTAGTACGAGGGCTAATCGTCACCGGACTCGGGAACTTCGCATGACTATGTGAGAACAGGCTGAGTGTCGTACCGTGCTTACCCGTCTATACTGGCTGGGTGTAGGATGGGCGTCGACAACGAATGGGGTCTACGAGAGAATGCAAGTTACGTTTACTACTGGACCGGAGTGGACTGGACTTTATTGGGAGTTTTGGGGACTCGGAATTACTTTTTCAATTTCGTTATCTGTACTTTTTATTTGGGCGCATCACATTGCACATGGTGTTTGTTTGGTCGGTGCATTGGGGGATAACACTTACTGGAATCATCTTTTTTGTATCTTTCTTCTTCTGCATGGGAGTCTGGGGATGAACATTTTTATTTCTTTTTTGCGCTGCGCATTTTATGGTCACGAACATATTTGTAATGAATGCACACCTTCACATTGACTGGGGTTTTTGGGTGTACTACTAGAGGTCTCGGGTACATATTCATGATCTGTTATTTGCTGAATTGTTCAAATTATCCTATTGACAGCTGATGGCGGGGTATACCAGTGGATTGATTTGGCGCTTAGACAAGTTTCACGATTCACAGTTCACAACCCATCTGCCAGTGGGCAAACGGTCACCATGACATCTGCGGTGTCATTTGGAAACCAAAATATCGGAGTCCAATTAGGTGGAAATCATGGCAATCTCACTATACAGCTTCGTAAGTGTTAGATGCTGCGCCAATGCATAAGAGTGTACAGCTAATGAGTCAGGTACACAGAGCAACCAGCAGATGAAGCATGTCTAAGAGACCCGCGGACGACGGATCCACAAGATGACAGAAACCGCATTGAGCAGGCCAAGGGCGGACTTCTGAAAGATTCCTTTCGTTGGATCCTGAGCAATGAAGGGTTTAAGCAATGGCAAAACAACCAAAACAGCTGACTCCTTTGGATCAGGGGTGATCCAGGCAAAGGAAAATCAATGCTTCTTTGCGGGATCATTGGGGAGTCGACGCGTTCAGTTGGAGAAGTCTCAAATATCTCTTTCTTCTTCCGTCAGGCATCCGATGCGCGAATCAACAGTGCCACGGCTGTTCTCCATGGCTTGATCTATCTACTTGTTGAGAAGCAGCCCTCTCTTATTTCACATGTGCGGAGTCGATACGATAAAACGGGAAGCGCGCTCTTTGAAGATAAAAATGCATTTTATGCTGTCTCTGACATCTTTACTCAAATTCTGAGAGACCCGACCTTGCAAACCACTTACTTCATAGTCGATGCGCTTGACGAATGCACGACGGATCTCAATTTACTCCTTGCCTTGATCACCAGATATCTTCCTCTCCGAGACAGGTGTAGTGGATAATTTCAAGTCGAAACTGGCTTGAAATTGAAGAGCAGCTTGAGATGACGACGCAAACATCGCCCATATCGTTGGAGTTGAATGAGGCATCTGTCTCTGAAGCTGTGGAAATTTTCATTCGGCACAAAGTTGGGAAACTGTCAAAAATGAAGAAGTACAATTAAAATATCCACGAGACTGTCAATGATTATCTCTCGCTGAACTCGCAAGGGACCTTTCTTTGGGTGGCATTGGTCTGCGAGGAATTCGCCAAGATATCGCGATTGAATACACTCAAGAGACTCGAGACATTCCCTCCTGGACTCCTATATGGAATCGGGGCTCTCAATTCTTAACTGTGCAACTCCAGGTGCATACTCATAGTTTAAATTCGATACACCAGGTCTATGACAGCGTTTTGTTCGTAAACATCGTTTACAGTATATAGTTCTCTCCTGTCACTGCTAGAGATGTCAATATTGAATATCTGCGGCAGGATTCCTTTTCATTTTGTAGATATGCCATACGGAGCATACTACATTCGGGCTGATCAACCCCGAAGTCCCTTGACTTCCCCCGCATTTCCCCGGGTCTGTTGACAATAACTGCACCAATGAGGAGCTGTGCGGCATATCGTATAGTGACTTCATCACGCAAAAATATGCAGATTCATGCCTGACGAATCGCCCTAGGGTCGCCGAGGAGGGTTCTCGGTCGAAAGACATCCATGGATCTGCATGCAGAACGTACCCCTCCCCCTCCAGGAACAAGCTATATACACTTGGAGTGCCACTTTTAAAAAACCTGCCCTGCCATTCAGGTCATGTCAAGCGACTTAGCTAAATACAGGCTTCAAACTTGAATATTGCACACCCTTCCAAAGATGAGGATTCTCTCTCAGCTCGGTGCAGCGCTGGCATTCACAAACAGCGCAGCAGCAGCATACGAAAATCCCCTCATCCATCTCGACTACGCAAGCTTCCAGGGTAAATATGATAACACCTACAACCTCAGCTATTTCCGGAAAATCCCCTACGCATCACCACCGACAGGTGAAAATCGCTTTCGATCACCGCAACCCCCAGCCACCATAACAGACGGGGCCTACAATACCGACCAAGACTTCGACATGTGTCCCCAGCGCACAGTGATTGGTTCCGAAGACTGTTTATATCTGGGCTTATTTTCCCGGCCATGGAATACAGAAAACGGAAAGGCGAAGGCAAAACGACCCGTTCTAGTCGTTTTCTACGGGGGCGCATTTATCCAAGGCAGTGCAGCATTTACGATGCCCCCATCTTCATTCCCGGTCTTGAACGCAAGTACATTGAATGATTATGTGGTAATATACCCGAATTACCGTGTCAATGCCTTTGGATTCCTACCTGGAAAAGCGATCAAGGAGTCTAAAACCTCAGATTTGAATCCTGGTCTACTGGATCAACAATATGTCCTCAAATGGGTGCAGAAATACATCCATCTCTTCGGCGGTGATGCGAAAAATGTTACCATCTGGGGCCAATCAGCGGGAGCGGGCTCGGTTGTTGCGCAGGTCCTTGCCAATGGACGTGGTAAGCAGCCGAAGTTGTTCAACAAGGCCTTGGCGAGCTCGCCGTTTTGGCCGAAGACGTATAAATTTGACGATACCGAAGCGGAGAGTGTGTTTGATGCTTTTGTTAACTTGACTGGCTGTGCTGGGGCAGAGAGTGACGGTGTTGTAGAGTGTTTGAAAACGGTTGATGTGCAGGTGATTCGTGATGCGAGTCTTGTTATTGATGCGCGAAGCACTTGGACGACGAGTTCTTATACGTGGGCTCCCGTCATTGACGGGGAGTTCATGGTTGATACGCTGAGTGAGGCTATTAGTGGGGACAAGAAATTGGAAACAGAGTTTGTTTGGGGGATGTACAATAGCCACGAAGGAGAGAATTTTGTTCCGACGGGGCTGAAATCCACTGAAAATGTGAATGGGTTTAACTCCTCCACTGAGGGCTTTCGGTATTGGTTGACCGGCTTCTTGCCTCGATTCTCGAAGAGCCAGATTCGTCTTGTTGAGGATTTTTATTATCCGGCAGTCGGCAGTACGGAAACAATTGATGAGTATAATAGCACATTCGTGCGGGCTGGCTTGATCTATCGTGATGTTGTGCTTGCTTGTCCGGCGTACTGGGTTGGTTCTGGTGCGGAGAAGAAAGGGTATCTCGGGGAATATACGATTTCGCCGGCGACCCACGGGAGTGATACGATATATGTGGGTTATAAATTCCCGAGAAAGGGATAAATCGCTAAAAATGATACAGTGGAATCGGATAAATGCAGTGCAGACGATCAATCCTGTCGTTTATAAAGGTTATGCGGGTGCCTTTGCCAGTTTCTTCCAAACTGGGGATCCGAATGCGAATAAGTTGACAGGTTCTGCCGAGCCGGGTGTTCCATTATTGCAGAAGGCTGGAGAGGAATTCGTTGTTGTCGATGATGGATTCGAAAGCATTCGCATAGACCAACTGAAGAAGAGATGTGACTTTTGGAGAAAGTTGGGGACGCAGATTCCAGTTTGATCGTTGAGACAGATGCAGTCCAGCTGGGAGATACATACATAATATACGAATGGAGGAGGCTGTGATACATTTGATACGGGATTTTATACCGTTTGATTCAACTCGAAGGCCTGAGTAAATGACCCTGGAACCGTAATCATGATTTTTCGGTGGAATATTGCTTGAAACTTCACTCAAATTCACAATCCTTTCACTTGCTCTTCCGGCCCTAATCTGAATGGACTGTCACTTTCTCAACGTCAGCATCCTCCCTGGTTAGGCCAACCTTTTGGGCGACAAAATATGTTGGTATCACGGCAAGACCCCATAATCCAAAGTTGAGACCCAATGCGGCAATAAGCTATTGTCACCCAGTTAGATAAAAACATGACGCGGATTGATACTAGCAAGTGACCTACCGGCGCATGTGTTGAGCTAATTCCAGATACAACAGCTCCCCCAGCAGCTTCAACAGCACGGACAATTGACGTCAATCGAACAACTTCAGCAGGGTCCTTGGCAATATAGCCCGCGAGCCAATATCCGTAGTTGTATGCCAAAGTACTAGGTAACAGCCCAATTGCTCACCAGAGTTCAGGAAAGAGGATACATACAAGTTTACTTGCATCATGACATAGAATGCCCAGCCTCGACCAAACCCATGATCAACCCAGTCGAGCGCGGGTCTATTGATTTCATAGCCGTGTTGAACAACTGCACCCCATATCCAGGATCCACCAAAGAGTACCATGATAACTATATACGAATACCATTCCCTTTCATTCAGTGTAAACTGTCACCAGTCGAGATAACTGCCAAAGAAAATATTTGCCGTGATTTGTGCCAGGGCCGAGCAGTGAAGCGAGCGCTCGGGCACGAACACTAAAGTAAAGAGATAGATATGATCCGAAATAGGAGAGTAGAAATGTGGCGTAGAAAAAGAACGGGACGCTACCAAGCCTTGGTTAGTTAATGCCGCTAAAATGGCACTGAAATACTTACACGAGGAGGAAGTCTTTCCGGGTAAGGACCTTCAAAACTTCTTTCACCTCCTGAACCGTACTAATTCTTTCGGCTGTCTTCACCCTCTTACCATCGGCTCGCTGTACCTTTTCTGGTAGCGATAGAAGAAGAGCGACGAAAGGAGCGGCGCATTCTTCCCAAAGTTATTGTTAGGGAATTTCCGGTGGCCACGGGATGCTAGCAAACTTACGAAGAGCAACGAACACAATAAATGTCCTCCAATCAAGCTTTTCTGTTGACTTTCCCGAGTAATCGAATTCAAAGTTAGACAGATACTTCGATTCTCAGAAGTCGAAACTAACTGAATGCGAGATTTATAATTCCGCCGACGATGTCAACACAACTAGTACACATATTTCATAAAGACGGTATATAGGACATTACTTGCTGTGTAATCTGATTTTTGTAGCATAACACACTGGAGGACGAAACTCCTCCAGAGCTCGTGGCAGGAATTATTTTCGGGAAATACTTCAAGTTTACGTACAGCGGTTAGGCTTGACGCTTGGGTTGCTGTAGGGCACAGGAACATCTTTCGTTTATAATGGAGCAGCCAATAGGATATTATTCTATGTCTCATTGCATAGTAGTGTAGTGGTGATTATAACTACAAATTCACACAGAATGTGACGAACCGAAGATCGATGAGTCACATGACCCTAATCATGTGAACCAACCCTTCATCTGTATGATAGTATTGGCGATAGCCTCTCTCTTTCTTCTTTTCTCTAGCTTTCTTACTTTTTATTCAATACTACTCATATCCCCATTTGCCCTTACACAGAAAATAACAGCACGGGGAGTGGAGTGATACACTAGCATGTCAGAGGTATGCGTGGCATTCAAGTGCAGAATAGTGGCGTTCGCCTGGGTAGTGTAGTGTGAGCGTGCTCGTCTTCCAGAGAGCCTCGCTTTTTGAGAAAGCTGGAAAAGTCCTGAGCAGAGAGGAGGAGAGGTATATGTTAGCAAGTGCAAGTGCGAACTTTCCCTTTGACGTTGGGATAGGTGGCAGTGACGTACCTGGGCGGAGGCCATCGGGCAGGATAATGAGCTTGATTGGCGGCTAGGTAAAAAACCAATCAAAAAAGCAAAAAAGAAAACATACAACAGCAGGGATTCGCATGTGGTCACCCACCATACTACTAACCTGCCGGCGTGTGGCTTAAGTACGGCTGAGCGGACGGGAAGCCCTGTTCTCCACACCCTATGGTCGTATGTACTAGACACAGCTGGAAAGGGGCATATAGAGTGCATCGTGGAGAAACCACGTCAGCATTTTCCCGCCCGCACCCGCAAACCTCCGCAAACCTCCGCAAACACCGAACCCCCCCCCCCTCCCCAAAGCAACAACAAATATCGTTGACTTCCTAACTTATGACATCTCACGCCCTCGCTTCCTGCTTCCCCTGTCGCCGCAGTAAGCGACGCTGTGACAAGAATCTACCTACATGCCAGCTATGTATTCGCAAAGGCTTGAAATGCAGCTATCCCCGCAGACGCGGCCAACGCTCCGCCTCGCCTGCTCGCAGTATACAAGGATCTGATCATGGCGTTGATCCTAATTCACCTTACGGGGGACCTGTTGTAGCAACCAGAGGTACCGGATCTCAGCATCAGTCTGTATGGCCTTCTTCGTCTCCATTTGCTGTTACCACCGCAATTAGTTTCCTCGCGCCCAATATCTTTCGCGAGGCTCGGTTAGAAATTCCTCGCTTGACTGTAAGCATTCCGGACGAAGTTGCCTTTCACATCGGCAATAATCAGCAGGTTCAGCAGGCGGCTGGCAAGTTTTTCCAGACAGCATGGCTACCTATCGTCAGTCGCAAGCGCTATTTAGCCGCTATTCTCAATCCATTATCCCCATCCCGACGCCCGATTGCTTTACTAGCTCTGTGCATGAAGCTATGCTGCCTACCAGTGCATGATGATGAGGGCCCTAGGAGGACCTCGTTATATCAATTTGTCAAGAAATTCTACTCCGAAGTAGAGAGCACACAAGATTTGTGTGTTGAAGTCTTACAGGCAGCTATACTTATTGCGATCTTCGAGATTGGTGATGCGATCTACCCTGCCGCTTATTTGACCGTCGGCATTTGTGCCCGATATGGCATCGCTATGGGTCTGGACAAGATCAACAAGGGTCGTATGGGCGGACAGCATATTCGTATAGGATCCTGGATGGAGATTGAGGAGAGGCGCAGGGCTTGGTGGGCTATCTTAACTTTGGATCGGTTCGTCACTTCAAATTTAAATTCTCCTTCAATGGACATTCTGCAAAAAGCAAGGTCAGGTCCTCAGCGGCATATCCCCCCCGTTGACGCATTTCGAATACAGATTTTTGAACTTCGCAAATCCTTCTCGAGTCTTAGCGACCGAAGACCCCACGTTTCAAGATTTTCTTCCCGTCGATGATGATCAGTTTTATGACGCGGTCAGACACACGATCCTTTATTTAAAGCAATTTCGAGCGTAAAGAAACCTTGACTGACTTTGGAATATATTTAGACCTCGCAGCCGGATGAAGCAGCCCCCATATGCGAAGGCCTCGTATTTAGAGTTGGGCATTTCGGAAGACTAGCTCAGGCAACGTACCTGATCAGCCAGGCTCTTGCCATGATCAGATCCTCTTCTGTAGTCTCCATCAATCGTGATGAGAGCATTTTATCACCAGACACAGCCCAACTCTGTCGCACACTCGGAGCCTTGGTTCGTGCCAGTGAACTTGAAATCACGGTCCGCAGGCTGGCCTTTTGCTGCCAGAGCCTGGTTTCTTATAGGTAAGCACTTGAAGCTACCAGAGAAAAAAGGGAAACACAAGTCCTTACCCGTTCATGGCAGTGGTATCTTCCTCATTCAAGAGAATTACTGGGCGCAGTTACAGGTGCGATCTAAGGAAGAACTTCTGCAGTATACATTTGTCGAGACTCGTAATGCCGTCGACGTGATTTGCCAAATTGCATCTACGCTCCAACAGGGATCTAATATGGTGGACCTACAGCACGGCCAATGTACATTCTTTCTGGTGGATGTTGTGTACCAAGCAGTTTCGGCACTTATGACTATGGGGAAAGGAAGCCCGTCGGCAGAAATCAAAGAAAAAATAATTCTTTTGAGATGGCTACTGCAGCATATACGAAACCGTTGGCCACTCTCTGGTGAGTTCTCTTCAAAAAAATGGTCTGAATTGATGAGTGTCTAATATCAAGGTAGGTGTTTATGATAGCATTTTGGATGCAAAAGAAGCCCTGTTAGCAGCTGATGCGATATGAATACAGCTGTTGTGCCGCGGGAAGAGGCAAACGAGATCGAGGGCACCCTCGCTTGATGTATTTGTTGTTGATTTAATCACTGTCGGGTTGCAGATCATCCAGTATGAGTACTACTTATCTATTCCACCTCATTCACATGACATCTACAATCTCAGTAGTATTATGAATATTGCATTGTTCAATCGCCATTACAATTTCGATTGTCTCATGGACACTTTCGACGGACTTGAGTTGCCTATGATAGTAATATTTCTGGTACGTATGTGTAGACTTTATGATCGAAAAAGTGAATTCCCGTCAAAATCAGCTAGATGCCATATTTTGGTAATCCAATCTGCGGCTTAAAGAGCTTGAATATCATTTGTCCGATAATTTACTTTCGTTCTTATCTTCGAGGAACATGGCCCCTACAAATACCGCTATTTTCGCATGTGAAAAGTTTAAAACAACTCAGCGAGCGTATGTACGCACGAAACAAGGGACCACTCATTCAGTAACTATCGGTATAGTACACTCAATCCTTGATGCTGAGGCCGCACATTAAACATTTTATCTTTATGCTATGATAGTTTGTAATCAAAAAACTAGAAAACTTTACCTTGCCGAACAATCAATATTTGATCACTTTACCCCCACTAGGAATCCTTCTTGGCTCACTCTCCGTGATTAGTGAACATTTCCCTGATATTTCTAATGTCAGTTTGGAGTCCCAGACGCCTCGCACTTCGCACACTCGACAGAATTTGCTCGCGGCAGCCGTTGATTCATGAGACTATCCCTGTAGGGCTATAATTTCTTACAAATCTTGAAAGTTAGTTATTACGAGTCTCGGGTTGAATGATGTTTGGTCAGCCGACGGCAAATGCGGGTGTCATTGCGGACTTGCGGACTTTCTGCGGTCATTGCTTCCGTCAGATTCGGCTCCTTACTAATACCTCGTTGAATAATCCCTCTCCTCAGATGCATCTTGTTTGATCACACTCACATTATAAAAGATTCCCAAAGGCGTTCCATTCATCTCTCTTGGTTATTCCAGAAAAGCCCTCAATCCTCATCTATGTCTCCAACTAAAAAGCGATCCGTCCTGATTACTGGGTATGTCAAGCCTATTTTTTCCACCTACAACTTCCTGGGCTTACTTTACGAAGATGCTCTCAAGGCGGGGCAGGAAATGCCGTGGCCTTAGAGTTTGTCGCCCAGGGACTAAGAGTATTCGCAACTGCTCGTTCCCTCGAGTCGATGAGCAATCTTTCAGAAAGTGGAATTGAGACTTTTGCCTTGGATGTTACCATTCCAGAAAGCATTCTAGCGTTGAAAGACGAAATTACCAAACGCACCGGCGGGGCTCTTGACATCCTATACAACAATGCTGGCTCTAGTACGTCCTTTTGTCATGCACCCTCATCCTACCTGTGTTCGCATTTCCGGCGTTCGCTAAATCATTACGTAGTGTACGAGGCCCCCGCCATAGAAGCCGATCCCAGTAAAGTGAGGAATATGTTCGACACAAATGTATTCGGTCTATTCGATATGGTGGTAGCTTTCACCCCTCTCCTGATCGCTGCTACAGCCGGGAATTCAAGTTACAAGCCCACGATCGTCAACGTGGCTTCGGTACTTGCAAGACTTCCCTTTCCTTTCGCATCAGCATATAATGCAACAAAAGCTGCAGTGTCTGCATACTCGGATACATTGCGGCTTGAGCTGGACCCTCTTGGCATTCGAGTCGTCACATTTTTCATGGGCGAAGTCTCTACCAGACTTCGGTCAGCAGAAATGATCAACTTTGGATCCGATAGTTTGTATGCCGACGCCGAGGTTAAGGTTAAAGAGAGGACTGAGCAAAGCTCCAGAGTCTCTATCACACCAGCCGTTTTGGCTAAGCAGGTTGCCCCTGATGTCCTCGGGACAAAGGAAGTCAGCTATATGTGGAAAGGCACAAATTCTTTCATTGTTTGGTTGCTTAATGCCATAGGGCCTCGAAAGGTTTTTGACTCGACTGTGATGGGCCCAGTTGGTTTTAGTGATAAGGCTCAAGTGAAACGAATATTTGAACGTGGGCAGCGGATGGTCGGGCATTGATCGTAGTAGAGAAGATTTGTTGGAACTCATGTAGACAATACTTTAATATAATTCCTAAATAATGCATTCTTGGTTAGTTTCACTATTTTCTTCACCTGTGAATTTGGTAAACCTCAAGATATATTTACTCTTCGCCACTTTCATCAGTAACCCAATTTATGGGCAACTTAGAAGCCCTGCTCCAGCGAACGTCTCCATCCCGCAATTTTCTGATGAAAATGCGTGTACAACGTAGTATGTACAGACGAGGAGCCTTATTTCAACTTTCAAAGATGTTAACGCATTTTGTGTGGCATTTTACAACTAGAGTAGGCATGCTGTGTCAGATATATTCTTAGTGTATCCTGCCATTCTTTGTGCTGGTACGAAGTACTTGCGAGTACCTAAGTACGATGCTCTGCTCGAAACGATAAACGCAATATAGTATAATTGTTAACTTCAGCTACTTGAATGAACTCAATATGATGACCACTGAGCTAATACTCGGTCACTCCGCTCTTTCTATGCTCATGAAGATCTTTCAAGACAGACCGAGGTCGACCATCATAATTCTTCAGCCTCATCCATGCCTCCAGACTAGGAATACGAGAGCCATGAATACGATCAAGAAATGCCATATTGCGAGTAGCTCCCTTCCCCTCACCCCAATAGCGCCACCAGGCCGCAAAAACCTCACGCCAGGTCATGAAGGACTCATCGCGAGGCACATCAGGCTTGACAGTCCAGTTCGAATAGGCTCCTTGGTACGGTTCTGCCTTCGCTAGATACTCCTCCAGAGGTACAACTTTGTGTCTCCCTTGTTTTCCAGTCACCCTAGTAAATGTGGCTACAATCTCAGTGAAGCTGACTTGATCCGTCGCCACCTCGAGGTTGAGCCCAGCGGACTCAGAGGGGTTGTCGAATATCCATAAGCTGTAGGCTCCAACATCATCGAGGGCAATTAGTGGGATTTTACCATCCGCTAATCCAGACCAGTTAATTCGGCGATTCTTCAATTGCAGATGAGGCAAATAGAAGACTTACCGGCAGGGTTTTCCCAGATAAATGAACCATCAGATTGCTCTTCAGGAACAAACATCCCATCAAAAAGCATATCCATGTACGGTCCTGTCGTCAAAAGTGATGTCTTCATGGTGGATTGCCCATGACTCAAAATCAGATCGCCCACACGGCCCTTGGCATCATTATGTCCATGGTACCGCTCGTCCCATCCAGCCTTTCGTAAGGCATAGTCAGAGTTTGCAAAAATGTAATGCTTGACACCCTGGTGCCGAGCAATCTCATATGCCCGGACACCGTAGAATAACTCGCTCTTTTCACCGATTGTAAACCCATCTAGGTTAACCCATGCTCCGTAGACGCCAGTGAACGCATCGTGGAGGTCCTTTTGGTTATCCTGTGAGCCTTGGAAGAGTGTCACGTTCGGCAGAGCAGCTAGTTTGGTAGCATAATTTGAGGATGAGTTTCGAGTCAAAATTCGAACACTGTAGCGGCCACTTTCGGAGAGTGCCATAAGGCTGTCAGAAGAAGAAGGGGTTAGAATAGGCAGGTGGAGGGCTTACCCTTGACGACAGAACTGCCCTGGGCACCTGTTCCTCCAATAACGAGAATCAATTTCTGATTTTCCATGTCGGCACCCAAGGATATTGTGAAATTCAAGTCAATAACTTGAAGAGAATACTAGTAGTAGGTGTGTAATATGCGGTGCAAGTCGGGATTCTAGGCTTCCTCCACCTGGGCAGGGCTGGCTACTCCCGTTTAGTATATATAATCTGGTCGCGCTCAGACCTCACTGTCGAGGTTGTTCCTTCAAGTTCAAGTTACTATCTCCAGAGGTCAGAGGTAGGTAGTAGCGACAGGAGCATTGATTTATAATCTCCAATGAATTTTGCTCGATGGTGGCTGCGTTCTTTGGCCTGCAACGTTCGTAGACTATTTTCTTTGTAAGATAGCTATTCTAAGCCGCAGGCCGCAGAGCCCGACGAGCGCGGAATTTAGTCATTTTACAGTCTTGCTCCAAATTTCATTGGTACAGGGGACAGCTTGTTCGGCCTAGATATTACCCAGAATCGGCTTGGTGACAAATGTGGTCTCAATTTCCCGTTACAAGAGCGCATATGGTCTGAAGATTTCTAGATTATGCATCATTCAACTGGCCCGGGTTTGCGGACATTGCGGGGATATGTGGACATGGCGGTCAATTGCGGTCAATTGCGGTACTGCGGGCATTTCAGTTATGCAGTGCAATGCAAGCCTGTACCAATCTGAGTAGCCACTCACATTCGAGGTTGGAGAGAACAAAGCGAGAATTTTTTTTTCAGATTATGCTATCCATTCTTATAGTAAGACTTTGTGTTCTCTGCAGAAGGTTATAAGAATGCCCAGCTGTCCTCCGGAAAGAAACTTCAATGCACTACATTGAGTACTTCTTACCTTGAAAGGTCTCTACATTCAAAGTTACCTCAAGTCATCAACAATATGGTCAAGCTTCTGGTCGTCGCTGGCGCGACCGGGATGCAAGGTTCCGGCGTCATCGACGCCCTCGCCACAAATCCCGACTGGAAAATTCGAGGTCTTACCCGAAGCACCAACAGCGACAAGGCCAAAGGGCTTTCGGATCGTGGAATCGAGATGGTATCCGCCGATATGGATGACGAAGATAGTCTCCTTAATGCCTTCATTGGTGCGAACGCAATTTTCGCAGTTACAGATTTCTACGAACCATTTGCGACAGGGATCGGCCCCGAGAAGGCCATGCAAATCGAGTACGAACGAGGCCTGAAGTTAGCCCGGGCAGCTGCTAAAACAAAAACTCTGGAATTTTACTTCTGGAGCACCCTGCCCGCTGCGAACGATTTGACAAATGGCGAAGTAAAGGTTCCGCATTTTGATGCCAAAGCGGCCGTCGATGCATATATCAAGAATGACATTGCCTTGAACTCTAAGACGATCTTTCTTTTGACGGGATTCTACGCGTCTAATTTCAACTACCCGCCTTTTACCCCCGTTTACTCGGTATGGATTCTCCTTCTCTTTAGATCTGCCAAGCTTGCCTGTTAACTAACATGTTGAAATAACAGAAGCCAGCTGCAAAATACATTCTTGCCCTCCCAGCACGCTCCTCGTCTTATCTTCCCTCACTCGGCTCAGTTAATAACATTGGAATCACCGTCAGTGGTCTTCTACAACTGCCATACCCTAAGTCGGCAAGTTGTCCCACGGGAGGTCGATATGTTCACGTCACGACGGGCAAATACCAAATCCAAGACTATTTCTCGAAATGGGCTATGGTAGCAGGGAAAGGAAAGCTTCAGGTCCTATCAGTTCCCTTTGAGCATTTCGAAGCGCTCCATGGTGTGTGGGGGACTGAATTGGGCCTTATGGTGAAGTTTTGGGAAGTTGCTGGCCCCCCAAGAATGTGGGGAACAGTCGGAGAAGGCGACATTATGGTCGATTCTCGTGATCTGGATGGTGTCAAAGAAAATCTGGTCAGCGCCGAGGACGTTTGGAGTAAGGTTGATTGGAGTCAATTTTAGAAAACCTGTCAGACCAAGACATACAGAAGCGCCCAACATCGGCTTCCATGCTGCGAATATACAGAAGCTCTTTCAAACCCCAATCACATGATCAATTGTGCCAGATATGGTTACTCCCGTACTTTGAATTACGTTTTAGTTCGGAACGGTAAGATTCAAACTGACAAGCGATGTGATGTTATGTATTATTACCGATCCAGAAATAACAACCTCCTCGTCGTCCCAACAATGCTTTCCCCTAAACTCCAGCAACCTTTTACTCCCTAAATCATTTCAAGATAGCTCGAAACCTAAACCCTAGGCAGATTAATATAATTGTATACATGATAGCCAGCAAGAAAAGACTGACTACATCTTAATTGGCCAAGCTGGCAAAGTGTACTGAGCGTTCTATCACTACCATACGTAAGAAAATACAATTGTTCTGCAATCCCCATCCTCCTAAAAACCCTCCTGGCCCGCTACTAATCGTTACTTCTGTAATACTGGACACCCTTTGTAACCACCTTACTAAGAATCCCAGCCTTTACCTCGAAGAGATGGCTAAGTTTCTATAGTATGAGTTCAACATATTACCATCGTCGTCTAGCATCTAACGTACTCTTTTCCGGGCTGGATAGACTAAGAAGACAGCCCGGTAAATGCCCAAAGAGTAGAACCCCTTGATACAAGATTTTTACCAATATAAACTATCTGAGTTTTATTTATACTACCTTGTTTTTATTGATGAATCTGGATATAAATAAATAGTGTAGTGGGGGAATCGCTCTGGCGATGTCAGGTGACGTTGTAGGCCTTAGGCCTTACCTTCATGCAGTATATAAGCCCTCGACGATAGTTAACTTACACAATCCATCCACCTTTCGGGTCACCAATGTTATTTGCGTTATTTCGGATTGCTAGCATTCGAGCAAGGGCTCGAATGCTCTGAATGCTGTTTTCTCAGTAGGGCACCGCTTTGTCTACTCTCTCCTGCACTCTACGAGTGTGGTGGTTTTGTCCTCTTGTGATCGACCCGTCTGCTTGACAGACTGCCAGCGAGCTTTCCCATCTTACAATAGGTAGATTATAGGAAGACTGGCTAGTTACTGCTAGGCGTGACACCAGTATAAGTGTCTACATTCTATCAGGGCCAACGCCATTAGATACTACCAGTGTATACTTAGGATAGTATTCTTCTGTCTTGTATTTTTAAAGATTTAACAGATGCTCTACTGTTTGAATCGTTTATTAAGCAGCTGCTCTAACACTGCAGAAGGTAGCCAGAGCCAAATTCTGTGCTTATTATAGGTAATACATCCTTCCATTATTCAGACCAAGTTAAACAGTTATGCTCCGATACAGGTGTCCGGTTGCTATACCTCCCTCCTTACTCTCCAGATTCCAACCCTATAGAAGAGCTTTTTACCGAGTTGAAGGCTTACATCAAGAAAGCTTAGCCAAATTTTGAAAAGGATCCCGACCAAGGATTCCACGCCTTTCTACGGCAAGGCGTCCATGTCATTGGCGCAAAACAGCAGAGCACTGAAGGCCATTTCCGCTATGCAGGTATAACGTTATATAAATTTTGAGTGGCTGCCATTTCAATAGGCGCGGCATGTGCAATAAGTAGCATAAGCTATGTTTATATATACAGATAAAATCTCAGGAGCTCTTTGGGCCTATGTTTTCTTACCCGACTCAAAGAAGGGAAAACATTGCCTCACAATTCGATCCAATTGCTCAATTATCACCGGCTTGACGAGATACTTATCCCCGCCTGCCTCTTGTGCGGCAGATTTATCAGCAGCGGTGTCTTGACCAGTCATAACCAGTATCAAAACCTTTCCCCAGTTGTTCTGCTCCTCTAGACTTCGTATTTGCCTGGTGGCTTCGATGCCATCGCACACCGGCATTTGCAAATCCATGAAGATCAGCTCGATAGGAGGCTCGTCGTTAGCGATACAAGTTGATTGGCGCTGCGAGAAGATTTCCACAGCTTGCAAACCATTCTTTGCAGCCAAGTAAGGCAAACTTCTTTTCTTGCAGTACATTTCCATAATGCGAAGGTTGATGGTGTTGTCATCGACAATCAGAGTTGTGGGTCGCGAAGATTGACGCAACTGGCGGGAGATTGGAATGGGCTTTGTCAAGTCTGCAGAGGGCGCGACATCCTGATCGGATCCCAAGGATAGAGTAGTTTCTGATCTAGGGCTGGCAGCGTCAATCGACAGTTGGTTGGGCTCGAGTTCCCTTTGTTCCGGGGCTTGAGCTGCCTTTAGAAGTGTCGGCAGGGCGACATATGGTTGCAAACTTCTGATCTTTCCCACGAGACAATCCGCTTCCTCGAGGGCCGAGCCTAAAGACAAGGTGGAGAAAGGTCCGCTGACATAAACAATATTTTTAGCCGTCCGTCCAAGCGGTAAATCTGCCTCAAGCCCGGGAAGAAGACATATCGCAACACCTCCCGATGGAATTTGGGACAGCTGTAATTGGTGCTGTTCTAAACTCGGGGCAGCTTCAAAGATAATAAAGGAGCCTTCTGGGCAAGCCGACGGCGCAAAGCCACTGCGTGTGAGGAAAGTGACGAAGTGGCCACAGAGTGACATGGAACTCAAATCAGATATTAAGTTGAAGAATATTGAGGGTAGATTCTGGAGCTTTGAGGCTAGCAATTTCGGCGCGTTGGGAGAGCTGGCATACTCAACACCCCGAAACGTGGCTCTAAAATGGGAGCCTCGGCGAAATTTCGAGGACATCAGAGCGACCGATCCCTGCAAGAGCGATGCGAATCTGGACGCCACGGTGAGTCCCAGTCCTGCTCGTGTTGAGTGCATATCGACTTTTTCAAAGGGTTCGAATATGCGCTGCTGATCAGTTTGATGAATGCCTTGGCCATTATCCTTGACATCCACTGTCAACTGCCTCGAGCCCAGATTCAGTGATAGTGTTACCGATACAATTCCATCCGGTGTGTGCTGGACTGCGTTCATAATAAGTGGTAGGATGGTGTCTCGCAGCACATCGATATCAATCCAGATACTCTCGCAAACGTAAGGCAAATCATGGGTGAAGAAAACGGACGCTCGATACCGTGTATCTCCCACGGTCAAGTTGACTAATCCGGTACACAGCTCCGTCTCAAGCTTTTCAACCGAATGCATGGCATAGTGGCGGTCCATCGTAGCAATATCAGCCCATCGATTGGTTGTAATCATATTGTTGATGATTGCAACCAGATCCCTGCCGCCCATCTTGATGATGCCCAGATATTTGGAATGTTCGTCTAAACGTATTTTGAGAGGCTGTTCAACTGATCCTGGGGCTAGTTGTGCGTCCTCGCCTGCGCACCAGGATTGGATCTCTTCAGCCAGGAGGTCCGCTGAACCGAGTATACCATGGATCGGAGTGCGGAGCTGATGGGAAAACCCGCTAAGAAATTTCTCCTTTGCTCTCAGCGCCTCCAAGAGGAGTCTTTTGCGCCACATCTGGGAGATCAAGCCAGCACACGTCTCAACAAACCAGAAGTCGACATCATCGAATACGAGGCGAAAGTCCTTTGAAGCCACCATGAGCAAAGATGAACCCGTTACACTCTCGCAAGCAAGAGCTAGGATGCGCACAATGTGCGTGGTGGGAAGAGCATCGTGGTTGGATTCGCTGATCAACGCATCTAGGTACTCCGCATCTTCCCACAGGCCGCCTTCCAGGTCTGACATCAAGATAGGCTTGCGCCCTTCCAGCTCGACATAGGTCGTCTTCGTCGGCTGCAATTTGACGATAGCATTGGGGTAGGTGCTTCGGAGAATTTGATAGATAGGTTCCTCGGAGACCAGCTTCTCCAGTTCCAACTGTGCGTTGGAGAGGAGTTCAGCCATTCGATGCCGGTCACGTTGGCGCTTTGCCCGCACCGCGTGAAGGAGATCCGAGACGACACAGTCACCCAGGCGGACCAGGGCTTGCTGCTGGTCTTTTGTGAGCGGTTCCTCGCTTTTACTCGAGGCTACGCAAAGCGAACCAAGACCAACACATTCTCCGGTTTCGTGTTGCAGACGCAGTGGTACACCGGCGTATGCGTAAAGCCCGCCTTTCTCGAGATAGGGACACGTCCAAAACCTCCAGTCTTCCATGAGTGTTGGTAAATGGAACACGCTCTACGTAGTATGCTTAGCAACCTTTCAATGGGCGGAAAAACCTAGATCTTACATCAGGAGGTTGAGTGACCGTATGGGCGCAGATTGTTTCACCTCTCGGCAGGATACCTAATTGAACGCCTACCGTGGCCAAGCGAATATATACATCTATATCCAGGATGCCAATGATCGCGAACTCCCATCCCGTGGTCTCCTTAGCCAGATGAACTTTGTCCTGGAGACCTGAAAGTAACTCTTCCTCCTTGAGAACATCGCGAGTGTAGTACCAAAGCATAGGCAATCTAAGTCTCTCATTGTGGGCTAGAATGGCACGCGGATATCGATCCTCGAAACCAGGAGGCTTTTTACAAACGGTGGATGTGAGCGCGTTAGGGTCAAGGCTAGGGTAGAGAGTCGATGCGACCTCACCAGACCAGGGACTTATTGGCTTCTTGAGGTTTTCCGGATCGAGAATCGGCCCGACGGTATGCGGGTATGTGGGTGGGGGTCGACGCCTGGACGAAAGGATCGCTGTATCTGCCTTGGGGAAGAATACACTAGAAGGCATCGTTTCCGCGGAGCCGCATATCACATCAACCAGAAGCGCAGTAGAATCCGATGAAATGGGAGACACAAGAGGGGGATAGAAGGATTGGTAGGCAAAGTCACCAAGCAGGTTTCGGGCCAGACCTTGGCCCGGGCCACGTGATCCTGGTTCACAAGATGCCTTTTGGGTCCGCCGAGCGCTTGACTATGTATGCAACGCAGCTCTTTTCACTTCGCTCGCTGATATAGCCGCCAGAAAAACACTTGTCGATGCACCTCTCTGAAGATGAGCTCGATTGAAGAACATATGGCGGATCCTTAAATGTAGTTTTTGCTGTGATATGAGGCTGGTGCATATCAAGATATCAGGCACCAAGTCGCACAGCCATAATCAGTTGCCGCGTGTTCTCTGTTGCTTTGACTGCCAAATCCAAGAAGTGGAATTCGGAAAAACAGATTATCCCTCAGACTTTTCTTTCCCAGCGCCCTACTTCGACTGCGCCAGAACTATTTCATTGTCTTGGCGCACGAGTTCCAATCAACCCCACCGGAAAGAGTTCCGCGAATCAGAAGAGAGCCTCAAGGTGTCAATTGTGCCCCCCCATGCATTTGCTTCGTGAAATTTCAGAGACTCCTACGGAGTGAAGCACTAGACTCTTTCGCCACTCTATTGACGAAACGGTTTATTGGCATCCAAGGCCTCGCGGGTTTCGATTTGGCTTAATTACAGCGCCAAGATGACAGCCAAGCTCCCTATTCCACGCCTGCGACGCGAAGAAAAGAGAATGCGAGTGGCCGCTCCAAGCGGGCTTGTGAAGTCTGTCGAGAGCGCAAGCACAAGTGTGATGGAGCCAGACCGGCCTGCTCTCAGTGCCTTGTTCAAGGCTTTAAAAATTGGTTTTGCCCGGAAAGAATAATTGTTCAGCAGGAAAGGGCTATGGTTTTGATGCGAAGGGAAATTAAGATTTATCAAGGACTGCTCAAAGATATCTCTCGGGAACTTAAAGGACCTAATGCTGATCGAGTCGCTAGTATACTCAAGGTATGTCCAGAAGTTATGAGGAATATTATTAGAAGCCAAGAAATTAACAAATTCTTCAGAGACCTGAACAGGAGAAAGATACGAATCGTGACAATGAAATTTCTAGCTCCTCCTCGTCTCTAGCTTCTTTTGACCAAAACGATGTCGCAAACGAAGATTTTAACCGAAGTGCCGAAAGTAGGGCAACTGGATTCATGGGGAATAACTCAGAAGTTGCATGGATGCAGCGCCTAGACCTGCAATCCTCAAAGCATGATCAGAACGCAACTCTCCGTTTGGATCCAAGCTTCCATCCTCTAATTGGCAACCCAATGGCATCATTGAACTACCACCTAGACCATCTCGCTATATCAAACAAAAATGTGATCAACCATTTTGTTTTGCCAAATAAGGAAATAGCGGATAGCCTTTTCCAGCTTTATATGGAAAACGTTCATGAGTTTTTGCCAATCATACGAAAAGACCTGTTTGTGGTCCAGTACCAAAACTGCTACTTGAGGGAAGGAAATCCCCCCCGGTAGAAGATGGTTGGCCGTCCTCAATATGGTTCTTGCGATCGCCTGCGCTTTCAGTCGACTTTCAGGTCAGGAAATATCACCAGAAGCCAATGAAAACGTCTTCTCTGCAAGGGCCAGGTCTCTCAGTATTACCGAGAATGTTCTTTACGATCACGGAGATTTGCAGCAAGTACAGGCCGAGGCACTCATGGCTTTACTCTTTTTAATTCAGTCACAGATAAACAGGTTTGTGATGTTGAGACCTCCTTTCATCAATCTAGATTTTAACAAGCTATCAGATCGTGGAAGATGATCGGTATTGCTACACGTTCAGGCATCGCTCTAGGGCTTAACTTAGAGAAAGTGATCATTGGACTCGATGTGAAATCAGGAGAGGCGCGAAAGAAGCTGTGGTGGTCTCTATTTCGCTTGGAAAGCCTTCTTTCAGTCATGACCGGGAGAGTCTCTTGCCTCGGAAATGCCTCTAGCTCCGCAAACCCTCCGTTTCTTAACCCAAATTTGGATCTAACTGTTCCTGACATGGAGCAGCCCATCAACGAGCTCCAATGGACAATCAATTTGGACGAGGGGAAGGCACTTCCACAAGTTTCATTTCTCAAATCTCTGGAGCCTACCCATTCTCTCTATTGCTTCTATATGGTGGATCTGACTCTGATCACTCATACTATTATCAATGAAATATACTCGCTGGATCCTTCTCGAGTAGGCTGGAGCTGCATTGAAAGCCGTATAGCCTTCTACCACAAAAAGTTGGATTTCTGGGCATCAACCATACATCCATCTTTCGGCAGCCAATTCATCTCACCCCCGAGAGAGCCATCATTCCAAGATTCTCTTGCTTTGAATTACTACAGCGCTCATATATTGCTCAACCGGCCGAGTCTGAAAGGTCCTTCCTTCGAAAAGAAACATGATTCACCTGACTCTGGCATACGATTTGCCAATAAAATCGCATTCGACTGCCTCCAGGCTTCCTTGGGAGCCATTGCACAATTGCCGGATCGGCCAGATTTGGCTTGGTGCTACCAAGTCCCACAATGGTGGGATTTACTACACATTCTCACACAATCAATTACCATCTTACTTCTCGATATCTCAGCAAGTCCAGCATTAATCAGACCCGAAGAAATTCAGTTTCCCGCTGAATCAGTTGTTTGGGCCGGGGTGACAAAAGGTCTTCACTGGCTGCATTGCTTGGGAAAATCATCAGAGTCCGCTCATCGAGCCTTCCTCTTCTTTAACACTTGTGTTAGGCGCATGAAACCGAGTAAAACTCTTGATCAGGAATGGTTATCCTTGGTGATTGATTCATCTCGGGCCTCTTGCGGTCCAAATTATTCAGAAGACGAAAGCCTGGTAATAAATCTTCCTGAAGATTCAAAGCGTCATATTTCAGCGAATGGCGAAGATGACATCGTGTTCTTTCAGGACTTGTCGGGAGAACAGCGCATACTGGTTCCAGGCGCTTTGGCGGTGCTTGATACTGGTGAAAAGCTTGTCGAGCTGGTCTCAAACTCCGATTTTGCTGTTGAAGATATTCTATTCTCCCTGATGGATTGCCATCCATGAGTCTTATTCTTTGATTTCTGACTGACTAACTGCGATCTCGATTTTTAACCTGTTCCTTATGCAGATAAAGCCTTTAAATAAATCTTAGATGAGTTCAAAATGCGCCTGATTGTAGTCTACGATCTGCCTCTGCCGTTATTCACTATGGAGGAGGTTGCGAACCTTCAAGAAAGGTACTACTCGATTATAACAAATAAAGCAAAAAGAAAAGATCTTTGAGAGAAAGGGAGATTTCTGACCATTACTAACTGTGAAATATCGCGTGATAAATATACTGATTTGAATGACACATACCCCAAACCTATCTTTCACCCCCCCCCCCCCCCTAATGCAATAAGTTCTAAACCTTATAATCCTATTCTATTTTTCGTCTTTCTTACTAGCAATCAAAACGATCCCGATTCATTGCGCCCTTGAGGCGCCAAGAGTTCGGCCAATTCTGTCATAACTCACATCTCTTCTTGATAACATTCTGATTGCTAACCGCGTTTCTCTCAAACGTTGTTGGATCCAATGCGAAAGGCCTTCATATCTAGAAGCATTGTCTGGGAGCCGCCTTGAAGCCCGTACTAGCTCATGGGCACCGCTAGTAAAGAACTGTGTCCATGTTGCTAGTATGCCACGAATCTCCCTTGCAGAGGGTAGCGGCCATGCAGCCAAATATAACTCATCACATTTATGTAAAGCTCCTACAACATGTCTGTGTACAGCTCTATCCTCAAACCTATAAGCCACAGGCATCGTGTATATCCAGCACAAGTTCGAGCGGAGCAGGTACTCGAAGAGTCGAAGTAGACAATGTCGCCGTGGCTGATACCTGTGGGACGGTGAATATCAAGCAGCTCTTATATACGGTGACTCAAAGAAACCCTCGGAAATCAAAATGCCTTTGTTTCATCCAAAGCAGAGCATCATCATCACGAATGAAAGAGCAGTGGAGAACAAATTTCATTCGCTATTCTAGTCAAAGGGGCTCAAACAATGGACTAGTTTCTTGAAAGAACCTTGGAACTCTTAGAAATATAAAAGAAGGGGCTAGAATCTGTAACAAGGGCTTTCAATACTCATCCAAACCTCCTCAAGTTGTATATATAGTTTCTGCAAAGTAAAAATAGTAGCAGCCTGAGGCTCACATTAAACAAATCACGGGCCACGGGTGCCGATTTGATCTTCTGAAAGTTGCAGAAATTGTTTATTGTAATATATTTAAAATAGTACGTTCAAAAATGGAATCCTGACTCCGGTCGCCACGTAGTTCTCGAAACCGCAAAGAAGAAAGATTCGTGGCAAGAAATGACCCATCACTGCCATCCACCCTCAAACCCAGTACCAGCCCCCTGACTTCTTCGCCGGGCACTTGAATATTTTCTTGTTGCCGCGAAATCGAGTCGATCCTTCTCATCCTGACTCACTCGACGCTTTTTCTGGACTTCCGGATCGTTCTGGCTACCAAATCCCCAATGCCGTTGACTTTTGCGCCGCGCATCATTATCTAGAAGAGTGGCTTGGTTAGTACAGGTCAATGGGATTAGATCTTCGAGTCAGGCTAGTAACTTACCTGTAACTGGATCGCTCTGAGAGCTGCAGTTACTTGATACAGGCTTTGGGTCAGGTGTCTCTTGTGTAGTAGGAGACTTTCCCGAATTGGCGGAATCGATTGAGTCGTTGTGCGGGTGATGCTTAAAGACATCCGAGGCCCTGCGGAAGAAGTTCGACATTACGACTTAATGTTTTGCCGTCTTGCTGGATATCAGTACTAGTGCGGCAAGTTACTGTAGCAGCATTTTAGTCTTTTTATATGTTTGCCAATGTGCCATGACATCATTTCACCTTGTCAGGCTGGCCCTCTCGTGATTTGTTTTCTTATGTTCGGTTCAAATCTTGAAAAGAAGAGAGACCACGGCCGATCACATTGTTGGTCAACTTGCGCAAGGTCATAGGATCATATGTGGAGACCGTCGAACCGTGGTCAGAAAAGCCGGGTCCGAAGAACCCGAAAGCTTGTATCTATGCTGGTATCATGCATGGACTATCAAGAATAGTTCACCGTCATCTTTTGATAAAGTTATTTTAAAATGAGGAATCGCTGCGCTCAAGTTGATTGTCCAAAGACTCATCAAATATGTTTGCGTCGCCTAGTATTCAAATACAACTTAAATATACTCCTCAATTCCCGACACCAGGTGAGGATCCGCGGTGGGGCGGATGGTACTAGTAGTCTGGAACGCGACGAAAACAATTAATTGATTTAACCATGGATGTGCATATAAAACAGTACTAGGCCTAGCGCTCAGAGCTTGCGGAATAGACCACGGCTTTTTCTTATATCTAAAATCCTTTCGCCAATGGATTGAGGGTATTTTTCGAGAGTATGCCGAAATCAAGGGTTTCGACTTGGCAGAGTGCTTAAATTTGATTTTATTACGCCTTTAAGGTACTTATTGTCTTTAGCCGCCCATCGCGAGATGATCGATTGGAAATATACTAGACGTTATCGAGGCTAATCCATAGAAGACCCCAGTTTCACTCGCAAATTCTAGCTGGCATTATTCAGCAAAACCGGCAAGTGGAAATTGGAAACGCAATAAAGGCGTAGGTAAGAAACGAGGTGAGCATTCTTCATGCCAGTTTACACTTAATGGCTGTGTCTACCCGAGTTACAGCACGATCCATCCATTGCCGCTCTAGCGAGCTTCGCCCGGCTCAGTGGACGAGGATCGGGCAAAAAGCTTCTCCCCGAAAGGTCTGGCTGTGAAGTCGCGGCGCGGCCAACCTTCGCAAAAGACTCCAGATCCCGCTTAGCAATTTTGGTGCTGTAGATCTTGTTGAGCCAATTTCCCAATCGATAGCCGCCTTTAGCAATTTGCAGCTCAATCGTGTCAATGACCGAATCGTAGTAGGTGGGGTAAAGATCACCGGTTTGCAAAGCAGCAGCGCCTTTAGGCATGACAACAGTGCAAACAAGAGCGTTGGCATCTGAAGCCCAGCTGGTTGCTGCGGCAATGGGATCGCTGATGTCATCTCCTTTGATCCAGCTCGCAGCTTGAGACGTATAATTTCCCGACTCGATCTCCTTGACCAGACTGGTGGCCCAAGACTCTGCGTCTGAGAGCGAGTCACCGCCGACCAACTGCTCGGGCATGTAGCTATCCCAGTCGGAATGAAGATTGTCGCTGTATCCATTGAAAGTGACCTTAATGTTGTTTCCTCCGACTTCATATGCCTCATCGTGGAGTGGCTGAGTCATATCACCAAGGAAATGAACAAGAAAACGGAGAGCCTCTGCAACATCAGCGTCGGAAAGGCTGCTGTCGCTCACACGCTGAGTGTAGTTTGCGACCGCAGAGATTGAGCAACCTGAGCTACCACAGTCACGGTCGTAGTCCACGTTGCAACTCGAAGGAGGATCATCCTCTGCATCTATAAAGTGCAAAGGAGCCGACCATTTTCCAGCGCTAGTTAGGCGATACTGGTCAGCCCAGGAAGCGATGCCAGCTAAATAAGAACTGGATGAGTTGCCAAGAACGCCTTGTGCCCTTCAAAGCTGTAAGTCAGAATTCAAAGGAATGTTTTCCAAAACAAAAGGGTATTGCAATCGTCATTTCTCACCATGATGCTGTTTCAGACGAAACATAGTGTTGAGCAACATATGCAACTGTTGCGTGACCCAACACACCCCAGGCGTGCGCCCCATTCACTGCCCCTAGGGTGAGGAGGACAGTATTGGAGAAAGATGGCATGATTTGGCAGTCCTGTATGTTTCTTCTTCTCGATGTAGCGGCTCAAAAGGAGATGCACTGTCTTTCACAACCTTTCGTGGGGTCCAGGGGCGTTTTTATTGTGTTGATAAAGCCCCGCCCCTGAGAGTTATTGGCATCTGTCGATCGAGCTGTAATTATGACTCTGCAGGAACAGCGAGTGTAACATAAACCTGGAGGGGTGAAGTCTTATTGGGCCGGCCGATGCCACAAGCAATCAAATTGTTTCAAGGAGCTCGCCGATGTGAAGATAAGAGCAAATGACCTCTCAGGGCTGGGAGGGGTCTGCAATCATTTGAAAGTTTCATTGGTGGAGGCAGGCGGGATCGGCGCCGCAGCGCATCGGAATCCACCGGCGTGAAGAGAAGCAGGAAGCAGAAGATAAAAACAGATTGGCTATTCGAATAAATTGCAAGCGCGGCTAGTGATGAAAAAGGGCGAGTACTAAATCTAACATCCTACACGTGGGGTCAAATATTTTGTACTCGCTGGTTTTGAGTTAGCCTTTCAACGATAGAAACCGTGCAACGTGGTGAAATCTCAACACAACTAGGACGGAATAATAATGCCAGAAGCTTAACTTCTCTTCACTCTCCGGCTTTATTCAAACGCCCGGGGCTATGATAGAATCTCATCGCCGTCGGAGCACCGTCGGTTCTCTGCAGATAATTTCCAAGCGAACTTTGCTGATGCTCTGCGACCGACCCAAGTTCATACCTACAATATTCATTTGGGTCATTTCTCGGAAGTATATACTCTTTTAAAACTCAACACTTCCATTATTTGGATCGCTAATATTTTCTTCAGAATTGCACATCTCGGTTATGTATAATAATGCAATTGACTAGTTAACGAATGATGATAGAACTACCTATCGTTTATCTGTACAAATGCTGACACTAATTTGCATGGACTTTTTAGGCAGGTCTGTGCTTTAGAACAATCAAAAGTCCAAGAGGCCGGACATCGATAGGGAAAGCCTCAAAACTGCTTATTTAAAATTACCTAGTAACGATTTTTCTCACACTTGCAGACCATCCTCGACTGACAAGACATCTAACGTTGGCAAGGCTGGTTGCTAAGAGCAGGCTGAAGCGGTGAATTCTTCCCATTCGTCGTCTGATCGATCATCTCGAGTCTCCAGCTTCTTTAATGAACTGAGATCCGACTCGATTGAGCACCATATTTGCAATAGTTGCTCAGATCAAAACAGAAAAGCTCGTTCTTGCGAGACCTGTTACAATTTTCCAACTCATCACTTTTGCACGATACTACCTGTACTCATGATACCCAGAAATAGCCCAATGACAAGATTTTCCCCATGAAATGCCACAGTCGATTGTAGGCGTGGGACATAGTATGGGAGCCGGACAACTGTGAGCTCTTGGGATTTCCCAAATAACCCAGTCGGATGCCAACTCTTTCCTCTAGTGTTCTTCTATCCATGCTCCACCCCCGCCTCTTCACATCATTAACTCTGATAGAACCCGTCATCTCGCCTGATATCTTTACGGGTCAAGAGGCCCATCTTGACCATAATGTCGCTCAAGCGAAAGGATACTTGGAAATCCAAATCAGAATCATCCAAGCTGCACGCAAATCATACAAAAGATGGGACAAACGAGTCCTCGATCGCTGGATCAGTAACGGGTATCGCGAGTTGCCAGTTACTACGCGACGTGATTCAGACGATAGCCATCAAGCCGATCAACCCGTTACCTTGGCGAGCCCAAATTATCAAGAAGTCTTGCAATACCTGCGCTCAAACCCTCTGGATTACAAACCCGTGGGAACATACGAGGTCGACGAAACATCTTCAGGTCACCACGATCACCTCCTCTACTCGGACATCATCGGTCCTCCGCATGCAAACTCGCCATTTTATCAATACGAGCCAATTCTGGCCTGGAAGATGCTCAAGCATATTCGTCCCGCTGTCTTTAATCTCCACGGAGAGAGCAGTCCAATTGCCACCCCTGAAATGCGAGCCAATATGTTGAATCGGACTGGGACCGGGGTCGGTGGAAATGGCGGTGTCCGGGAGTCAAGGGTGCAGCAAATGGTTCTGAAAGGATCACATCAATTACCCCTCGAGCAGGTGGCAGAGACAACATCGGCTATTGGTCCTTGGGTCGGTCAGTCGGCGCAAAGTTGGAAAGAAGATGAGGTGCGTCTGGTTGAAGGGTGGGCGGAACAATCTATGAGGGACCGGCTTAAGGCCATGAATGATTGGGTACCTGTTCTACAAGGACTTTATAAGACTGAGTCACAGAAGCGAGACTCAAGGCCATGATCATGCTCTCGGTCCGGGTGATGCGGGCTCAAAAGTTAGACAAGGTAGCGATAGATCTATAGAATACACTCTTCATGGCCATCTCGATGCGAAAATGGGGAGCGTTCGGAGCAACATGAATCAATTTGAAGTAAAGCATCCCACTCCTCTACCGTTTCTGTAAACCCACGCACATGATCTATGGTGACAATTTTTTTTTTTTAAAAAAAAAACCCCCCGCCGGAATCGCGTAAAGAGTACTAGTATTCTTGTCTAGCTAAAAGCCTCCAGGGCTATGGTTTATTCTATTAAACGGCCGGCGTCTTGTTTGGGCTAGCGTGCACCGAGCATTTTTTGGGCTGTGCAGATTCCCCCAGTCAAGCGGACCTCGTATCGCATGGCAGTGCACGCTGAGCGTATGGACATGTGGGGAATCGGGGTCTAGACAGGGGGGGGCAGTGCCTGACGATCGCATAGGCGGCTCTGCAAAAACAGAACACTTGAAGCGTATGGCTATTCGTGACTCATAATTAAGCATTGTATAGCTCGGCTGTGCATTATTCACGTCATGTATATAACAAGGCCTTAATTTTAACTCAATTAGCCTTGGACTCTTCTTCTTCTTCAGCCTCTTCTATTCAAAGGCTGAATAGCCACTCACTAGCAGTGAACAAGATCCGTTTCTACAACAAACACCAATAACCTATACCATACAAAACCATCGACTGATAATATCGACCATGTCAGCTACTTCACCAGACACCAGTAATCCAGTTTACTTCTGGAAACCAGAAGGAGAAACAGGATTCTTGGGCCAGTGGTGGCCATCCTCATTTAAATGGGAAACCGACGGAGAAACATTCAACTACGCAAACGCTGAACAGTAATACTCCCTTTCTCTCTCACTCCCATACCCCTTGAATGGATATCCCTCAATTCTCCAACAAAAACATACTAACACCATAATTATAGATACATGATGCACCGCAAAGCCCTCCTCTTCGCCGGTCCCACCAACGAAATAACCCAACAAATCGGCGTCGGCTGGCAAACACACCCACGCGAAATCCGCAACCTGGGCCGTAAGATCCCGAATTTCTCAGACCAAATCTGGGAGGAGAATCGCTTTGCAATCGTGGTCGAAGGGAGTTTTCTGAAATTTTCGCAGAATGAGGAACTAAAGCAGATGCTGCTTGAGACGGGGAACAGGGAGTTGGTTGAGGCTAGTCCGATGGATCGGATTTGGGGGGTTGGTTTTGGGGCGAGGAATGCTGGCGCTAATCGGCATAAATGGGGGTTGAATCTTTTGGGGAAAGCGCTTATGGAGACTAGGGAGAGGTTGGTTAATGAGGGGAGGAATTTGGATTAGGATTAAGATGGACTTGGATTTGTGACATTGACATTGTGACATTGGCATTGAATGGGAAAGACACTGTACACATTCATTCGGCTGTACTTTAATTTTGATCAGTTGTCGTTGATCGTACAGGAACTCGCAGTTCAGGTGTAAGCAATGAATGAATGCTATGATGCGGCCTCTCCGAAGAATTTAACTAGCCCGGATCAACTTCTGGCATTCCATCATCCTAATAATGCTCTCCTACCTCCGCTTCTACTTCCATCGGCCGATGGACGTAGTTGAGAAACTCGTGCGACCGTTCCAGCATAACTCCCACATCCAGCATACTCAAAAAGTCAATTCCAATCCCGCCCTTCTCAACGACCTGTTCTGCAAAGATGCGCAATTGCAACACCATTGATGGATCCCCATAATATGCTTTGACATCGTCGGCAGTGATTTTGACCATGATGTTGCTCCAGGTGAGAAGCTTTGCGTACTCAAGACAAGAAGCGAGTTCGCTTTCGTTCCACCATTCCGGAACCGGATACAACACGGCCATTCGGATGAAAAGTTCGAGACTGGGGGTTCCATCACAGGAGATGTCGTCGTAGATCGTATTCGCGTGTCGGAGTTCCAGGAACTTGAAGTCGTCATCCATGCGCAAACGGAAAGCGTCGATTAGCAGTTTGTAGATGTCTTCCTTGGGTCGATCGTGTAACCATTTCTTTTCCTTGAGTTTCTGAAATGGGTCGGTGATTTTGACAGTAAGCGCCGGTCCTCCCTTGTCAAGAGCCTTCGCGGTATCAGGATTCGACGCTGCTGAAGTATGGTTAGGTGCCGATGAGGAGGAGGATTGAGGTTTGTTTGTTTCCTCTGTGGATTCAACACCGCTGGTCGGGGCAAGGCTGTCGACGACCGAAGCTGTTGCCGATGCCAATTTGGATTTGATGTTTTCAATCCGTTCTGCTCGGTCATGGGCGCTCTGGGCGCAACTCTTCTTGTATGACTTCCAGTCCGATTTCTGGCAGTCCCGCGAGCAGTAGGGGGTTATTTTGCATTTGCCGCATGACTTTAGTGGATTCACCTTGGTCTCAGGTTTTCTACAATTAGTGCAGATCTCGAGCAGCTGCAGAGGGTCCGGGTCAGCCATGATGTGAGCAGCACAACAGTGGGGAGAGACTCGGAGGAGTAAGACCAGAAAGAAGAGTTGAAAGCGATAATCAATTGGCAGAGTCTTGGTGTGTGAAGTGGAAACTGAAGATCGGAAAGTTCAGAAGAGAAAGGGAAAGGAGAGGAGACTGCAAGGTGAGTAAAGAGGTGAATAACCCTGGAGTGAATGGTGAACGGGTCAGAGATAGAGATGCAGGCGCGAATGAGTCAATTAGCTATAGCAATGTCCCTGGTTGATATTCACTTTCCAACACTGTAGAGTCGTGTAGTCAACGTATCCTTTTGATTTTCAATATATTGGTAAGTGAGGCATAATTAGTACTGCTAATAGCTAGATCTGGTCCTGTTGCGATGATGATGCTCGAGAAAGTGGCTCCTCCGGGGACAAGACTTCAAGTTCTTGTGTGGTCAGTTTGGAATATGGAGTTCAATCATTCATGCAATAATAGTGTCGAATTCAATTCTGCTGGTAACTGATTGGACTGTCAGGGCACCTTTTGACACATGCCATTGCCATATCAAACGCGTTAAGTGGCGTGGTTCAGCGGGGATTCAAGAATCAGCATGCATAGCATGTCCGAGACCAATTGGAACAGGAATTCCCATTCGGTGCAGACTTCGGGACTGGCCCACTGCGAACCTTGGAAAGTAGCAGCCGTAGAGTCCATCATTCAAGTTCAAGTTCAGGCCAAGATGTATCGAGCTCCAGCTGTGATTGTCTGTCCTCACAGGGTTGTTTACTTCGGCTCACCGCCCGCTGGTTCTTGGCATGTCAACTTGGCTGCACAGCTGGTGTCCATTGTTGGAACTAGAAATAGAATCTAAATACCTAGGTATTTTGACAATTTGAACTTGAAGTATTTGATTTACTAGTGCTAGTATCTTTTGGAATACTCCCGAGGTCAGGGGCACATGGGCGTCAAAGTTCAACTGCAGGTTGGCCCCCGGAATTCTTGAAATAAGGTTACTACCTACTAGTACTCCCGAGGTCCAGCCCTGGATATATATCCGTCCGACTGCCCACCCCAACCTCCCAGTCATGGTTGTTTGAACTTGAACTCCAGGGCTTCAAGTTCAAGTTAACTCGGACTCGGCGCTAAACTAAAATACAAATAGTAGTACTATAAATTATAATCCTACAAGTAGTGGATCAGAACAAAAGGTGAAATGAAGATGTTCTATAGTTAATATTCATATCGTACAACTCCCAGATGTATTATTTTGTGCAGGTGGGGTATTCTTTTGCCAGCCAGGTGCGAAACATTGTCCAAAAGACACAAGAAAAAGGAAGCCACAATAAACGCCACATATGGTACAGATTTTATACAGATAAATGCATGATATTCTCAAATCAAGGCCTGTCCACGGAACATGCCCTCGCGAACCTCGCGAACAACATCCTTGCGATCCTTCTTGCCAACCAGAACCACACCGCGACCACGCTTACCCATACGACCAAGACGACCCAGGCGATGAATAAAGTCCACCGTCGTGTGGGGCACATGGAAAAGAATCACAGTCTTCACGGCCAGAGTATCGATACCGCGGGAGGCAATATCAGTAGTGACCAGAACCTTGGTGTTGGGAAGACGGCGCTCAATCTCGGTCTTCTTCTCGGGGGCCGCGAAGGGGATAGCTGCCTCGGCATGGGCTTGTTTCTTCGCCAGCGAGACCTCGTCGGCGGTTGGGGGTTGTTCGACTTCGGTGAATTCGGCGAGGATCTCGGCTTGTTTGCGGGAACTGGAATCTCGGGATAAGGAGACGGCGTCGATGCCCTTGGATGCGAGGAACTCGGCCACTTCGTCGGCTTCTTCTCTTTCGTTGACGAAGACGAGGATCTTCTTGATGTGGGGGCCCATGAATTGGGCCAGAGGACCGTGGTCCTCACCATCGGCACTTTCGCCGGCCTTGCCGATCGACCAGATCACGTCGGCGCAGGCGAGTTGACGGTTTCCACGGTAGGGTTCCTTCTCGATGTCTACCACGCCGAGCTGCACGCGACGGGGGATGGCGTGCAGATTCGGGGTTGTCAGTCTCTTGACGTCGGGGTAGCGTTTGCGAAGTTGGTTGTCTAGGCTGCGGGGGATGGTGGCGGAGCAGAAGATGAGTTTCTTTAGCGACGGGGCGACCTTGTCGATGACTTCGGTGGTGGTTGGGATGAAGGATCGGTCCATGAGGGAATCAGCCTCGTCCAGAACGAGATGGCTCACGCGACTGAGGATATAGGGGTTGGTCCTGGCGATGGAGGCGAGAAGATGGGGAGTTGAGACGAGAACGTCGATGCCATCGGGATGGAAGAGGGTGCTCTTGATACGACGCGGCGTGAAAGTGGAAGAGATCATTCCTGCACGGAACTTGACCGTGTGCGCAAAGTCCTTGAGTTTGACTCCCACCTGGGTCACCAACTCGGATGTGGGGACGAGTATGATGGCTCTAGGCCGGCCGCAATCCGTCATGGGGGGGTTCCTCGGGCTCAAGCTCATATGTTCGGTTCTTCAGCCTCTCCTCGCGCTCCTTGGCCTTTTCCTCCGCCAGTATCTTCTCTTCCTCCAAGTCTCGGGCTTCTGCGCGCTTGATGGCATCCAGAACTGGGAGGAGGTACGCCAATGTCTTGCCTGAACCGGTTTCGGCGGCGAGAAGAAATTGTTCGTACTGGGGGTCATCGGGACCGAGCTGCTTCTGCTGATGTTTCGGGATCGCAGCGAGGAGTTGGGGAATGGCCACTCGTTGAATCGGAGTTGGGCTCACATCGGCGAGACCAGGCAGACCCTGAGAGAAGATGGAGTGTCGGACCACAGGGAGAAGAGGGAAATGATCGAAGCTGGTGAGATTGGAGATTTTGGATTTGATGGCCGTACGACGACCATAGGTGACGGGGGCTAGGGTAGTCTGCATTTTCAAGGCTTTATAGAGTGGCGCTTCCTTCCTTTTCTCATCCTTACCCTCCGTTTTCGAACGCTTGAGGGAGGCTTGGGAACGAGGACGAGGGTCATCCCTAATACGAGCTTCTGTTTGATTCATTGCATTAAAGGGGCCAGCGCGACCACGCCCCGAGCGAGGTTTGTTAATAGAAGATCTGGCGACATTTGGCGAAAGACTCATGCGACTAGGTTTGCGCTCCGAACGCGCGGAGGCCATGGATCGTGTGGCCTGCCATGATGGGAGGAGGGTAGATGCTGGAGGGAGGACAGTCCTTGTTTGACACAAGAAACATATGGAAGACCGAATGGGCAACGGCATGGTGGCGGAATGAATTGGTCGATATGATATCCAGGATATCAATGATCAATGATATCGGCAGAGAGGAAGGAATTCCAGAAGAAAACCAGATTTCCCAGACGGAGACCACGCTAGTCCTGGTTGGGTTAGTGCCGATCCTGATAGAGTGGGCCACAAAAGGAAGGCGGTGTGGCAGGATCAGCTGAGATACTGCTGAAGTGCTGAAGTAATCCGCTTAGGTCAGCAAGCACTGTAAGTTGCCCTGGCGACACCCGCGAACCACCAACAATCAACGTCAACAGGCTGAAGCAAAGCAACAACTGGTTTGGGGTAACCATGACCTTGCTAAACACTACGAGTATTGATTAAGTGACAAGCCCACTTCCATCCCGATCTCTTGTTAAGATCCGATATTGTTCTTGTTTCCCCTCTTCTCGTCTCTCCTCTCCTCCCCTCCCCCCCTCTATCCTCCCCTCTATCATCCCTTCGTTCATCCCTTCTCTTCCTTTCTTCCCTTATTCTTTCTTTCTCCTCCAACTTCTGGTGGCCCTTGTTTGCTGGCTGTTTGTTGGTAGACCACAGCACATTCCTCTAACGATCGACACGACTTATTACTTTCTTGTGCCAGGTCTCGCTGTTTTTCCACGCGACTCCTGGTATTCTGTCGCAAAAGGTACGTTGGCCGGTTCTTCTCTCGCGCGCGCGCAACTCAGCATCCACCGCTCTCGAGATCCACTGTCGAGGTCTATCAGAACTGGACTTGGGCTTGGGCTTGGACTTGGACTTGGACTTGGACTTGGACTTGGCCTTCAAGGAATGAACTGTGGCTGATATATCTCGCAGACTTCGGATCTTCTGCCCTTTATTGTTGATCATACCACCCAAACCATCCCCGGGACATCCATTTCATCACTCAAGATGAGTGGCGGATTGGGCCAACGGCCACTCTCAGAAGTGAGTCCCATGGCGCAACGGCGTAACTCGCCCATTTGGAACCAATCCGGCAAGGTAAATGCGCCTTCAAGCCAGCCGCAGGGGCATGCAACAGCAAGCTGATAATATTGGATAGATCACGACCGGCGACTCGACATATGATGTCTCACCTCTCAACAACAATGCTTCCCCGCGTCTCTTCTGGAAAGGTCGCGAATCCCCTTCTCCAACCAAGGGTGTCGAGAATCACGCCCCGTACGATCCTGAGAGTTGCGTCCTCCCCGCCCGGAGAGCATCCCTCGAGAACCTGAAGCGCGCATCTCGCGTCAAGAACCACGCCATGTTGCGCGATGGCCAGGAATATGACCCTGCTCACGTATCAGTTCCTCAAAGACCCCTTGCCGCCGACCGGTCGCCAAACCGAGAGAGCCAGATGAACCTCGCCAAATCTCAGTTTGTGGATGATGAAGACCTTGGTGATCTCGGCGACCAAGTACCCAGACCGCACTCCCCAGCAAAGAACAACCATCACCAGGAAAGTCGTCTCTCTTCCAAGGGCAGCCGGTATGGCAAGGGCTTTGACCCCCAACACGACATTTGGTCGGAATATGATAGCGCTGGTCACCGACATGCTAAGAGCGTAACATTTGACGTTTCGCCGCCCCAAATTAACGAATACGAAATGCGCACTCCCGACCTATCCTCAGTTGCGTCCGAATCGCGTGAGCCCAGCTACGACTCCGAGGAGGACGATGATGTGAGCAGCTTTGAGCACGACTCCTTCATGGACCGTGATGACAGCTTCGATGCATCCCTAGAAGATATCGAGAAGACTCCCGTTGTCTTGCCAGAGGATTGGCGTTTCATGAGCCCCGACAGCAACAACGGAGAGGAAGACTCATTCGTGGAGCACACGGAAGATCAGAACGACAGTCGTCCCACCTCCCGGGACGAGGTGGGCAGCCAACACTCGCGCGTCGAGTCACTCGACTCGAATGGCGAACGCCGGCCCTTACCACCACTGCCATCTGTGAACCGGTTATCTGGCTCTCGACCTTCGTCACCTGAAAAACTCGCGGCCGCCTTCGAATTGGGTAGTGGTGGCCAGCGGGTATTGCCTTCAGCGCCGGCGGCAGCTTCGTATACCAAATCTGATATCAACGGCGGCATGTCTTTGGAGGAGCGACTGCGTCTCATGATGTTGAATGATAAAAAGAAGAATGAGGAGCTGAACGGTGACCAGGAGGATGTGGATTCATCGTCCAAGCCCGCGCTGAATAATGAATCTTTGGACACGACCACTAGCGAGCCATCCAAAGACGATGTTTTTCTCTCCTCCACGCATCTCGCGCGACTCTATCCTGCGCGATATCCGAAAGGGTGACAGCTTTGAAGAGGATGTATATGAGGACGAGGATTCTCACGTTTCCGAAGATGCTCATCATTTCGACAAATATGACCCCGACGTGCCTATTCCTTCTCTCGAAACCGAGTATGACGACGATGACTCTTCCAGTGTGATCATCAAGGAAGAAGCCACCGATGATGACCTTTATGCCATTCCCGACTACTATCAAAACTCTTCTGACCACAGCTTATCATCGCGCGACCAACGAGCCACCTATGATCAAGATAGCAACTACTCCCTGCGCTCTGCCGCCGAAGCCGCTCAGGCTGCTGCGTTTGATGATGAGGATCGAGCCTCAAGACAAACAACTCCGACGGGAGGAGAAGATGTCCAGGCTCCCGCTAACCCCCTCTCGAAGGGAATGGATGATTCTGCTGCCCCCAGGGAGTCGCAGGCCTTGGACATGGCCTCCATCCGTCAATCCTTGAATCGGCCCGTCACTCCTGAGATCAAGGAGGAAGAGCTCTCCGAACCGTCTACACCCGACTCTGTGATCCGTCACCCCATTCAAGACGAGGAGGATGAGGATGCGGAATTCTCACAGGATGAGGAAGAAGAAGATCAAGAATTCAGTTCGTCTGATGAATCGGTCCCAGAGCCTATTGCCACGATCAAGGCTCCCGGCCAAGGACTGAAAACTCGCCCGTCGCTCACCCCAGCCGATGTCGATGCTATGGCCGCAACACGTCGCAAAATCAGTGGCCAACACGCTCCTCCCGTTCTAGACATGCCGAAACAGACTCCTCAGGAACCCGAGACGTCTGACACTGAAGATTTGGACAAAGCAACGGACCTTCCTCCTCAGCTCACCCTCCCCACTTTGACTCAGCGTCAGTCTAGCTTGATGCAACTGGACATCCCGTTCAGCATTCAGGAGGAGAGTCTCGGCTCCGGTCTGAACAAGGAATTTGACCGTGTCATTGAGTCCCAAAAGGTTGCGTTTGCCCTCGCCATTTTCCAGCTTGAATCCAGCCCAACGCCAGCCCCCAAGGAAGAACCCTCACTGGCTCCCCTATCCCCAGGACTTTCAAGTTTCATCAAGTTTACACCGCATGCTAACACATCCCGTCCACAGAGAGGCTACCTCATGCGACAAAACACCAAGGTTGTCATTGCTAACAATCGCAACGATGACGAGCCCTCGACTCCCGTCGATCGGACTAGCAATGACCCCCGAGGCACCCGTTCTGCCGGATCTTCCCCTCGCAAGGCTAGCCAGCAGACCTGGACCACAGTCCCTTGGAATGGCTCCACACGCCGTCCAAGTATCAAGATGGCTGGCGCGATTCCTAAAAAGAAGCCGGTCCCAGGAGTAGGAGCTGTACCTCCCCTTCCTGGTCAATCAAGTAACGTGCAGCAACCTTCTGCGACCATTGAGGAGAACGAACCGGTCTTAAATGAGGCCTTTGAGGATGGCGAGGAACGTGGCCGTCTGTTTGTCAAGGTCGTTGGTCTTAAGTATTTGGATCTACCTATGCCTCGTGGTACGACAACAACCCCAGCCCCCCCCTAAATTCAATAATCACACTGACATTTCCTAGGCGAACGATCATACTTTGCCCTTACTCTAGACAACGGTCTCCACTGTGTGACCACATCTTGGCTTGAGCTCGGAAAGACTGCCCCAATCGGCCAGGAGTTCGAGTTGATTGTGCAGAACGATCTTGAGTTCCAGCTCACTCTCCAGATGAAGGTCGACGAAGCCAAACTCTACCCTCAGGAGTCTGCGAGTTCCCCCAATCGTCAGAAGGCTTCGGCTCTCAGCCGAGTCTTCGCCTCTCCCGTCGTCGCAAGGAGCTTGACCTGAAGCAGCAAATGCAGTCTCAGCAACAAAAAGCTAATGATGTCAACGCTCCAGTCTATGACCGCCTGCGCAATCTCGTCGCCCGTGATGGAAGCTTCGGCCGCGCTTACGTGGCTTTGAGTGACCATGAGAAGATGGCTTTTGGTCGCCCTTATACAGTTGACATTGCCTGCTTCAATGAATGGGCTGTTGACGAGCACCCGAGCAGCGTGAAGAGTAAGAAGAGCGCAACCAGTATGACTGCCCAACGTCGACCACCTTATAAGATTGGCAAACTAGAACTTCAGCTACTCTTCGTCCCAAAGCCCAAGGGCGGCAAGGATGATGACATGCCGAAGAGCATGAACGCCTGCATTCGGGAAATGCGGGATGCTGAGAGTGTTACTGCGCGAAGCTTTGAGGGATTCCTCTCCCAGCAGGGTGGTGATTGTCCTGTAAGTGCTTGAAAAACTTCCAATTCATGAAATACTTTCTAACTATATCTTAGTTCTGGCGCCGTCGTTTCTTCAAGCTCGAAGGCTCGAAGCTGACAGCCTACCACGAAACCACTCGCCAACCTCGCGCGACAATCAATCTCGCGAAGGCAGCCAAGTTGATCGATGACCGATCTTCTTTAGTTCAGAAGGAGACTAGCACAAGGGGAGGCGGCCGTCGCAAGTCTGCATTTGCAGAGGAAGAAGATGGGTATATGTTCGTGGAAGAAGGCTTCCGAATTCGCTTTGGAAACGGCGAAGTTATCGACTTCTACGCGGACAGCGCGGTTGATAAGGACGGCTGGCTCCGAGTCATGTCAGAAGCTGTAGGCAAGGGAGCCACTTCCGGCAACGGTGCCATGAAGCCATGGGCCGATCTTGTGCTCCGACGCGAGCGCAGCATGAAGTCACGCCGCCTGACCACCGATCGTCTCCCTCCACCCAGCAGTATTCCGGTTGCCCCATCATCTCCTGTTGGCAAGCGACAAAGTGTTGCGATGGGACCTCCAGCTTCAGCAGGAACGGGGGCGCAGGCGCCCCAATCCCCGCGCCCGCGACCATCGGGACACAAGCACACTTACTCTCAACCTGATATCGGTACGGACGCCCGTCGCCAGAAGACCCGATCCCTCATGTTTTGAGTATTCTCATGACACGACCGCACTGAACAAAAGCTCTAACTTCTTCCTTCGATTCTTCTGTCTATGATGCCAAGTTGTCACAATAGCTTCTTTTTTTCTAACTTTATCCTCTTGTGGATTGTCGCTCGATACACCCTTTTATCTCTCCGTCTCTCTTGGAGACAGAACCTTCTTCCTACTCTGTTTCTTTTATCTTCTCATTGCCTTCCTTTACTTTGCTTTACTGGAGTCGGTGTACGATTTGAAATCTCTTTCCTTTGTCATTCTTGCGATTTGCTCTTTTTTTTTCTCGGGCGTGCAATGCAAAGCGGGCAATATGACAATGCTATGACCCTTGACGGCAGGACACCTCCAGATGATTTCCTTTGAGATCCTGTTGTACGTTAATGAGACATACACCCCTTGGTTTTTCTCTTCATGAGTTGATAGTTTACAATTCAATTTTTTCTTGTTTCACTGCCAGGGGGGGCTATCTACTAGTAGAATTTGAACCAGTTCTGCTTTGCTTTGATTTAACAATCAAGCTCTATTTTTACCAATGGAATACCTTTGTCCGTCTCCTTCGTCCGGTTTCAAGTACTTCTCCGGCTCTCGCCCCATAACACGTTCCCGGATGGTATCATCGTTCCAACTCCGGTAATCGAACTCCTATTCAAACATTTAATAATTATTAATCTGTCCGCGTCTCCTCTTAGGCGTCACATGCTGCACTCGTCATCTGGCATTCTTTCATCTACGAGTGGTGCATTTATCAGCATTTCTCCATGTGAGACGAGGATTGCGTGCTGCTCTGACAAATGAAAGTATTGCACCCCGCAAAAGAACCCAAGTATAAAAGATTATAATATCCCCGTTTTTATTCTCCATCATCCATCAAAACCGTTCTCGCAGTCAGTACATTAAGAAAACAATAACTACTCAACCGCATTATCAGCATGGCCTCGGCAGCAGTCCAAGTCTCAGCAGGCCACGGTCCCGGTCTGACAGAGAAGCCAACAGTCCCGGTCTCAGAAAAGCCACACCATGTCCAGACGGCTTTGAACTTCTTCAAGGCAAATGAAGACGGATCCCCTCCAGCCCCGTCCTACGTGGGTAAGCCTGAGACATATGATAGGGCGTCTGAGCCACTCGCTGTTACTGTCCATGATATTAGTGGTCACGAGCTGGACTATACTCTAGATGGCCAGGGATTCCAGCTTTACTATCATGAGAGCGCGGAGAAGGAGTTCGTCGATGATGAAAAGATCAAGCGAGAATATTACCCCGAAACGGAGCAGTTGTTGAAAGATGCGTATGTGTTTCCATTCTTCTTCCCATCAATGCATGGATATCTCCATCCTTGATACTATGCTTCCGACGCATTCCACAAAAAAAAAAAAAAAAAAAGAAACATTATTCTAATCTTCAAATCACCTCCACAGCACCGGCGGCTCCCGAGTCTTCATATTCGACCACACAATCCGCCGCGCAGGCGGAAATCAACTCCGCGGTCCAGTCCAACGCGTCCACATCGACCAATCCTACTCCGCATCGAAAGGCCGCGTCTCGCACCATCTCCCCGACGAAGCAGAAGAGCTCCTAAAAGGACGGTATCAAATTATAAACGTCTGGCGACCGATTAAAACGATCCTGAAGGATCCACTCGCCGTGGCGGATGCGCATTCCGTCCCTGATGATAACCTGGTACCTATTGGATTAATCTACCCGGATCGTCGGGGCGAGACGTATTCCGTTAGACCGGATCCTAATATCAAGTGGTATTATCGTTACGGACAGACGCCGGATTTGGTTACGCTGATTAAGTGCTTTGATTCGAAGGTTGATGGGCGTGCGAGGCGGGTTCCGCATACTGCTTTTGTAAATCCCGAGACGGAGAATGAGGTCGGGAGGGAGAGTATTGAGGTTAGGGCTTTGGTTTTTCATCCGGAGGATCGGGAGTAGGTCCTAAGCCTCGGATATTATATTGTTTCTGGCGTGGGAGTGGGAACGAACTAGTATGGGTTACTACTACTAGTAGTTCAGTTCCACCGGAGGCTACGAGTGACGACGATTTTACTGGATATTTAATGGCTTCAAATTGACAAATTGATATAACAAAAGAGATATCTGAGTTTTTCCTAATGACCACGTCTATTTTCCGGACGCAACTTCCTTGATCTCCTTAATAATATTCTCAGGGGACATGCCCTGGTAATTGATCTGCTCGAACAATCCACCACAGCCATCCTTCACCGCACCGATTGCCCTGAACTTGGGCTTGTAGCCATGCTGTAACAGAGTTGTGCCAAGACGAGACCCAAGACCAGTCTTCTGAGAAATGGACTCGACAACAATGACGAACGGAGACTCGCCATATCTCTTCAATGTCTCCTTATCAACAACGTTGAGCGTAGGCTTGTTGATCAAACCAACATTCAGACCCTCCTTGCGAAGGTTCTCGACAGCGTCGAGTGATCGGTACAACATGTCACCATAGGAGACGACGTAACCAGCGGTACCGGTGCGAATGACTTCTTCCTTTCCAGGAACAAATTCATAGCCATCTCCATACAGCTTCTCATCAACGCCATCCTTGAGAATGTAAGGAACCTTGGAGCGGGTGGAGAAGATGAACCGCATGCCTCTGTCCCAGAAGACCTTGTTCACGACAGCCTTCATCTGCTCGCCATCTGCAGGGAAGTATAGAGAGCAAGCATCGGACTCGATCAGACCATTATCGGCGAAGAAGTGGTTGAGACCGAAGTGGCAGGTGTTATCGGCCATCTCGTCGACACCACTGTGTGAGAAATGCGACAACACAGTACAGTGGTTCAGACGTGCCATGGTGATTTCGGAAATACACATCTCCAAGAAAGCCGAGAATGTAGAGAAGACACCCTGGCGCTCACCATTGCTACCAAAGCCGAATCCAGCGGCGGCGGAGAAATTTCCTCGCTCCATCACACCCGATGCAACGAAGGATTCGGGGTGCTCGGCGCCAATGGCCTTCAATCCAGTAGAGCCGGCCAAATCGGAGTCGATCACCATCACGCGACGGGCAGCTTCCTCCTTGCTCAGACCATCGAGGATACCGTTGACGGCTTCACCAAAAATGTTCCGGTTGGAACCCTTGTCCTTGCTGGAACCGATGTAAGTGTGCGGGTTTGATCGGCCCTTAATCTCATCGTAGAAGGCGAGCTGTTCCTTGCTGTAGCCGCGCTTGGTAAGATACTTGCGGGCGACGTCGACGGTAATGACATCGTGTGCGTGGGTCTCGCCTTCAATTCCCTCGATGCCAGCGGCCATGGTCCGATCCACGACAACAGCGGCAGGGCCATTGTAGTTGATCACTTCGCACATTGCCTTGTATAGGGAATCCACGTCTTCTCCCTTGGCACGCACGACGTGGAGACCGTGGCCTTTCAGGGTATTCGCGACATCATAGCCTTTCAGGTACTGGGAAGGGTGGCCGGCGATAGTAACATCGTTGTTGTCAACGAAGACCTTGACCTTCAGGTTCCGAGCAACTGCAATTCGTGCAGCTTCGGCGTCATTACCTTCCTGCTGGGACCCATCAGAGCCGAGCAGGATCACGTTCTTATCTTGGTTGGCCATTGCCACACCGTTCACCATTCCCCACATGTGTCCGAGTCGACCGGAGCTGAACTTGATCCCGGGCGTGAGACCAAGCTCAGGGTGGCCGGGAAGTTTTGAATTGGCATCGCGGTAGTTGAGGAGGTGTTCGGGCTTCAGGTGGCCTTCGAGTGTTGCGAGAAGGTACTGAGTTGCGACTCTGTGACCGGCTTCGTCGAAAAATGTATCGAGGAAGCTGTTTTTGTTATTTTGGATCAGAGCGAGTAGGATACAGACTTCTGGCGCTGTGTCGAAGGGGCCTCCGGTGTGACCTGCTACACCTCGAGCGGCACCGGTCGCAGTGAAAGCGATGATTGCGTCTCTGAAGATGTTGATGTTGTTTAGAAGGTCTTTCTTCTGTTCGGCGGTGAGGGTCGCATTGCTGGGATCCAGCGCGAGATTCTTTTTGAATTGACTGAGATCAACGGGGAACTTGAAGCCGCTCATCTTGGATAATGTTTCGGGTTATAGGGGGAAGATTGGAACGGTAGTCTTTCAGAGCAAGTCTCCTTTTTTAAATAAGTCTCCCACGAGCGGATTCGACAACAGAAATTGTAAAACCGGATCGAATAATGCAAACGGAGGGGTATTGACGTCATGTTCAGTCAGTGGGGTTGACCGGTCTTCTTCTCAATTCGAAAAAGCTGTTAGATCATGAAATATGACATAAGAGTGAAGAGGTTTACTGATTTAATCCAGGTACTACCTGTTCCCAATTTTAGTTGAACCTAGACGGGGTATGGCGTATATCTATATCCGGACCTGCCATTTTTTAAGGAGCTCTACTAGAATTTGAGCAAACTGTCAGTGGGGCATTGAGGCTGTTAAGTGGGACGCGATCGTCTGCAATATTTGAGGTGTCGACTGGCACACGCCTGGGAGCCTTCTTTGGAGGACAGCTTTTTTTTTCCAGCCATCGAAGCAACGGTTTTTCCCATTGCACCTGTTTTTGAAGCTAGGGCGAGCTTGTAATGACAAGAGCTTTCCATTGCGGTACATCAAGTACTCCGTGTTACAAGATCAAAGTCTATCCCGTTCGTGGCACTGATGGCTTTTTCCCGTCCTGAGTGAGGCCCCCGTACGACCAGTTAGGGAAAGTTCGGATTCCATCTTTGAGTTGTGTGTGTGATTCTATTACTAGTAGTATTATCATACTATTATTACTGCCGAATTGGAGCATCCATCATATGTACTAGTACGGTTTCCAAAGAAGGTCCACTTAACAGAATACACCAAGAATTTTCTAGAGCCTAAATTCCAAGGTTATATACACTTAAATGCACGCGCAATCCAACATACAACCCCCATAAGAGAAGTGAGTCCTGTACATACAATGATCAGTCCGAATCCACTACCATATGCTCCCCGCGCATGTCCTTGCCAGTTATCTACATTGAGTAGCATTTCGCTGAATGGACCGCTGACAACATTCCCAATTCCTCGACCGAATGCGATCGCCGAGAATATAATAGTCGCGTCAGCAGATTTGTCCACTTTTTGAACCTCGCGAATAATCGCCGACCATATCGCCGAGAAACTACCCGCGAAAATTCCGTATGCGACACAAAATACTAGTAGAAGCGGAATCTGGGAAGAGAATCCCCAGAGCAGAAAAACAGAAAGCACAGTCCCAATAGTAGATATGGAGACACAGGTCAGTGCGTTGCAGCGATCCGACAAAAATCCCATCGAGATGCTGCCAAATATCGATGCCAAGTTCAAAGTCGTGACGGTGAGCGAGGAGAGGAAGTCCGAGAATCCGATATATCGTGCGAATGATGGAAGATAGATACCGGGCAGGAAAAACCCGAGCGCCTCGAAGATGTTGACCACCTGGTAAATGACAAACACCCGGTTGGATAAAAATCGTGTAGTCAGCCGACGATGGGCTACTCCTTTTTGAATTGGAAGCCGGGGCTTGTGAAAGTATAGAAACGGGAGTGGTAGGACGAAGAGTACTCCTGCTAAAATTCTCAACGTTGTGCGAAATCCGAACTGTCCCAGGAGACGCTCTAGAACAATTGGAAAGAGTATTCCGGACAGCCCCGATCCAGCCCATACGATCCCGAAAGCGAGTCCTCGCTTCTTGTCGAACCATTCAGGCATGAACAAAATCGATGGGCTGTAAGCTATACAGCCACCGATGCCGAATCCAATACCCTGAGAAAGAACGAGATGCGTAACATTTGATGAAAAAGATGCCATGGCCAACGAGAAACACATTATCACCAGTCCTATTGTCGAGAACCATCGAGCCAGACGAGGAAGAAGTATCATGCAAACAATTGCACACGGGCAACATAAATACGCTGCTCCCTGTTAAAATGTCAGTATCGGGATATGCTAAATCATAATGTTCAAGGCCTTACAGTTGCACACGTGCCGATGGCGGCCACCATGGCCGAGTCTTCAAATAGTTCATTATCACGATAATAGCTTTGGAATACCCCAAAAGCAAATGCGAAGCCTACTTTCATTAGCTCATTAATTCCATTCCTGCCGTGAAAATGATGGACGAACCCCATGTCAGAGCTTCTATCATCGTTGAAGCCGCTAAAAACATCCATGCATGAAACCCGCCATCCATCGGGGGCAGCCCATTCTCCTCCCCAAGTTCTTTTGTTTCACTTTCGTGGCATAGCGCAATTTCCTGTTCCTCGTGCGTATCGGAACTCGTAGATAAAGATTTTGAGTGGTCCATTAGGTCGAGTGTGTCGTAGGCTTTCAGTATGTTCTAAAAGCCTGAGCCTACCGGAAAAAGCTTCAGCTTTCTTTATGAAATAAAAAGCAGTCAGTACATTGCTTAGGTCACATTGTGTAATGCTCCGGGGTATTTCTGTTCTAGGAAGGGATGAAAAGCCTAAGTATCTATCAAGTGACGGAAGGAATTTAAGAAGTGATGCGGGAAGCCAATTGGTTCTTCTGTATTTCGGAAGATACGAACCGATGGCCAAGGATCCGGGGTTTGCATTTAGATCTGCTTAATATGGGGACGTGCGTATCATGCAATTGGACCGGGAATTTGATCATCGTGATACAATGTATAGTGTGATGGGGAGTGCTACGTGGAGTTTGCACGAAGTGGGTATACAGACTGGGTAGTTAATCGGTTTTTCTAGCAAGGAGAATAATTTCAAGACAAGATTTGACGTGCTAATCGTGGGGCATAGGATCATCGAAAGGGGTGATCGTCGACCCAGCGCGTAAGGTCGGCTATCGACGGGGATTGCAAGGGTTGGAATGTAGGGCGTAGTCATGGCAAATTTCTCTTCTTGAACTTCTGGGCTTTCATCGTTCATGGAATACATTGTGACATCATATGCTAGCTGCTTTTAATGGAAACAAGGAGTGCATCCGATATCCTTGTTCAAAACTTTATCTGAATCACAGGGCTGGCCATGTAAAGCCACGAGATCTAGCAAGCTCTGGAGAAGGTCAGATTGGCCCAGTCGTTTCTTCATGTGATGTATTGCCTTTGTTTTAACATTTTTGGTAGCTTTCAAGAACACGTAAAGGGCTTTCCAACGGAGCCATACTGGAACTTGGTGATCTAAACCACGATTTAGCCACGAACACGCGTCGTATGGGAAATGTGAACTTACAAGTTCAGCGATGCTGGCATACGTGCCACACCCAAAAATAATCATCCCCACAATAAAGACAACAGCATTGAATATCGCAGGTTTGAGATTCTTCTTTTCGTACCATGCGCCCTCTCTCAAGAGCAAATACCACATGACGGGTGGAAGGTAGAAAGATAATCCAGAAACAAAAAGTGCCGATATGATGGAAAGAAGCTCCGAGAAGATTGGAATGGCCTCAGCAATAACCCAAGCAAGAAGAGTGACGATAAACACCAGGCCCAGCCATGATGCCCAACCTTTCTTCGAGTTGATATACCGAATCATCGAGTCCCTGTAGAATTTCCCATGGATGTACCGGCAGACCACCGTGGTGTTAATAGACCCAGAGATGAAAATGACGGGTAGTGCAATCCCAAAGACTACTCTTGACATAAGTGGTCCCGCCGATAGCAGAGCTGGTGATTGTACTCCCTGGCCCACAAAGGCATAAATGATGGATCCAGTGAGACTATAGACGACGATCTGAATGCCTCCCATCCACCACAGAGTCTTTATATAGTCTTCTGGTGTGTGCATCTCATCCATAAACGAGGGTAGACAACCAGCGAAGGAATACGCGAACACAATATTGTTTGTCGCAACGATGGCCCCTGAAAACGTGAGACCGGCCTTAGGCCATGCTGACCACGGAATAATGTCTGGGTCAGGGATAGTGGAGCCACTTGAGTATCGAATCCCAGTCGCTATCATAGTAGCCCCGATGGCTATAATGATCGAGGCAAAATCGATATATCCCAGTATTGCAATCTCAGCAAAGAAGGGGGGAACCGCGAGAAACAACAAAATAGCTGCCGATGAGATACTGAACACTAAGGCGCAGACATTGCTCTCAGTGATAGTTTGGAATGCAATGGCACCGGTCAAACAGTGGGACCCAATGACGAAGATGAGTAATGTTACGAAGCATCCAATGAATATCTTGGACCCCCATTTGCCAAACAACAACTGCCCGACGTCGGCATAGTGACCAACTTGTGGATATTTCAACTTAGTTTGTCCAATGTTGTATCCCGCATAAATTGCGATGAAACCGAGCGCCACAGTCAAGATTAAGCCTGCGACCATCCCAAGAGACGCAAAAGCAGAGGGGAGGCCTAAGCTTCCAAGAGCTATAGCCTCTACGATAGAAAGCACCGTTAGGCGTTTCCATCCGAGCCGATTGAATCGAGCATCTCCTTCTAATATCCGCTGCCTTTCTGGGTCGATGAATTCTTGGTCCTTAAGGACGGCGTCGGTCGCCATGGTGCGAAACAGGAAGGGTCTCGTCAACGATTGAGTTGTTGAGCTGATTGTTCTTGTGGCGGCCTTGTAGATGGGGGTTTTGATCGGTCAAGAACCACGGGAATGTGCGAACCAGTATTTCTTCAAGATAAAAAGGACAATTCCGTTTTTAAATTTTTAAAACGATCAGATATGATTGATAAAAAGAACCGGGAAGCGAAAATCGGAAGTAACCGCAGAGTGGGGTTTCGCTGACCCCAAAAGTGGAAATGAGGTCCGGGGTACTTTCGGAGGTTACTTGGCCAATGTGTTACATTCACTTGTCTGTAAGCGATGCAAGCGGGGCTATCATATCTCGCTCCATAGCTTAGGGTGGTCTGGTCTTTGGGCTCGTCAAAACTTCTAGGGTCTTGAGGTTGGCTTCCAAACAATTTTGTTCAATGACATGCTTCAAATATCACTCTTTCATAGACATGGCTACACTTGAGGCGTGAGATATCAAGCGATGAAAGTATGGCAACGAGATAATCTGCTGCTCATCCCTCAGGCCAATCGAAGTAATGGCTAGGTTAAGCACCGCTAGCATGGCACCTCCTTGTAGGGCCATGGAAAGCCAATGGCGAAAGCCAACGCTCCACAAATTGAAAATCTTCAGGTGAGTTCATTTGGCTGGATCCAATAAGCCTCGGTTGCCAAGCACTTGGCACTCATCTCCGAGACAAACACGAGTCCATTTTCCGTAAAATTTACGTGAAGAGGAAGTCTCGGCGGCGAAGGGCCATTGGGAGTGGTGAGTGGCCTGACCTTGCCAGTAGTAAATTTCATATTTTGCGTGCAGAATCTCATCTTTAACTTCAGCGCATATCTATGACTTATCTTGCGTCCACTTGAAAATATGCTCGTCTCTGTCTCCACAGCAAATGCGCTGGAACATACAAAACTTTAGTCTCGAGTCAAATTTCCTCCCAACCTCGCTTCTATGGTAAGCATGCAACCTTGGAATAATGCCATCTAAGCTTCGAAATATCACTCTTAGGTCGCTTGTCTCTACATATTTCGAAGGACTGGGAAGTTTGAGTCTCAACTAATTTGCGCATATAGCGGTCAACGGGCCAAGAGTCCCATTGTTCCCTACCAGGCTGCTTATTTTCACAGACCGCGAAAAAAGAGGTGGTATTTCAGGAGGAAATATATTTTTTCATGGCGATTTCTTCTCATTGAAAATTATGCTGGGGCTTCCCGGAGCTAATCTGACAGGCGATCGACTGTTTCAGTTCCTGATTTCATAGTTCCGCCCTTGCCGCGCCCACGCCATGGACAAGGCTAAATAATCGCGGCTTTTCGGTGGCAAATTGTCCCCGCCCTGGAGTACGACACTTATACATATAGTAGTGCATTTCCTGGCCGTTGCAGACCTCAGCAACGCATTTTTTTTTCGAGAGGTCGAGCCCTTAGTTAAAGTAGGAACATCTGGTGATGTCGAGGGTTGTACTTGGCGGCAGCTAAAGGCATTGCAAGGTTGTTAATTGCATTGGCGTGAGCTAATAAACATTAGGCGATTGTAAATATAATCGATCACACGTGGCATATTTTTGATAATAAAGTTAGGAGGAGGACAATCCTGGTTAAAAATGTGATTTGATTAGGTGAAAAGCGATAGCGTCAGACAACTCTCGCCTTTAATTCCCCAAAGGCAAATGGAAGGCTTCAGAGCTATGAGAAATACAACTGAATTTTCTCTGGAATTGAATTTCGCCTTGACTTTCAAGCTGTAGCAGGACGATAATTTGATCTGCCAGCCTCGGCACGAAAACTTGTCACCGGGAGCCTTAAGCATATGCCCAGGTGAGTGTGGAGGTAGGGAAACACAAGAGATAAGGACTAGCACATAATATTTTAACTCCATGGATTATATATGAGTACTAGTATGTGGCATGCGATGTTGAGAGGAGTCAGGGGTGAGAGAGGGACCAACGTACTGGGTAGAACCCGAGGTTCCTAACAGGGAAAAGGAGTATTTCCAAATAATTTCAGTCATTTATCCCAAAATACCTAGTTATATCTTAGAAAATCCTCCAAGAGCTGGTAATTGAGAATGCATGGCCTTATAAAAGTCAATCTTTATTCATATAGCTCCATGTAGTAAGCTGGCATGGAATATGATAGCGAAATGAAGACTAGCATGGAAGTTCGTATCAAATATCCCCTAGCCATCGGTGGTACTAGGTAGTGTTTAGAACGGGTACACCCTTGAGAAGGTCTGAGTGGCTCTTTTGCCAGGGATAAGTCTGCTCCAGAGATTCCACTAGCTCACGATGCTTTTCACTCCGCGGCTTAATGGTAACATCGTACGGAGCAGGATGGCTCAGTACACCCGGTATGAAATCTGGTGAAATATCTTGCACCTTGCCATTTACCATGGGTTTCGAAATATTGAAAACAGATAGAACTTGTGCGATGATTAGGAAAACATTCGCGTCAGCAATGTTGCGACCGGGGCAAACTCGGCGACCAAACCCAAACACAATGAAGCGAGGATCTCGCTCGGGGACATGGGAATCAGTTTCCAGGAAGCGCTCAGGTTTGAGATTCATGGAATCCGGGTATACATCTTCGTCGTGTGCGAATGCCCTTGATGTTCAAGTTAGTGACAGGCTTTCCCCAGGCCACCTGTGCGAATCAATATAAGTTCCAAGGTTGTCTTACCAAAGATTTGTGAGAATCGAAGAACCTTTGGGGATGAAATAACCCTCGCATATGTCATCCTCTGTCGAAACATGTGGCACGCCCATGGGAGCCACCGGATGCCATCGAAATACTTCTTTCACCAACGCGTTGACGTAAGGAAGATTATCCCGGTCTTCGCATTGCGGTAGTCGATCGCCGCCAAGAACGGCATCCAACTCCTGCTGTGCCTTGCGCTGTACATCTGGGAATAGAGCCATTGCTAAAAAAAAGCTCGAGATCGTGCCAACTGTCTACTGATTGGTTAATAAAATTTCCAGGTATGAAGCCCTGCTTTCTTACCGTATCAGCTCCTCCCGCATACACAGATGCTGCCGACCATTTTATTATGGTTTCGTCCATAGATCCGGGGGTGGGGGGGTTCTTTCTTGAGAAGATTTGCCAAAAATGATGGAGCAGAACCGTCCTTCTTCATCTGTTCTTTGACAAACTCGTATGGGACATCGCTGAGCGCAGTTGACTTGGCTTTATATTCTTTAGCCTTTTTTTTGAAGCCGGCCCCAGGAAACCACGAGGGCAAATGCCTTACTGCTCAGATGTTAGAAGGGATATGTAGGATCAGCATCCTCGAAGTGTCTTAATGACTTACAGATGGGGACGAAATCCACCAGCCATGTTAGGGGAAGCATTGCAACACTAAAGTCTTCCATTGCTTTATCGACTAGATCAACAAGTGGATCACGATCATGGGGTTCAATAGTGTACCCATAGCTGAGCTTAAGCACAACTGCACCTGTCTCCCTATAATGGTTTGTTTGTTAGAGGTACATGATCTGTCTACACTACGGATCCAACTCACTTTCGGATGTGTTGCTGGAGATCTTCGGGCTTATTCAAAAGCCGGAGTAGCAAATGTGCGACTTCAGATACCTGAACATCGTTAAAATTGGCGACAGAGTTATTGGATCCGATCTCTTGGTAGAGATGTTTTCGCGTTCTGCGAACGTGTTCTGGATCGGCCATGGCACCGAGAATATAAGCCCACCCCGACCTGAAATTTGTCAGTCTTGATTCTGGATGATATGAAGGTAGCCTGCGGACTCACATGTCAGCAAAGGTTGGTTTCGTCCGTGAAGAATGAATGATAGATCGTTTTTCAAGTAATTCCACAGCCAGTCGAACATCGTGGAGAAAAATGATATTTTCACCTAATAAATTGATTGAACTAATAGGTCCTTATTGTGTATCAATGTCATTAAAATGGAAATTATAATTTTCAGATATTCTTCTTACCATATTTCTCTTTGTGCTGAAGCCAATGCAACCAAGAATGTTGGTCGATAGCGGGTAAGTCTTTCAAGTTGCCAATAATCGGAGTTCGTGAAGGACCTGGCGGGAGAGGGGGGCGATTTCTCCGGTTACGCAGGACTCTGGTCACTTGAATCCCCACGGCGGAAACAAACAAGCCAATCCAAAAAATAAGGAGCATCTTGATTGAAATGCTTTTGAAGAAGAATAAAATGACCACGGGGAAACAGAAAGAACATGTAAATTTTGAGTAAGTTTGTAACTGCCCCTCTCCGTTCGAGGGAATTGAAATGTCCCGTTCTTGCATATTCTCATTGCTATTGATTGGTTAATTGTGATTTACTGGCCCTGCAGGAATGCATCATACTAGGTAGCCCCGATTTTGCAATAGGCCGAGGGGCAGAGATAGGTCCCCACTGTACAAAGCCATTGTGCACGCCCCCTGTCTCACCCCGCACCCTGTTTAATCAAGGACCTACGAGTGGCCAATTATTTCCAGCTCCAGCTTCTAGGGAACTTAGCTGATCGCTTCCTTCGTGGCGTATGCCTATTTGGTATTCCTAGTCTTACTAGCCGTAGTATTACCCACTGCCACAGCCGTCCATCTTTTTAGAATTTGGCGGTTTGTCGTGGCTTATACTACTCGTATGTCATCGCCCAAGTCGGTTCCGAGCAGTTGGGTATCTCTGTAGGCATTTGAGTAGATTATGCCGAATACCTCCCAGGATCTGAACTTAAAAACTTAGCGATACGCCTGCCAAGTCTCGAGGTTCCGCCTCGGGTTTCAGGCGAAGTGGCCATCTACTAGTAATACTTAGTAACAATAAACACTAGTTAGTTAACTAACCCGACACCAAGTGGTTAACTATCGCAAACTCCTACTACTAGTAGTATTCAACCTGAGAAGCTTCAAGTTCTGTAATAGATCTCCCTCCTCGCCATTGGCCTGAAAATGATACCCACGGACTCATCCGTACTCATAACATGTTCACAAACTTTGAATTCCGTTCAATTAATATCAGACTTTTGCGACTATTAAATTTTTCGAACATTTCTATACTTTAGCTCACTTCCAGCCTCTCAGTTTCCGCCAGCAGCCTGGGGCAAGTAGGGAGCCAAAAAGTTCATAAGATAATCCCTCTTTCCAATGGGCACACCCTCCTTCCGCAGAATCGCATAGGCGGTTGTCAAGTGGAAGTACAGATTAGGGAGAGTGAAAGCAGTCGCGTACGCGGTGTTCGAGAGATCAATGTTCATTGGCCCAAGGGGTGTGGCCTGGACATGGTCGGCACGCTGGTTGACAATTTCCTTATCGGCGGCGTCGAGGACCTTCTGAACGATCTCAATTCGCTCGTACATCTCGGCAAACGAGGACAAGTTGTCTTCAAAGGTGGTAGGCTCACGGCCGGTAAACCGTGCGACCATTTTTTCGGTCAGTTGTGCGGCGATGTGGACCTGGTAGGTCAAGGGGTTCATGTCTTCAGCCAGACGAGCTGTAGGGAATGATGCGGCGTTGGCGTGCTTCTCGCCTTCGCGGAGAATGTTGGCCATGGATTTGAAGGCATTCTGGGCCGTGGGGATGGTTGCGTCGTAAAGAGAAAAGGAAGACATGGTTGTGGTTGGTTTGATGTTGAGTGCGAGGAAGATTGATGAGTTTAGGTTGTAAGTTCAATTTATTCTTATAATGGGGTTTTTTATTTGTACCACCTCGTGGTGGGCATGCTCTTTAAATACACGTGGTCGCAATGGACAACTTCATCTTTGGTTGATCCGAGCCCCGACGGTGAAGAAGTGGGTCAAGTCAAAGCTGGAATCTCTGACAAACAGACCCGCAATTACATTCCAATCCTTGAATTTGCTGGGAATACCCCGCCAAAGGAACCACTTCGAAACGGAGGGATGTTTCTTCGTTTATTAATCCAAACTGATATGCCAGGTGATACATCCCCTTAAGATGAAGAGTTGGTTCGGGCTTCGATTGATGAATTGACCCGAAGCCCGATAATCCCCCTAGATTTTTGCGTCCTTAGCTCGTATTCCGGGGACTATGCGGTGCGACCGTGACAAAGTCGGTGAACTGCTTGCTTACCAATTCAAATGGCATATCAGGGTTGTTTGGCTGCACCCACTCCGTGGCTGCACTGCCCATATTTAGATAGAGTTTGAGGTGATGATAAATCAACAAAAACCTAGATCATTATTAAGGTCCTCAAGACTTGCATGCGGCTCCTGCAGCTCGTTTGTTACCCACGGGATACCATGGTGGGATACCATGGAGCTCAATTTGATGGGGAAGGGATGATTTCAGGGGCTCAAGGTCGAACCGTCAATTCGAGCGATACGTGGAATCTACGAAATCCAGTGCTCGAAAATCACATTTCACCCATGTCAATTTGTTGTTCAGTTTTTCAAGAGCCTCATGTCTAGGCGCATTTTAACACGCTAGCCGTATCCATGTACCCTCCTGCAGATTGTCTTGTAGCCCTACCAAAAAGCACCACGACTATTTGGCTTTCCGACCTGATTTCGTGGTTCGTTTTTCGGAAGATATTGAGAATTAAGAAAAGGAATTTCTATTTAAATTAGAAAGAATGTTAATGATAAAGGTCCGAGTCTATGAAGGAGAGAATGCATGGAAGCCAACAAAATCTTGAGACCCAATCGACCTGTTTTCCCGATTCTATAGCATGATGGCTAACTATAGATCAACAGCGAACTTTTCGCGGATCGCCTCTCCATATTTATACTAGTATAGGGCAATGGCTACCGGGATGGCGACCACAACTGGGCACAAAACCCTCAACATAAGTGTTCCCCGAGCCGAGACCGAGTGGTGCATATATCGCGGACCTTACGACCGGAAGTAATGGGCCCACAAGTGACCGGGAAACAGTCAATACTGTGATCGCAAGCGCAGCATATTGTACGTAGCTGTCGATAAGATAAGTCTGAATGGGTAGAAATACACCCATTATGCCAAATCCTAGAGGCGCGAAGACCAATGATAGGCGCAATCCAATGGAGGTGCTTGTCGGCTGTCCACCCATAAAAGATCAGTCCAACAGGCAGAAGGCAGGTGTAGATAAAAATTGCAAGTAGCCTCATCTCAGGCTCGGAGACACTGCCATTCTCGCGGGTCATCTTTATCTCCATCCGATTGACCCCCCAAAAAAATCCGATACCAATGCCAATGTATGCTAACCCCAAAGGTCCCTCCGAGAACTCGTATTAATTACAAAAATCTCGAAACAGGGATGAATAGGAGATAAAGAGCTCCACAAATCGTAGAAAGATAGAGGCAGAGGATGAGGACAATAGGCGACTTTACGAGCAATTTGAAAGGGCGAATGAAGACTTTCCGAATAACAGCCCCCCGAGTCATCAGTTTTTCAGTGAGTCGTAGCAGCTTCTCGGCTGGGCCGGCTAAGCTCTGTCCGAAGAAGTCTTGTCTTCTAGTGGATCGAAACCTCATGTTTTCGAAGATGTCGTCGGTCGATAGCAACAGAGACCACACCGGAGATTATGAGAAGAATCCAGAATATCCACCGCCATGAAAACATTCTCGCTGATAAAACCTCCGTAGATTGGCCCAGTCACTGGACCGCAGTGGCCCAACGCTCCAGAGAGCCGTCGCAGCTCCTCTTTTTTTCGACTGTGTATAAACCAACAGTAATCCCAGCCCCTCAAGGTAAGACAACCAGAGCCGCCGATACCAGACCAGCCGGAAATGATGTTTGGTGCCAGCGCGCGTATCCGATCTGCCAAGAAACGAAAAACCAGTGTGCGACGCCGAAGACAATGCGACGACCGTATATCTCACTGAGCGGTGAAAGAAACAGCGGGCCTACCTATTATGAGTGTTGGATTATTAGTTAACGGAAAACAATTTGGGATCTGATGTCGGGACTCTGCCAGTCTGTAATATCGGGAGAATGATATTGACTGAGAAATTCCGCAAAACTTAGCGAATGATATAAATAACATAGATACTACATCATTGAGGGGCTGATCTGTATTTATCTAGATTGACCGGTAAAATGGCATAGCTTATACCAAGCGATCATCTAGCCTTTTCGGGATTATTGATGTTGAGGCAGATATGCCTCAGGCATACAGGTCGTCCTTCCGTTCTGATTTAGATAGCCTCGCTCTCTTCTTCTTCTTTCACCACACCAATATCACCACTTTCATCCTTCCCCCATTCATCACCCCCTAGCAGTTGATTAACTTTCACTTATATGCTCTCAGGTCTTCAACATCTATTACACATACATAGGTACACATTTCCAGTGTATCCCATGTCTGTTTGGAGTCGAATCATTTGGCAGTGTGCCGTAGGGCCACCCTGTACGACAGTGAGAAACTCTATCACTCCTCAAATCTGCAATTCCTCGACGATCATTGGCCATGTGACAAGCCCACAGGCGATGCGAGCCGAACAGGATCTTGAAGATGCATCCACAAGTGGAGGGGCTGAATGTCCTAGCGTCAAGGCACTCACATTACACACCGCTGGTTGGTTAGGCGCATCAAACTAGCTTTCTCTAAGCTCCACAAGTTCGTGATGAAGACGTGCCAAGTGGAGAGTTTGCGGCGATAGTTGCTCAGGTGGCTCCTGTCTACGTTACCAACACGGCCCCCCTGCCGAGAAGTGGTGCTCATTCAGCTGGGAAATGCTGCAGCCCTGAAAATACTCCAATTTTCAGGGCTCCCCCCCCCTCGACGAAAGAATCTTCGCTTCATATTCTTCACCCTCGTCTGCTGCGCTTACTGTTCCCAGAATCAGCAAGCCTCTTAATATACTATACTTCCTCATGACACCTACAGACACTGAGATCATCCCAGGCGGGGACTGTGTCCTTCGCCACAGAAAGGATGCGCAACGCGCCCCCACTCGCAAGCGCATCATTATTTGCTGCGACGGCACCTGGCAATCTGCTGTGTCTGGCAAGAAGAACGTCCCGTCGAATGTTACCCGTCTATGTCGGTCGCTAAACCACACTGGCACTGATGAGCATGGGAATCAGTGGCAGCAGGTTGTCTGGTATGACTCTGGAGTCGGAACCAGCCCTGGTTTTGTGGAAGATGTTGTTGAAGGTGCATTCGGAGAGGGTGTTGAGCAAAACGTCATCGAGGCTTACAACTTCTGTGTTTTAAACTATCATCCCGGCGACGAGATTATGTGCTTTGGTTTCTCGCGCGGCGCGTATACGGCTCGCACGATCGCAGGATTGATCTCGGATGTTGGTGTCTGTCATAAATCTGAGCTGAATAGCTTTCCAGATCTATGGCGCCAATACAAAAAGGTCAAGAAGGGAAAGCGCTTCTATCGAAGTGATCTATGGTTTGATTGGATGTTCGGAAAAGCCGATGAAAATCAAGGTGCTGGCACTGAGGGCAACCGAGAGTTCCGCTATGAACATGCCCCGCAGGGTGACTGGGCACAGGAAGGATCGAGGGAGGTTAAAGTCGTTGGTGTATTTGACACAGTCGGCTCCCTCGGCATGCCGCAGGTACTTGGGTTCAAGCTACCATCTACGGGCAAGGATGGCTGGCATAATGTTGGACTGTCACCAAGTAAGTGCATTCCATTGGCGTATTGCTCCTTTATGTCACACCGAAACCCTCTATTTTACAATAGCCGCGAAATCAGAACAGGAAACTAACACCTTTCAAGATATTAGACACGCCTTCCACGCCTTGGCCCTAGACGAACACCGCCAATCCTTTACTCCTTCGGTCTGGTACCTACCGAACAAAACCTGTACACGAGAGGATGTGGAGGCCAGAAAGAAGGAAGAGGCTGAAGCCGAAAAGCGATACTCGGAGGTCCTACAAGAGGCAATCAATCTCAAGGAAGGTGGTCAGGCAACTGACGCTCAAGTGAACGCTGCCGCAAAAACTGTCAATCAAGTCGCCAAAGCGTGGAACAAAGTAACTCGACGACGAATGAAATCCGAGGAAAGATTTAAAGTTCAGTCCGAGCTGAAACAAGTGTGGTTCCCGGGCTACCACGTTAACATCGGCGGAGGAGACATGGGCACCTTGGACAATGTCGGTGACATGGAGGAAATGTCTAATATTACCTACTCATGGATGTTGGATCAGATCAAGAATCATCTCTCCATTGATGAGCGCTACATTATGCAGGCTATGAAAGCACGCGAGGAATACCTTCAAACGCTGAACAAGAAATACGAGCACTGGGAAGCCTCTGTCAACACTTTGAAGAGGGATTCATTCAAGCAATGGGTGTCCAATGCTATTGGAACCATCATGCACCCCACGAAAATGCTGGATCCTCCAGAGTACAAGGGTATCCGTCGCTATGGTTGGGGAGAAGGCCTTCTGATCAACAGCTATAGTCTTTTCTATCATCTGAATGGGAAAAAATGGCGTACCCCGGGGCAGTACGGTACAAGGAATGACACTGGCAAATACGCTGGTGAAACCTTCGAGCATATCCATCCTGTCGTGAACTACAGGGTGGAGCGAATGAAGATACTCCACAAGCAAGACAGCAAGCAGCACTTATTGTACAAGCCTCTTGCTCCTAGCGAGGACTACAAACGCTGGAAGGAGCTAGATGATCAAGGCAACGTCATTTACAAGTACAAGTTTGGGAACTCGTCGAAGGCCGTGCCGGAGTGGAGGCTTGGAGTACAGGACTCTTACGAGCGCCTTGCCATTGCGGGATTGCCCGCTTACTCCTATGTGGATGCTTTGGATGACGAGCTGAACCGTGGATTCCGAACTGAGCGTTTTGACTTCGATTCTTACAGCAAAACGGAATATGGTCTCAAGCCTTCCATTGTCAAGAAGCTTCGTGACTCGGATACTCAGGCCTCACACGATGAAAATGAGGGCTGGGGTGAGCAATCTCAATCGACCGTCTTTGACTCTATTATCCAACCCGAGGACCTAAAGGCAGCCGATTCGTCAAATCCTCTTGCAGACAAAACCGCTTTCTTGGAAGGTCAAAAGCAAGACGACCCACAGCGATTGTGTTTGAGCACGGTACATTGATGTTGTGAATGGCCCTTTTTTTCAATTTCTGTAATAACAAACTATCCTAGCGAGCTTATCTATACAACCATAATCTGAATATCTCTGCAATGACGATCGGCCATTTTATTGCATCAAAGCTTGCTGCTGTGATGCTAATTAGTATAGGCATGGAATTTTGAAACTCCTGGTCCGATCTGGAACTTCAAGTTGGTCCCACGGATACTAGCATACCCTAGTGGAGTGCGACCTAGAGTTTATATGGAGAGGGAGGCATAATAATTCCAAGGTCAGTATGGGGAAAGACGTAATATTCGCAGCGGGTAGGTTTGCAGGACGTATACGAAGCTTGCTCATATGATACTAAATGATCCTTTTTTCCAAGGTTTGTACGTGTCAAGCGAGCTACTTCTGAATAGAATTCGAATAGCGGGAGTACTAGCACAAGCCCTAGCAGTTACAACCCCAGCTCATCTGTTATGAGCGGGCAATCGAGTACATACATCTACTGTAACAGTTTTATCTCAAGAACGGCATAAGCGGCTGCTGGCCTCAGGCAGAAGCGCACTCGGAGTAGGCAAAGTCAAAGCTGGAATATCTGACAAACCCCCTTATCTCCTTCTCATCAAGATTCTTTAAAACACAAGCTATTAGGGATCATGAATCAGTTAGTCCAACGCAAAAGTAATTAAATTCTAGCAATTATGACATTCGTGTGGAGCCGCTCGCTCCTGTCACATGAGTCGCGGCGCGTATAGACGCGTCAAAAGGGTGTCCTCACAACAGCGTCACTAATCAAACATGCCACACACTAGCCAAATATGCCACAATTTCTAGACCTACCAACTGAACTCATTCACATCATATCGGAGTTTCTAGATGACGAGTACACGATAAATTCCCTCCTCCAAACAAACAGGAGACTCTTCACTCTCCTAAACCCCGCCCTCTACCTGTACCATGCTCAATCTCCACTACCGACAGCTCTCGAATGGGCAGCCAGGCATGGCTTCGAAAGAACAGTGCGCTATGCGCTAGATGCTGGCATTTCGCCAAATCAGGCCTACGATCAAGATTGGTTGCCCTTGGCCTTGGCTTGTATTCACGGACATGAAGGCGTGGTGCGCATTTTGCTTAAACATGGAGTCGACCTCAATGCGGATGTGGAATGGGGCAATTTTGATGTTTACGATGATCGGTTCGAGAGTGAGGATTATGGGTATCCGGCCGCGTTGGCTGCTCGGAGGGGCCATGAGTCTATCGTGAAGCTGCTGATCGAGTTTGATAGCCCGATCGATGATGAGACGGAGCGCGACGATACGCCTCTTGGGATGGCGGCTGGAGCTGGGCATCTGTCTATGGTGAAGTTCTTGGTAGCAGAGGGCTGTGAGATTGACATGCCAGCGGTTCCGCCTCTCTGTCTCGCGGCTAAATCGGGACAACTTGAGATCGTCAGGTACCTGCTAGAGGAAGGTGCCGACCCAGATGCTGTTATTGTAGACACGGATGATTCGGCTCTTTATCTTGCAGCTAAGAATGGGCACTGTGAGGTGATGAAACTGCTTCTGGAACATGAAGCTCACGTGCACTTTCCGGATGAAGAACTCAAGGCGAGGCCGTTATACGCCGCTGCGGATCGTGGTCATATGGCTGCAGTTGAGATTCTCACGGATTCTATGGATTTATCGGGACTTGTCGCCTCCGGGGATGCTGGTGATGATGAGCACGTAATGCTCCTCTTCCTTTGCGCAGCCTGTGGGTGGGAACCCATGTTGCGGCAGCTACTTGAACAAGGATGTTCGCCTGATGCTCCCAATCCAAGTGCTTACTTCTTCACGTCCATTATTCCCAAGGGATTGTCACCCTATGACCGTCATCTTCAGGTCATAAGAAAACCCTCGGCATTGGCATTCGCTGCTTATAATGGCCATCTGGGAACCACTCGGATTTTGCTTGAATACAATGCTAGCCTGTGCGAAGCGGAGGATGAATTCACAGAAAATCCGCTCACGTTGGCCGTTTCTCAATCTCATTTGCCTATTGTGCATGCTCTTTTAGAACACGGGGCAAATCCGAACTTTCGAGAGCATAGAGGAGAATTTATCTTGCGCCAAGCTGTGCCATCATCCGAGATATTTGAGCTCCTGCTTGATCAAGGAGCAAGCATTGATCGGAAGAGGACATGGAATGAATCGCTGCTTGAAAAGATTTTGAAAGATGGGGCCATTGGTATTACGAAGATCCTCCAGGAACGGGGGATCTTCGATTCGCTCTTGCACGATGAGCGAGGCGATGCTCTTGTATGTGCCGCCCGTGGGGGTCTTCGCATGGTGGAATGTCTTCTGGAGCATGGTTACAAGGTCACGCCGAATAGTGAGGAAGCCCAACTTGCACTGGTGGAAGCCATCAAAGGGGCTAATACCGAGGTTATAAATCTGCTCTACGCAAGAGGTTTGGTATTTGACATATCTGTTGTATACAGAAAAAACCTTCTGGGATGTATAAAATGTCCAAGCCCGGATATTGAGAAGGTCATTTCTACCTTGGACACATTACTCGCTCATGGGGTCGATATCACCGCAGCTGACGGTCCTCTTTTCAACGTTCTCGATAGGAATGATAAATGCAAAATCAATGACATCGATCATAAATGCGACGGTGATGAGGTCGAGCAATACGTCTCGTTACTGTTGGACCGCGGTGCAGATCCACTACAATCACGAAGACGCAGCGAGTCAACCCCATTATCCGCGGCTGCGATTCGGAATAAGTCCATTGTCCACTTGATGTTGAAAGCATTAGATAGGCGGAGTATATGTCTAGAGCAATTCGGACGGCAAATTTTCTATGCGCAAGCCCAGGCCATTCGAGCAGACAATGCAGGTGCGGTGCTGCTTCTGGGCCGGGCCTACTTGAAAAAAATATGAAGACCTGCCACGGCATCCTGCATAACCGGGTTGATATGTACATGTGAGGTCCCCTGGGCATCGGAAATTGCCATTGCGGAATCCCAAGCCCCTGAATGGGACTATTTGGATCTGGTGCAGCTTCTGCGCCGGGCCTGCCATGGGAAGAAGCATGAAAGGCAACCAAAGTATTCTGGGAGTGTATTCGGGTTGGTTTTTAATAGACCACCTGGGTGACCTGGGCCAACTAAAAGATTATCAAGTGATGACGGAGATGCAAACTCTGGATGAATGATGGATGAGAGAAAGAACGCTATCTAGAGCAGACAGAAGGCAAGGCATGGCAAGGCGGGTTGCCTGAGGAATGCGCACGCCAACGCCAATAGTTCCAGGTTTCACCAATTATAGATACCATATCAAAATGAGTCTATGCTGAGACTTAAATGCCTCAGACATCAAAGATCATGCTCCTCTCCAAGTCATCTCTAGTCATTTGGATGCATCCACCACTTTCGTGATTCTGACCTTCTGTCAGTCTGTAATTCAAACCTGCTCTCTCCACCTCAGGCAGCCACATAGTATGCATGTACAATTTCACATCTAGCAGGATAAGAACTCCGGGAGCTACCTTCTCCCGATGAATACCCCTTACCATGGATCCCTATAATGGAGGAAGCTGGACCTATCTGCATGTCCGAGATGATGATGTGGCTGACCTCTTTCCCGGGCCGGTCAGTGGGGCAAAGACAAGACAAGCGGGCTGTGCGTCGGAAATTCACCGGCCGCCAAAAGAGGCCGAAATGGGCGGGCGAGACTGAGCCTTGCGAAATGGGCTGAGTCGAGTGGCTGAACCGGGAGCCTGTGGTTTACACTCTACATGAAACGGGAAATTGAATGGAATGGGCAAAGAGAAAAGAAAATGTCTATGTTCGTAAAGCTATTCGTGAAATTCTTCCAGCCGGGGAGGGCCAGAACCTGAACCTAATCGGTCGGTTTGCGCAGTATCAATAGCTGCGATATACCAACATTAAACTGGTCATGATGCAAAAATAGTAAATGGGACCTAGCACCAACCAGGTCACGCATACACAAAAAGAGATATGAGATCAAAAAAGGAAAAGAAGAAGATAGAAGTATAGGAGAGAAAAAAAGGAAAAAGAAAAGGAAAGGGAGAATCATTCTGGAATGAACATGGGGGAATCATTTTTTTGTTTCAAATCTTCTCTCGACCATTGACCTCACCGCCTGACTAACTTACTCCAGGATAGCGGAGGAAGCAGTGGCAGTGGGGTTGGGAGGGTTCCACTCGAACTTGAAGTCGTCGCCAAGCTCCTTCTTGATGGCAGCCTTGACGGCGTCGAGGACGTGGTCGAAGACACCGAAGTTGGCAGGGTTGTTAATGTCGTTCTTGCCGCCCTGGAAGACACCGGTGCGGACGAGACAGGTGTTCCATCCGTACAGGTTACCACCGATGATGTCGGACTGGGGGTTGTCTCCGATCATGTAGATGTTCTCGGGCAGGGTCTTCTGGCCGTGAATCTCCTCCATCCAGGACTTGATGACTTCGTCGGCGACGATGTAGGTAGCACGCTCGGGCTTACCGTAGACGATACGTTCGAGGTCACGGCCGGTCAGAGCCTTGTACTGAGCCTCCAGGGCAACGCGGAAGGCACCCAGGTGCAGACGAGGGGGACCCTTGTGCTCGGTGGGGCAAAGCAGATCACCCTGTGAGAAGTAGATGGGGATGTGGCCGGCAACGGCATCGCGGGCGGCGGGATCCTTGGCGCGGGTGAGGAGGCGGCCGTTGGCGGAAAGGAGCAGATCCAGAATGATCTGGTACTCAGTGCTCTGATCGTGGGACTCGGCGAAACACATGATGGCGTCGAACTTGAAATTGGCGAAGTCACGGACCTTAGCCTCCTTCTTCTCCTCCTCGGTGAACTTGCGGCAAGGGGAGATAGTGGGGTCCCAGGCGAGGATATCCTTGGGGATAACGACGTTCTTGAAACCGTAGTTCTCGGCAACGCCACGGATGTTGTTGCTCTCGCCACCGCAGACTAGGACGTTGTCGTAGTACTCCGCAAGAGCCTGCATGGGAGTGTGAGACTGGATGAACTGGTCGGTGGAAATGGGGAAGCCCAGGACCTCAGACAGCTGCTGGCAGCGGGCTTCCTCGGTCTTACCACCACCGTTGGTGAGGAGGATATAGGGGAATTGGATGCCGAGCTCGTTGTCGCCGTTCAGAATCTTCAGGACAGTCTTGGCCTCTTCGATCGCGATGTTGCCGTGTGCCAGCACACCGTCAATGTCGAAAGCGAAGCACATGTTCTTGACCTTCTCGACCTTCTCCTTGTGGGTGTCCTGCACCTGAGAGGCGATGATATCGCGGGCCGCCGAGCCAGGAGCGTGAGCAATGGACAAACGCGACCTGCGCGGGGAACGGGGATGGGCAGAGAGACACCAAAGGAGTTGCGAGAACCCCGGCGGTCCCGCATGGAGGGAGACAGGCTCAGGCGCTGCATATGAGTATCACTGATGGAGCTGCGAGTGGCAGGGATCTCAATGGTGTGGTTGTGGTTGTCGACGGGGATGGTGACACCGGGCTGGCCCTCGCGAGAAGCACCGTCGCTGGGGGCAGGGGGAGGACCACTGGGGCTGGTATTGTCGCCGCCGAGGTCAGCATCGGAGAAGCGAGGCATGTTGATGGAGGGGGAGGTGGTGGTTGGTTGGATGTATAGGATTGCGATGAAAGAATTGATACTACGGATACGATTGTCCGGATTAGCACGGACAAAGGATCACAAGACAATCAATCAAGAAGGATAAGAATGAAAGAAACAAGAGGCAATGGAGGGGCAAGGAAGATGATTTTATTTAATAAAAAAAAAAAACTTTAGAAGGTGGCAGATTGGGTTCCCTCAAGCAGCAGTCCCGATTATGGAGCCCGGTGGATGCAGGACCCATAATGGTGCCCATTCTGTGGTGTATATACCCAACCAGGACGGCGGCATTCGGGATTGCTAGGCCAGAAGGCGCAAAAGAGGATGGAGACGGTTCAGACCTACGTGCCAGGTGCGTCATTGACTAGCAGAAGGGGAGAAGTGGTCCGTAAAGTGGAGTGAGAGAGCAATGGTGAGTGGCTCGGATTATTGGTAGTTCCTGGACGTTTGCATACATTCCCCCTACACAGGACTTTACAATATTGTATACCTAGGTATCGATATCTACTCTATAGCTATACTATGTTGTGCAGTGCAGTGCTGTGCTATGACCAGTGAACATGTGAGCATCTAGATTATCACATATCACACCCTCGGATTACTTTCCCGCAAGCTGGATCCCGCATTAGCGCCCAGTCAATCTCTTTTTGCAAGTAACCAAGTAACAACCAACCAGCCCTGATGTGGCCCAATCGGGTTAGATCACCCCCCCGCTGGTTGCTAGCGGGAAAGAATGATGTCATGACCCCCCCCGATTGAGCCGCCCTTGACCGCCTCCTTTCTGCCCCTCTGCTTTCTGCCCGCATCACCACCCTGGCGCAGTACTTTCCGACTGCATCTCTCCCTATCGGCATCAATGATTGGATTGTCATCCTCTAAACAACACTCATCTGCGCTGTCAACATTCTCACTCACCCATCGCATTACCCCATCGGGATTCCCGAAACCTGAAGGTGGATCATGGCCCACTGGTCTATGCAACCCGCGACAAGTTGACGGTAACGCACAGGATGGAACGGAAGCATGTGGGTGGATCTCGGGTGAGGAAGCGTGGGATGACGTCGGGTGGAGGAGAGATTGTGAATAATTAGTACGAGTATAGACCACATACTCGTAGTCCAACCGCCAATATATCGCGCATCTACTAGACGGAGAACACGGTACGTACTATTTTCCAATGCCCAGACGGAGTAAAACAAAATTCTGTATGCCGTGCCCGTTGCCCGTTCGCCGTTCGGCCCGCGGCCGAGCACGGCGATGAGTGTTCCCTGGCCCGTGATTGGTCGGCTCTTGCCCGTATTCATTACCCCTGTGGAAGTTTTCTTTGTTTTCGTATAAATTATGGTTAGAGTATGATTATGATTATTTGCCATCAGCCACGTTCTCCTATTCAATCAACCTCAAAAATAGATCTAACAAATTTCAAAACTCTATCCCGTTCGAACTACTGCACCTCGCCCTCATTCCATTGCCTCTAACGCGGGATTGAAAAACGTTTACTCGGGAAATGTCGGGTCCCAGTCGCGGCGAGATCTTCCCCCAGTGGCTGGTGCGGCCCACACGGTGATCTCATTTTGTCCCTCACTCATTGTTTCGGCTTGAATGTTGCCCGCTGTGCTTGTATACAGCGTCTAGTGACCTCTCCGGGGTACTCAAAATACACTATACCCCCAGGTCATATTGATCGAGAGTACTCCGTACCATCTGTATCTTCAGATTCGATCTAGATCTGGTTTCGCATCTATCTCTCGTCAAAATAATCCCTGCAACGATCGACCGAGTAAACTTTATTCCTCACGCCCGGTGAAACTTTTAGTCTGCACTTTCTGTCCAAGTCCCGTCTGGCCTGCCTCGGTGGACTCAGACACTCCATTCTCTTCCAAGAGCCCTACAGTACATCCCACACCCCGGAGTACTGCAATCCGTGCTAGTCCCGGCCTGGTGTGGAGATCGCGCATTATCTAAGTCCATATCTGCGATTCACTTCTCGTGCTCGGCGGTTCTAGTCCAATGACAGAACCCGGTTTCCCGTCGGTGCTGTGCCCGTTCGCTGGCGCGCTGAAGATCGGAAATCACTCTGCACGGAGTGCCGACAATTTGCCTTACATTGCCTACTCGTAGTAGCTTTGCCCCTGACAAGGGTCAAAGCCAAGGGACATCCCATCCAGGGCTCTCGGCTTCTCGCACGTACTCGTAGGTGACACGCAAGGCGACCAATCATATCCCCGCAGGCCCTGGTGAATTGACATGGATTGAAAAGGCTTACCCGTACCAAGTTTGGACTATTGGATTGGCATTGGTTGGCAGCCTTCCTGGCTAGTAAGTAATACTTGTATGACGGAGTACTACCCCTCCGACTACCCCTCCGATCGGGAAACCGACTCGGAGTTGGAAGATCCATCGCGACCGCCTCCGAGTCTAGGGGTTGGTTTCGGCTTTGGTGAGATACTTAGGAACTGTTTCCGACGAGTCATTCTGTTGTAGCGCTTGTGTTCAGTGACATTTTCATGAATCGTGTCATATCTGCTGTATGTTGACGTCGTTGGGTGTGGCTGATCCCCCCCCCCCCCGCACTCTCGCTGGTGGACACGTGCACAGGCCAGTGTGGATGTCAATGTCAACAATTTGAACTTCATGTAGTATTATTGATTCCAAAGTAGAGTACTATTTATTCGGATAGAGATGCCCGCCATGCAGTCAAACAGTATATTTTTTGAGATTCGGAGTCAAGGTTTGGAAACCTTGGAAGGTGGTGGTGCTATATATGTTGATGCACTAGAGTTATGATCGCCCTGAATCACGAGTCAACCTTGGAACCCGGGGCCATGGAGTCGATCTCTGAGTACCTAGGTATCCCACCTGATACTGGCAGTGCTTCAATTTCAGATCTTGAACTTGAATACCAGTACTAGTACTAGTACTAGTAGTTTAATGTCTAGTATTAATCTCTCGGATTACCATATCACGTGACCCATATTCCCCAAGATCAATTGACAATGACCATCCCTATTCGGATATGTGGAGAGCATGGAATAGATAGCTCCATAATATAGAGGATCCTGGTCTTATCTGATCTAGCCGGACGACCTCACTATTATTCCCAATGGCAATTCGAAATTAACTGGATCTGTCTTTGTTTGTCCCACCAGTATGACTCCGCACACGTGACATCCGCGGGGTGCGGGCAACTTTCTTTGGCGCACACCTGAATGTGTCACCGTCAGCTTCAAAGTTCAGTCACTGTCACTTTGCGTTCTTGTGCTTCCTGTCTAGTCATCACAGCTGAGGTTGTGTTTCAAAATGGCCCCCCTCATTACTTTGGCCACATGTGCGCTGAACCAATGGGCCCTCGATTTTGAAGGGAACCTTCAGCGCATCAAGAAAAGTATCATCAAGGCCAAAGAGGCCGGCGCGACTTTGCGTGTCGGTCCGGAGCTGGAAATTCCTGGATACGGTACGTCTCTCATGCTTACTCCTTGGATGTTTGGCTCTAATTGATCTCGTTAGGCTGTCTGGATCACTTCCTAGAGAATGAGATCTACGATAACTCATGGGACTCGCTGTACTCTATCTTGACCGATCCTGAACTGCACGATATCGTTATCGATGTTGGGTACGTCCCATACTTCCGAGCCCAACCCATTCTCCACAATCAAACATCCATCTAATCCCTCCTCCTAGTCTTCCCATCCTCCACCGAAACTGCAGATACAATGCCCGCGCTATCGTTTTGAACGGCAAAATCCTGTGCCTGCGTCCTAAGCTCTATCTCGCCAACGATGGAAACTTCCGCGAAATGCGCTTTTTCACTCCGTGGAATCGCCCCAGACACGTGGAGGATTACTACCTTCCCCCGCATATCCAGAAGCACCAGGGCTCCCGCCATGTTCCCATCGGAGATGTTGTCTTGTCCACCTTCGACACGACCCTGGCCGCGGAGACTTGTGAGGAGCTTTTCACACCCAACAGTCCTCATATAACAATGTGCGCCACTACCTCTTACTATACTGTCGCCATGCTAACCCACCTACAGGGGCCTCAATGGTGTGGAAATCTTCACCAACAGCAGCGGAAGTCATCACACCCTCCGAAAGTTGGATGAGCGTGTCGCTCTGATCTCAGAAGCAACCCGGAAGAATGGAGGTGTCTACTTGTACTCCAATCAGATTGGTTGTGACGGTGACCGACTGTATGATTACCCCTGGCGACATGGGAAGCATTAACTAATAAGAGCACAGGTACTATGACGGCAGCGCGATGATCTTCGTCAACGGAGACATTGTCGGACAGTCCAGCCAATTCGGCCTGAACGAAGTCGAAGTAGTCGTTGCTACCGTTGATCTGGAAGCCGTGCGATCTTATCGATTCGCGCCCTCGCGCGGCATGCAAGCCATCGCAGCGCCGGAATACAAGCGCATCGAGGTGGACTTCTCTTTGTCTCACGAGAATCTCGACCTGGACGAGATGCACTCTGCTACAGCCCGCAGGCCCCCGCATTACCACATCCCCGAAGAGGAAATCGCTTACGGACCTGCTTGCTGGCTTTGGGATTACCTTCGCCGATCCAAGGCCGCTGGTTTCTTCATTCCTCTCTCTGGTGGCATTGACAGCTGTGCCACCGCCACACTTGTCTACTCCATGTGTCGCCAAGTCATCAAAGCGATGAAAGAAGGCAACGAGGTGGTCATTGCGGATGTTAAGCGTATCGCTGCTTACTCCGACAAGCTGCCCGAGACTGCCGAGGAGCTTTGTAACCAGGTGCTATGCACTTCCTTCTTGGGTATGAAGGACCAGAGCAGTAAGGAAACGAGGGAGCGTGCTCGAGCGCTGGCTGATCGCATCGGTGCCTACCACACGGATACTAATATCGACGATGTATATCACTCGACGAAAAATATTCTTACCAGTGCTACTGGGTTTGAACCGAAGTTCAAGGGTCCGTCTCCATCTCTCCAGCACCGAGAAACTTGCTCATCATTAATGTATGAATAGTCCATGGCGGTTCGACTACGCAAAATCTTGCTTTGCAGAATATTCAGGCTCGATCTCGGATGGTCATTTCTTATTACCTTGCTCAGGAATTGTGTGAGGTTCGTGGCCGACCAGGTGGCGGTTCGCTCTTGGTCCTTGGAAGCTCTAACGTCGATGAATGTCTACGTGGATGTGAGTATGCGTCCTAAAATTTGTATACATTGAACTAACTCTCCGTGCAGACCTCACTAAATATGACTGCTCCTCTGCGGATATCAACCCGATCGGATCTATCAGTAAGGTCGACCTGAAGCGTTTCATCGCCTGGGCATCTCAAGATTTCGACATGCCCATCCTCAAAGACTTCATCGAGGCGACCCCAACAGCCGAGCTGGAACCCATCACCGCCGAACACGTAAGACCATTCTTTCTCGCCGGTCGCAGCAAAGGCTAATTCACAATATAGACACAATCCGACGAGGTTGACATGCAAATGACCTACAAAGAACTATCCCGCTTCGGCACCCTGCGAAAGGTAAACCACCTCGGACCTTTCGGAATGTTCCTCGTGCTCCTGGAAGAATGGGGCGGCGAAGGAGAGGACAGACTTAGCCCGCGCGAAGTTGCCGATAAAGTGAAGAAATTCTTCCACTTCTACCAGATCAACCGTCACAAGCAGACCGTCGCCACACCGTCGTACCATGCAGAAAGCTACAGTCCCGACGATCATAGATTTGATCTCCGACCTTTCTTGTATCCTTCTGCTTTCCAGAGTTGGTCTTTTGGAAAGATTGATCGTCGGGTTGAGGCGCTGGAGCAGAGGATTCAGAAGAAGAAGGACGAGGCTAAGGCTTCGAGGTAGAAAGAGCGTAGCTAGAAAGTTTTGCTGTGGAAAGTATCTTGCAACTCCTATTTTGAGTACATGGAATCATCTAGATCGTTTATCAATAGAGATTACCTGAGCGATGGTGTTTTCCTTTCTTCAATCGAGGCTCCCAGTAGCGTCCTTGAAATTATTACAATCTGAGGTCGAAATTGTGCCAAATGGCGATCGATGTATTATTATTTCTATTTCTGAAAACGATGACACGACATCCTATGCGACGCAGATATAAAGCAGCCTCCATCGCATTCCATCCCTATTAACCCCATTAAAACCTCAATAGTATCCAAAGAAAAGCTTGTTGTTCGTAAATCGTATTCATGTCACGGAAGCCGGTGACCTTTAGTTCCGAAGAATGTAGTGTGGAGCTTGTCTAGCTAGAAAGAAAGTATATTGATTAGAAAAAAGTCTTGTAGAAAAGAGACCTCACTTGAATCATGTGCTCACCATTGTGCTTCTTGTTCAAAAGAGCTTCAAATACCCTGTCCAGCGTAACGGCCAGGAGGAAAAGTGTATTCATCATCCAAGTGCTCCTTGGCCGCCATCAAAGGTCCCCATTTCTTGCGAATATCTTGCCAACGACGCTTAAAGCCAGAGGGACTAGTAGTAGCAGTCTCTTTTTTGTCGATAGCGATGGAATGGACGTCGAAGTCCTTGACAATGCCAGTGGGCGATTGTATGGAGTTTTGGCGGCTTGATGTGTTGCTCGACATATTCAGGTGCAGGCCTCGTCAAGAGCGAATGGGTAAAAATGGTTGATTCTACCTAAGTTTGGGGGTTTCAGGCAAAAAGGGTCGCGACTTAAAGAGGGCGAATTTAGTTCAAGTTTGATGAGTGCTTTTAATTCCCGATGGGAAGAAACCAGCTCCCTTATAAGGATTCTTTCGACCCCTGCAAAGATTTTCGCCGCTTGCCTAGGGGGACTGCTTATTCGTTCAGCCCTACAGTATTTCTGGTGCCGAAAATACCTCACCGAGCCAGGCCGAGATATTTCCGCCCTTGTTGGCTTCACCTTGGGCGCTCGCTTGTGACCTTAGGTGGAGCAGCGATAAGAAGTGCAGGTGAACTAACTGTAAAGATGTAGAAGGATTCTAGAGCGATTGGTTGTCGTTCAACCCACCTTGCGCATTAATCTTGTTCTGGGCATTGCTTTTTTGCGCTGTTGTTGTTTTTGCCGAGATGAGGGTTCGGAGATCGCTCGGTTGAAAATCGGGAAAGTGTTTGATATGGATCGTCCATCGGGAGGAGTCGCCGTAAGCTATGCACGTTCCAGAATTTTATTTTTCGTGAAAGAAAAACAAACAAAAAGACTTCTCTTCACATGCTAATTAGTTCGCGATCTCAATATACTAGTCCAAGTGTTTTAAATACAATGTTGGCCGATTTTTGATTGATGCCCAGGTGGGTTATATCCTCTCATCAAGCTTTTTTACAAGCAAGCTAACCATGAAATGCCGAAGAATGTGGATCATCTCTACATGGTTACTTTGATGACCCATAAAAACCCGTGTGACTAGTTGCTGACTTTTGTTGAATTGTGACCGAAATGTCTGAAAGGGGGCCTGTTTGCCACCTGGGCACACCCTACTGTACCTGAAATCTACCTGTCTACCATGGCACGCCCAAACGCGAAGCTCTATCAAAAACCAAGCGGAGACCATATCCATTCCAAATATGTACATACAGATTTAATTTTTGAAGGTGGGTCATGGGTCATGTCACTTGATGGATTTCTGTCTAGCCGTTTAGCGGCACAGTCAATTCATACCCACTCGCCTCGGCTGGAAACTTCAGCAAGCGCAATACCAAAGGGTCGGTACTGTGTTCCAGAAACATGCAAATAGCGATACATTCCGGTCTGATCCTCCCTTCTATCCACGGCTGCCATTCTGCCGCGGCACACATGAGTCCCATCCACTGCACCAGCATGACCAGGGCCGGGACATCCCTCTTCCTGCAGAGCGCGAGAAAGTCACATTCTAGCCGGCCCATGAAGGAAGAAACGTGAGCGGAGTTAGGCCTGTTCCTTTCAAGTTTCAGGAGAGCGGAGAGAATTCTAAGAGGGTCGTAATATATGCTATTGTTCTCCGTGGTATATTCATCGATTTGACAGAGATCGGCTAGATCCGGGTCAAGTCCATCTCGTCCTGCTTGTGGTTTTTCATCGAAGATTGTACGTTCTTCTTTCACAATCGCGTCGAAGGATACGGCCCAGATGCTGTCGGGGATGTAAGGTGCGGCTAGGGTTATGATTGTTCGAAGGCCACTTTGTAGACAAAGCCAGTTCATCGCCTCCGGCCTGTTTGTGAGAACCCACGAGTCTGTGGGGCTGAAATCCTCGGGGCAGATTGTCATCACTCCCATCATCATGCAGGACGATAGGAGAGCGTCCACATTATCCGGTCGCACTGGTGAAGAAAGTGCTCTTTGGTACTGCTGGAGAGCTTGTTGCCAGAAGTAGGCCTCGGCAAACGACCTCTCTTTGTTGGGTGATATGCGGTTGAGATGGAGGATGCCGACCGCGAGAACAGTATACATCAAATGGGGATTCTGTGGAAGGCCGTTAAGTGAAATGGCCAGCTGGGAGGAAATCATCAGGGAAAGCTTACAGCAAATGATACTCGTATCATGTCGGATCCCATTACCTTTCGTATTGCGGGGCTGGCAATGGTCTTAACCGTGCTGTTCATAAAATGCTGAAAGGCCACCGTGGGAAAAGCAGGGCCTGGTTTCTTGCTTATCAAGGGATTCAATATCTGCTTCGAATCAAAACCTAGCACAGTCTCGATTTTATTCGTAAGGTCGTTAAGTGAAAGGGTAAATATTATGGCTGTTGGGTCATCAGGTTCAAATAGGCTCTCAGCCCTCTTTTGACGAACGACATCATTTTCTGGCAAATAGGAACACTCTATTCCCTTGCATTTGCACTTTTGACAATGTGGCTTCTGTTCATCGCACTGTACGAGGCATCAGCTTGACTGACCAACACATAGAGCACTCTAACCCGCCTACTTTCACCCGTCTTCTTTTACACGTCAAACAACCCCCTCTAGACTTTTTATGAGATCGTCGCGCATGAAATGTCTTGTCTCTTTTTTCTCGTGGGGATACGCGAAACACGGTCTGGAGTTGTTTCGCGTCAGGGGTGCTTTCTTCGGATGTATAATCAGATACCCTCTGGCTATCAGGAGTGGTGAATTTCAGCATGTTTGCCTGTCGAAATGCTCGCCTCCATGACCCGCGAGGGAATAATAGAATAAGTGGCAGGCTAGGCAGATAAGTTGAAGCATTGCCACACTGACTTGAATCACGTGCGGCTGACAATACGAGCCAGGTCAGGTGATGAGGCTCGACTGATAGGAAATCAGCCCTGGAGAGTATTTATAGAATAATGCGAAAGGAAGTGTGCCTTGCAAGGACTGCTAGTAATTACGCTCCAACATTATTTCCTGGGGTTCGTGGAAATAGACTATGGAGATTGTAACGCGAAAGAACTGCCTATAATGTTGGAACTTGGAACCTGCCATTCAATTTCGGCCACTTTGAACGAGACCGAATATGCTGATTGGTTGAATTGCCATCTTATTTAAAACATGGAAGAAAGGGGGGGGGAAGCTAAAGCTCAAACATCCGGCAGTAGGGATTCGCAGGTCTATCTATCGAAGGTGGAAGAAGGCTGCGGCGAGAAGAGCGCGATCTGGATGCCTCAATACATCAACAGGAGTTTGGAGGAAAGCCTTGTATATAGTGAGGGCTGTTTTAAGGAAGGCAGTGGTCGTTAGAAATACCTGCCCATCTTTGCTCTCGCTTCCTTCACGTCTACTTCCGCTTCCATGTCCTTCTTCCTTGTCCAGTCAGTCAGTGTTCGACATTCCTTCGCTACAGCTACGTTTAAACAAGGACAAGAGCAATCGTGAATTTGGTTTCGACATCCCAAATCAAGCGTTGGTACATCATGGGATAATGTTGCTCACATCAATGAACTGCGCCCTCTATGAACACATGTTGCTGTGCGGAAGAGCCCTCGGGCTTCCAAAACCCACTGAGCTTCAGCCCGGCCTTGTTTAGCAGTATTTACCACTCATTATTGATTCGCTCCGCCGCTGAAAAAGGCAGTCATCATAGTCATATCACCAATCGCAGCCATCCACGGAATATTGGTCTCCGGCATAGCCTTTTCATGAATCAGGAGCAAAGAACCGGGTCCCATTGCTTCACGAAGCCTCGAAAGAATCTCCACGGCCTGCTTGTCTGGCCAGTCGTGGAGAACAGTGCGGAGGTAATATGCCTTTGCACCCTTTACAGGATGTTCTTCAAAGGAATTACAGACTTGGGTTTCGATCTCACTTGGAAGATCCGCTGTCTCAGTCACATAAGATAAATCCTGGAGAACAAGTCTTCCTGAACTTGTCAATGGCGTGCATGGTTTCGAGCCAATGCAATGGATGATAAGCGAAGCGATAAAAAGATTTTACACGCCGTCACCAAACACTCGCTTAATCGACATTTGGGTAAGCCATTTCTATATCATGTCCTGTTGCTTGCGATATTAGGCCGCAAGGGTGATGCGGAAAAACCAAAAATAGATACACGACGGCCGTATAAATAAATACAATTTTTACATTTCACTTGACGCTACGGTCATATTTTGAGTAGACTAAGCGTCACTAAGGGCAATGTGGATAATTAGTTTGGCCATTTTAGGGGAGGGGGCTTAATGCAGACGAAAGCTTGTAGCGTCTGCTGTGGTTTAGTCCTAGGTTACGGGCCAGCCGATACCGCCTTAAGACCATTGCGACTTTGGGGCTGTGAAAAATCGGGGCCGGGCCCATTATGCCTTTGGCACAGCGTAATTGCTATGGCTTAAGAATATTGAGGAAACTCAAACACTTGGTTCATTCGGTTGAGGTATAAATTCAAAACGTTAGGAGAATATCTCCCGGAAACTCTACTGTTTACCTTCTATTCCTTCAATATACCATGCACTCCGCCACCATATCTTGGAGCCATGCGGTTATACTTCTGTTGTCGCTTTCCTCCTTTCAACTCGGCACTGCCACGCCAATTACTGGCAATCTGGTTGAGCGCGCAGGCATAGCCTCTCCTGGTATCGGCGTTGAGTTCGAGTCCGGGAGTATCTTTTCACCAAGGATATTCACAGTTTGTCACCGCAGGAGCAAAAAGCGATGAACCAAGCTGATTTCTCTGCCAAGGGCAAGTCCGTTGCATTGCAAGCGGGCAATGGAGGCAATGGTGCCAAGTTCTCTGGCGACGACTGGAATTGATGGCGGACGCTACTGGAAGCGTTCTGGGACAGCTCTTTGCAGAATATATCTTGAACGGAAAGAAGATTAAATTGGGGACAGGGAGAGCTGCAACTGTGGCAGACGAGATCTATCAAAATCTGGTAAATATCGGTACTGGGACTACCTAGAAGAAAGACGTGGCTGACCACCTCCAACAGAAAAAATGGGACCCAAAGTCCGGCCAGCAATTTGACATCACTGGCAACACGAAGAATCCTTGGAGTCTTAAGGTAGGCTCTGATCCTGTGAATTCGGTCTGGTCTCGTCAAATAACCGCTCCGATGCCTCTTGGGGCTATCAACGACCTGATGAAGCAATCTAAGATTAACATTGGCAAAAGCTCGCCCCCCCTTGTGACTTATGCAAGAAGCAAGATCGATAGCAAGGTCTGGGTCAATGATTTTATTTTCGAGGAGAGCCCTGGTGGTCTTACTAAGAATGTTGGCGAAAATGTTCGCGGATTCCTTGCGCTTCTTCTTTCCCATGCAAAGGCTGGCAGCCAGGTCCGCAACAGTGAAAGTGCTAAGGAATTGACATCGATTATGCCGCGAACAAGCTTTGCTAAAATGTATAAACTCATCGAGTCTAAGCTTGAAAATAAAGATCTATGGGCTATCGTGAACAAGCTGGCGTGCTATATAAACCCTATAGAAGACGCCGATGAATATGCCGCGTAAGTCTTCGCGCGAGTTTTGTATAGAAATATTCGATAATAATACCCAAATCTAGTGTTGATGAGAGTTTTTGCTCTGGCTGCCCGGATAATACGAAGATCAATGGCAAATTCGAGGAATTGCAGATTAACATCTGCTACGGCTCAGAGGAGTGCCCTGTCAATGTCAAGGCCTGGATCCAGGGCTTGGAAGATGGCAAAGATCTGCTCAAGGAAGCTGATGAAGCAATGATTGATGGCCAAGTTGGAGGGTATGGATACTTGACCGAGTATCGCCTCAACCATCCTACTGAGAAACTGGCCCTATTCGAGTTCCGTGATCTCCCTTCATGCAAGGCCTCAAGCTGGAAGAGCTGTTTGGAAGCAGCCGAGGCTGAAATTGTTAAATATCATAATCAATACCCAGGAAACTAGAAGTAGACGTGCGTCGACAAAAGCTTCAATAATTAGAGGCTTAGGTGGCTTTGTAGTTGATGATCTATCGCTGCAATTATGAAGTTTTGGCCTGCATCTATTGCAGAGTGGATAGCACAAGACGGCGATATATGTGCGCTTACTTCGCAAAGTACAAGTTTGCAGGGAATTATTGGACATAGGAGACTATACAACCACGAATTTACCTGTAGGATTGCTTGAGCAGACCACAAGTAGTCGGGTAGAAATCAGTGTACGAGTAGTCTTTTGGCCCAAGGAGGACAAAACCTCAAATTTCAACGACGCCTATGTCCAAAATGAGCATTGTACTGCGCCTTTCTTGAATATCATCCTTCTCCTAGTGGCAGTGGCCCTTCCCTCGGTGATGAGATCTAGTTACGCCTTAATTGCTCAGCGATACATTACCTAGGTACTTCCTTCCAAGGCCCTCCAGATACTAGGGAGCCGTGTTACTAGTACCTACTAGCAGTATTCGCAGGGTTCCGTTCTTGTACTACGAAGTATATATATATTCTCACAACATACTATATCGAGCATCTTCTTCAGCTTAAGAACCTTCAAGTTTAAATCTTGGAATAGACCTAGTCGAAATCCATAATTTACCTGAATTGAACCCCCGCGGGTCCGAGGATAATCATTTTTTGCTCGCCTTATCTCCGTTTAAACAGAGCAGCTAGAATTTTCCCAAGAAGATAATACTATAAGAACAGGAATATTAACTACTCCTAATTTTAGCAAACCGGAATACTAGCATCGTGATAAAATCCACACCACTTAAATTTTCCCTCATTCAAATATTCCCTCGCAGCTTGAGTTTTCTTGTTCTAATTTTCCCTCCCTTCTGGTTTTCCCCCTATCCTAACTTTTTCCCTTTCTTAAAAATTTCCTCCTGTAGACACGACATACAAAATCTATTGCGCGCTTTAAGCATGGTAATCACCCTCGAGAGTATGCCGCCATCAGGGGAATGAACTAACGCCGGGCGGACCTGCCTTAGGTTGGGTTGGCACTCGATTGCAGATTCTCCCGGGGGATTCTCGGCCTGAGGATGCGGGTCCTGGGGAAAGACCGTCAATTTTGTGGCCAGGAGGCGAGCACTTCCCTACTCCAGAGTTGGAGAAAGCTGTAGCAGCCAGCCAATGATATTTAACATCCTTCATCAACATTATGATTGGTGTCACATGTCTGACATGACTTTTTGTCGCTCCATTAGAAAAGCCCTGGACAGGTGGACAAGATTTTGGCGGAGAACCTGAGAGTTTAGTCCGGGAAAATCTCAACTGCTCAGTTTCAAAGATGATAAAGCCAGTCTGTGACAGTGATGTGACAGTGTTTTAGTAGTGGGCGTTTCGCCAGTGTATAAAACGCAAAAGAAATCTTCTCTAACACAAAGCGGCAAGGGCATCATCGTTCCAATGAATGACATAAAAAAAAAGCAAAAACATACAACAGCAGGGATTCGCATGTGGTCACCCACCATACTACTAACCTGCCGGCGTGCGGCTTAAGTACGGCTGAGCGGACGGGAAGCCCTGTTCTCCACACCCTATGGTCGTATGTACTAGAACCAGTTGGAAAGGGGCATATATACTGCTTTGATGAGCAAAACAGAAAAATACATTTATCCATTGGCAGCTTATTTTTATCTGGAAAATAATAACACAAGCTGCCATAGGTAACCTTAGGTGGTCTATTAAATTTCAAGTTCAAGTTCCAAGACTCCCGAGGTCGGAAAGGCTAAAAATCTCAGCTCTGAAATTATCGGGCTACTACTACTAGTACTACGTGATTGATAGCTATCTTAATAACAGATCTGTCAAATTCCCATATGATCACAGAGTAGTAGTAGTAGTAGTAGTAGTAGTAGTAGTAGTCCACGGGTACCTACTCGGCAGTGGTAGTATTTGGAGTCGATACACACCTGGCCAGGTGAACTAATACTACTAGCTGTTGTGTATATTCCGCGGAGAGTCTACTCAGCTCATCATTTGCTTCCTGCTCGGCTCACCAGCCAGCTGCTATTTCGCAGGCTTTGGAATATGCCCTTAGGATCGACCTTGTTTGCAACCTTTCCCAATCTTTCGAGGTTTTCCGCGCCGTAACTTGAATGGGGGTCCTGCTGTGGCAAGGAATAGTTCGAGTATTTGAAGGTAAGGGATGTTCCATTCGTCTTCGCGGTGGTCTCAGCAACGTCAACAATTTCATGAGCAGCGTTGCGCACAACGGCCTTGTCCTCATGATTGGACCATTCGGTCATGAGAAGAAACCCTATACACCTCGTGTTAAACCGAGAATGGACAGGCCAGTAATGGGGAAACAGGCAAGCTGGGATTCGTCAATTAAAAATGCATTTCAGGAAATACATTGTTTGGAGTCACAATGTACCAGTGTGTGTTGATGTTCTTGGTGGATGTGGCGATCATAGTCTTGCCCATGCCTAGTATCTGGAAGCTCCAAATGCCCTTGAAGAGTCGCATGTCTATCTCAGCTCTCTTTGGACTTGGTGAGCCACCTGATGAGTACGAGTGAAAGAAGTACAGGATCAATAGCTGATTGTTTAACTCCAAAAAGGTATATTGAGCTGCGGTGCAGCACTGGCTCGCCTGCCACACTCGCGTTCGAGAACGACGAAGATTTTACGTGTGCGTACTCGCAAAGCTTACCCCACATAGCAGTGTCTTATTATATTACCACATTGTTGACATTTCATTCAAATGGACTCTATTGAAAAGTCCCTGGTATGGATGGTGGTGGAATTCAATATTGGACTGGTTGTGGGATCATTACCAACCCTTCGAAAGCTCGCGGCGTTCCAACGCATCTTTGGGACCACCCAACAAAGTAATGCCCTTAGTGATGGCCATTCTGGTCCTGGAATACAAGGTTCATTTGGTCAAAGGGGCTATCCTTTGCAAAATACGGTATGGAGCTCAGGAGGGAACACAGGTAGCCCGAAGCCTAACACTATACACAAAACCCTTGAGATCAGTCGGAGTGAGAGCTGCGAGAGAATTCTCGGCACTCCTGATGGGGGCCGTTTATAGCATATCGCTTAATTTACTTAATTAAGACACTGATTCTCTATAAGAACTGTCACCAGATTTGTCTCAAACGAGTATTCTTTAGGATGTTTTATGCGTCTTCTAATCCTCATGGCAGAAGAAAATCCAAATATACAAGTGATCCATTAAAAAGAGATATTGGATTGAAGCTAAAATGAAAGAGCAGCTCTCATTTGAGATTCGCAACTTATATCACAATGGCAGATGCAACCTTCGAGGCTGAAGGAAGACATGGGAAATGGAGAGAGAGAGGTGTGAGGGGCTCTTTACTTGGGTTGATTCGACTAGCTCCGATATTATAGTCGCCCGAAGGTGGGAAATAGCAATAAAAAACGTAAAAAACGAGAAACAAAAGAAAGTACCGTCCTTCCGACCGGGCCGACCACGGTCTCACTACGCAATGATCACTGTCATTACAGACTTCGCTGATTTGCAAAAAAGTTTTACTTCATCTCATCTTCAAGGACGAAAGCGCTTCTTTGCTCAATAGGAACCTTGGAAGGATCAAAGAAAGTTGGGTCTCATAGCCCTATATTTACATGTTGATTTGAAAGTTATATCAGTATGTTTCTCTACCTTCGCTCGACGCATCTCCAAACAGTCGTCTTGGCCAAGAAAAAGAGCGACCCGGCAAAACGGAAGAGTGAAAGCCCAACAGTACCCCATACAACAGCCAAGAGATAATTCCACATCCGTCTATCCGGCAATGTCTTGCAAAGAAATTAGTACGAAGGTCAGGCATGGGGTGGGGTTAAAGACCTACCGAAAGACAGAATTGGGAAATTCCCGTGCTCATAATGCAAAGCACCATGATCAGATTACTAAAAACCCACAAAGCCACGAGATATGTCCGGAAAGCTTTATAAATATCATCAGCGTCTTTGTCCTCTGATTCTGGTGGCTCTTCGAATGTTGCTAAAGCTCGCTTGACGGTTGCATGGAAGATGCTGTCGATATCAACTTGCGGTCGTTCCATTTCCTCGATGAACCTTGACTTCTCATCTCTCTTTGTTTGCGCCTCCGGCAAGTTCTTGCTCTTATCGACAGGTTTTGTGCCAATGGAGACATCATGCCAGTTGCAAAACGCGTATACCATTAAAATATTGGACCCACACGTCGTTCCCGCGAAGTAAGCCCAAAAAGAGGTTACCACATGCCAGGGGTCCAGATATAGTAAGCTTGCCACAAAATGTACACCGTAAGTAGCAACCAACGTGATTAAAATCATGGTCGATCCCAAATTATGAGAAGCAGCGGATAGCATGTCATCCTCATCGATCACAATGTCGAATGATACCTTTGTCGTGGCCTGGCTGACAAGATAAAATGCCAGAACTGCGGTGTATATCTGGATCACGGGGAAGTAGAGGAATGAGACCGTGTATGCTAGACCAGACCTGTGGCACCGAGGAATGTTAGTAAGAGCCAAACAGGAAGATGAATCAACTTGCCCTTTGGGGCGATTTCCAAGAGACAAAATAAATTGGATGCCCAATAGTAACACATAGCCGTATTTGAGAAAGTCGTTCACGATCAGAGAAGCCTCGTTACCAAACGGCCACGCTCTATTGTTATTTGATTTCATTGGTGTGCTCACAACGCCCATAATGACCGAGGTTATCAACCAGAAAGACGCTAGAAATTGTCAGTAGGGCATCGTTGCGGGAGTTGTGCATGAAATGAGCATACCCAACGAGAACCAAGAGAGCACAATTTGCACAAATTTGTACACCATTTGAAGATGCAGAAGAGCCATCTGAAGGATGCTCTGTCCGCTCTGGTAAATCCGACCGAAATGGATGAACGCATACAGATTCGCAGCAAATGAACCATTGAGCCATTGGCGCCTGGAATTGATAAAACCTGCAAAATCTCTCGGTACTTCGGCCTCGCCTCTCGCCCCTTTGACGAAGGCCAAACGCCAGTTGAATCCAGCCTTGGCGACCAACTCAAATGACAAGATCCGATCACCTGCGAAGAACATATTTTTCTTAAAAATGCTCATTTCGTCGAAGCCTTTCCTGCCGAGCTTCTTCGAAAGCGTCAAGTCACCGTGAAAATATTGTTCCAATGGTCGACCCATGATGGCCCGATACCGATATGCAGAAAACTCTCCAAGAGAAACTTGGCCAAGGATGCTCTCCAGTGGCTTTTCCAGAATATTCGATTTTTTCATCTCGAAATTTTGAGCAGCAACGAATGGGTTGATAAAACTCGTCTTGCTCATAATGGGATGGACTTCGCCGCAAGCCCCGCCGAGATTTTCGTCGTTATAGAATGATTGCCACAGCATCAAAAATGATTCCTTGCAGGGCTTTGTCCCGGCATCCAGCAAAACCACGACCTCTGGATTCAGCATACGGGAAAATGCGTTGAATATCCATCGATGTGAGTTAATTTTGTTACTAGTTTGCTGTTTCAAGCAGAAGATCATCTGGACTGGTGGAGAATTTGTCATTTCATCACCGTTCGGCCGAACTAGAGCCTGTTTTGACGTGACAGAAAGCTGTGTGGTATATTCGAACTAGCCGATTGTCAGTGATTAGAACAGAAAATAGTTTCGCCGAGCTTACGATGTGAGCGGTAGTTTCTCTCCCATCAACAGATCGCTTCATGATTCCGTCTTGGTAAACCCCAATTGTCGCCAGGACATCGAGGGTGTTTTTATCGCAAGGGTCAATTCCATCGAAAACCAGACAGACGACGATCTTCTGCCAAGCAGGCCCACCCTGATTCCAGAACTCTGATTTTTTGAGATTGACGATATCGCGAATATTTTGGGTCACGCCGTGCAGAGTCCTTGCCGTCAACACTTTATTCTCGTCCCGGTAGGTGATTGCGATGAGTAATTCAGTATGGCGATTATACATCGTAGGGCGCAGATTATATCCGTTTCGCATAACAAATTCGTCCGGGTCGCATGTTGCAGCCGTGTCTGTGCTGTCAGCTTTGAAATTGGTGCTCATTTCTAAACGAGTCAATACTTACATCGTAAGTGGGTGAATTCCTCGGCATTTTCTGCCGATTCCCGATACTGTTTCTGCACGGCGTTCTGGATCGCGCTTGGTACCGGGTAGTCTGCGCTTAACACATTGCCTTGACCGAGCTTGATTTTCCTAGTTGGATGGCGACGAATGCCAGGTAAAAGTGACCGGCGTACCTGGAGAATCGTTAGCATCCTTGTTCCCGCCTGTCGCCGGGTCTTGAGCTCACGGGGGCGGGCCGCGATCCGCCAACATCGGAGGAGCCATCTGAATAGAAACTGCTGCTACTCCTTTTGTGTTGGCTAGTAGAAGAGTCGCCGGATTGACCAGAAGAGCTGGCTGATGGCGTGAGAGCCCCCATCGTGTCTTGGAACAGCCGGGTCAGGGGCGAAGTGACTCCGGGGGAGTAGACGACCAGTTACTGGTCTATGCGGCCCAAGCGGCAGTGCTAAATCGTACGAGGAAAGATCTGGGGATCTAAAGAGAAAACGGGGGAACTTATGCCAATCGTCTGGGCGATCATTATTTGACGGAGAAGCTAGTGTGACTGATCATCGCGCCCAATAAATGACCAATCCAAAAGCGACACACAGCGCGGAGTGGGCAAGATAAAATTATTGACACCCAGCAGTGAAAGGCTTTTTTTCACACTGATTTCTATCTTTACATTACTCGTACATCGAGACATTTTGATTGGCAGTACAAGTTGCGGGCCATGGATTCGTATCGGCGGAGGCGGTCTCGCTAACAACGCTGCGCAATGGTCGTACGTCAGCGGGTCTGGATAGCGGCACACTAGCAATGGAGGGGATGAAGATAATTTCATGATGCTATCACACCACGCTTTTCCCTGGCATTAAGCCAAAAGACACCCATCTACGAAGCATTTTGTTAGGACCGGTCAGTAATATACAGAGATAGGAGACTGCTAACGCAGGCGTAAACTCAATTGAGTTTTTCCGTGGAGCGAGGGATGATTGAGAATAAACTATCGCTTTTGGGGATCCACTCACCCCCCACCCCTCGTAACGCGTCTCTCACGCGTGTCCGTCTTCTAGGCCCTATGTAACTGAATTGGGTCAGACAGTGTGCCAAAAAAGAAGTAGAAGGGTGGACCCTTCATTGGATATTCTCTGCGAACTGTCAGCGAAGTAAAAACAAACTAGAAAATTCGTTTTGTCCATATCCGTGGAGGATAATCGTGGCTGCAGGCAAGACAAGGGATGAGAACAACCATTGGAAAGACAACTGCTAGCGTGCAGAGTCAAAAAAGGAGAGCTGGAGCTGCTTTGAATATAGAACGTTATCCAGACTAAATGAACATTACATGCGTAGCGACATCTCCGAGCAATATGGCGATGAAGCGAGCCGAAAAACTAAAGCTGGGTCGACACCTGGACGAAACATTGACAGAAAGAGCAGCACTATTGAAATGATCTCAACCCGGCGGGTTGACCACAGAGGATATTTCTTGATGAAACATCGCTATTTTTCCAGCATGAAGGGCGGCTATTGAACAGCTCTCATAAGCATGACTGCACAGAATTGGGCCCTGGGGCCTGCAACGACAGCCAGATGTCCATAGTAAATACTATAGTTTCCTATGCGCACTGGCATCATTTTGCTGGTGCTTATCTTAGCTCACCAAATCATAGTGGAAATCAAAGAATACCTAGGTATCAGATGTCGAAAGGTTTGCTGTAAAATAATCCTTGAGGCGAGGCAGTAGAATAAGAACTTGAACACCATTTTAAATGCATTTATCTGCCACAGGAATTATCAGTATCCAGGTTATGATTGGCCTAGATATATTGTCTTTATATAATTATCTCAGGTGCGCAAGAGCCCCTGAACAGTAGACTCTTCCTTATCTTCAAAATTCGAAGATTAATATATACCGACCTGGACGGCTGGAACGGCCTTATACCTCGACCTGGAAAGTGAAAGCAAGTATAACGCCGCCCATCGTAACTGCTGATAAAATGACAGGCAGCCCAACTTGATCTGCGAAGCTGAAAGGTACCAAATTTTGGTTTTGGGGCCGCAACATCTGCGGATAAAAGTACCAGGTTGAGGTGATCCCCAGCCATACCATCGTCCAGGCCAGCCCAAGAAGTCGTTGCGATCGTGGTAGTGGTGCATCAGTTTGTGTTTTACTTTCCTTGTTTTGATTTAAAATGCGTCGCCACAGTGCTTTAAAGGCATCTTCGACTATGAGTCCCAGTGGAGCCAAGGCGAAGAACAACATGGCACCTGATTCTTGCGAGGGGATTCCTTGCACAATATCCAACACAACGTGCAATCCACCGGAGAGGAAGAAAACAATGCAGATATTCATATACCGCTGGAGTGTAGAATTTGGTGCTAAGCCTAGGGCATCGCGAGTAATGAGGCGGCTGATAGACGTCAAGGGTTGTTGTAGGAGTTGATGCCAAAATTTTCTATATGAAAGGTCATTATTTATAATGTGGGGTTGAATACACAAGCAGAAACTTACGACCAGAATCCTCGTAAGCTGTAGGTGTCTGTTGCCTTCCCAAATAGCGGAGGCCAATCTGACGTCGAGTCGAGACCGATTCCAACAGCTATGACCGAGAAAACACGGTGGTGGAAATCAATAAGGATGCGACTGACGACAAATCCGGCCATCAGATTTGAGACGATTCGCTCGATCAATTGCTCAGTTGATATATTCCATTGGACAGTGCTCGACAGCGTTCCGGATTTTTCTTGTTCCATTGCCTGTCGCAAGGCAAGGGCTGAAAACATATCCAGTGCTAGATATTGCCAGGAAGCGATTGAAAATTGCCGTATCAAGAATCGCTTGCGTGTAGGCACAGCCATATTGTTTCGTTCGTAATACGTAGGCTGTGGTGGGGTATTGTTGATTTGCCATGGAGTATTAATCCCCCGAGGATGTGTGAAAAATTGGCTCGAGATATAAATGCGTTTCAAGACGCCCTGGCCGACATCAGGAGGTATGTCATGGCCATCCTTTGAGTTGATGAGCAGTAGGTTCAGACTCTGGCATGCGACTGTAAGAAACAGACGTGCAAGTTCACACCAAATGAATCCTGGGCCTAGCAGGGATGCGACATGTATTGCTCTATGTAAAATGCAGATCGAGACTGGAATTGAGAGATATCGTAGAAGTGATCGCTTTGCCGTCGTCAGCAGTAGATACGCAGGTAATAAAACATGGGCCGTGTAGAGAAGCAAGATTTCCAGAATATTTGCCGAGGTCGACGCGACTGGTTGATCCATGGTCACACCGGGCCACCCTGCGATTGACAAGATACCGTTTGGTAGCAGAACCTTGGGTATGAGACGGCATTCAGCAATGTAGAGACGATGAGCCCACAAAGAATTTTTGTCCATTCTTGCTTCTCAGGCCCGTCGGCGTCGCCCGCCTGGCAAGAGATTTCATTGGTTGGCCCCTCCAAGCTGCAGATCTCAGGGGAACCCCTTTCTTGGCCTAGCGCATAGTATTCTCGCCAGTTGAAATCCGACAGCCTGGAGCCAAAAATCTTACGATCGCAAAAATTCCGTGGTTTCATTGGAAGTTCCTTACACACACCACCGGAGCCGGTAAGGATGATGAGCTGTGAGCTGTGAGCTGTGACAAAAGCTCAGAACCATAAAATTGGTGATTTATGTGAATGTCTACCTAGCAGAGATCGAGGAGAGAGCGAGGCAGCAACGGGATGACGAATTGGATGCCTGAGGGAGCTAACCCTCAAGAACCTGTGATAGTCCGGCGGCTCCAACATTCAATTATTAGGGCGAACATCATTCTGGTTCACGAAGCTGATTATCGATCACAGCGTTGATATTTTTTTAAGGGTTAGATCGCGGGTTAAAGGGTGACAAACCCTTGGAAGATAAGAATAATCAAACAGAATCATAGTCACTGTACTAACTAATCCTCAATGTGTGCAGTAGGCGTCTATTTATAACATTCTCTCCCTTTTTACTTCCATGAGAACTCGGAAATGTCTTGATTAGATTGATTAATCACCTAAGTCACTCATGGACCCGACCAAATGCTTGCCTTATCGCATCACCCACCTGTGCCGCGTGGAATAGGATTAGTTAATGCCAACTCAAATGATCAGGACAAATATGAAGTGGTTGCCTGACGTGCAGAATATTTTAATATTCTGAAATCCTAATAAGGCATCCCATAATTGCGGTCCGAAGTCTTCTTTATTTTCCAGAAGAAATTGCGCATGTCCGTAAGGGTAGGGGTCTGGCCGAGAATCGTCAGGATATTTGCAGACGCCATCCTCACCAAATGACATATGTAGAGGGTGCTTTTGCTGTGTCTATGGCGCGGAAATCGTAAGTTGACAAGGCATTTATAGATTCCTGGAAATGAGGCAGTAGCCATGGCGGTGTTTTCGCAGCACTCCCATCTCCGAGAAGACCTATAGTATTGAACCACTGGTGCAAGGTGCTTGGCAACGGCTCGATGGTTAAAGGACACGGGGCATCTATTAATATCAAGCGATCGACATTTTCTCCGGACTGAATGAGTTGCCGATCGCTTTTGAAAGCTATAACGCCGCCTGCGGACCATCCCTATGATAACTTATTATGTTCACATGTGCACCCGGGTGCGTATGCGGATGACAAACTAACCCCAATATTATAAGGCCCCCTTTCCTGTCTTCTTCTCATTTCCCGAATGAAGTCTTGGGCCATACCTGAAACTCCACACGTATATTCCTCCGGTGTCGTCATAAACGGTGAGTTCAGACCATACACAGCAATGTCTGGAGACAAATCAGGTATTTGCGTATATAAAGTAGCTGAGCCACCGCATCTGGGAATAGGAATAGTTTTTTTTGTAGCTGTTCTTGGATTTCCCTGCAAAGGGAATAAAGTGGCATGCTTGTCCGGGATCAGTGTGTATGAGATCGATGGGTGAGAAACCTTTGCCAAAGATTGCGGGAGAGAAAGGTATTTTTTTTCGTCTTGGTGATCTGAAATGCTGCTCTCCCAATGCTCTATATTTTCGGTAGAGAGGATCGTATCGTCTGTGACACTGAAAATACTCGATGGAGTGCGTTTGCAGTGAGAGGCCGTTGTCGATGATACTGACTCATCTGCATATTCGGTACTTTTATCATCATTTAGCTACCGCATATAAGATCTGAGGAATCCAACTGTTGGGTTATCGATAAAGAGAGACGATGAAATTTCAAGTGAAAGCTCTTGCCTGATTCGCGAGCTTATAGCAAGTTGCATCAGGGAATCGACTCCAAGATCAGCAAAGCTGATGATGTCCGCTAGTTCACTTTGATCAATGCCGCATTCTTCGGCTACTATAGTAAGAACTTGAGATAGTAGTTATGGCTCATCGATATTTCTCTGACCGATTTTTAGTCCGGATATAACGGTCGGGCCAGCTTTTCTTCGCTCGGTGGCCCGCTCCTCGGGAATACTGGCGGATCGAGATGTCGCAGGCTTAGACCGTGGGAGTATTTGATCAAGTACAGCCCTTGGTATGTGCATGAAGGTAACGCCCCTGAAGACAGCGATGATGGAAGTCCCCTCAAAGCAATATACGTCGCCAGCGACTAGAATTCCTCCCGGACTTTCCATCATTCGAACATATGTTCTGTAAGTCTTTCCAGGGAGGAGGGTCTTGGCGAACCGGAGAGACTCCCAGCCATGAGAGACGTAAACGGTTTTTGGATTATGATCACTTAAATGAGCATTCAGAACAAATCCTGACAAGTGTCCGATGCTGTCGATCCAATAGGGGGGAACGGTGAAGGTTTGATCGGTATCAGGGGCCTCAAGCACAACGTCTGCAGTCGCTTCCCACTGCAAGGGGTCCAAATACACTTTTTTCATGCCTTGGAAAGTCATGTCATAATCAACAAAGGATGAGAAGAGCTTATAGGCAACTGGTTAATGTAGAAAGTGTACTTCGTGACCTTGGCTTTGCTCGCGAAGCGCTTGCATGCGTGATTCAACCAAAAGGCCAGTTCGCTTCCAGTCATTCACGTATTCCGACTCTTTGCAGAATTCAACGACAAAAGAGGCATGCTGACCTTCTTGTGAGCTAATCTCGATTTGAATACTCTGCCTTGAGCTGCTGGCCTTTGCGTTAATGTTGATGATATGTGGTGTAAGGCCCCGCGATATGAGTGTTTTTTGAACAGCCATGTCTCGCACATTCATAATAGGAGTAGAGTCGGTCGTTGGATGTGGGCTCATACTATTGTGAATATAAGCCCCTAGGGTGATTCCAATGTCCCCATGAAGCGAAGAAGGACATAGTGCGACGTGGCTGACCACATGCCCTTTCAGCAAGTGGCGAATAGCCGACAGTGATAAATCAGTTTCTGCATTAACGATATTGTCGACATCACCAAATTCCTCTTTCACCACACGGTGAACAGACGTAGTAAGAATAAACTCAGGCACTTGCGAGTGCTGGAGAGGTACCGCATTAGTTCCCTTATTCAAACACCAGTCATTCTGATTATCGATCCAGTAATTTGACTGTGTCCAACCGTAAGATGGGAGTTCAAGCAGCTCCAATGAGTTTTCAAATTCCCGATGATATTATCCCCAATCAACCTTTGCCCCTCGGTTGCTAAGCTCGCTTGCCGCAAAGGCCAAATTATCCCATGGCCTTTTCTTTCGATACAGAGAAGCACAGGTAGTGACTGAGGCGCCGAGAGTGGATTCACGAACGAATTGCAAACTGGACTAGGCCCGATTTCTAAGAAAACAGAGTCACTGGTAATGATACCGTTGGACTTAGCATCGCAGAGTGCCCCGTAGAAATTTACTGTTTGACGGGCATGCCGACACAGATATTCTGGGTCAATTGAAGAGTCCCCAAGGGGCCTTCCAAGCGTCGCAGATAGAATTTCAGATTTTAGTTTTCGGAAAGTGACCTTCGAGCATATTTCCCTAAAGGGTGCCAGTATAGCATCAACCTGTAGACTGTGGAATGCGTACGGCACAGCCAAGGATGTCGCTCTATAGCCGAGACTTTCAAATCGGTGTTTCAACGTTTCAACCTCAGTAGTTGGGGCGCTCAAAACAAACTCCTTGGCGCTGTTTATACATGCAAGATCAGATTGCTGTAAATTCATTTGATCTGAAGATGAATCTTCCCCTTGTATGGCAAGCATGGCGTGGGTTCCAATCGTACAGTTCATCTCCATTAATTTGGCTCGGGATCCCACAAGATAGATCGCATCGGCGGCTGATAGAACACCAGAAGCACAAAGTGCAGCATATTCGCTGAGGCTGTGGCCAATCACAACGTCTGGTACAATTCCAATTGAGTTCCAAAGGCGGATCAGAGCCATTTGAATGGAAAGCTGTGCCACTTGAAGAAGCACCGGAGAATGCTCGGTTACTGGTCGGTCATCGCTTCCATCAACAAAGCTCTGAATCCTCAGGAACCCATTGGTGATACAAATCGAGTTGAACTCGATTAAGCTAGCCCTGTACACTTTGTTTTTTCGGGAAAGATCCGATCCCACGGCAGGGTACATCGTGCCTTGTCCGGTTATGATCAGTACAACTCTGGGCGCGTGCGGGACTGGCAGATTATCTGATGATATTGCACGCACCAGGGCACTTTTGACTTGATCGACATTCCACGCTGCAACGAAAAATAGGTAGTTGTGATGCATTCTCCGTGACGTCGTTGTGTATGACAGACTTGGAAGAGACACGTTTGGGTGTGTAATCAAATAATCGAGATAAAGCACGAGCCGAAACCGCGACGACTTGTGTGGTTCGAGGGTCAACGCCTCTTAGAGATCTGGCACTTCCATCTGTGATGACCATGGCAGTGTTACCACCTGCACCACTGAAATTATTCACAAATACTTTTCGACCTTTTGACGACGTGCACTTCCAGGGGATTGGCCCCTTGGCAACATGAATACCCCCCCCCTCCAGCAAGTGCAGGGAACCCTCCGTCCAATCCCTTTCTGATACCAGAATGAGGTGGGATTGAATTGTAGACGCATCATCAGAAGAGTTTTGATCAAAGCAGTGACTCCTGACGATGCTGGCCCGTGACCGACATTTGCTTTAACAGATCCAACGTAGAGTTTCTGCTCGTTGAAACGAGAACCCATGGATGCAAAAACACCAGTGACAGATGAAATCTCTCTATTGTCGCCCGCTTGCGTACCGGTTCCGTGTATTTCGACATAGGAAATATCTTGCGATTTTACGCCGGCCTGTGACAGAACCCGACGATAAAGATTCTCTTGCGTAGCCCCATGAGGATGTGTGATTGAAATAGCATCGGCCGAGTGATTTGGCGCGACAGATCGAATAATCCCTAGAATATTATCGTGATCGGCCTCGGCGTCTGCGAGTCTTTTTAATATTATGGTTGCGACTGCATCTCCACGGCAATATCCGGAGACGGATGATGACAATGCCTCGTCTAGTGGTAGTAGCGATTGCGACGACGACTCTGACTCGGAGGAGAGAGGCGCCAAGAGACAAAAAATGTATGCAGTGAAATATGTCAAGCTACGTGCTTCCCCACTTCCAATTGCTCTGTTGCGGCCATGTCCCGCATATTTATTTACCGAGAAGTCTAAGGAAATGGACAAATTTCGCGCTTGCCAACAGTGGGATGACACAGAAGTCATTATAACTGACAATTCTCACCCAGAACAGAAAATGAATCTCATTGATCACGCAGTTATGACAAATGATCTCGGACTTTTGCGATTTCTTCTGGGCATGGCACAGAATATTACAGATAGAGATCATTGTCGCCGAAAACTGGATTCGGTTCTGAATCCATCATTTCTATTGGCACTGAAGTTGGGTCGAATCGAGTGCCTTTCAATGATTGTCGAGAAGAGTGGAGCTGGACTATTTGCGCAAGGAGACTCAGAAGAAGGGTATCTGCTTGATGGTATGCTGCTATCAGGCCTATGAATAGCTATTGATCATAAGCTAAAGGCGTTGCAGCTCCACCGACGAGTCATAACAAGTCGCCACTCCTAGTAGCTGCTATGGAGGGAAACCTCGAAGCTACTCGATGGATGATGGGCCCAGATGCAATCGAGCAGTACGTGAAGTAAATTAAGGCCCACGAAGACAATCCCCGAGTGTCGGAATTTGTGAAGTCGGGGGATGAGGTTGGAAATCGCGTATTAAAGTGGCTACATGACAGCGGTAAGTCGACTCGCGACATTCAATATTGTCTCCATGGATTGCTAAGTATATGGAGATGACTTGGTCCTTCACTGGGCAATCAAGTCCAAACCATGCGCGGAATCCGAGCGCCTCATTCGATACTTGATCAACCGGTACCCTGAATATATGGAAACACGGACTGCGGAACTTTATACGCCCTTGAGCCTTGCCTTTGCATTTGGCCAAATTCGATTCGCCCGGATCCTTCTCGATGCCGTAGCAAACCGAACAGTCAAAGATGGAATTGGAAGAAATTTGCTGCATTTACTCCTCGTTCGCCCCTACATGGACCAAAATGAAAGCTTTATTTGCAAAAGTGCGGATTTGCTCCTCGAAACACTCGAAATGCTCAATTCAGGCCACATCTCGTCCATGCTATCGGAGAGAGATAAACAGCAACATCAGACGCCCTTGATGCAATGGCTCTCTAGAAACAGCGAGGCATATCTCAGATATACATAATTTCCAGGGACTACTTGGCCTGATCCAGATAGCGATGAGAGATTAGCAATTGCCAAAATTCTCCTCGACTACGGCGATCCGATGAATCAAGACCCGCTGGAGATTCCTGACATAAAAGGATCTCCCTGTTCATGCGGCAGTCGGTAAAAGATTCACCGGTATTCTGAAGCTGCTATTGGAACATCGACCAGATTTATTGTTATGGTAGACTTCTTTCGGGAATACGGCATTTGATCTTGCCAATGACCAATGGGCTCATCTTGTTCTTTGCGAACGCCACAGTCCATTGAAAATTTCAGCGTGGGTCGATTCCTCGTCTGATGGTTTTGTTAATCGAGACCCTCTCTCATTCGTCGCCTCCGAACTCCCCTTGAAATTTGATCAGACTAAGTCTCACCATCGGAACATCCTTGATGTCTGTCGGAACCTGATTATTCAACTCCCCATAAACGGAGAGTCCACCTCGGAAAAGGCGGCTCACCTTGCTCGCGTAAAAATTGAAAATCGGGTTAGCCTTCCTCTCAATATGGATTGGCTATTCTATGATCGCGATAGAAGCTGAAAAGGTGTGTGGGCTCCAAGACTATCAAATATTTTCGGTGCTGCTGAATTAATGAAATCAGTACGTTCTAGTTCGAGGGGAGTTTGAAATGATTCAATTTAGTGCTGTAGTAGCCACTGTAGAGAATGAAGTTAAGCAAACTTTATTGAACATCTATATAATGCATAAGGCAGCACCGCAAAGTTGCAATCTCATGCCCATCAATGATCCTTCTTCCAAGTTTTTTCTTTCTCGTTTTCCAATTTCCAATTTCTTCATCACGGGAGGAGCGAAATTGAAGAGTTCCGTTCACAACCTTCTTTTCCATAACCCCACTGGCAGATGTACCATGACCTACGTCACCATCGCCTAGGACATGATAGAGAATAGCAGTAGTTTACGACTCCCAAAGCACCGCGTCCTTCAACTTGTTAGAAGAAGGATGCGAGAAAAGAAAGAAGGGCAGAACTCCTGTCATAAGTGTGGGCTATTCGGATATGATGTTATATTTTCGTTTTGGGTCGTGTATATGCAGATTAAGCCACATTCCCTGTATGTTTGAGTTATGATACAACGTTATCGTCTATTCTCTAATACTCTTGCTGGTTGTTCCAGTAGAGAGTTCCATGGGTAACCTCTCCAAGAGGTTCAAGCTCCCATCTCAAAACCAACCTAACCCATTGTAGCAGATGGCTTGCGAGCTTGATGTGGCCGACATCGGTCGGGTGGTTCTTAGGGTTGATATCGTTGTGTTGCAAGATACCCTTGGTACTAAAATAGTAGACGAACCCTTGGTCCTTGTAATGTTCGTGAATAGCACGGTGTTCATCCTCATAGACCTCGCTCGGGACGAAAGATAGGCCATCTTGCTTCCACGAGCCCCATTGGGACTAAATACGAGATATTAGTTGATGATGATCAATATGGAGGTTCAAAAGTACAACGTACCACGAGGAGAACAGTAGCATGTGGGTGTGTTTGGTGAAGGTCATCAATCAACTCGATATAGCCATGGTAGTAATTGCGACCGGGGATTTCGTTGGGGTGTCGGTGGTCGTTTCCTCCCATCTGAATGAGGAACAGATCCGTGGCCTGGTCACCCTTCACGTCGAATTTTTCGGGCTCATCGCCATAAGTGGCACGAGCACGGCTTCCTGGATCGGATGCCCTATGCCAGTACCAGCCCTATGAATGGGTTGATAAGTATGATATTGCGGAAAGAGGAGGGCCAGGAATTGGTGTAACATACTATGCCGTGTGATTGACCACCATAGCATTGCTTATCAACGAGGCATACGCCAGGGTAGGCCTATCCATGAAAGATGTTATTGGCGTTTCTCTGGATTGCGATCGGCATCCACGTTGTCCATACCGTTAAAGTGTGCTCGACATTGCCCAGGCCGGCGACAAACAACCATGACCACGACGAGAGTGTCTCGTAAGTTCCGTACTGTCCTGCGGCGACGCTTTGGAGAGTCAGTGAGTTAGGTCCTCTCGGTATATGAGGCAAGATAGACGTACGATCCACCGATAACCTCAACCTTCTTCTCGAACCGTGGCGGGACGTTAAGATGCGCGTCACCCGCCGACGAGACGCTAGCAATCTGAACTGTAGAAGGGTATAAGTAGGCGCAGAGGGATCGATTGGGAAGGGAGGGACTTATCCAATGCCCCAATTGGTCACTAGATAAAAAGTCAGTTGTCGGGCAAGTGTCATGCTACCTCGGAAGGATATCATACCTCGCATCTCAAACACCTTGCCGGTATCCGCAGGTACCTCTCCAAGTTCTGAGTCGTCCCCTATAAATTGATAGGTGGAATCGGCAGTGACATTGGAATACTGCCAGTCAAGGTTTCCAACACTGTTCAATGAGTCAGGATCATGATCCGGGCGCGAATGTCATCGAGGAAGAGTTACCGGTAGGCGACGAGGGCGCCATCGTTGGTACTGGGCCCGAAGCTCACAGCAAGCTAACAAAACCGTTAATTATCTCATAACGGTGGCACATTCGTCATTGTCGTGATAAGCGCATACCTTATTTCCAGTGAATTCTGTTTTAATCCCCGGCGCTCTGATGTCAGGATCGTCGTTAGTAAAGGTCGCAAGGGGGAGGGGAAAGTCTGGGGAAGACGAACGACCACCCTAAGGAACTGTCAGAATGTATTGCATCATATGGGGGGGGAGGTCGAGAGCTAGTTAACGTACAAGAAACATGTTGGCTATCCCAGCGGCCTTTAAAAGCGATCTCCGGCGCATCCGCCTCGTATGTTTTCCAGTTGTCGTCCAGCGTGATCACGGGCGCCTGTCCCGGCCACGGGTCTTCCCTCTCCTGGCCATTTTGCAGAATAGTCGCTGAGGCATGTAGCGACCACGCGAGCCAACCAAGGATATGTGTTACCCGCATAGTGAGAGTCGATGCAATTTCAACGGGATGGGGGTCGCATCAACTGTTATTCTCCAGATCAAATTGCAGGGCTAACGCGTGGTCAAGCGGACTCCTTGTCTATCTCCGATGCGGTCAAAGAAACTATAATGGCGTGATTTGTTCTAAGTGGTCCGCACAAGGTCCGCACAATTTATCGCAGTCCTGAACAAACGGGGCGGCTGATAATTCAGGAATATCAAACGCCAAGAGGTCAATTTCCAAAGAGGGGGGGGTTAAAGCGATAGCTGAATGGGGTGCGGAGTTTGTAGTCTAGAAACAATTCATAAAAAGAATTCCAGCGGGGCGAAATAAACCCTGAGTTTCGGACCAACCGGATTGGAGGAGCTTCGTTCAGGGGCTCATCAGTTTATTTTGGAACCGTTCGGCTAACGCCAAAACTTCGCTGGTCTTTGGATCGTGTGAACCATTTATTCCCCCATGATTGGTCGGTTATAGAACGCCCAAATGTCTGGGCACACAGTCTGTTTCGACAGAAGAGGGTGGGTCCCATTGCCACAGATCTTGGCGGACACGAGGAATTCCCTTGGATGTAACATTGAGCAGTATGTAATATACATCAATGACTCGCCTTCACAAAGGGGCATTCAAATAGTCGACGTCAGCCCCAGACCACTCACACTCCTCAAGCAATGATTTGGTGAAAGGTTCTCATTTTCACCACTCTATGTATACATAGACATACTACACTGGACCCTGAGGCGCTAAATCCTGCTCGGGAATTTCCGAGTACGCGTGTTGTACTGGATGGCTGTTGCGGCTACTCGTACAATTGAACGAACCCTGAGAACCCCAAATTACATCCGTATTACCAGGTTATGTGTATGCAACAAATCGCTCTCCCCCAACTCCGACGGGATGGTACATAGGGCTATCTCAATGGGTTCTGAACTGAAGTTCTCGAGTGTGTGCACCGCCCAGCCTTATTTAAATGGCTTCATGCCTGTCAATTTGAAGGTGTGGGCAGGCCATCCCTGACATTCTTAAATAGCCTTCACTTTTGTCCAAAATCGTTTCGAAGCGTTGGCCCAAATTGTGCCAAGTGGTGGCGGGGATGTCTCGCACCCGGTTAGCCCCTGTGACCAAACTTTCGATGAAATCTGGTCCTTTTCGGAGCGCCAAGCCGAAGGCGTACCCGGAAAGCTGACATCCCCCATCAGCGTGGAGTTCTCTTTCAATAGCCCCGGTCGTTGGGATCCAGTAGGACCAGCCTCGCCTGAATACTAACGGGGTAGTTTGCAGGACATCTCTTCTGCAGTCAGGCGACGGGGAGTAGGGTACCTATCCTTGGACCATTCGATGAGATAGAAACCTCACAATTCTTTCATTTTCTCCATACCAATCTCCTATTCTGTGCGGTTGTATTCGAGACAGTCAAGAGCTTATTTCTACCCCTGCATTGCTGTTGTTCCCATGGTTTTCCAAGTTTGAGCGCCACAGTCAATGCCAAGCCCACCGGTGTAATATGGGTAATTGCGGTATTCGCCCTGTATTGATCGCTCAGGGTTCAGAAGATTCTCCACTCTGCCAAGTTGTAGATCCATGACGATCCAATCGTGCAGAACGTTACTGCGATTAGGTCAAATCGCGCCATTTGCCCGCCACTTCATGCAATACCTTCATACGTACGCTTTCTTCCCCCTTTCCGGGGCTCCGCCACGTATTCGTTCAGATATTTTGATGTGTGAGACACTGGGGTAATGTAGGCACTAGAAATGACATTAGACTCGAAGAACAAGCAACGGAATTGTCACACCGTACTTCGAGGGCGAACCCAAAAAACTTCCATCGCCGAAAACAATTCTGCCAAGGAAAACCTCGCCCCGCTGAATCCCCAAAAACCACGCAGGAGAGCCCTGTCAATCAATCAGAGATCATGCTTCTTCCCGAACTTGCTTCGCTATAGGGCTGGTTTCAAGAAAAGTCCATTGCAGGGAGGTGATCAACGCCGAGCCCACGCATGTTCCGTGTCCTAGGGGGGTTGGAGCGGAATAGGACTCGTTTACTGCACTTGATTGGGGGTAGGTGGCTCTTCTTCTCCAGCCTTGTCAGCCTCTCATCATTGATATCCTCCGTTCGTATTACCGGGGGTCGCGAAAAGCTTCCCCTCTTCGGGACTGCTTCGGTCTTAATGCCCTCTTTAGATTGATATCACCTTGTGGGTTGTGCCCACTAGTTACCCGTGGAATCCGATAGCGAAATGGCAATAAGAAGGCCCGCCAGAGGTGTCAATCATGGAGGCATCTACGTCAGTTCGGGGTTACATGTTTCAAGGCAATAGAGCCAAGACATTGTGCATATGAGATGGAAAATGACAGGTGTGCCGCCGGGGCTCCTGATGTTAGACCCGAAGGAATGAATGGATCATAAGGCAGAATGAAAATCAATCGTAATTAAGTGACTTTATCTCCCACGGGCTTCCGGGATCTTACACGAACGGCTGCTCCATACCTCAGTCGCAAGTACTGTTTCTGGCAATTGATCACCTTCACTGTGTCGCAGCTTTTGCGTGACTGGGCCCGCTTGTCAAGCCGAGGCCTGGCGCTACGTATTGGTACCAGAGATACTTTGTACATAGTGGAGTCTGCCATTCGGCAATCTCCTGGCGGCCGCCCTATGAGCAGGGGAAATGGTCCGCGCTCGAGTTGTTCAAAACCCCGGGCCCCCCCCCCTCTCCCACCTATCCCTTCCTTCTTCGTCGTTTAGATATCTTTCAGCCTTCGGCGGGCCAAATCCATCCGCCCCATCTTGGCATATGTTATAATTATTTGAGAGAAGGTCGACCTCATTCTCTCTCATTCACTCGTTCATAATCTTCCGACCTTTTAACTGCGCCCCAGCATTCCGTCAGGTTATTCTCTGCTGGCCAAGAGAATATTACCCGATGAGCGGTATTTGATTCGAACACTTGGTTCTATTTTGACATTTCCTCCACATCTACGTTATGGATTACATTCGGCAAAATTATGTCTATACCAGGGTTCTGGAGAGCCTCCCCTGGAAATCCGGGGACCCTAATGTGAAGGGTGACCCCAGGAAGAGCGTGAAATGGATTGACGTGAGTTATTCCGCCGCGAGGACCAGTTGACAAAAAATCCTTTTTGCTGACTCTGTATGAATAGGGACTTCGAGGAATTGCATCCTTTCTTGTTGTTATGACCCATCTTGCTCGTGCGTGGGACTATGATCTTTTTGCTCCGCGCGACGATGAAGACACCCCACCGCGCATTCTCCAGTGGCCAATCTTGCGAATTCCCTGGCAAGGTCGACTCGGCGTGACCATTTTCGCCTTTCTTACCGGTTATGTTTGTGCCCTGAAGCCCATCAAGCAGTCCCGCAACGGAGATACCCTTGGATCTTTCACTTCGGTGGCAAAGAGCGCCTTCCGCCGACCACCTCGCCTCATCTTCCCCGCCACGATTGCCCTTATAATATCTTGGGTGATGGCACAGTGCGGAGCTTTCATTGCTGCTAACCGTTCCGACTGCTGGTGGTGCCGCTATGCATCTCCTGATCTTGCCCCGACCTTTTGGGAAGAATTCGTCCGCCTGTTTGAGAATTTCTTGGGGGTTTGGACAACTGGCTATATGGCATACGATGATCACCAGTGGGCCCTCCTGCCTTTGCTGAAGGCTTCCATGCTTGTCTATGTTCTCCTGTGCATCACCATGTTTGTTAAGTTTCGCTGGCGCCTGGGAATCTATTTGGGAATGTTGCTTTATTTCCACCAGAATGCTGCAAAGCAAACCGGTATGTCTAACTTCTGCTTCAAGTCTGTGAATCTGACTAATGAATGATTTGAAGAAACCTTCCAGATGCAAGCTATCTACGGCATGTTCCTCAGCGATCTTTCCTATGAAACCGCGTTTAAGCAATTTGTCGAGGATCACAAGTGGGGTCGTCGAGTCGTTTCGTTCATCCTCTGTCTTTCTGGTCTCCTGATCTGCTCATACCCTGGCGAACACCCGGAGTGGGCTACCTGGTCACAGTTTATGAAGGATGCGTCTCACTACATCTTCCCACCTGAAGTTAACATCGGGCGGCGTTACTCGGCTCTCGGCGTGGATCTCATCATCGCGGCCATCTACATTTCACCAACTACCAAGCAGTTCCTTTCCAGCAGTGTTCTTCTGTGGCTTGGCAAGCAGAGTTTCGCAGTCTATCTTGTCCACGGTACTCTCCTCCGCACCGTCCTTTGCTGGTGTCTCTATGGTATTACTGGACAGCCCTGGGAGGGTCAACCCACCGATGGCAATGGAAACCCGATCCTCGACGAGCACGGTGAGCCTCTTCACCCGCAGTATATACCCATCCGGGCGCCATGGGTCGTTGCAATCTCCATCCCGGCATGGATTGTCCTGGTTTACTTCTGCGCCTCCATGTGGACGACATACGTCGATCCTTTCTGTGCGAAAATGGCACACAAGCTGGAGAAAACGATGTTCGAGCAGGACGAGAAGTCAGAGGCGGCTCTGCCCCTGAACAACCTGCCTATGAACACCATGCCGATGACGAGCGCATAATATCATACCCGTCATTGCCGCAAGGCTAGGTGTCTCGTTGCATATATTTCTTACATCTTTTTTGGGATGATTCTTTTTGTCAGGGGGGATCATTTTCATGAAGTCACAACGCTTTCACATCTTACTTCTCATGTACATATATTCAGCATTTTAGCATTTTCTTTTTCTCACTTGTCAAACTTCTACTCGTGCATATATCTGTCACGCTGCATTTTGAGTCACTTGATTTATGGACTCGGTTTCAATATTTTGTCAATAATATGCCTACAAAAAATCCAACATCTTTCAATAATCCGATTTCAAAATGTGGCAAAATAGTATAAAAATAAACCAAGACCTCAAGCCACATACATAGAATACAGGAACTAGTACCTCCGCCATCTTCCACCTGCCAGACACATCTCACAATGGGGTACACTGCACTCCGTACTCGGTCCTTCGTACGGGTACGGACAACGTGGCAAAGACCCTATGAGCGAGGACCGCCAGGGGCCCGAGAACGAGATTGCGCTCGTTTTCTCTTGAATCTGAGACCCCTCCGAGCGGACTCCACCCAAGTCTTACCCGAAATGGCTCAGAGTGTCTCCACGATGGGCGGCCCAATCCGTGAGATCCGCCTGCCAAGCCCAAAGCGCTCTTGGCAAGAAGGATGAATCAGCTTCCTTATCCCGATTTGCCGAATACGGCTGTTGCCTGCTCGCAGTGCACGTATGTATGCAGCCCTAGGGTGAGACAGGGATGATGCATCCACTATTGTACACTATTGGACGTTTGACACAAGATGGGGGGGGCCAACGCATTGACACTGCCCTATAGCTCTTGGCATTCCGTTTGTCCTTTTTTCATATTATTTACTCGTATCAGCCCCTTTTTTTATAGCAATTGGCAGTCAGGGTCCGAACCGAAAGAAATTGGCCCCAAACCAGATACGGGCTTTCGGACATAAAAATCTGGATCGGCCAATTCACCACCCGACAACATGTACTACGCACTTCACATATAGAAAATATAGGGTTTACATACAATCCTGGCCCCCGGGGCCAATTACAATGTTAAAGTGAACCACGCCTCATCGTCATGATGCAGGGGCTAGGACCTGGAAGGCATACAATAAGATCCTTCCTCGAATCCCTGCAGACCAAAGACTAATTTTGGACCTGACTCTCAGTCAGCAAATAAATCACCATGCATAGAATGGGCTTCTGCTCTATTCTATACATCCGAATAACACGTCACCGAGTTCTTCATTCTCGCTTTCATTTCCGTGGAGTCAAGTTGGGAGTCATTAATGTTTCTTCGCTCCTTGATTGGAGCACTACAAATCATTTCTATCATGCGGCATAGCGTAAAATACGTGATTTGGCCAAATTTGAAGGCACTATAGAGATCACGTGTCTGTACTTTGAAATGCAACGCCTCATGATATACATAGCCAGAAGAGAGCCGCTCTAAATGGCGCCTTTTTACGCCGCCAGTCCACATTAAGACCGTAAAGATCGATTGCCAAGGAGCTTGCTTGTGCCTATTCTGACCGTGAAGTTTCGATCAACGGGAGCCCGCCCTGAACAGTATTATTGTTCATAGTGTGAGCTAAAGAGGCTTAATCCGGGAAGAGACTTCAGGACTCGATATCCCTACTAGTTCTACATGGTCGAACGGAATGGCTTCCAACCTTGGAACATCGAACTTGAAGGTTCAACTACCTAGTACTCGTACTAATAATAGAGGGCTCTTCAGGCTGAAGGTATATTAGTACAGACCTTTCACCTGGGCAACTTGAAGTCTTTTCTCCAGGGCTGTCGCCTGCCTAGGTGTTTTTTTTTTACCTATTGCCCTGAGTCCGTCGGCAGTGATATTTAAATACTAGTAAAAATACTATCATTGAAATGAACCTTAGAAGAGGACGAATCATCACAAAGCCGACCGAGAGAAATGAAATCCAGAACTGCCAGGAGGTGGGTTGGAGGAGGGGGGGGGGGATCAGGCGTCAAGGCCTCCAGCCGTGCCTAAGGAATCTCTCTTTCCGTTCTAGATAGTCTAGCCATCTCCTCCATCATCGCCTTAAGCATTTCCTGATCTCCGGCTTCTAGCAAAGGCTTTTCTCCAGTCCTTTTGTAATTCAACTTGCCGACCGACAACCTTGGAAAAGATTCCATGGATTGAGTTTGGTGGCATACTGCCACAAACCGTGGTCAGTTGTATCCGCGGAACGTGAGATGCCGCGGGCGGATTCCTCTGGGCCGTGAGAAAACTTGAACGAGACAGGTGAACTGTTGACGGGAAATTGTCAATTATATATTAATATTAAGCGACTAAATAATTGATGACCTTTGAAATATTTAGCATCTATTCAACTTGAACTTGAACAGAAAATCTTGTGCATCCCGCAGGGTTTGAGAAACATCATGACGAGAACAACTTCAATTTCTGTTATTGAGGGTCCTGCTATACTCAAGCATAGTGGAGATCGCTTTTCATCAAATAAATGCATGCTGCCAGCAGTTTGGATGAGATCTGGTACATCGAAGGGTCTCTTCATCCACAAAAAAGATCTCCCGTCGTCACCAGAGCTCTGGGAGCCAATATTACTCTCAGTCATGGGCTCCGCAGGTGTGAACGCACGGCAAATTGATGGAGTGGGAGGCGCTACCTCTACTACCTCCAAGGTAGCTGTTATTGCGAGCTCCCAGCGCCCAGGCATCGACATTGAGTACACGTTTGTCCAAGTGGCCCCAGACCAGGCCAAAATAGATATGACCGGGAACTGTGGAAACATTGCTTCTGGTGTTGGGCCATTTGCACTCGACGAAAATATTGTGAGGGCAGCTCCGGGAAAAGAGGAGGTGAGAACATTTACTAGTACCTGTTACAACATGCTTCCGAAGTACGTTTCGTTGATCGATATATACAGATTGATATTCGAATCCTGAACACCAACACCGGGCAGACCATTGTGGAAACCATTAAAGTGACCCCCGATGGCAGGTTCCGAGAGGATGGAGAATGTCGTATTCCTGGTGTTTATGGCACATCTAGTCCAATTAAGGTCGCTTTCATGGACCCTGCAGGTAGCATGACTGGTCGGATGTTTCCCAGTGGACAGCAGCAGGAAATTCTGACCGTTTGGTCTCGCTCACTGGGGAAATTTGACGTGAGAGTTAGTCTGGTAGACGCCGCAAATCCTTTTGTTTTTGTGGATGCATCATCAATATGCATCAAAGACCACCCGTCTTGGCCTGATCCAAATGATACATCTTTTGTGTCTGTTGTCGAAGAGATTCGTCTTGCAGGAGCTGTTCAATTTGGACTGGCTCCAGACCTAGAAACCGCGAGTCAAGTCCGCGGGACTCCAAAAATTGCATTTTTGTCAGCAGCGGAAAATGATGACGATGCTGATATTCAGGTGCTCGCGTTCACTATGGGAAAGCCTCATGGAAGTCTTCAGTTGACGGGCGCAGTATGCCTTGGCGCGGCAATGTCGATTCATGGAACGGTCGCGTGGCACTTGGCAAGCGCAAAAAGGAACGACAGAGTGCCGAAGCATGGGATGTCTGTCGGGGGTCATGAGCTTGCGTCCCCATTGCCAATGGGTATTCGGCATCCCGCTGGTGTAATTCAAGCAGAGACAATTCTGAGGGTAGCAAAGGATGGCCAGGTTCACGTGGATAAAGTGGCAGTCTTTCGAACGGCTCGCAGGCTTTTTGAGGGTAATGTATTTTACAGAGCATAGGAAAATATTCAATTAGTCCTCAAGGTACCTTGAACTAAACATGTGCCTACCCAAGAAGGCTTTTTGTATGATCTTGCCCAGCTCAAACTTTTGTAGCTTTCTGTAAGAAATCCACCTTTCCTGGTCGTGGACCGAAATCAGTTTTCGTAGTAAATTAATTGTACTGCACGCCGTTCCACGGTGAACCGTTGAAGCCAAACAACATGTCGTCATCAAAGCATTCTTGTGCACATGTCTCATCATGAACAGGCAATATGGCTGGAGCAAGAGCTCCTGGCGTACCAAATGGGGGGATTCCAGAAGCCAGGAAGTTATTGCTAGCTCCTTCATACACTGCCTGTGCCTCGGGAGGTTTGCTATGTTGCCGAATAAAGCTTTGAATGATCATATCCATATCCAACTCCGATGGTTCGATTTCTGGGGTTTCTTGAGTTGGTGAAGCTGCAAGTCCGAATGATATATTGCTCTCAATACTCGGAATATTGGGTGACTGTATGCTTTTCTCAATAGCATCAGATGTCCCTTGGGTATAAAAACCCGGATTTTGGTCGTTCAGATCAACCCCCATTCGATCCATTAAATGTAGAATGACATTTTGAGCTCTGCGCACAGCCCAGTTGGTCTCACCATTCTTTCGAAAGATGTCAAGGCAGGCCCGCAAACTGGCATGAGAACGGCTACCGCCCTCTCGTTGAGCTGCCACTCGGACGTGTATAGTTGCCGCGACATATGTGGCATATGATATCAGGTACGGAGCTCTTCGTATGGAAAAAGCGTGATCATATGCCTGCAGCAAATGAATAATTCGGTTTGCAGCCACAGTACAGGTGGTAAATGAGCTAACTGCCACCGATGGGTCAGTAGTATGTAGATGCCCTTCTGCAACAAAAGGTCGATGAAGAAGAATCAATAGAACATTGTATAGTGATAGAAGGGAGATGACATGAGGAGGTGGTGTTGTCTGCATCGTGTTGTTGCTGAATTGTAAATGACTAGGAAGCCCATGCTGCCAGTTTCGTAACTGTGTGTCCAAGGAGCTGAGGGTTGTCATAAGCTCCTGCGGAGTTCGATTCGAGCTTCTTTCTGAATACACTTTGTTCAAGATACCATTCAAGATCAAGGAAAGCTTGCACAACTCCGTAAAAGTGGAAACACTATAAGCGGGAGACCCGGGATAGGATTGGGCGTCCGAGTAAGCAAACGGCTGCCAGTGTTCCAGCTCCTCATAGTGGTCCAGAAAGGAGAGCGACACTTTTGTGTCAAAGTCTTGCAGGGTGGCTGGCCGGCCCTGGTAAAGCGCTTGAACCTTGTCAACCACAAAGGCTCCCCAGAACACACGCCGACGAATTTCCAGATCTTCGTCCGAGAGTTGGCGCATGTTGATCAACATCGTAGCATCCACATGCATACCCAAGTCGATGATCATCCGAAAAGCTGTTCCGGCATATAACCATGCGGCACTTCGTTCGTCACCCAGGGCAAACAAGGAGCTGGTCATCACAAGCAGTGCTTGTATCGTGGTAATTTCACTGCGATCAAGAGCACCGCCCAGCAGTTCCTTGACTCTCATACGAAATGTCCACCCGGCCGTGCGGACATCGTTTGGGTCACGGCGTACCTCAGGTCGATTACTGAACTTCGATGCTCCAAAGTATATCGCGTTTAAGAGAAGCTTAGAAAAGTAAGGTCCATTGCTGGCCATATCCCGCATAAATGCCGGGCGATATGTGATCAAGAAGGAATGGTGCTGACGGTTCCAATGTAATGACAACAAATGCATCCCTAACTCTGGATCGACACCATCGAAGTCGAGTTTCCCCTCCCGCATATTCATCATTTCTAATTGCCCTATATTAAAGTAAGATTTTGTCCACGTGTCCTAGATATAGTTGACTTACGCTGATAGGCCGATTCCCCCATCAGTCGTTTTTGAATGTGCTCCACAGGAACCTGAGGAGCGGTCGACCGCATTTGGCTGCGTTGGTCCAGTGGTGCATCGTCAAACAAAGTACTTGTGAGTCCATGGTAACTTGAGTCACCATTGGGGGAGATGAAAATCCGCGATACAGTCGACCGCGCCTGGTCAACGCTTGGTGTGTGTTTTCCAGCCTCTGATCGTCTCGGAATGACTCCGAGAGGTCGAGGGTCTTGCAATACCTGTCGAGGGTCTTGCAATTCCTGTCGAGGGTCTTGCAATTCCTGTCGGGGGTCTTGCGATTCCTGCCGCGGATCGCTGGTTCTCACTTCCGTGGTGGTGCTTGCACTCTCTGAACGAAGCTCGCTAGCGGTAATCTGCTGACGTAGTTGCTGGTTTTTCTCTCTCTAAACGAGAAAGCTGTGCCTTTGAAGGCCTTCTAACATGTGAGCGAGTGTAGTCTGTGGCTGCCATCAACTGGTGGATCAAATACCTCGGGCGCTTTGAACCAATTGCGTAGATACACTCCTTGCCATGGCCCCTGCAACTGGAGCAGGCAGGCTTTTCGTTATCACAACGCAGCTTTGCATTCCGTTAGTAAAGGTCTGGAATCTCCGCTCACGGCAGTCCTACCTTTCTCTGCCGGCAAAAGGCGCATGCCTTGGCAGCCCTGCGGGCCTTATGCGGGATTGTGTCTTCCATGGAGTAAAACGTCGCAGGGACAAGGAATTGAGTGGGATTTGTGGGGTTCGGCTATTAAAGAGAGCTTTTCTCCGCGGCAACTCTGGTTCCGGCCTTCCGATGTTATAAGTCCGGGTTTCGACCAACGGATTTCACTACCATTTGGTATTTCGAAAACATGGGAGAACAAGCTCCATCCCATTCAAAGCCCACCGAGGCAAAATTGCAACGGGTAATTTGTTCCGTCAGAACCCATGGAGATGAGGGGGGAACCTTGGGAACTTGAACCTAAAGTTGACCATCCCAGCAATATACCCCGCAATGGGTCTCCTTGACAGCCGGGGGAGTAGCAGGAGGAGTGGAAGCTGCGGTGACTGTAAGGAATCTGAAATCGAGAGACCACAACCGTGTTTCAAATGCTAAAATATCTCAGTACCCTTTCGAATATTCAAAAACCCGCGTCCAGCTTCTCCAAAAAGGCGCGGGAACAAGCCCAGCCAACCCCTTACGACTTATTCTTCATGTCGCCCAAAAAGAGGGAATTGGAGCACTCTATACCGGATGCTCAACCCTTATCGTCGTTGGTCTCTCCTTGACGAGTTTTAAAAGAAATTAATTTAGCTAATACAAACGAAATCTCTTAGGGTACGACTGCGAAAGCAGGGGTAAGATTTCTATCATACGACACCATCCGCAATACCTTGGCCGATGATAGCGGCAAGCTCTCTGCTGGCCGTGGAATATTGGCCGGAATGGTCGCGGGTGCTGTCGAGAGTGTTCTGGCTGTCACACCAACTGAGAGAATCAAAACCGCATTGTTGGTAGACCGACTTCGAAAGTGGCGAAAAGAGACTAATTATCAAATCTGTTCACAGAATCGATGATGCCAAAAATGCTCGACAATTTCGGTCCAGTCTGCATGCGGTGACTACACTAGTTCAAAGGCACGGTCCTTCTGAGCTGTATCGTGGCTTGGTATCAACCACAATCAAGCAATCAGCTACATCTGCTGTCCGCATGGGGACATATAACATACTCAAAGAACTCACAAAATCGCAAGGTATTGCGCCAAGCGTACTCACAAACTTCAGTGTAGGGGCGTTGGCTGGAGTCATAACAGTCTATGCCACTCAGCCTTTTGATACTATCAAGACGCGAGCCCAAGGTGTCCAGGGAGCCAGTATTGATCAGGCGGTACGCAGCGTGCTACGTGACTATGGCGTCCGGGGCTTCTGGAAGGGCAGTACCATGCGTCTAGGTCGATTGGTGTTGAGTGGTGGCATCGTGTTCTCGGTATATGAGGAGATGGCAGCTCTGCTCTCATCCATATCATATAGACGGTCTGAAAGCTCAATTTCATACTAAAGTTTCATCTACATTTGTATCAAAAAGTCCTAATCATGTACCTTCTCTATAGACTTACCTAAATAAATGAATTGTGCACATTCTACCTTGAACGGTACCAAGATAACTGAGCAATAACCAAAAAGAGAGAAGTCGATGTTGTATTCGTATGGAAAGAAAGTAGTTATACTCGATCGCCTTCAAGTGAATTTGGATGTGGCTCGAGGAGCTGAAGGCAGTCCAATCTCAATTAGATCTTGCTTTATATCTAGTCCAAAATATACACTAGAGATCCTATACAAAGACATCTGCGAGACATATTGCCTTGGGGATTCTCATGTCTTAGGTGTAGTAATGAATTTTGATCTTTAGAATATCCATATGCCCAGGTGGCCGTATGAATATTCCTAACCTTGGAACCCTAGAATAAAGGCTATATGAAGCGTGTTAATCACTACGTGTCACGAATAGCGATCATCAAATTGCGACCATCGGGAAACCACTAAAAACATATCAAAGGGTCATGTAAAAGCATTTATTTCAATAAAAATCACGTAAAAACTAAAACCATAACCTAAACAGGAGGTAGCTTTCAAGATTTGTGTTGCCTTGGCACACCAGGGCCAGTGCCGTTCAAGCATGCTCCTTGTGATCTGCCATCTTCTTTTCCTTTGCTGTCTGTGTTACTAGATCTGTCATATCCCCCTGGGAATGTTCCTCGCTATAGACACAATATGCCACGGAGAAGGCGCATCACGGAAAACATTATCCAAAGCCTCCAGACTGCGCCCCATCGTCTCAGGGTAAAATAGATAAACAGTAACAGGAATGCAAGCCGAAATAACGGCATAGAGGATATAGTATCTCCACCCGATTGTGTCTAGAGCAACAGGGGTTATCATCACCACAACGAAGTTCCAAAGCCACTTGTTCGCTGTCGATGCAGCGGACATGGCAACACGTAGACGCATCGGTGCGACTTCGGTGCAGTAGAGGAAATTGGCCCCGGAGAATCCAATTGGGTAGAACATGTTGAATAGCCAAATGAAGACCACAGAGACGATTGACAGGCTTGTACCGGCATCGCCAAAGCTAGTTGTGATAGCCAAGACAGTCATACAGAGACACATGCCAGCTCCGCTGAAGATAAACAACTTGCGCCGGCCCAAACGGTCAATTGTAAAGAAAGGGATAAAATTGCAGACAAATTTCCATGTGAGTGCACTCGAACCAAGAATGCTGGCCAACTCTGCATCCAACTTGAGATTCTCTTCAAAGATCGTGGTGATGTAAGTGGATATCAGGTTGCCACCGCACATTTGCTGGAAAAATTGTATCAATAGGCAGAGGCCAAACCGATACAAAAGACGTTCCTCGTCATTTCCCGAGAAAAGCGCGCGCAGAGTGAGGCTTTTTGATTGTGCTGTGAGTTCCAGTGATGATTCTATGCTAGCAATCTCCGATTGTACAGCTTCATCATCAACGGGAAGACCTCGATACGCTGCAAGACTCTGCATAGCTTCTTCCTTCCTAGACACAAAAGCGAGCCACCGTGGTGATTCTGGAAGTAGGAAGACGGACCCGAGAATGGTGAGGGGGAAAATGAAGGATAATGCTAACGGTACCCGCCATTGTGTCTCACCAGTAGTCTTGCTGAAGCCATAATCAATCCAATTCGTAATCACAAAGCCCAGTACCATGCAAATCCCATCGACCACAACATGCTGTCCGCGGTCCTTGGCAGAGCTACATTCAGCTTGCCATACCGGAACTGTTGCGCTCAACTGGCCGATGCCGAATCCAAGGATAACACGGCCCAGCGTAAACTGGATGATTCCGTAAGAAGATGTTTGCAGGAGCTCTCCAATAATAGTGATAATAGCAGCCATGAAAATAGTCTTCCGTCGGCCATAGCGATCCCCGAAGTAGGTGCACGAAAGTGCTCCCACAAGAGCTCCCAGTTGAAGAGATGCAATCACTGCACCCTTCCTGGTTGAGTTTCTCTGCTTAATCGCACCTTCAGTGTTGGTTGTGTCAATCTCCGGAAACGTGGAGACCCTAAAAGTCGATAAGCTTCACAGTTCATGCATGAACAACTTTTTTGGGATATCTCACCATGACTGCAGACTGGCAAGCGGGGCAACTCCGGATTGATTGTACCCGTAGGTGATGAACGCTGGGGCTACAGTGAGTAACACCTGTGCGAGACGGAGCGACCTTCCACGAAGCATAGTGGCGCAGAAAATTGAAGCAGACAAATTTTGGTATCCTCATTATTTTAGCTCGGATTTATCGCTTATTTATGTAGTAGAGCTCGGCTAAGGGTCCGGGAGACCCCAGAATCCGTTTCCTGTGGGGAAATTATCTCCAGATTGCGGATGTAAACTTCCGCGGAATCTAACTTTCCATGGCATCTAAATTTCTCTTGTCAAGTTTTGAGACGGTTCCGGTCTTACTTTCAAACTATTTGTTTAGTTTACACACATTAAGTTGATACTCGCTGTCGTGATACCATGACACGGAGAGGGCAAATTGGAGGATATCAACGAAAAGGCCAATGCCGGGTCACAGAGGAGAGGTTCGCAACAGCCAAATTGAGATAAGACACCGTCGATAAATATGTGATGGTTGAGAGCTTACATTACGCAATTGCTTCAATCGAGATCCCCCACCATAGATCCCGTTAACATGGAAGTTATTCGGTAATACTATGGAGTTTGAAAGGGAATAATTCGAAATAAATACAAGTTGTGTCTTTCAAGCTGAGAGCGAGGGGGTGCATTTCCGCATCTAAAGAAAAGTTCTGACAGGATGCAACTTCGAGGGTGCAAAAAGAAAAAAAAAGCCGTATGATACTACGATTCTCTTGACGGAGGACAGTCTTCAAAAGTTATATACTGAACGATGATCCGCCGTTGGCAAAAATAATGCTTCCAGTGCACCACCCAAACTCGGAGTTACAGATTGTCGCGATTAAACCGGCGATTTCCTCGGCATACGCTGCTCTTCCACCAAACCTTTCACCCAGCTTCTTGGTATACTCGGTTCCAACCTTGGAGTTGATACTGGATATCATCACAATGCGACCGGAACGGGCGGTTGGCAAATATGGTTTGCAAGCGGCGGTAAGAAGAATTGGGCCGAGGACATTCACCTCATATATCCGCTGAAACTCGCCTTCGATAACTGATTCGAGAGCCCAAGGTGTAATATAGCAGTATTGTGTACAATGATATCAATCTGGAATTTTTGGGAACTCATGAAGTGCGTCCTCGCGGTTGAGACGAGTCTCTCGCACTCCACCGAAGATGAAATGTCCGCCCTCAAGGCTAGTGCTTGGATGGAGTATGACTTTTCAAGCTTTTGGGAAAGGGTTGCCGCAGCCTTGTCTGAGCACTCAGCGGCATAGTTTATTATGACATTACAGCCCTTGCTAGCCAGATTGCGGACAATCGCGGCGCCGATGCCTATTACATTTATGGTTAATGTATGACAGTGATAATTTCCCTGAAAACCAACACTTACTTAGTGCAGAGCCGGTCACAATTGCAAATTTGTTTTCGTAGATACGGGGGAGCGAAGTTCCATTCTGATGGCTGCCCATTGTGGCGAATATTGATCGGGATTGGGGTGGGGGGAGGGGAGGGGGATTAGCGGGTACTGTTTCTACTTCAAGGCCGTTGTAGAGCTTAGCGAGTATCGTTAGTCAGTATTCCCCTTAATTCTGACCCTTTTCAATGACTTAAATCTCTTCTTTTGTATTTTTAATATACCTTTTATGTAAAAGTCTCGTCCCTCTAGCTTGTCGATCACATGTAGAATCCTCCCTGATCGGCCGTTGTACTGAGCTTTTAGACTGGGTCTGCCGCAACTACCACTTAGATAAGAACCCTCCATCAATAGGAAGACAGACACCGTTTACGTAGGATGAGCAGTCTGATGCAAGCCAAAGAGATCCTTGTGCAACCTCATGAGCTTGTCCAAATCTGTTTAAGCTGCTCACTTTAGGCGCAAATTCTTCGTGAGTAGTACCCATGATTTCCAAGGCTTTGGCCGACATTTCACTCTGCTTAGGTTAGTATATCTTCCAATTTTTTTCTTAGGTGGGGGATTCGTAAGGTATAGCATACAAAAATTGCTCCTGGCGCAATAGCGTTAACTCGGATGCCACTCGGGCCACCTTCTGTTGCAGCATGCTTGGTCAAACCAATAAGAGCATGCTTTGCGGACGTGTAGGCAGGCATGTTTGGTTGGGGCATAAAAGCATTGATAGAAGCAATATTCACGATAGACCCTTTCGTGTTCTGCTTCTGAAACTGCTGCATTTGATACTTGCAGCAAAGAGCAGTGCCAGTCAAGTTAACATCCAAAAGCTGACGCCAATAGGTCTCATCAAACTCAGTGAGTGATGTCTTATCCGGTGACATCGCCGCGTTGTTGATGGCCACATCTAGCTTTCCAAATTCTTTAACCGTCTGCTCAATGAGGTTTTGAACATCACTGGAATTCGAGATATCTGTTGCCACAAAACGAACATCTCCAAGAGAGGAAAGCTCTTCAGCAACTTTCAGACCTTGATCTTCTTTGACATCTGCAATGACCACTTTGGCCCCCGCCCGAAGAAATACCGAGGCGGTTTCCTTGCCCATGCCCTGGGCACCGCCAGTAACAATGGCTACTTTACCCTCTAAGAGTGGAAAAATGGATGCCTGTGAACTTTCCATGGCAATTTGTATCGATTATAACGGGGAAAGAGGAAATGAGAAATTTCGCACACAGCGCGGGGTGAAAATAATTAAGCGGTGTCTGATTCATTTCCTGCAGGATGACAGATACTTTTGCCTCACAGTGTCCTGGACGAGGGATCGGCATTGATAATTCTGGGATCAACAATACTAATGCCGACTACGAAGACGTTTCTTCCTGGAGGATTTGTAGACATGGCTAAGGTATGCGTGGCAACCAGAGGGAGTACGTGTTTCTGAAACCTTTGCTTTTTCAGACCTAGGCCTTCAACCCCCACTGCTCTGTGGAGGCCAATCAATGAAACTGGCGAGAACTGTTGTGGATCAGCAAAGGATGGGCCATTTTTGGCTGCAGCTGTGCCCCAGCCTTGCAGCGGCTGTCAAGCCGTGTTCTATAGTGATTGGCTATCGTAGCAGCATGGGGTGTACACTAAATGAGCTCCAGGATTCGGTCAAAATAGAGATCATCTCCCGCGACCCGTTGGATGATTTTTTCGGAAGATGGGCACTGTGAATCAAGTGAGAAAAATAGAGATAATTTTCTATGGTTTCAATTCTATAAGAGGCAAAAGTATCTGCATGATTTTGACTGAAATATACCTAGGTAAAAATTGTCAGTTTCTTAGATTTGCGACTCCTCAAAATAACCATTCCACAGGCGCGCCCATAGGCTAAATTTTAGCGCAGTGATGTGGAGTCTTGGCTTGACTGATCGTCATCCTTAACCAGGCTTTGCTCTTTAGTCAATTTTGGATTCCGAATACAGAGAGCGAATGCAATCAACGGTACGGTTAGACAAATACCCGTTATGCAGAGCAGACGCTGGGTCTTTTGGTATGCCACAATCACGGCATCCCGATCCGGTGTACCAACCGGATTCGCGTCTGCAAATGGAAATGGTGCTCCATAAACTTCGGCTGCAAGAGTCTCGTTCCCAAGTTGTCGAATCAACTCTGTTGGCAGTACCTGATTCCAGATCGCGCCTGAAATTGTATTCCCAATCGCACTCCCAATGTTATAGGAAGCAAGGTAGATTCCAGTCACAACAGCAAGATCTAATGATCCGTTAATCATCAATGGAAATTCGTGGCATGCAATAGTTAGGAATTGAGACGAAAAAACTCACGTTCGTGCTTGGAAGCAACTTGAATGCTTGCCTGGGCTGGGTAAGAGAATAGTCCACCGGCTATGGTACAAATCAGTCAAATCCCCACATCTCAGATAGCACTTAACCTACCAAGACCTAAAAGCACCTGTCCTCCGATAACTCCTGAATGACTAGAGCCACTGGAGCCACCGCGGAAGTAAATGAGGATGCCAAATGCAACCATGAATAGCACAGTTCCAGATACAATGAAAGGCTTGAGCTGACGAAGCTTCATGACGATAAATCCGAGAATCACGCCGGCAATAACAGAAGTGAAGCTGTAAAGAGATGTAATTCTGGTCGCACTAAGTACCGATTCATCAAAGCTGACGTAAAGAACGGTGTAAAGGAAATCTCCTTGGAGATACCACGCTGAAGGTTTAATTAGATATGTGCCCGCTTGTCTCGATGGGTAGTCACTCACCGGTGTTTAACATAACCGCAATACCAATAGGGCCCCAAATAGCGCGGTCTTTCAGTTTCTGAGAATGAATTAGCTTTAATGTATTATTTAAACATTGAATGTTGCGGTCCTTACTTTGAATGGCAGCATAGGGTGCGGGCATGTTTTCTCCCAATAGACCCAGACTGGAACCAGCAGAACTCCAACGACAAGTGGTGCTATAACTTTTGCCGTCTTCCATTGCGCAGTAACTCCTCCTGCAAGGGTGAAGGGAACGAGAATGCAGGCAAGCATAGCAATCATAAGGATAAGCCCAATCACGTCGAGGTGCCAGAATAGCTCTAGAGCCAGTTTCTGACCACCAAGTAGCTCGAGGGAACTTTTATATGATTCCAATTTCCCAGTTCGTTTCGCGCGGCGGCGAACAATGAAAAGCACGGCGATCAAAGGTAGCGAACAAACCGGGTAAATAATCGCGAACATGCCGATTCCCCATTTCCAGGTTGTCACTTTGAGAACTGCATCAGTCAAATTACCGCTGATCCAGGTGTTGATCTATTGATTCGACTCAGATTAATATATTGCAGTTAGATGGCCCAAGGCGTGGTTATGCTCACAATAAAAGGAAGCGCTGGGATGAATGAGAATAAGAGGCGAGAGCGGCTAGAAGTCACATCTCCAACCAGGACTTCAAGAATAAACATGATGCATGTGTATCCGACCTGTTAAAACGTCAAATCTTGTCAATTTCTCATTGGATCATTTGTAGGTACCTGGTAGATGACAGCCCCCGCAGAAAAGGCCTCCACACTCGTAGCAAACGTTTCAATAATTGTGCCGACCGTATAGAAGACAATCGAGATCAAGATAAGTTCAACTCTGCCGAAAACATCGGCAATCTTGGCAGCAGTAGGCTGAGTTGGGTTGGAAAATTAGCCGAAAATTCTTGCGAGAAGTGTTAAAAACATTACCTGAGCGGCGGCGGCAATAACAGCTCGAAGAACGTTGATAGTTGCGAGTAAACTGTGAAGGCCATAACTTGCGGTGGCATAAGGCTATATTAAAGGTTCCTACTGTTAACTTCTGGAATATTGAGGACAACGGATTGGATTTTGGGGAACCTACTTGATAGGTATACCGGACAGTACCATCTAGGCCATAGACGTATGCAACGAGAAAAATACCGCAGAACAGAAAAATCCGATCGATGAAGCGAAATTCTGATGCGATAATTTCGATGCGGCGAACACCGGGGCTACCTTCTCCCAGCAGATGAACATCTCGAGTTGATTCTGTGGAGGAGTTGATCTGCTTCTCCGGACTTTCTTCGAGATGGTCATCACTCGCGCCCCTATAGTCGGCCATGGTGGGAAGCTGAAAGCCAGACAAGAGGAATTTTTTGGGAAAATTGCAAACCTTTGACCCGGGCGCTGTCGCGTATTTAGGGGCCTGAGAGGGGGGAAAAAAAAAACTTTCAAGCCAAGGCCAAGGCTGCGGTCGCCGAGGGAAAATATGAAGATTGGTCGCGCCACCCAGTCAGGTCCACAAATTCATCTTATCAGATCAGGGTGTGGCGTCTGGATACGTTCAGGTCCCTGGTTAGCTCGTGCCCAGACCTATTGCCGAGGATGCTAGGACTCTTTCTCGAAATTGTAGCCATTGAAAGAGATTGTTAGTTCCCCACCTCGTATCTCGCTGGGGTGAAACCCCCGGCTTGTCACGGCTGATGGCACCTACTTCGTCAGGTCGTACGACGTGCTGAGAAGTCACGGTCTTCAAAATATGCTTCTTGTCTCGTGTTTGCCTTCTGCCAATGGCAGGATACCGGCAAGCCGTTCCAGAGTCTATGGTAGTTAGGAGTATAAAAAATTTTGATTATTCTCGCACGTCCTAGAATCATCAATTATCTACCCAGATGTTGACAGGCCCAGACCTCTGGAATCGGCAGGCGGCCAAACCCCGAGTCCATGGGAGATCCATCAGCCACAAATAAAACACATGGCATCGCTGATGCATGCTGATTGTAAGCATAAATATCCACAAACCCAAAATCCGGAAGGCTACTAACTTTGTATATAGAAGTACTAGTAATTAGTTTTGGCGTGGCTTGAGTGCTGAATGGCCGGCATCGAACGCCATGTCCGCCAAGGTTCGTCGATTTTTTTTTTGGATAGAGTTCCCATGGGCACCGCTGGGCCGTGACCCTGACTGAATCTCCAACCTGAATCCTGGAGCGTACACAGTCCTCCCCATAATCTTTGGACCGGGAATAAGACTTTCGCATGGCGAGCCAACAACGGAAATTCCGACGACGTGCAAAAGTTTTGCGGAGTGACAAGCAACATAATATTTTACAAGGGAGAATGTTACAAATTTTGCAACGTCAATGGCAACTCAACGGATACATCATTATGTATGCATGATGGTCGAATTTTCTCGGCAACAAGTTTTCTAAGGTTTACAGCAGTAGTGACAACAGCAGTAGCTCGTTGAAAGTGCAGCCGCTATCAAAGCCCGCGTCCGGAGTTGCGGCAAGTTCTCTCATCGGGATTATTGTGAGACTGATTGGAGAATAGTATGCCAGTATGGGCAGCTTTGTGTATATAATTCTCAATGATAAAATACCCCTAGGTTTGAAGACCGCGGCTATCTGTTTAGCATTCCAGGGCTACTCATATTTAATCATTCGGCAACCTATTGGATGAACTACTTATTCCCCCAGAACACCTCCAAATTTAGGATAAACGCGTGCTACTGACCGCCTTTTCTCATGTGGGGATCGTGTTTCTCAGCTGAGTTCTCCTGTTTCCATCGCTACGTCCAAGGTTCAAAGTCCTTAACTGAACAAAAATTGGGTTCAGGGTTGCTACCTGCTTTCTACTCATGAGACATGCTCACTGAGCTATGCAGATGAGAAACTTGTTCAAATTTCCTGTTGTCTGTACCGGGAATGTCCCGGCGAATGCCAACCAAGTCGATCAACAACAATCTGACCATGCCACTAACCAACTAACACTTGGAGCAGTAACCCACCGATCCCAGTCTAAGATAAAAAGCCCCTTCTGACGTGACATGTCTCGTTGTCGCCTTCCCAATCTCTAATCCTCTTGACCACTTCCATACCGAATGTACGAGGCAATGACCCACTAGCGAATCATACGACGAGCACTGCGGTCGCAACGGTCGCGTACGGGCCCTCCTTTCCTGAAATCTTAAATAAGCCGCTAGAATCGTGACCCGATGCTGGTGAGTGTTCGTCAAAAACAGTCTGGCGAGCCCGAATTCATTGAATTAGTGCGCAACGACACGGCTGGCTTCATGGACCGGGAGCATGATGTTCAAGGGATCGCCCGCGCGATAATATGCGATATGTTTGGGATCAGTGCTCCGCCAGGCTTCCCATGAGACGAAGTTGGTTGATCACTATCAGCCGCACCAAATGGCAAATGCCAGGAAGAATTTAGGGAGCTGCATCGGTTCGAGGGCGATCTTGACTGCTGTCAAGCTCCTTGTGGCATGCCTGGAGTCCGTCACTAGATGCGCTAGACAGGAAAGCCGCTCTTTTCTACGGCGATATATGAATTTTCACACTCTAGAATAACAGGGCAAGCCTGTTATTTTTATCTGTCACTCGCTATGATTCCAGACGCAATAGATCTGAATTTGATTTATCCTGATTATTCCCTTAATCCCTTGGTCTCGACTAAGAACAAGTAGAATGTCAAAAGTTAGCCATCTTTCATTAGATGTAAATTATAGGGTAGATATAGTTCAATCCCAGCCCCCGCCGGGAAAACACGCGGAGTCAAATAATAAGGTTAAAACGGGCCAAGGTCACAACTTTCACTAAGATCCACCAAACTCCGATCAACTTCACCTGGTCACACCCCCACCTCGCATAGCGTTCGGACTCTAGAAATATCGGCTTGACATCCTTTCTTGTTCAGTTGGTTCTGCTGGCAGGGCGATGGCTACTTCAGCTACTACTTCGCACCTGCGCCCTACGCGTAGCGACGCGACGATCGCAAATTCCCCGCCCTCAAAAAGACAACGGAGAGAGCCGAATGAAAATGCGATCTTGAAGTTGACCGGTGATGAATGGCTTATGGTATTTGACCATGTAAGGCGTTTTTGTCTGATTTTTGCCTCTATGTATCACAAGCTGGTCGCTGACTTGGATCTAGCTGCGCGATGAAGACCCATGGTTTCTATCTCGGCTCTGCTTAGTCTCCAGGGCATTTGGTACTCTTGCCACCCCGCTGCTCTATCGCTCAGTCGTTCTACCACGTCGGTTGGATGATTTGACGAGAAACCCTGGCGGCTTGCTCTGTCGACTATTGACCGATTCACACACGCAGCTCAGGGCATACGTGCAAGAGTTAACTGTACCGCAGACTGCCGCTAGCTACCATATGGGACAGCGCGATGATTTCGAAGATCGAGACTATCTCGCCCAACTCGTGGAGCACTTGCCTAATCTTCGTCTTGTGCGGTATGTTTTGCTTCGGGTACCTGGACGGATAGCCTCGAAACGGCTAACATCAAGCATAGAGTGATGCACCCCCTTCCCCTTACTGATCGCTTTATAGACAGCTTTGAGGACCATCCTAACAAGCCAGAGCTGCGTATACTAGCGTTTCAAGGGTGGGAGAAGACGCCTTCTCGCTCTTTACATTTTGTGTCCACCATAAAAGCCAGTCTCCTCAGAGAAAGACAGCGGGTACCAACAGATGATGATAACCTCCCGAGCATGATGTTGAATTTCCAGAAGCTTTTCTTTTCTTGTCCGAACCTGAAGTCTTGCTCCTTGACCATGTTCGGACCTTTCGCAAACCCCGACGCGCTCGCGACGTTTGAGATGACAGGGGAAGAAATATTCCCTCGGCTCGAAAGCCTCTCACTTAATGGCTATTTTATTCGTCCAAATGAATGGCCTCACTGGCGCGACCGGTTCCCTTGGACCTCGCTCTCTTCTCTCGAGGTCGGCCCACAACCAGAACTCACGGACAGATTGTTGCAGAAGCTCAAGGGGCACACTGCCTCTTTAAAAAGGTTCAAGATAACTGTATGGACTGGAGAGGATGAAGCTGCTGCACAGGAACATCTTGAGGGGTTTCTCTATGCATTTGATAGCCTCGATACGCTTGAAATAACAAATTTCGTTTGTCCTGTCGAAGCAATGGCTAACCACAGAAACCTCGTCCGCCTCGCCGTTCATCTTGGAGAAGAATGGGACTCCGAAGAAGTTATCCCCTCGTGGAACGCTTCGGATATCGACTACTTGGATGACAACTGCCCAAATCTTGAGGTGCTTGAGATTGATTTTGAACGCCAGTCTGGCGCATGGGTGTGTTTCACCATCTCGGCTGTTCGAAATGAAGAACTAACGGCCATAATAGGATGACGAACTCTTGATATCTGTCGCGAAGGGCTTTGATTGTCTCCGTGAACTATGCCTTCATGTTCGTGTTGGTAGTGTTAGAGGTGAAGACCCACCATTGACCCCTGTGCTCAATTATCAATCTGCCCGAGAGATCGGATCTACCTTTTTCAAATCTCGCAAGCACTCATTCGATTACTATCGTTCGCGAATGCCCAATCAAAAACCTGATAAACTCGAAAGATTATTCTTAAAAACGGGGGTTGACTGGCATCTCTACAACCCTGGGAAACGCTTCGGCGGAGATCAAACGGTGGAAGAACTCAACAAAAATACATTTGAACTCCGAAAGCCAACCTGCAATACTGGGAAGTTGACCCTGGTTCACACAGAAAGAGATAAAATCGAGGCGCAAAATCGACAGGGCTATCCGGGTGCGACAGCTGAAAAAACAAAAAATGTCATATGCGCGGGCGAAATTGGAGCGCTCCATGAAGACTATTTAGGAAGCATTAATATCCTCACACGAGCCGAGTGAACCTGAGGCTGGAGGCTTCTTTTGATAACTATCATGACGGCTCTCAACTGCATGCACGTCAGCTGTGATTGGCCCCCAAGGGATCTTCATCGACACGCCCGGCCTGTATTTCTATTCGACTCCCAATTGAGGGACGTTACGTCTGATGTCAGCCTTGAAGTCAGTTCAGAGTTTCTCTGACAAAATCATCCCCGCAATACGTCATGAATCTTACGAGAGGGCTACAAGGCATCTCTGCAAAGCCAATATAGGTGAGATCGGCGAGCATGCCGAAGTTAGCCCCCACGGGCCGTAAGTCCGCTGGTGGCAAACCCAAGTTTTATTTTCAAGTAAGCCCAGGGGCATGAAGTAACATTCGGAAGGTCTTGACGGCGCCTTGTAAGTCGTCGAAATTTGTTCTTGAACATGTCCCAATGAAGATACGTGTTGTTGCGCAACTTCTTTGTCTCCACGCGAATAATCTGCCGTTAGACAATGCCCCATCTGTATATTTTATTTGCTAGAACCTGTGAGATACAATCCACAGCGGGCTCATATTGTAAGACATCTTCATAATGACCTGCGCTCTACATTTGGTATAGAATTTTGGCAGTAACTATACTTTTCACAAAATCCGCAGTGGAGACAGCGCGTAAAATAACCCCAAATGAGTATACAATGCTACGCCCTGAAGAAGCCCCTGCATCTTGGCACTTGCATTCAACCGACTGGAGTAAGCCACAGATGCAAATCAAAATGGCCCCAGTAAGATCTAAGGACACCCCGAATTAGGAATGCAGAATGCAACCTCTAGTTATGTCTGTTTCATAGTCTGTATAAAGGGTAGATTAGATAAGTTGTTTGTGTTATAGTGATGGTTCGAAAACACACATGTCGCTTGATGAAAATTTGCGATAATCTATATGGATTGTGTTGCTGTCAAGTTTGATTTAGTTTCATCGAAGGAACGAGACGAGATGATCGACACTTGAATATCCATAGACTTTCGCTCAGACCCTTTGCGATGTTGTATCAACTCGGGCAATGAATATCAATTCTTTTCTGGCCGTTTCAAGTTGGTTCTTGATCAAGGAATCTGACGTCGATTGTACTGCGGAGCAGCCCCGGGAGTCTTAAACAATGACCTCCCGGTAATGCCACACCTAGCAGGCAAAAGCTATATAAATGACCAATATTCCCCGGAAACCTCTGGGTATCATCAACCTTGAAATCACTACTATCTCAGCATCACATTTTCAACCCTTAAATTCCTCAAACTTGAACGAACAAATATTCATCATGTACATGTACAGTGCACTTTCCAGCCTCCTTTTGGCTGCCTCCGGCATCCACTCAGCCAAGGCAGACTCCTGCTACGCTGTTGGACATCTCGACACCAATTCTGAAGGCTGGGGCCTGGGCGGAACCACCTATGCCGGTAGTCAGGGACTGGATCTTTACAATTCGAAGGATGAGCTGATTGGCAGCTATGATCTGTGCGATACCTGCAGCGGTGTCTGCTCTGACCTCCTTCATGTCCCAACCAGCAATCTATCCGAAGTCTTCTCTTGGGGTGCCACATGCGGTGACTCCGGTTTTGAGTACGAAAACATTTCCCCCAATATTCTAAAATGCATGCTAATTTTATTTCCGTCTAGTGAATGCCACGGTGCCTACGGTACACAGACCCATATTGATGGCGATGAACCCGAGAGTGGCACTGACTTCTACGGCCTCGGAATTGATGCGACCTCTGAGTGCCGCGTCAACTTTGACTGCTAGACGTGTGGCGGATTTGTGTTTTTATAGCATAGTATTATAGTTTGTTCTGAGTAGCTCGAATGAATGGCTTGTGCGGCGAAGCTTTCGAGCCACTATTTTGCCAGTATGGTACTTTGAGACCCTGATCCAATGAAGGGCCAAGGGTGTTATAATGACTTGGAGGTAACAATGAGAATTCATTCAAAATTCCAGTGGACGAAGCTATAGTACTTCCAAACATAGCCTGTACTAGTATCCACGTGAAACCATGAGACTACTAAACTTGGGTTGATGCAAATAGTATTCAAGTTTGCCCTTTACGTACTACTAGGAGTAGTTTCTATAATTCATATAGTTATCGGAGAAAGAGCTTACACGCTGGCAGTGGAGCACCTTCTTTTTTCTAAATCCACAGTATTGACGGTCACTGAGGAAGGTTGAGGCATGACGTGTACCTAGTAGTATATTCTCCAGGGCCTCGAAATATTTCTCTCGTCCACAACCGCCCGCTTGATGCCCAGGTGGACACTGTTACCGCCACTGCTACCACCACCATCAGGAGCAGCGGGGAAACTTTCGTCAAATTTACCCCCTGGTGACTCTGGCCATTATAGTAGCAATGGTTTTAGGGGCCGCCCTCTGATTCTGTTCTAAGAAAAAGACCTGGAGGGATGAGAAGAAGGGCCAGGGCGAACATTAAGACCTCCTTCAAAGGGTGAAGGTCGGCCAGAGTACTAGTAGTACTAAGCAATAACGTGGAATCCCCCCTGCCCGCCATCCCCCAAACACCATAGTTAAGAAATAAAAATATCTCAACAACAACACCTTTATTCGATTTAAATGGATTTCGACATAGCGGTTATTCTCAAGTGACATAATAACATTTTCTTTTTCTGTGATTATTTAAGTTATTATTTATGTATAATACCAAAAATTACAGAGTATTTTTGCCCAATATATCATAAATATATATTTTGTCAGTCAAGTTTAAATTAAGAACATCCAAGCATATAACCCTGGAAGAATATTATAAATAAAACTATCTTATCCAGAATCCTATTACAAAGTAAGTGTTGTTGAGATATTGAGTTGGAATTTATTGCCTTGACTATGGTGTTTTGGGGGTGGCGGGCAGGGGGTATTCCACGTTATGCGTGGCGGGGAACTGACAACGTGGGGTCAGGTCAAGTTATAACTATCATGATCTTGCAATTATAATACTAGATCGAATCGTGATGCTCGGATAAGTCGGCCGAGGCGGCACGAGGGGTAAAAATGCAGGCCAAGGGTGGGAGAATTAATTTGACACTAGTACTCCGTAGTGCCCGAGAAAATCACTCAGAAGGCCCACAATGTAAGTAATTAGCGCCGACAAAGTCGGCATTTTCAAGTTGCAGGAAACATGTCTAGAGCTAGCCATTTCTATGAGAGCAGATGCTTCGCAATCCAACTATTGAACGCGAATATGAGAGCTTTTCGCGTACCTACCGCCTGTGAGAACGTCAACATAATCCCAGGACGAGAACCGACAGGTCAAAGCGCAATTTCTGCCGCGAGCACAAGTTAACTAAAAATCCACTGCTGTTGGCTAGTGTGATCAGATAAATCTTGATTCTCGAAAACCGCGCTTTTCTCGGGTGGCTATATTCCCGATTGCAACGGTCGGACTATACCGGGCCTGGCCCCCAGTTTTCATATGGGTGTCTCGGGACGCTGTCCAATCAACCTTTGAACCCAGTTTGATATTCATCTGATAACCCTTTTTGGAAGGCCGTATTTGCGGGTGCGTTCGAAGTGGGCAAGGGCGATCGGACACACAAAATTCGAGGGAAGGTTTGGAGAGAAGCGGGAAATTCAAAAGCATAGGCACATTGTTGTAAGGCAATGGGGTGTTCGGAGAGGTCGTTTGAGGCTGGACCCTGCGTCAAATGGTGTTCCACTTGAATCTAGCTGCTGGATCCGAGATCGGAGTGCCCCATCACACAGAAATGATTAACTGGGTGTGCTGATTGGCAGTAAGAAATGGCCCCAAAGATGATGCCCGGATCATACAGTTGGTGTCCGGTGAAATTATCTGATCTCGTCGTGCTAGGTAAGGATCGGTCGCATCTCAAGCAATGAGGTGGGTTTAAATAAGTGGGGGGGAGGGCGTCGGAGGCGTCTCTAAGCCGTGCCAAGCGCATCTTAGGGGTAAATCCTCTCCAGTTTCGGGGTGGCCGAGGGGAGGCATAGAAAAACTTATTGGACCTTTTTCCCTCTTTTTCCGAGTCTACCCCTCCGACCCTTGCTTCACGTTTTTAGCATCGACTACACTGCAACATCCACTGCGGATTTGTGAGTGCTGTCCGGCCTACGGATTGTCCCAAAAATATAAACCCGGGCGCTATCATGAGTAACCGCGGCATCCTTCGAAGCCGAAATGCGAACAATCGCTGGCCATGGTCTACCAAGACTAGCGAAGACCAGACGGACGAGCACACGCCAAGTTCAAGCGATGCTGAAGCTCCAGTGCTGTCGGCACGCGATGAAAAGGAAGTCAACGAACGTCCAGATGAGATCAACTTAGATGCGAAACCTGGTTTGCAAAAGGCTGAAGCAGTTGCTCTTATTTGGAGTAAGAAGACCGTTATTTGTCTCCTCGCTTGGTAAGAATTTATGGGCTCGATCACTTCCTATGAAACTGTGACAACGGCATAGTTTTGATCCAATACTAACTCATTATCCCATAGGGTTTGGGTTTGTTACATGATATTGGCATTGCACCAGATCATCTTGAGCAATATCACAGTCTTTGTCTATTCGTCCCTTGAATCTGCGCCACAAATCACGAATGCCTACATCATGGCCAACATTATCGGTGCTGTTCTGAAACTGCCACTGGCTAAAACCCTAAACCTTTGGGGTCGTGCCGAGGGGATGATGATATCCCTGGTCATATATCTGGTCGGTATGGTCGTCTTGGCAGCTTCCAACGATCCCACTACATACGCAGCCGGTTACACTATCTATTTCATCGGATACGACTGTATCTATTTGCTGTTGCAGATCTTCGTGGCTGACACTACCGGACTGCGAAACCGAGCATGGGCGTTTGCGTTCTCGACAACACCATTCATATGCACATCATTTGTTGGCCCACTGGCTGCAAAGTCGTTTGAGGAGACCGGATGGCGCTGGTCGTTTGGCGTCTTCGCCATCGTGGCACCTTTTGTGTTCGTTCCATTGATCCTTGTATTCAAGTACTACGAACGGAAGGCGGAAAAGCTTGGGCTTTATCATCCTCAGCCGAGTGGCCGCACTTGGTCTCAGAGTGTGATTCACTACTTCCATGAATTTGACGGTAAGTTGGGCCTTTTTCCTTTAGCTTGAAACTTCTGCTCCATTCATTGTACACCCTGCTGACCCTCGAGTAAAAGTGATCGGTGCTTTCATTTTGATGGCTGCTTTCGTCCTATTCCTACTACCTTTCAGTCTTATCACGAACGGAAGATCCAGCTATAATACTCCTACCTTTATCGCCATGGTGGTTATCGGATTTTGCCTGTTTTTCGTCTTTGCTGCTTGGGAGAAGTGGGGTACTCGATCCGAGTTTATTCCTTGGGCGCTACTCAGCAACCGCTCCGTTCTGGGCGCTTGTTTACTCTCTGCTCTTCTCTTCTTCAGCTTCGACCTATGGGACACATACTTCCTGAATTTCCTCTACGTCGTGTATAATCTCGATGTCACGATGGCGGGGTACGTTTTCAATATCTACACCGTCGGATCTTGCTTTTGGTCCGTTCCAGTCGGAGTCTTCATCTACTACACAAAGAGATTCAAATATTTGGCTCTGTGTTTTGGTTTGCCACTTATGATGCTCGGCTCCGGATTGATGATCCACTTCCGTGGTAGTGATCAAGGAGTTGGGTACATTGTGATGTGTCAAATATTCTACGCCTTTGCCGGTGGTACCATGGTTATTTGTGAAGACATGGCTGTCATGTCAGGCGGAGATCGCGAAGGCATTCCGATGACGCTCTCCTTGATCATGCTATTTTCTAGCATCGGTGGAGCTATCGGTGGAGCCGTTGCGTCTGGAATCTATAACAACACATTCGTCGAGACTCTTACCAAGGCTCTACCCGACGACAAAAAGTCTCAGGCAGCGACGCTAAGCTTGAGCTATATCAGCCAGATAGCGTACCCAGTGGGAGACCCAGTTCGTGAAGCCTGCGCTCACGCTTGGGGCTACACCCAGAGGCAAAATGCTATTGCGTCCACTGCAATCTTGGTGCTTGGAGTCCCGTGCATCATGATGTGGAAGAACGTCAATTTGGACAAGAAGCAGAACAAGGGCAACGTCCTCTAAGCTTGTGGAGCTCTATCAATCATGAGTCGGTATAATGTAAATTTCCAAGGTTTCAATCGGGTTAATAGTATATACATGGAGTTTGGAAGATTTTTCTGTCAGATAATTTTCTCAAATATACCTAGCTAGTCTTTTATCCCTACATATGAATTGCTCGCACAAAACAGACTTTTTGAAGAATCTGGATCAGGCTTCTGGATTTCGTTTTTATGGCGCGGTATCTGATTAAACGTAAATGGCAAGCAAATACCCGCGAAGGTTGCCGGACATGATTAGCGTATCAAACTGTAAAATAAATATGGATTAGGTGACTCGATTAGGTGACTCGATTAGGTGACTCGGAGTCTGTTTTAATCCCACAAAATTGAAAGGAAGCTAAGTTTATAACCAAAGAGAGATACTCAAGATTCCCAGATCACTTCAAGTTGAACTTTCATGGGCACAAGAGCCTCCTACTAGTTAGTAGTCAGCTAAAGACCCACACGCACAGGTCAGAAAGCCATTGAGGGCACTATCATCGTCATCCATGGATATTAACGTCTTCTCTCTTGCGCTTTGTCATTTCTAGACGCATACTAGACCCATAAAGAAACAGGCATTACGACACATCTCTACATGCTCCATACTAAAAAGCCTTCCAATTCCAAACTCACATAGATTTGTCTCCTCCTATGTCACACTTGAAGTTTAATGATGCGTGTTTCAAGGAGTCTTGGCCTCGTGTTACAATAATATTTGTTCCATCACATCGCTGTTAATGTCCGAGTCGGTTTTCACTGTGGGATACAGGCGCCATCGGCATTTCTTTTTCCCACAAGGTACTAAGATTTTAGGATCGTGACGCGCTAAAAGTCAGCTAGAGTGGTATAAAGGAGTAGCTTCTTCGATGTTTCTAAGCTTGAGCCCTGAAGCTACAGCAAAATCCTGCCACCTGCGCCCGACCCAGAATAGGTAGACCCACCCAGGGAAATCATTCTCGCGAGATCCACAAAGCATTATCCAACTCTCATGTTTTTCAAGTAAGTATATGAACATCGCCATTTCATAAATATTGACAAGTCAGTTCAGCTAAAGTCTTGGTCCTGACACATAAGCTTCGGAGGCGCTGCATCACAGGCTCTTGCCCCTGCATCGCGGCAGGGGCGGATGATTAATTTGTGAGATTGTACAATCATCGAGTAAAAATGCATCAATTCGACAACTCGATTGTATTCTCTTGGCTCAATTATGCGATGGAAGAAACCTGGAAGTTCCCATCTCATCTCATCCCGGCCCGAGATGTCAACATCAAGCCTGGGAAGTTAAATTGATTGAAACTGAATCTATCAGTTTGTCGATCACCTCACGCGAGGTATTTCCTCCACCATGGCTGGCTCACTGCGACCAGACACGAGGTCTAGGCAGGTGATGGGGGCCATTTGGCCCCACGGACTGCATGATGAATGGTTCGCAATGGCTAAATCGATCTTTTCACTGGTTGCGCCTTCTGGAATCACGTCATTTGCCCTAAGCAGTGGTGATGATGCACGGACTTGGCTGATATCGAAGAACATCAGGTCGCATTGTTTGAAATGAGCCCCAATTCCAGGACCGAGGCTCTTATTTCTGTCCGACGTCAAATATCTATTGTCTTGACCTGATTGAACTGAATTGCCCACCGTCATTCCTGCTGCGTGCCTTTGTGGGGGGCGCGTGTAACGATCGTGATGCCGACGATATCCAAAGAACAGTTGGACATGATCGGTGTCGCGGGGCGAGTCACTTCAGTTCTGTCGATCCTAGGCTCTGCTACTATAGTCGCTGCGTTCATGTGTTCACGGCACCTCCGAAGTCCCATTCATCGGATAATATTCTTCAATGCTTTTTATAACCTTTTCGACTCTGTCGCGACGATGATTTCTGTCAATGGACCATATGCAGGCGACTACTCGTCCTTGTGTCAATTTCAAGGATTTGCACTTCAAATGTGTGTTCTTCATTATTAGGCGTGAAGAGAAAAGTGAGCAAGCTGATGATAATACACTAGGTTTCCGATCGCCGACGTACTTTGGACGTTCGCTATGGCCCTAGACACGTACCTCGTGGTCTTCCATCGTTTCGATACTCATTCACTACACAAACTTGAGAAATACTATCTTTCGATTATCACTATTGTCACATTCATTCCGGCCCTGGTATTTTTATTTATTCGAACACCAGCGAAGGGTCCTATATACGGCAGTGAGAAAGTAAGCTCCGCATTTTCCCACTTCAAGGCCCATGCCATCTCCATGAGAGACTGATAAACTAATTCCGAGCAGATCTGGTGCTCCATATCCCCAAAATGGGTGATGCTTCGCATCGTGCTATATTATGCGCCTGTATGGTATGTACAGAGCAGAGCTCCGAGTCCTATCACAATGACTAGAATCATAGATTGATTAATTTTTACTCCCACAGGCTCGTCATCGCCATCGTCTTAGTATTATACTTTCTGATCGGCGTCGAGATCTCACGTCTACGAGACGAATTCAAATTAACCGAAGACTCCGATCACATCCAACTCACCTCAAACGTTTCCTCCTCCCACTCCCACACACCCTTCGAAAACCCAAATGGCTCGGTCATCACAACAGTCGAGGCAACCAAACCAAAGTCTTCACAAGGCTATGACTCCGGCGTTACCAGACAAACGTCTGTTGAGCGTTCTATTACTACATTTCGGCCGGATTCATCGAGGCCATTCCCACCGAACTATCAGCTTCCGACACAAAGACGCATGTCGTTCAGACAATACATCCTCATGCCGTCTTTGTTCTTTTTGGCATTGCTCACAACGTGGGTTGCACCAACGATCAATCGTGTTTCGGCATTTATCCATCCGGGATCAGAATCCTATTCGCTTTTGTTGGCTGTCAGTGCACTAGGGTCCCTTCGCGGATTTTGGAATGGCGTCATCTTCGTCACTATGGGGATGAAGGGCTGGAAACAACGAGCGATTGAACGAAGGACACGATATAAAGTATGTCAGCGCAGATCCCCGAGTCCTGTTCATATTCTTCAAGAAATGCTGACTCCAACTTGTCAGTCCAGGCACGGTGTCAGATAAACTCCAGCCAATAATTCAATTAATAGAATAGAAAATATGGGATAATGTACTTTTGAATTTAATTTTTGATCAACCAAACACATGCTACTTTAAATGGAGCCAGCCTCTTTAAGTTATCATAGAATTTGAGTTCATATAGTTGCCAGTGGGCGGCTGCCGGACCTCGCATCCAAGAATCGGTCTTCTCTCCGGTCAATCATCGCGCGTCTTCGGGCACGTATAAAGCGAGGGGAATCCGCCATAATCTGCGGGTTCGTACAGGCGTATTTAAAGGGCTTTCCGTCCCAATCATGATGCTATAATTCAATCCATACTACGAAATATTTGAAGTAGCCAGGCAAAATGGTCACCAAACCTACTGTGCTCCACATCGGAGACGCCATCAAATACAACCATGATTTCTACGACAACGAATTCACCTCTCGATTCAACGTCATTCAAGCAACAGAAACAAACAGAGAAGATTTTATTCAAGCCTTGAAATCGCAGAAGTAAACACACACACCTCTTCTACCTTAACTAAAGACTCCTACCTCTCCATCTGCCTGAATTACTCTAAATATCCCACTAACCTCAACAAACTTCCAGATACGGCCCCTTCTCAGCCCTATTCCGCCCACACTTCCAAACAGGCGGCTTTATGGGCCAATGGGACAAAGAACTAATCCCCCTCTTACCGTCCAGCATGCGAATCTTCGCCTCAGCAGGAGCAGGCTTCAATTGGGCCGACACCGACCTCCTCGGCGCAAGAAAGATCTGGTATGCCAACGGTGCTGGCGCCTCCGACGAAGCCGTCTCCGATACAGCCCTCTACATGATCCTCAGCGTATTCCGAAACTTCACACGCTCCCAACTCGCAGCAAGAACCGCCGATCCGGAAAAGTTCACCACAACGCATAGGCTCATTGCGACGATTTCGCAGAATCCACGCGGCCATGTACTAGCCGTCATCGGGTTTGGGAATATTAGCAAGAAATTGGCGTATAAGGCGCGCACGGCACTTGGGATGAAGATTCATTATTTTGATATTGTTCGCGCCGATAGGCAGGTGGAAGAAGAGTTGGATGCGACCTTTCATGAGTCTTTGGATGAACTTTTGCGGATTGCGGATTGTGTTACGCTTCATACGCCGTTGAATAAGTATATGCAGGATTTGATTGATGATCGGGCTTTTGCGTTGATGAAGCCGGGGAGTCGGATTGTTAATACTGCGCGTGGAGAGGTTGTGAATGAGGATGCGTTGGTGAGGGCGTTGGAAAGTGGTCACGTTTCCGCGGCTGCTTTGGATGTGCATTATCATGAACCGCAGGTTTCACGGAGATTGGCGAGTATGGAGAATGTTACGCTGACCACGCATATTGGCGGTGGTGCTTTGGATACGAGGATCAACTTTGAGCTTAATGCTATGGAGAATATTCTCGCGGTTGTGGGATCGGATGGGGAATTTGTTGGACAACCGCTCACTCCTGTTAACACCAAGGCCTTCGAGGGAGCAGCGCAAGAAGAATGAATGAATGAATAAATGAATGAATGATAATACTCGACTTCGAGTCATTCTATGGTATACATTTTGATTTTAATGCGTTTTGTATATAAGGGGGGTTTCCTCTTTATTAATTGCCCTCCTTCGGGGGAGGCGAAGTGTCCTCTTCTGCGCCTTCAACAGCAGCAAGGGCATCTTCCTGATCGTTGACCTTCTTGCCACCAGACGCAGCCTTTGGCTTTTCCGAACTGTCAGTGGGGGCTGTAGCGAGTTTAGCCGCCGCAATACCACCGGCAGTGGTATACAGAAAGTGTTCTTGAGGGAAGTGGTCAATGTGGTTGAAGAAAGAACCGAATCTGCAGTTGAAGTTAGTATTACAGCAGCGACACGATATGAATTCACCAGAACTTACTGTGTGGTATCCTCCTCCTCGCGGAAGATGCGGTCATAAATTTCCCGCTGTTTGAACTCGTTCATGACCGCAGCATACTTCTCAAAGTCGATGGGGTCACGGTCGAGGGTCTTGGCTTTGCTATTGTAGTTATCAAAGATGGGGCGCTCGAGCAACAAGCCCAGTCCAGGCGCTTTGGGAATGGCGATGCGATCAGGGCCGTAGGTCTCCTTGATGCGGTCTGGAGTACAACCGGAACGAACAACAAGGGCACACATAGCAACCATCTTGCGAATCTGATGCATCATAAAACTCTGACCGTGGACCTTCAAGCTCAGCCACTCGGTGCCATTGATGACAATCGGCTCCGGGTTCACCTTGAATGACTTGATGTGTCGCTTAGCGGAGGGATCCTTGTGTGTTTTTTGCACGGTGTAGTTGTGGAAGTTTTGAGTGCCTTCGTACTGAGTGAGGCACTCTTGTAGGCGAGTTACGCGGGATGAGGGGACGCGGTAACCTTTCTTGGCCTGGATATACGCGGCCTTGATTGCCTTGACGGTGTCGGTAACCATTTGTTGCTGAGGGGTCATCTTGAAAGGCTTCTTCTCCGCAGGCTCAGAGGGATTTTCCGGCGATTCGTCCTTTGTTTCGGGCGTAGCCTCAGCTTCGGCATCGGTCTCGGCCTCCTGTGCGGCAGCTTGCTCCGCGTCATACCAGAAGAGAGACTTTTGCACAATCGCGCGGACATCCTCGGGAACGTTGTCCAGGATAGGCTTGATGTATGTCTTATCGACCTCCTCCCACCAACCCGCGACCTCCTCCTGTCGCGACTTGAGGTCATCCGTCTGGCCAGTCTTGTCGGCCAATTCCACGATCTTTTGGCCCAAGAAGGTGCTGGGGTGGGGCGGCAGAAGGCAATAGCTGGGCATCAAGTACTCGTAGACTCGGGAGTCGACTAGCTGATAGCAGTTGAATCCACTAGTAGTTGGCTCAACACCCCAAACCCGGATTTGGGGGCCCAGTTTCTCGTTGATCTTCTCGACAATATCCGGGTCCTCAATGATCATCTTCAGTGAGACGACATTTCCAGCAGCATGCACACCCTTATCAGTTCGAGCGCAGCGAACGAATGACGACTTCTTTGGGTCCTCGGCGTTGGCTTTGGAGATGGCACCGGCGGAAACAAGAGCGGCGAACAGGTCACCCTCGATTGTTCTTTGGTTCTCGTTCCTAGAAGAGAAATGTCAGCATCCCGATATATCTTTATATCTAGGAGAGGTCGCATTGAACATACAATTGCATGCCAAAGTAGCCCGTGCCCGAGTATCCCATCAAGATAGCCACCTTCTTCTTCGGCCGACGCTCTTCATTGTCGATTTCTTCCTTTGAGAATTGAGTGGCATAGATTGGAGCGGTGACTTCCTCGCCATTTTCGATCTTGCGACGCTTGTTCTCGGCCTGTCGCTCGGAACGGTCTCTTTTATTTATGGCTTGACGACTTCCTTAGTTAGCCAATTGCAATTCAACAGACAGCGCAAAGAATAGCTTGGATGAATTTAAGTCAATTGACATACCTGAACTCCTTCCTTCCCATATCGCGGTTCTTACGCCTTCCACCAGCTCGTTCTCCTCCGCTTGGGTTGTCGGCCATGATATGCGACTGAAGATCTCGTCTAACTCGGGGCGCTTGTGTTGGGAGCCAAAGGATCGAGCTGGAACTCGAACTGGAAGTGACGAGGAGAAAGAGTGCAGAGGAGTTGGGAGATTTGGAAGAGTCTGGAAAGTTGTGAAGGTCGCTCGATTGCGACTGAAACGGAAGGCACGCATTAACTCGGCTGGCAGAAATCAAAAGGTCGCACCTTACGCCGCAGCGCAATTCCCGTATGGTAGACACGCTAGTCCCAATACAGCCTAGTGGGTGCCTTCCTATCTTAGTCATCTTAGTCATCTCTAACACAAACAGTGCAAACATGCATGTGACGTGAAGCTCTCGGAGCCGCATTGCTGCTTTGCCTGCCTTTCATCCTCACTCACTCATTCTCTCGCCTTCTTTCACTCGCTCACCCTTCACCAGGCCCAGCGCTCACCCCCAGCGCTACTCCGTGCCGACTCCGACCCTCTCTCTGTCTCTCCCTCGGCATTGTCTCTCGATTCGCAAGAGATGATGATCTACATGCTTCCTTGAACTTTGCGACTAGAAGCTTCGCCTTCCGACTCCACTCGACTCGACTCAACTGTCGCAACAGATCTAGCTTCGAGCTGTCGCCGCGATGGATCTCTCCAACACTTTGATTCGCAGCGTGGTGCGCGCCTTCTACGAAACCAGGCACATCCTGGTCGTGGATGCGCTCTTCCTGCACTCAGTGTATGTCTTTCTTTGAGATGCCTCTAAAGCCACACACCTTTGACTCATTCCTGTCCTAGACTTCATGCCGAGGACCTTGCTTTCTTGATGGGCATGCAACAAAAGGATCTGCGAAAGCTATGCGCTCGTCTGCGCGAAGACCGGTTAATCGCCGTGTAAGGGACCCTCCCTTTCCCTCTTCACCTCCAACCTCCACCAACATCATACTAACCTGACTCGCGGCCCAGGAGCACACGTGCTGAGATCCGCGATGGCTCAACTCGCCCGGTCAACCGCGAATACTACTACATCCCCCTGCACCCCGTTGTCGACGCGATCAAGTACAAAGTCTCGCAATTGACCTCTACCATCAAACTGCAATACACACCCAGCGAAGAAAGAAAGGAATACATATGTCTCCGATGCTCAGCAGAATGGACCGAACTCGACGTCCTCAGCCTGGTCTCCGACGAGGGCAACTTCGAATGCCAAAACTGCGGTGCAGTCCTCGAACGCACCGAAGACGTAAAAGGCGTCGAGGGCATCGACCGAACCGGCCATGAAAAGAACAGCAAACTAATGGCCCAACTTGACACAATGCTCAAACTGCTCAAACAAATCGACTCGGTCGAGATCCCACCCAACGACTTCGACACAGCCTGGGACCACAAAGTCGAAGTCATCCGCAATAACCAAACGAATCCCATCCGGCCCGCAATCCCCGTTCCACCAAAGGCACAAGACGCCACCCGCGCAAGCTCCAAAACGGACAGCGCGGCGCTGGAAATCAGTCTCACGTCCAGCGCGGAGAAATCTGCCGCCGACCAGGAAGAAGAAGCCCGCCGCAAAGCAGCCGTCGAAAAACAAAATGCCCTACCTGTATGGCATACGCACTCGACGGTCAACGCGAACAATGCCTCCGGTGGAACTGCAACAGTCAAGAACGAAGCTGGAGTCCCAATCAAAACCGACGATATCGATGAGGACCAGAAGCCCTCGCTCGACGAACTGGACGACAAAGTCGCAGCATACTACGCGGAAATGGAACGCGAAAAGGCCCTCCAAGCCCAAGAAGACGCTAGTAGCGCCGAAGATGACTCGGATGACTTTGACGAATTCGAGGACGTTAACGTCTCCGTTTCCGGCCAAAGTGGTCCCGCCACCCCGGCCCCCGGAGCCGCGCCCACCAGTATTCCAACACCTTCATCTGGTATTGCGGGTCTCAAGCGCGAGCATGATACGGGGTCCAGTGCGGCTCCTTCATCTGTGGGCACACCGTCTACCCCCGCTGACGATGGGCCCGCAATGAAGAGGGTTAAAACTGAACCGGGAGTTAAGGAGGAGCCTGTTATCAAACCTGATCCGGAGGTTAAGCAAGAGGCCGATATTAAGGACGTGAAGAAGGAAGAGGAGTCCGATGAAGATGATGAGGAGGAGTTTGAGGATGTTTAATGTGTTGCTTGCATGGGGATCAGAGCGGAACGAAAAAAAAAAATAGCAGTCGATGCTTTTATTGATCATGGCATTGGCGCTGGCGCTCGGCATATGTTCTATTCTGTACTTTATTTTACGAGATATCTTGAAAACAATTCATCATACCTACCCATCAACTACTACATGACTTCTACATACTAACTAACTACTAACTACTAGTACCATGGTAGTGGGAGCCATACCAGGCGGTGGTTTCCCACTTTGGAAGATCCATCAACATCATTCTTCTACCATTTGAAAACTCAACCTTACAATTCCAGATTCCTCTCACATAAATCCTTCCAATCCCATCCCTCTGCACAAGTCTATCATCCAGAACTTCAACCCATCCTAAAAATGCCCGCAACTTCGCACGAAGGCAATAACCCACAACTACACGCAGGTTCCCGCTACGACGACTCCCCTCCACCATATGACCATGATAGATTTGTTGGAATTCAATTTAGAATGATATCTTGACAACAACTTGAGCCTTAGTTGCCACCTAGGGACACGATTGCCCAGGGTCACGGTGTATCTATAAAATTCGGAATAGGGACCTCAGAATTTGATTCAGAAAATACTGAAGCATACAAGTATTTTTTTGGGAGATTTGATTTAAGAAAGATGGATAACGGTTGTTGAGATATTTTAAATGGAATTTCATGCCATAACTATCGTGTTTGGTGCTAGATATCCGGCTCTTACCAGTGCCCAAGTAGGCCCCGTATCCGCCCGACCGCAACCTACGTTGAATACTATTGAACCTCGTTCAGAGTACACAACTAATATTGATTCTTTTTTTCCGGAGGCTGAGATTGTAGGAAATATATAGTGGCTGGCCTCTAGGAAAGTCAGTAGTCATCGGAAGACTGACTCTACACAGGTATTTATGCTAGCTATAACTAAACATAAGTAGGATATATTTCCTGTTTCTGCTGAATCTAGCACATACGACCATAGGGTGTGGAGAACAGGGCTTCCCGTCCGCTCAGCCGTACTTAAGCCACACGCCGGCAGGTTAGTAGTATGGTGGGTGACCACATGCGAATCCCTGCTGTTGTATGTTTTTGAACTTTTTTCTTCCTCTTTTTGGGACTGCTCTTGCCACTTTTCTCTTCAGTTTGCACCGACTTCCAGTGGACCTGGTATTCATAACCAAACTTTATCGGAAGAGTTCGATGAGACCGATCCCGTTGTTCTTGCGAAACTTTATCAGGAGGCAGCTCAGGTTCTCGCGGAGGGAGTTCTGATCAACCTGACAAGTTTCTTTTCGAGGACTCGGAGACCCTGGGGTCTCTTCAAGTTCCTAACATCGCCGGCCACTGGAAGTTAGGTATACTCTATCATATTCAAGTTCTGAAGCAGTGCGTCATCGCGGATTAGGTTAGGGTCCAGACTCGGAGTTTGCGGGGTTGAATCATGATACTAGTACTAGTACTAGTAACGTTAGTTAGCTGAGGTCAAGTTGGTCTTGCTTTATAGGCCCAGGTGGATTTGAATTTGAACGTGACTTCAGGGTATATGCTCATTGCCCAGGTGTGTTAGTAGTAGACTGTCCTTTTGAAATGAAATCTCATTCACGTTATTACATTCAAGTTTTATAAACACTGTTCTCGCTTCATACTAAAGCCCTGACAGCACCTAATTACTACCAATTCTGCGAATGCCAAAGGTAGTATGCTAACAAACAACAATGTAACTAACCTGTAACACTACCGTCACCTTTTTACTAGAAGGTAGCAGGACCACAAAATCATACAAGATCACCAATAGGGATTCGATTCCCAAAACTGGAGTAATAAAATAGAGTCCGGTCTCTATGTACTTATTACGCACCTCAAGCCTTCAAGTTCTAAATAAAAGTCCGGGTGTTAATTACACCCCCCACTTACAACCCAGAACCTTGGAGAAAGAGAAAAGACTTGAAGAAACCCACACCAACATATAGTGTGTAGCAAGAAATCTCTGTCATAAGCAAAGAAGTAAAAGTAAACAAGGAAATCATTAGAGCAACACCAGACGCCTAGAAGTTGACGTCCAAAAGCTTGAAGAAGACGTCCACGCTCACATTCACATTCACGTTCACGTCCACACAGTCAAATATCAAAATCTCATAGGTCATAAAAGGTCGTAGGAGGCATGTTATCTCATCACAGGGTTGTGTGTATTCCATATTCATCGCTCATACTCATGCTCATGCTCATTCGCTCACCCATCCCATCCACCCCGTCTACTCCGCCCATTTCAGGAAACTCGCAAATCATCTCGAAGTTGAAGTCGAAGTCGAAGTCGAATCGCTCGCTCAATGCCATCGCAGAAACAAAGTCCCCACAGAAAGAAAACCGGAAAATAAACACAGAAGGAAAATGGAAGGTCCACCCTTGCTAGATACACGATCGTAGAAAGGATAGAGGAGAGTTGAGTTGACGGACGGGAAGCGTGGCAAGGGCAGGCGGGTAGGCGGGGGGTGCATTCATCAAATCCATCAAGGAGAAACCGTAAGTCCTATTTCGTCGTCGCTAGCCAAGGGTGAAGTATTTTCCCACATTTCGGGAGTTGGAGGATCGGATTCTTCTGGTGGGCCCCGGGGGTAGGGTTAGATATTGGGATTGGAATTGGGGTTTAGATGGAGGCGGATGCGTGGTGCATAGGGACGCATACCTGATTCGAGGTCGTCTGCGACTTCGACCGTCAATTGGTCCAGGATGAGGAGGGTTTCTGGGACTATGTTAGCAAGCTACAAAAGAGAATCCTCCAAAAGAAAGTGAGGGCAAGCGAGAAGGGAGGGGTATCTTACGATTAGCTTCTTCCATAGCCTTCAAGTCCTGCTCGCTGTCATCGTAATAGAAATCCAGACAACAGCGAATCGCAGAGGTAATGGCGGAAACTTGTCTCGACTCGACAGACGGGAGCGAACTGCTTTCGGTAAAAGAGTGAGAGATACGCAGAAGACAGGCAGCGACCAGTTCATGGGCAATCAGTGAGCGATGCGCCTTGGCTTCATCATACAAGTCATCATGTTCGAGGAACAACAAACCATCGACGAGCTCGTAAGTACTATTGCGCACCCTCCGGTCCGTGTCGATGAGGAGCGTCGGCGCAAAGTCCGGGATATGATCTTGAACGGCTTGATTGAACCATGCGCGAGATAGCCCGGCCCGTTCATTTTCGGATTTGCATAGGAAAATGAAGAACTCCAGGTGTTCTAGTCCCGCCACATTGTTGATCGACTCGACTCCCTTTGCGACGTGGTCGATCAGACCAAGGATACTCGCCTCGTCCGGACTCTTCTGGCAAAACACAAGCGTGGCGTCAAGGTATGGAATGCAGACTTCAACGGGTGATAGCCGCAGACCATTCTCCAGTGTCTTGACAATATTGTGAAGGAACCCTGCACCAGGCTCCGACTTGAGATAGGAATCAATGATGTACCGAGTGTTCGTCAATTCGGAGAAGTTTTCAGTTTGGAAGAGCTTCATCAACAATGGAATATAACCCTCATCGTTTGTGGACAGGAGCATCTTCGCTTCCTTGACATTGAGTGCATACTTTCCTTTCGCAGACATAATCCGCTGTTCGTTACCAAGAACCGGCGTTAGGGAGAAGTCAAGCGACGCCACTAGCGTCGTACAGAGGTGCATCAATTGTCCGTATGAGAAGCGACGTCCCTTCTCTATCAGCCTGCTATAATGCAGGTATGAGCCCCTCAGTCTTGCTTTATCATTATGGTCGAGCCAGAGCACGTCCAGACATTTGACCAGGATCCCATGATCCAGCATAACGCCAACATGACTCATACCGGCCTGGGCAAGACGAGAGAAGAAGTCGAAGTAGTCATCCCAGGCACGAGCCACTGTGAGAACATTCGGCCAGAGCTCTTCGAAAAGATCGACGATGTTCTCGACAATTCGCTCAAACTGAACTTGGCAAGTCTTTCGTTCACTCTCATCCAAGTCCATCTGGGACAGGTGTTTCTGATAAAGCTTCAGTGCCGAAATAATCATAAGCAGCCCACGCTGGCGAATTTCGGCATCCGCGTTCGCAGTTTTGAGAACCAAATTTCCGATTGAAGTTGGATGCTCGCAAAACCACCAGAGCGCCCGCGAAGCTGTCTGTGGGCTCCGACGCAGCATACAGTGAAGCTCACTGACAATATCTTCAACTCCCATGTGACCTTTGTTTCTTGCGATCAACTGCTCAAATGTATCCAATCCAACGCCGACAGCTAATGATTCAGAGGTCTGCTTGTCTGGGTAGCTTGGAGATATGTCCTGGACAAGCCGCAGTTGATGAACCACAAGGCTGGCATACAAAGGATCCAGCAAACAATAACCTCGGATGAAGACTTCATTTTCCAAGGTGATCTGGTTGGCCAGGGAAATTGGTACTGACGCGCGGACTGGGATGCCGGGCTTGGCGGGCTTGTAGATGTTCTTGGATTTCTCAATGGAGGAAACACGTTGATAGAACAACATGTAAGCGCTCCAGAGCTTGTTCATTGGAACACCGCCAAGGCTGTGCATGGCTTCTGTCTGGCCACCGAAACATTGATCTGCAATATTCGTCGGATCGAACGTGCTAACATCCGCGTCGTTGAACTCCACCCAGGAAGGTGTATTCTCGGTGCTGGGGCGCTCGCGGGTGTACGAGTAGTAGTGTCCCGATTCAGCAGTGCCAGTATGAACAAGCACTCCGACGAGCTCAAAAATATCTGGCTCGACGGATTTCTCTGGTTCCGACAGATACTCGACATTGTATGGTGACATGTCGATGAGGTCGGGGAACTGGAATTGATCGTTAATCTTACTTCGCAGCATAGTTACCATATCGAAATCAAATCGTTTCAGGTGGAAGATCAGATTGTCTGGCACGTCTTTAAGACAGGCCCTAGTATCATGGTTAGCTAGAGTTATATGCAGCTACCTCAAAAGATCGACTAACCGCTTGACCGCATCCACATGACGGCCACATGATGTGCAAGAATACTTATTATCTGCGATAAAATATTAGGAATGCAGCCAGACGTAGATGTCACTGTCACTCACCTCCTTGCATGATTTCACCCTCGACGTATGCCTGCAAACTTTCCTCAAGATTGGCCTTCCCCTTAATGTCACATTGAATGGCAGAGAACGGCTCCAGCCTTTCCGAGATATGCGGGCACTCTTTCGACTTGATCTGCTGAACGAGTTGCCCACCGTAGAAAGACCGGAACCTCTTCTTCTCCTCGGGGGCGACGATTTGGGCCTCGCATCGGTCAAATAGGAGATTGTAAAACTCATCAACGTCCATTTGGATGGTGACATCAATCGCCTCGTTGTCATATGTCCGGATGCTCTCGACAAAGTCGATTGGATCAACGCTTTTCAACCACGAGTTTTGCATCAAAGCGAAAACTTTCTGCGTCTGGTCAAGAAGCCTTTGGGAAGTGTCAGGCTCCACGAGCTTGAGCTTCAAAATGAAGTCCCGAAACTCGACATTCATGAAGAGTTGCGTCATCAGCGAGTTCAGGTAGCACGTATTCGAGAGATTGGTAAGGCCGGCATAGCCCTCCGGGGCTCGAAGTGTCTTTGCACGGTCGACAATCCAGGATCCATTGTATTGGTGGTCTTCGTTCCCCGCGTCAGAAAAGAGGATATTTGAACAGCGAAGCGAGCGGAGATTGGACTGACCTCGGGGAATAAGACCGTCCAGCTGCTTGATAGTACACGCGGTGTTTTCGTCGCTTTGCTTTGAAAGCAGATAGACAATGCTCAAAAGCTTGTGGCGCGTTGCGCTGTGTAGAACAGGGACTCGTGGGTTAATCAGGAGGTCGGAATCCGAGGGAGGGTCCGGGGAAAAGCTTGGGAAAAGATGTTCGCTGAGAATTTTCTCCCCGATGCCACTAGTTGTGGTTAGTAGATAGTTTCGCCGGACGTTTTTCGGCAGCACATACGTGGTGTGAAGTTCCACCTGGGTCAAATCAGCCGTTTCAAGACACTGCTCAAGCAGAACAGCAATGCCGAAGACAAGATGATCGACAGTCTCTCGGCCAACAAACTAGAGTCGGTTAGACAGGGGGGGGGGAGCTGTGGGAAAAGACTAGACTTACCTCCTCGGTGCGTAGGTCCAGTCGCTGAAACAATACCTCACTCCACTCATCGACGTAGCGATCTAGAGTCGCATCGCAATGGGTCGATCCTGTAACCGACTGGAAAACCGAAAGGGAGACCTTGAAAAGCTCTGCACTCTGGGTTGCGTAGTAAAGTGAATTAGGAATGATGTTAACCAAGGATTGCCAGATGGTCGCAAGCATGTCAATGTGGGAGGGATTCTCTGTAGAAGTTACAGAAATGACCGCCCCTTCATCAACCTTGCCATTTGGTGACTGCTTCGAAGGCTTTGGCAAGCCACAGGCCTTTTTTATACGCTCAGCCACATCATTGCGGCTCGGTTGGTGGCCTTGTTCAAGTAGAAGCGACTGGACCAACTCGTTGACTGCGATTGAATCCTTCAAAGTCGTCCAAAAAGTGTGGTCTCGCAGTGAAGCTTCGACAAGAACTGCAAATGAGTTGCATGTCAGCCCCTGGCCGAGCTGGATTGAAGCAGGGCTGTCAAAGGAACGAGAAATGTCGATGAAATCTAGAAGCCGTTTAATGAGTGGCTGTGGGCCGGCAAACAGTACGCGATTGTCATTTTCAACAGGATACACTAGAGTCAGTTAGTATTGGGGCAAAAAGGATAGGTACAAGGATGACCATACTCGATACCAGACGTAGCAGAAGATCAACTGCGGACATAGCAAGGGCAGAATTGATCAGGTCTTCACTCCGGAGCTTGGATAAATTGTCCGCCATCAAGAGGTCACGCAAAACATCAATACTATGCCGGATAAAATCATAATTTGGAGACACCTATTTGATAGTCGTGATTAGAGCTGAAATCGATAGATTATGGGGTTGATCTTACCTCAGTGGCTTCGTCATCAATGCAATGAAGCAATGTATGAAACATGTAAAAAGCAATGTAAGGCCGATCGAAGGGGAAAAGATCGTTGGCATTGCTAGTTTGAGACTTGACACGCTCCACGACCCAATCATTTGGCGGGAAGGCAGTAAGGAACGTGAAGGTCTAGCATTCCGATTAGTAAAGGTCGAGTTGGAAGAATATCGGCATATTGCGTACCTGCTCGGCGAGCGGCTCACTGAGCGCCAGGAATTGGTAGATATCATCAAAATACTTCATCACCTCGGAGTCCACCGATGTGAGTGGTTGACATTTATTACTGCGTTGCAACTCTTCGGCATCTGGTGACTTCCGGATGATCAGGAGACCGGCCTGAAGGGCTTTGATCTCCTTAAGAGGGGTGTCCGGTTTCTCAAACAGGTCCAAACGAGCACCTGCAGCAATCGTTGAGAATTTCGAAAAGCCAGTGAGCTGGGTGAGTCTCTCTGTCAAATCTGCTGCCGTGGAATCATCGCCAATCCGTAGTGATTGAATCTGCGAAGGGAAGCCATCGCGGAAGGATTGCCATCTCAGATCCAGTGGGCTGCCTCGAACTGGCCGTTGAGGCAAGGTTGGCGGCGAACCTTGGGGAGGGCTGTATCGAGGGCGAGTTCGCAGGCCCTCCAGAAGCTGATGGAGAAAGTGGAGCGAACGTATGAACATGAGCTCGTCTAATTCTTCAGCTTCACTCGCATCTCCAATCTCCATCTCAGTCGCTCCATTCGTAGCCACACCGTCTGATCTAGGTCTTGCGTTGATGGTGGCTGCGGCCGACTTCAGTTGACTCACACAACGGCCGACAATGGAAACATGGGTAGCGTCCACGGCAGATCGCGGGGCGGTTTGAATGATCTGGTGATCCAAGTAAACCTCGATGGCAAATTTCGTTGCCTCGGCCTCAACCGTACCCGGCGGAGCGGTGAGTATGATATCCCAAATGCGATCCATTCCCGGGATAAACACAATCTCGTTGTCACCAGCTGCGGGGGGTGGTTTGAATCGTACTTCGTAATTGACAGATTGTTTCGCAAACAGTAGGAGTTCAAAGTCATAGTCCTTGGGTGTCAGGTGAGGCATGTGTTCATGGATACATTGGTCGAGAAATGAGTTCGGTGAGGCACTGCGACTCAAAGAATTGACCATCATGGCCCAGACAATCCGGTGTCCTTCCGGTCCTAACTTCGGCGACAGAAGTATTTGATTCCACAATGCACTTCCGAGCTCCGGGGTCACAGTCTCCGGGGCTTGGTTGATCAGGCGAGATAAAATTTCGACTCGCGACACAAGGCCGTGCTGGGAGAAACAGTCGGCAAGATCAAAGTTTGTCCCGCTCACGGTATGCAACATGTCGTTGATCACCAGTCGAGTCAAGTCGAAATCGGTTGCAAGCTTTCTCATCTCTGACGCGTCCCAGTGGGGAACGAGGGCACTGAGCGCCTGGATGCTACCAGTCGTGAATTGGTTCATCTCCGCAATGTCCTGGATGCAGCGTTCGTACATTTCCATTCGGTCATCTTCACCAATGCCAGCCTTGATGAAATCGGAGAGCTTGCGACTGCCGAAGCTTTGCAGTTTCGTCCTCTGGTCCGCCGAGAGATCTTCTGCCACGGTACTCTCCCGGATCATACGAACACAGAGCCGCAGAGGAATCGCATGTGCATGTTGGGGGTCTGACTGATCCATGAACATGTGACCAGGGTTGTGCCTGGGGGTCATTTGGCCGAGAAGGCTGTCGCAAAATTCGAGCATGCCCGCGTCGAATCTGTCGAGAGGGAGGCTCAAGAGCTTTTCACAAAGGTAGAGCAAGGCTGGGGAGGCAGTCGTGTGCATATAGAAAGTCTTCGTCAGCATCGACAGTACCTCCGAGACAATACGGCTGTCTTGGCTCTCTGTGACGGCCTTCCAGATGACATCCGTTTCGCGATCCGTATATGTTGATGTCACCACCAAGAACCCGACGATGTTGCTGCTCCGACCGATCAGCTGAGGATGCGAATCGACGCCCACAAGATAGTCAACGATCTTGTTTTCTTTGATGAAGCGAACGAGATACTGGACAAAGGGGTTCGAGATGCCATCGGGATTCTGTGAAATGTACTCCTTCCACACGTCGACCAGTGCAGCCTGCATTTTGTCAACACCATTGACTCGAAGCTCCATGCGGCCTTCCATGAAATGCTTCTTCAAGATACCAAATTTCCAGCCCCCGAGAAGGATGCGAGTGTTCTCGTCGGCACTAGTATGGTCAGGGAGATCGATCGCCATGTCTTTTGAAAGTCTCTGCAAGAATTCATCGCCCCGACGGCAGAGAGCCTGCAGGTTGCGAGGGAAATGACGCCCGACTGTGTCACTAATATCGCTTGTGGCCCAGGGGGGATTTCTTTGTGATCCATTCCTGGTATTTGAGATCGATCGACCTGAGAGTCGTGTAAAGCTGATTGATTGGGGCAGTAGTTGAAGTCGTAGTTTCTGAGATGAGAAGATCGGTGTTCTCTAGTGACTCCAGGGTGCAGTCAAGAAGGCCGTAGATGGTCGTGAGATAGAAGAACAGCATATGTACAAGCTGGGGGTGTTTAGGGGTGAGCTCGAGGGCAAGAGCGCAATAGTCTGCGAGTTTCGCGGCGGCATTCAACGGGCCGAGAGTTTCGGCTCGGATATCTAGTAAGACCGCTCGGAATTCCCTACCGTACATCCTGTCCAGGGCGCCGTAGAGCGGGATGCTTTGAAAGGAGACCAGCCATCCCAGCTGTTGCAGATAACACTTTGACATGCTTTCTGGTGTTTGTTGATCAGGCTCGTCGGCCAGGACCTGCAAGAGGAGGGAATCCTGTTGGATTAGGTGTAGAGTGATCTGCACATAGTTCAAAAGAAATTTCTTGAGGCAGGGCAGCAGGCCAACCCCGTCGTTGATTGGAAGGTCGGTTCTAGTATGCGGGTCAGTAGGGTGGAAATGGTGGTGGAGGCGGAGTAGAAGTTAGTTCATACTTGCGACGGAGGGCAAACTCCACGATGCTCGGGAAATTTGACCAGAAGTCCTCGTGTTGGGCATATGTTTGGAGGGTCAGAAGGTCCAGGTTACGAACACAGTGGTCCATCCAGGTCTGGACTTTCTGTATGATGGCAGCAGCATCGTACATATCACCTGGTTGGCGGGTTAATATAATTGATATGAAGTACATCAAAGACGAAGGGTGAGCTTTCAATCAAACTCAGGTTGACTTACCTTTATCCATGACTTGAATGAATCTTGCGACACTGCTAGAGGCACTGAGCTCTGGGCGGACTCGTGGAAACGAGTCGACCAATGGAGTCATGTCGGAGATGTCTTGAATAAGGTCCGACTGTGAATCACGGCGGACGATTTCCTCCAAGGACCTCCAATTTGAGTGATTGGAGTCTTGCTCCATATCTTCCGGATCGGCGATCTCGATCTGAGGACTTGCTTCGGGGGAAGAAGGGGCGGAGGCAGATACGGCATTTGAGTTGGGGATCGAAGTCGGAGTCGCGTTGGGAGGAGGTGAGGGTGGGAGGGTGGCAAGTAGAGTGGGAGAGGAGGAATCGAGAGGTTCCGGTATTTCGGAAGTAGGGGACTTCATGTTGATGGTAACTTTGGCGGGGGAGTGGAAGTTGGTGGCTGGTGAAGGCGTGACTGGAGTGACTGAAGTAGCTGAAGTAGCAGCAGTAACGGCGGCAGCGGCAGCAGATGCGGCAGCGGAGGAAGAGGCAGCAGAGGCAGCTTCAATGGACAAGATCTCGTGGACGTCACTGCCTTTACCAGTGCCACTACCACTGTCGACGCGTTGTCGCTTGGGAGTGCGAGCACCCTCAGCATGCGGGTCTTCTTCCATGGATGTGTTCGGGAGTTGTTGGTGGTGGTGGTGGTGGTGGTATCGCGGTGATGCGCTCAAGGGAGTGCCAGGCGGGGTGAAGGAGAGCTCTGGCGGGGGTTCAGCCATGACATTTTCCGAGGCTGAGCGGATGGAGGGGGGGAAAAGAAAGGGAATCTGAGCGAGTTGGAATGAGAGGAGGCCGGTTGGGAATCTGGATGGGGTTACAGGTTGGAAGTTGACGTTGAAGTTCTTGGGGACAAGAAGCGGTCGACAGCTCCAGCTTTTTTTGACGCGACCCGGTGACGTTGCGGAGAAGTGGAATTCCTTCGCACTGGCAGTGGCACTGGCACTCTACAGGGAATAGTTCTACATGATATATGATATGAGTTGTGACAAACAGGTCTTCTTTGTATGTTAAATACTTTTATTTATTTTATCATTATCATTATTATAATATTATAGTATTCTTTACTATCTGTAGTATCCCATCACTACAAGCTGCCAAGAACGGCAATCAACCTAGCAAACTTGATTATTTACAGTAGCACTGGCACGGGCACGGGCACTCATATACCTGGTACTTCAAGTTTGGAACCCTTGATCTATATTACTAGTATTATCACTGTTCTTTCATTTGAACCTCACTATTGCTCTAGATTGGCTACAGTATGCAGGTTTCAACTTGGTATCCCATTGTGTCTAGATTGTTATTCGGTTCACTGCATCACCAGCCCAGGCCATCAATAGCACTAGTAGTACTGTCCTAGTACTCAGAGCTAGTAGAGTACTTGATTAACCATCACTCCTCCAACTTCACTCTGTCATTGTCGTCTCAATCTTCCGAATAATCCTAGCCGGGTTACCCGCAGCCACATGGAAAGCAGGCACATCCTATACATCACCATTAGCACTGGCATCAGAACTACTAGTATATATCACAGCATCCATAACACCGTGCCCTCCCACACCCACCTTTGTAACAACACTCCCTGCTCCAATAGTAGCTCCCTTCCCGATACTCACCCCAGGAAGAACAATCACATTCCCCCCAATCCAACAATCCTCCCCAATGGAAATCGGCTTCCCCATCTCTGGCCCCTCAGTCCCATTCCGCAGCGCCGGATCAAGAGGATGGGTCCCGGAAAACAAATTCACATTAGGCCCGAACAAAGTCCGTGCTCCTACTGTAATGGGACAGGTGTCGATGAAGACGCAGTTGAAGTTGACAAAGACTCCGGCCCCGAGCTTCACGTTGAAGCCGTAGTCCACTTTGATCGGGGCCTCGATCCAGGGCTCATGTTTGAACTGGTCGTCGTCGGCAGCTGGGTCGAGGAGTTTAGGTGGGAGAGGTGTTTTGTCGTCAGTTATGCTGGAGGAGTTAGCATATGCCTAGAAACTAATGCAGCCTAGGTGTATATATAGCTCGGAAAGAATGGGAAACATCCAAGGTTCAAGCTTGAAGCTACTACTACCTGTACCAGCAGCACCAACTTGAACAATAGCAAACTCACTCTCGCCACATCTCAACCAGTCGCCGACGAGGTACCTCATCCGAGGTATTATTGAATCGATTGCAGGCATACTTGCATCGAGCTCTAGCAGCTACCATATCCGGGGTAAAAGCGCAAAACAGCTCGCCACGCAGCATCTTTTCTCGTTCCGTGAGTCCCGCCATAGTGAACCAGACTCGAAACTGCCAGGTTCAAATTCAAACAAAGAAAAGTGTTCTAGACCGGAGTTTAGTGGGCTACATGGCTGACGTCCTTCATGTGGGGGGGAGTTGCTAGAGTGGAGCCTCGGGGAAAACGGATGCCGGTAGGCACTCCGAGTTACTTTTGACACTCTTTGTTCTCCAACAACCACAACCACAACAATCACCCCGACAATGCCTCCCACTGGCACGACATTTAACGGTCCCTCCCAATAATCCTCGACTTTCTCTTCTCTTCTGTCCTGTCCAGCATACCCTCATATCATCTGTACACAGCAACAACTCGAATTCCTCCCAAAATGTCCGCCCAAACCACCAGTGCACAGATACAAGCACAAGCAGCACCCAGCTACACCACATGGCAGCCACGAAGACCACGAACATCCAGCACAGCCAGTGCAAGTTACAGCGATAATTCCGACCCCGACTTCTTCCCAAACCACTCCACCAACACCTCCACCTCCACCACCACCACCACCACCATCCCCCTCGACCCATCCTCAATCTACCCAAACGGTCGAAAGTCCCTCTCAGCAATCTCCCTCCGCGCATTCGCCCTCGGCACAAGCTTAGGCCTATCAACCAGCTTAACAATCTACCTCGCCTTTGCACCAGGAAGCAACTCACCAACCTGGCGCCTCCCATTCTTCATAACATCCCTATCCCTCTTCCACTTCCTAGAATTCTTCATAACAGCCCACTACAACACCGCAGCCGCAACAGTCTCCTCATTCCTCCTATCCTCAAACGGCTGGGCCTACAACGCCGCCCACGGCTCCGCACTCCTTGAATGCACACTGCGATTATGGCTTTGGCCTAGCTCGAGCTCGAGCTCGCCCTCCTCCACCACCTCCTCCGTTGGCCTTTCGCCTTCTTCCATCTGCGTCGTGCTAGGCCTCCTCCTCGTCATCCTAGGCCAAATCACCCGATCACTCGCCATGGCGCACGCGGCCGCGAATTTCAATCACCACGTTCAATCTAGACATAAAGATGGTCATGTACTCGTCACCAGTGGTGTTTATGCGGTTCTCCGGCATCCGAGTTATTTTGGGTTCTTTTGGTGGGGACTGGGTACGCAGTTGGTTCTTGGGAATTTTGTTTGTTTTGTGCTTTATGCGGCTGTTTTGTGGAAGTTTTTTGCTTCTAGGATTCGGAGTGGGTGTCCCCTTTTTCTCCCACTACAATGGCGGTGGATGGGTTATGTTTTTCTTTGTTCGGTTGTGCTGACATTTTACTTTTTTTTTTTCTAGCGGAGGAGTCGTTTCTTATTAACTTCTTTGGTGATGATTATGTTCAGTATAAGAAGAATACTCGTGTCGGGATTCCGGGGATTGCTTAAGAGATATCTCGGATTTCTTCTATTGAAGCCAAGCCCGTTGTGCATAATACGGAGTACACTATTGTCAATGAATGGATTGTATCTACTAGTTGTAGCTAGCTAACTACTAGTTGGTCATAAAAGTATTCAACTAATTGACTGAATCGAGTACTATTCTGGACCGTAGATCTTGGCCCTGGCCCTGGTATATGTAACTATGGTATATGACATCAACGCTTGTACAATGCAGCAGACTCAGAGTCCGAGTCCCTCGTAATATAACTTCAAGTTGAACTTGAATCACAGTTTACTCTCCGGCGCAACAACACCAATAGCCCCGCTCATAAACGGTCCACCATTAGCATCCTCATCCGCATTCGCATCCACATCACCCGAATTCTCCGCCCCATATAACACCAACTCCCTCCCACCCTGCGTACTCCACCAAGCAACACAACAATGAGCCCGATCAACATCCATCTCCCCACCACTCATAGCCTCCCAGAACCGATCAATGCACGCGACGCGCATAGCCCGGTCCGGAACGGCATTGATAAGCTCACCGGTCAAAGGAAGCCATTCTTTCAAGTCGTCGACGCGGAGGAAAGAGAGGGAATCGATAAGCGCGAGCGTGAGCACGGCTTGAACGGAAAGGGGTGGTGTATTTCCCAGATCTGGCGCTGTGCTGTTTGAATTTTGAGCCGTGGGGATAATTGGCGTTGTGGATGCGTGTATTGCTCGGTCCCGGACTACTTCGAATAATATGGTTGGTAGGAGTGGCTGGGTATTTGCAAGTGGTGAGGGGGGTGCGGTGACTTGGATGACTGTTTTGAAGGCGAGGCGGAATTGGCGGGCTGATAAGTTTTCAGGGAAGACCTAGATGAATAGGGTTAGAATGAGTCTTGCAGGAAGAATGGGGATTGCCGATCGATCGACTTTGAAAAACTCACGGCGAATAAATTCTCAATGTAGAATGGTAGGTGTTTCCCAGCTAGTTCTGCATTATGGGGAATTGCAAATACAACGAGCACAACGCTGTGAGCTGCTTCGAAGATTTCTAGCAGAAGTGGGTTCGCACCAGCTGCCAAGTAGGGGAAAGCAGCAGATAATAGTAGTTCCTCGTTCACGGCAGTCGGTAAGACAATTGGGAAATGTTCGGCCGCATTCATGAAGAAGAGATCCAAGCACCGCTCCACCGGGTGACTCGGGATTTGGCCAATATCGCTGGGCTTGATGCTGCGCAGGAAGTTCTCAGCCAGGTCAGGATACTGGGAGAGAATATCAACGGCAGCCAGGAACACGAAAGCCTGCTGTGATGATCCATTTTGCCCCGTTCGAGAGGAGACAAAGTACAGGTTGCGGAGAATATGAAGAGACTGCATGCAAAGATATGGCGCACCTGTAGCAGAGTTAGTTAGTCAAGATGCCAAGCTAAGCTGTTTTTTCACGGGTCAGGGCCGAGCCATGGGCACACTTACGACTGCCAGCAGCGAGAACAGGGTCATTGATTGTTCTCCCGATAACAGCTCGAAGAACAATAACAACCGAGTATAAGCAGTTTCTAAGAACCTTCCACAAGGCCGGGATGGTAGTCTGCAAGGATTCCGCATCCAAAAACTCAGCCTCCTCCGCAGCATCCACTTCAGATAACTTATTCTGACGCCACTGCACCATAAGCGTACGAACAAAGTCCGCCATATAGTCAACCGTCTGCGCCACGAGATCCGGATTGCGCGCATTATCCACCGCATGAGAGATAAGTCTCGACAACGGACCCAAAGCCGCAATAAGCGGCCGCGAAGCTATTGTAGAGAAATATCCAAAGGTCGGAGAAGTCGATGACCAGCGGAACTTTTTCCCAGGTACCTCGACAACATCCTTGTCAATAGCACCGAGGAAATACCCACCCTCCAACCCTTCCGGCGAGAGGAATGTGGATCGCACCATAACGGGAAGCAAACGATCATAATCAATCTTACTCCTCTCCGCATCGGAGAGTAGTTCAAAGGTATAATTGAGGACCATGGTAATGCAATACCCATCGATCCCATTCTCAGTCTCCATCTCTTCCAGCGCTAATTGCGCAGCCGTCGCAAGCGCCGATTCAAGCTTCGTTCGAATATGCCACGGTAGGCCCTGCCGGTTCTGTCCCTCGAATCCAAGCAATATGCCGCCGAGCAGGAGCATGTGTCTCCAGCGCGGTGACTTGTCGTCCGCGCCCTCGGCTACGGCCTTCACCCATGCCTCGCGCTCTATCTTGCGGTTCCGACCGTATGTTGGGCGTGGTTCATCGGTGTTATCATTGTGTAGTACTGCTATGGCGGCTGTGTTGAAGATGCTGAGGATCTTGCGACATGCTTGAAGATCGACGGGCCCGTCCCAGAGCGCGGGGGTGCAGAGAAGCTGCGAGGAGAGGAGGCTTAGATTGAGCGGGTTGCCGAGAACTGAGAGGAAACTCGTTGCGGTAGGAAGGAGTCTGTATCAAGGTGAATTGATTAATTCGTTAGTCCGGGGTTCAGGTAGATGGGATTCGGCTTTCGCCCGCGGCCAATGTATCGATCGCATCGCATCACATTGCCATGTGCGCACCAGCCACTTACCCAGAGGCATCCTCTAAAGTGGACGCAGACTGTAAAGACCGCAAAAGCGCGGCCAGAGAGCGTTCTGTCGCCATGAATTGATCGGTGCGATCGGGTGGATAGGGGATGGAGATGAAAGCGGAGGTTGTCGAGATCCTCCCATTCCCATTCCCGGGGGGAACCCCAGACCGCATGACGCCTGCCGAGGTCCGCCGAGAGACCAAACCAAACACTGCAAACAAGCAGCAACGGAGAGATCGACCTACACCTACAACCTTCCCTTCCATCTACACTTTCCATCTTCACCTTCGACCATGCTCTAATTCTCTCGATCCACGCTGCACTCCAGCCACGCAGTACCCTCCATTCCAATGTCTAACAACCGAGTCCCAATAGACTACCAAGTCCCCTCCTTCCCATCACTCTACGACCCTCTCCCGACACACCACAAAGAGGCGCACTACCTTTACTACACGACCGATATTTGGCGCTTCACATTATACTGGACGCTAGTTTTCTACGGCGTATCACATCTCACTGTCTCTGTCTGTGCTATTCTAACGCACTTTCGGAATTGGAGTATTATCTGGTTGGTGCCGTTGCTGTATAGCGTCATTGCTGGGTTGGAGGGATTAATTGCGGGTAGTATTGTTGGTCTTGTGTGAGTTTTTCCCTCGTCTATGAATGGGATATACTATTTCTGGTATATTGAGGAGCTAGAGTTGGAGCTGGAACTGGAGCTAACGGATGTAGACTCGGTGCTGTCTATGAAGCAGGCAATTTCCGAATGTCGACCTGGCTCCCCATGATCTGGGGCGGTGTTAATGTCATGGTTTTGATCGTGACTAGTTTCCCTATGCAAGGTGGTCTTTGATTACTAGGCTACACTACATGTACACTACACTGCACTGCACTGCACTGCAATATGGCGGTGCTTCACTGCTTACGACTTACGACTTACGATTACGCCGCATTCTATTTCTACTGTGACCGCAATTTGCCCCAGACTCTATCAACTTTAATAAACAACACGTCGACTAGTAGTACCGGTGAACCTGTGGACCTTAAAAATTGAAATGATATTTCATCCATATGATGCATCGAATAACTTGAACCTTATTGATCTCGAAGTGAGCGCCGCCCTGTGCCACGGGCAAAAAATCATCCTTTATATACGTACCTTCCGAACGCCTAGCTCTGCAATCCTAATCCAGATCCATTCTGACACGCAATAATGCAAGCATGCAATCACTTCTTTCCTGAGTTCTCTTTCCTGTCTTCTCTGCCTTCGTCCGCTATCCTTTACCTACGCCCGCCATCAGGAGGGCCTCCGTGCAACCCAGGCAGACCGCCGCCAAACCCACCAGCCATATTCTGGAGGTTGAAATTCGGAGGAATTTGGACGCCTTGGGCCATGAGTTGCTGTCTGATCTGGGCCATATCGACATTCATCGGCGGCGGTGGGGGAGGAGCACCGCCCGCCATGCCCGGGAGCATGGGGAATCCTGGAGGAACGCCTTGATTAGGAGGACCAGGAGGACCAGGGGGGGAGGACCACCTGGCGGGCCCTGAGTTCCCATAATCGCAGCCAGACGACCAGGATCCATTCCACCCATCATTGCTGGCAGGCCAGGAGGCGGAGGCGGAGGCTGGGCAGCACCGATTCCGGGAAGAAAGCCGGCACCACCTTCGTCCGCGCCGGGAGCACTGGTGATACCAGGTAAAGAGGGAGCACCAGCTCGGCGCTGGTCAACGAGGCTATCAGCCTCATCTTGAATCTGCTGTTCCTCCTCCTCGCGCATCTGTCGACGGCCGTAACCACGATTCCAGTTCCCCTGCCCCTGCCCTTGCCCCTGCTGGTCCTCGGCGGTTTCTTCGCCGGTATGGTATCGATCTTTCATGTGACTAGTCTCACCCGGTCTCGCACGCGACCAGAATCGAACAAAGTTATCCTTAGACCCAGACGCAAGAATATGACCGAGCGGATGCCAGTCCAGCGACCAAATTGTAGCTGCGTGTGCGTACGGCACCTTATGTGCGGGGAATATGACCTGCGGCGGCGTATTCGCCGGGTCGGGACTATCGTATGGCGCCACAGTAGGTACTTGCCCAGTAGGCAGATGCGGCTCATCGAGTAGATAGTGGTGAAGCGAGCCATCTTCCGCTCCGGTGGAAATCAAATTGGGGTGAATCGGGTGCCAGGTCAGTGACGAGACGGGCTTCTCATGGCCGCGCAAGATGCAAATATCCCGCATCATGCGCAAATCGAAGACGCGCGCGGTCTGGTCGCGCGAGGAGGTGGCAAGTAGATTTCCATTTACGCGGGAGAATCGCGTCGCAGTCACTGTGTTCTTGTGACTGTGGAGTGTAGTGAGACAACGCGCTGTGCGTGGGTCCCAAAACTTCACCTGGTGGTCCTTGGAGCCGGAGACCAGTAGTCCCTTAGTTGGGTGCCAGTCGCATGATTTTACATCCCAGTTATGACCGGTTAGGACAGTGTCGCAGGTGCGGGAGGTGAAGTCGAAGATTTTGAGGGTGGTGTCGTCGGATGCGGAGAGGAATTTGGTGTCGCTGGGGGCCCAGCAGAGGTCACGGACGGCGTCGTGATGCGCGTCGTCGATTGTTTCGACGTTGTTGAAATTAGGTCGCCAGTACTTGATGTCACCTTTTTGTCCGCCGGATATCAACCATTCTTGGCTATGTGACCAGCCGAGAGATGTGACACCTGCTTGGACTTGATCGTAGTGAGCCTGATCAAAGGGATTCAGTTAGCCGGAGGGGAGTTCTTCGCGCAGGATTTGGGTGTTACTCACGTCCATGACGGTTTCGAAGTTGAAAGCTGTTCCATTCCAGAGCATAAATTCACCGGTATGCCCGCCTGTGAGCAATCGTCGTCCTTCGGGGGTCCATCTTATTACGACAATCGGTTTCTTTGACTTTCCGATCGACTGGTGTAAGTGTCGCACAGGGATCGTGTCGGCTGGTGAGTGAATTCGCGCGACTGGCGGCAGCATCTAGTTTACACGTAGAGTCGATCAGTCTTTGCTCGCTCTTATTCTCTTCGTGTATCTTTCTATATGTGCCTGCCCTAGGCAGGGCAAAGTGATTCGCGACAGTACTCACATCCACAGTAAAGCTGGGGCTTGGCCGCTCAACCTCCAGGCGATGTTCGCCTTGATATCGTGGTCGGCGTGTTCTCATCCACTGTACCATAGACGATCCATAGTCGGTCACCAATCCTGCAGGTTCAGATTGTCAGCGTGGGGGGGCTTCAGCAGCGTCAAGCGTCAAGCGTAACGATAGGGTCACAACGTAACGTACTTGGGCGCCGAGGACCGTCATTCTGGTTGTTGTTTCTGTTAAAACGGCCAGCAATTTGGCCGTCGTTCCCATCGTCGACAAAAGACATTTCGGGGGAAGTGAAGATTGGAGGCAAAAGAAAGGGTAAGAGATCACATCAACAACATCGCCATGAGGGTGGAGTGTGAAGTATTGTGCAAATCTAATTGGCAAACGCGCGAGCGTTGGGAAGAAAGTGAGAGCTTCCGGCGGCCGGACCTCCGTGCGGTGAAAGCGGTGATTGGCTCGATTGCTCTCTGTACCCTTGTCTACCCTTGCTATGATGTCTTAACTTTCCCCCGCCAACTTTTGCTTTTACGAGTACTTTGACCCTATTTTAGTTGGGATTTATTACAGGGGAGGGGGATAAGAGGTACCTTTGTACTTTATTACTTCCTATCTCCTCTATCTCCTCTCTTTTTCTTCTTTTCACCTTCTCCCCTCTCCCCCCCCCCACACCTCTGGCGTACCCGGTCGCCTTCTCCGCTTCAGCCCACTCTCATTTACCTCGGGAGAGCTGTTTATTTGAATATTCGTCACTGGATAATTCACAATGGCCCGGACAGAGGCCCTCACCACCGCCAGAGAGCAATCCACCCAGACCGTGGAAACGCATGCAGATGCGCCTGCAGTGACCGTGGCAGCTGCAGCTGCGGCTACACCGACGGAGAGCTCAAACCATGATACAGATAAACCATCGGCACCTCCGGGAAAGAAACCACGCAGCTTGTATCGTCATGTCGCTGCATATCATTCCGAGACGCGACACTCAAGCTTGAGCCGTGAATCAGATGAAACAATTAGCTTCTTGGGCTTTCGAAATTTGATGGTGTTGGTGTTGGGTGAGCTCCGATTCTATAGTGCCTGTCACATGCTATTTTCCAAGCTCAAGCTAATTTTTGACTCTTTGACTCCTAGTGGCCATGAACCTCCGTCTGATTATTGAAAATTTCATGAAGGTACGTTTGGACCCAAAAATAGCTCTGGCAAATGCGAATGCGAATGCACCTGGAAAGAATTGGTTTCATTGGAAGGATCCCTGCTCCTCTCGCTCCTGTCTAACATATCCCCTAGTATGGCGTGCTCATCTGCATCAAATGCCACGACTACCGAAAGCAAGATCTAGTCCTCGGGTCAATTCTCTTCGCCCTCGTTCCTTGCCATCTGTTTGTCGCCTATCTGGTCGAGTTATCGGCGGCAGCATCTGCCAAGCAGACAGTTGGTCATCAGAAGAGGACGGCAGAAGAGAAAGAACATGACCAGCAACGGTTTCGCTCGACCTGGCGCTACACGGCCTTCATCCACACCATCAACGCCACCCTGTGTCTTGCCGTGACTAGCTTTGTAGTTTATTTCTACATTCACCATCCCGGTATTGGAACGCTGTGCCAGTTGCACGCCATCATCGTCTGGCTGAAGAATTGCTCCTACGCATTCACCAACCGAGACCTCCGTCTGGCGTTCCTGAATCCCTCCGCGAACCCGAATCTTCCGGCCATCTATGCCACATGCCCATACCCTAGAAACATCACCCTTAATAACCTGGCTTACTTTTGGATGGCTCCGACGCTAGTCTACCAACCTGTTTACCCGCGCACCCCATCCATCCGATGGCCCTTTGTGTTCAAGCGCCTAGGTGAATTCGTCGTTCTGTCAGTGTTTATCTGGCTCTTGTCAGCGCAGTATGCAGCGCCCGTCTTACGCAACTCGATCGAGAAGATCGCCATGTTGGATATCGCTTCGATCCTGGAGCGCGTCATGAAGCTATCTACCATCTCGTTGATTATCTGGCTAGCGGGATTCTTCGCTCTCTTCCAAGCCCTGTTGAACGCACTGGCTGAAGTGATGCGCTTCGGCGATCGCGAGTTCTACACGGATTGGTGGAACAGCTCAAGCCTGGGTGTTTATTGGAGGTCCTGGAATCGACCTGTTTACCTGTTCATGAAACGACACGTTTTCTCTCCGCTCGTGGGCCGTGGCTGGAGTCCACTGGCCGCCAGTGGCATGGTGTTCACCCTCTCGGCCATTCTTCACGAAATGCTGGTTGGAATTCCGACTCACAACTTTATCGGCGTTGCTTTCTTCGGCATGATGTTCCAACTGCCATTGATTATGCTGACAGTGCCGTTCGAGAAGAAGCGTGATCCCCTGGGGAAGACGATTGGCAATTGTATTTTCTGGGTCAGCTTTTGTCTGGTCGGTCAGCCTTTGGGTGCATTGCTCTACTTCTTCGCGTGGCAGGCCAAGTACGGGAGTGTGAGTCGAGCGAGCCCTTGATGATGTGCATGTGCGTGTGCGCTCTGCCTGCTCAAACTTGTCCCCGCATTTTTGAAATGATATCAGGCAATCCAATCCACGGCCGTCAATCTAGCATGGATGTAATTTTGAAATAGCTACAGCGACTTGAGAGCCTGTTGTCACATAAACAATTCACGCACTTCGAAATAAGCCCATCGCTGCGTGCACCATCCAATGACTACGAGTAGTAGAACAGGCAACTGCGATGATGTGTCCAGTATCTTATCGAAGGCAAAAGAACTTCAAGTTGAACCGTGTCCTCTCCCCGCCTCGGAATCGGGATGATGGTTGCGCCGGCGCAGCGATCTTCCGCGTTTCAAGCTCCGCACTGGCAGCTCCGCCGAACTCCGCCCAAAGCTATAAATGGCCCCATCCCCACTCAAACCGCATACTTCCATAGGTATACTACTAACTAGTACTACACAACATACACAATGGTCGCAATCACTGTCCCTGATAACTACGGGTAAGTATTCAATTCGTTCAATCCTCACTCCATATCTAACCATTGCCCTCCCAGCGCCGTCATCGCCGTCGCCCTCGGCGCAATCCCCGTGCTCGGCTTCATCCACGGCAACATCACCGGTTCCCTGCGCAAGGGCGCCAAGGTCCCCTACCCGCACAGCTATGCTTCGCTTGAACAATGCAAGGAAAATGTATGCTGAATTCCTTCCCACGCATATTTCTGTGACCTGCCAATCCAATTCAATCCAATCAATCAATCACTAACCACTCCCTCACCCACAGGCCAAAGCCGAGCAATTCAACTGCGCCCAACGCGCCCACGCCAATTACCTCGAAAACATGTCGCAGACAATTCTATTCACCCTCGTCGCTGGTCTGAAGTACCCCCAACTCGCTGCTGGTCTCGGTGCCGCCTGGGTGGCTTTCCGTTCGATCTTCCTGTACGGCTATGTTTACTCGGGCCAGGCGCAGGGTAAGGGCCGCCTGTACGGTAGCGCGTTCTGGTTGGCACAGGGTGCGCTGTGGGGATTGACTGTGTTTGGCGTCGCCAAGGAACTGATTTCCTGGTAAATTAGTGCGAGAGATGTAGATTTCTCGAGATTTTTATGTATTATAATCAATATTCAATCCATGGATTTTATCGCCAATTGGCAGCTCTTTCCTGGCACGTGAATAGCGTGATGCACTGCCACACCCCGCATGTACCAAATTGTGGCTGACACCCGTTGTGGCGTTCCGAAAAAAGTTCCCTTCGCCGTTTGCTATCTACATTTACATCTATATCTACATTGGACATCCCCAATCGCCAACTGCTGCTGCTTTACTCAATCCTTGTGGATTTGCAGAGCTTATTGGAAGAGTTCATTGGTCCATAGGAGTCTCTAACCTGACTACGCTCCAATTTCAATCTCACTCTCAACTTCACCCCGCCAACCCCGCCACCATGTCCTCCAAGTCGCAAATCCCCTTTGGCACACGTGCCAGCAGCCACCCTAACCCTCTGGCTCGCAAGCTCTTTGAGGTCGCCGAGGCCAAGAAGAGCAATGTCACCGTCTCCGCCGATGTGACCACCACCAAGGAACTGCTGGACCTGGCCGACCGTATGTCATGACATTGCCCTTACTCTTGCTCTTGCTCCTGCTCTTGCTCCTCCTCCTCCTCCTGCTCCTGTCCCCAATCTCACCAGTCCATACCTAATCCAATTGAACCCCACAGGCCTTGGTCCCTATATCGCCGTCATAAAAACCCACATCGACATCCTCTCCGACTTCAGCGACGAAACCATCTCCGGCCTCAAAGCCCTCTCCAAGAAGCACAACTTCCTAATCTTTGAAGACCGCAAATTCATCGACATCGGCAACACCGTGCAGAAGCAATACCATGAAGGAGCCCTCCGCATCTCCGAATGGTCCCACATTATCAACTGCGCCATTCTCCCGGGTGAAGGCATCGTCGAAGCCCTGGCCCAAACCGCCCAGGCCGCGGACTTCCCCTACGGCTCTGACCGAGGTCTCCTCATCCTTGCGGAAATGACCTCTAAGGGCTCTCTAGCCACAGGAGACTACACCTCCGCCTCTGTCGACTACGCCCGCAAATATCAGAGTTTTGTCTTGGGCTTCGTCTCCACTCGCGCTCTGACCGATGTTCCCGCTAGCGTGAGCGCCAACGAGAATGAGGACTTTGTCGTCTTCACTACGGGTGTCAATCTCTCTTCCAAGGGCGATAAACTAGGTCAGCAATACCAGACCCCGCAGTCGGCTATCGGTCGTGGTGCGGATTTCATCATTGCGGGACGCGGAATCTATGCCGCGCCTGATCCTGTGGAGGCTGCGAAACAGTATCAGCAGCAGGGATGGGCGGCGTACCTTGACCGTGTTGGGGGTAGCCAATAGAAAGAAAAATAAAGCGAGAAAGAAAAAAGTGCAACGAATCATTCAGAATTGGGGGCGCTGGGCTGGGCTGAGTCGGACAACCAACCATGTAGAGATCAGAATTAGAATATCCTCATGACGTCTTCTTTTCTTCTTTCTTTGTCTTTTCTTTTCTTTTGGACTCTTTTCGCCATGCGAGGTCCTCCTGCATATGAGCTTCCCGGGTGCATATGATATGAGATGATATCATGATCATGATCATGAACATGAACGCATGAGGCCAACCTCTTCCCTCTCCAACCACACATGTACCTGGACATAGGCATGGCTGGAGCTATGAACCTTGTCTTGTTTTGTCTACATATCATGCAATGCAGCCAAACCGTACCGTGCGCGGTCGCGGTCGCGCCAGTTCCGCCAGTGGCAGGTTCTGACGATCCTTTCTCGTGAGTTGCCACATGGATCCATGTTCGCACGCTCTGCAATGCAAACCGAAATCTAATTCCGAACCCAAATCAACTGGGGGGGGGGGGGGGGTCCACCCCCTAGCGTGATGTCGGAAATGGGGCCACGCGATAAGATGCAATGCAAAAGATAACAGGGCCGATCGACAAGATGAAACATTGTTCTCGACCACTGAGATAGTCAAATCCGTTGCTCGCGATAGCTGCATGCAAGATAACCATTTCCACTACGGATACCACTACCACATGTGCGGGAAATCCTTGCGTCGTACACTACTGTAGAGGCATCACGTTCGGGCCTACATCTGCACGCCGAGCCATGACCGCACTTTCCTCATACACACACCACACATCATTCACCACATTCAATAAGGCGGTGTCCATCTTTCAGCCTCGTCCTCTCCTCATCTTCTCCTCTCTTCTCCTCATCTTGGCCATGATCTATCTCACCCAGAACCGGAGCTCGGCTGTAACATGTATCACGCACACACATATGTATACGATACCCGGTTTCCGCGCATTGGGGGCTACCTTTTTGCCGATCTCTCCTCATTTTCCCCTCTTCGTGATAGCCAATCGCCTTGGTTCAAATCATACTAAGATGCGCCAACCCCAGATATTGGGTGCTTATCGCGGGGAGGCTGACCCACTCGGGCTTGCTTGATAGGAGAATCCTCCCCTGAGCTTGGAGAGGTCTGTGAGATAACGCCACTGACAACCATTTGAAGATCCCCGTGTTACCATGCACCCAGCATGCGCGGATGCAGTGCATATAATCCCGCGTCCCGTCCGTCAGAATTGCGGTGAATTTTCTTTACTTTGTCTTGCTCTTCGAGCTTTACTTATACCTGGCTCTGGCTCCCTTTCCTCTGTCCTTTCTTCTTCCATAGCTCCACCTTGGGTACGCTACTTCACTACACAATGGCGGAGAACTCGGGAGATAGGATTGCCATCGGTGCGTCCTCGGCCGTGGATATTGAGAAAAGCACACATGCCGATCCAACACTCGAAAAACACACCCACGATGCCGACGAGGCGATGAAGGCTTTTGGTGAGCTGCAGGGCGAGACTATCGAATTGGATGAGGCGACCAACCGCCGACTCCTCAAAACTATTGACTGGCATCTGATGCCAATCATGTGTTGCATCTACGGCATGAATTACCTGGATAGTAAGTAACTATCAAGCCATTCATCACCTATTCCGGTCATGCATAACCCGATACAGGGACTGACCGGCATTGTTCCCAGAAACTACTCTTTCGTATGCGAGTGTGATGGGGATTAAAGAGGACTTGGAACTTGTCGATGATCAATATCAATGGTTGGGCAGTCTTTTCTACTTTGGTTCGTGGTAACCCCCGAAGACACATCAACACAGGTCTATCGTCTGTCGTCTCCCGGATCACTTTCTGACTACCTCTCAGGTTATCTGGCGTGGGAGTACCCGACCAACCGCCTGCTGCAGCGGTTGCCATTGGGAAAATACTCCGCCTTCTGTATCTTGATGTGGGGTCTTGTACTGAGCTGCTTCGCGGGTGTCCAAAGCTACTCGGGTGCCATCGCCATCCGTCTGTTCCTGGGTGTCTTCGAGGCAGCCGTTACACCTGGCTTTGCCTTATTAACCTCACAGGTAGGCAAATAGGCGCAATCCTCTGTACCCTTTCGCCCTCAACTAACATCTCGTCACAGTGGTACACGAAGAGAGAACAGGGCAGCCGGGTCAACATCTGGTTCAGTTTTAACGGTGTCGGACAAATTGTCGGCGGTCTCATTGCGTATGGTATCGCCGTCGGAAGCAGGAAGCATGGCTCATCAATTGAACCGTGGAAAATCGTTTTCCTCGTTACCGGTCTCATGACAATCGTGCTGGGATTCGTCTTCCTGTGGATTATTCCAGACAGCCAGTTGAACGCGCGCTGGCTCAAGAAAGAAGACCGCATCCTGGCTATTGCCCGCGTTCGTGAGAACCAACAGGGTATCGGAAACAAGCATTTCAAACTATATCAAGTCAAGGAAGCCCTCATGGACCCGATGACCTGGGCATTCTTCCTGTATGCCCTGGTCGCGGATATTCCCAACGGTGGTATCAGCAACTTCTTCAACCAATTGGTAAGTTGAATCTTGACTTAATTTTGTTTCAAGTCCAGGCCTCAGTTCAAACTAACAATCATCTCTGCGATAGATCACCAGTTTCGGATTCACCGCAGAGGAAAGTCTTATCCTCGGCGTCCCGGGCGGCGCCGTCGAAGTCGTCGCCCTGTTACTCAACGGCTACATGGGACATGTCACCAACCAGCGCGTGCTATGCAGTCTAGGGGGGCCTGGTCGCCGCCTTCGTCGGAATGGTCCTAATCGTCGCCCTCCCCGAGTCAAACAACACCGGTCGGTTAATCGGATACTACATGACACAAGCGATCCCAACCGCCTTCGTCGCTCTCCTATCAATGATCTCGTCTAATGTTGCCGGGTACACGAAGAAGACAACCGTGGCGGCGCTGTACTTGATCGGATACTGTGTTGGAAACATTATCGGTTCGTTACCACATCAGCTTGTCTGACCTACTATCGGAAAAAGATAACACGGCTAACGATGTATTTTTCGTCTCAATCCAGGCCCCCAGACCTTCCGCCCAGAAGACGCGCCCCAATACCTCCCCGCCGAAATCACCATTCTCGTCTGTATCGGCGTGGCACTGATGATCATGCTTTTCATCTACTGGTGGTATGTCAAAGAGAACAAGCGCAAGTTGGAGATTCAGTCCCGACCGGATTATGTGCGTCTTGAAAATCAGGAGTGAGTATTTCTTTTTCCCCCCCTTTTTGCAGTGTTGAAGGAACGGTAAACTGACATGTGATTTCTTTCGACAGATTCCTGGATCTGACAGATCGCGAGAACCCGGATTTCCTTTACTCGCTGTGATTTGTGATTTGTTCATGTCATGTCATGTCATGTCACGCGGCTTGGATTCTGTTGCTAAGGTTGCAGCATATCTATATCATATCTTTCACCGACTATTCACTCGGTGGAATTGTACATAGTCGTCTCGAAACGCTAACTAACGCCCTTTTTATGAATCTCGCAATGTTGAATATCTTTCCAAATTACTCGAACGTTGAAGAAGAGTGTAACGGGTACAATTTTTCGAGCCATCGCCCAACACAACAATACAGCATTAATTGTAGTATCATGGGCCTTGGCAATTGACAACAGCGTTGAATCCAAATTAAGCAACGCGATTGTATAAAAACTAATCTGAACTAGGGTGATCTAAGCAAGAGGTTTGCCTCCGACCTCCACTCTCCCCTGTCAAGGCTCAATCAACTTCCCTCACAGAGGCTACACTGGATGTGGTGTCAGGGTGAGCCCCTCCAAAGGTTTGATAAATTATGAATGCAGCCTCAGAATTAAAATCAATGTCACCTTATACTGTCGGAACAAAATTTCCTTACACTCCAGGGCTAGGAATAGGCTCCCGGCCCGGGATAAATGATCGACCTGCCCCGCACAATCTGCGAATGCCTACTATGTACTACTACTAGATGAATTAGTTAACCAAGGGCAAGAAAACATTGACTAAAATATGCATGCAAGAAATCTCTTCACTCTCCGTACCCCAACTCCTCGTATACAAAGTGTAGGTTTCCAAGGTTAATTCTGGCTACCCCGACCCGAAGATCCGAGGATCATGGATGATCGCCATTCCCATCCCGCCAAACGCCCGATCTCTTCCGATTCACCAGCAAAGGAAAAGTCAAATGGGCCCGCATATGTTGGGGCTAGACGCTGCCTCTTAGCAAAATATTAGCCAATCTTTTGGTACAACGGGGTAAACGGGGTAACCGGGGTAAGCCCTTGCTTGTCACTTTAGGCCTTTTCTTCTTTGGTTTTGGCTTCTTTCCTTGGCTCTTGGCCCACCGCTCGGATACTTTTACGTTATTGGGGTTGCGAGGCTTTATTCGCGATGCTAAATTGTATGTAATACATTGCTTTATGTAGCACAGCATGGAGACTACATTTTATAAGAATAGAACTGTCTCGCCCCGAGCTGCTCGTCTCGTGGGTTCTGCAATAATAATCTTGGAAAAGACGCACTAGCACGCTACGGAAGGTTGTCAAGCCGAATCGAACGAAAATGTCGGATATATCGATCAAAAAAGTTGAACGCCGCGATCATGATGAGACCATGGAAATGTCACCTCGTCCTTTTAATTCGGGGAAACACCTCGCAAACCCCGTGAGTTTCAAATCTCCCCTTTCCCCCGCATGGTCAAAGGAAGAAAAAAAATTGAAATGAAAATGGCTTTTTACTAACACGATGTGTTGTCTACCTAGGCGCCTTTGGCAATGGGCGGCTTTGCAACAACCCTCCTCTCCGTCTCGCTGGCGATGATGAATTTCCGCGGCGTCTCGAACCAAACAATTTTCGTTGGAGATCTTTGCTTTGCAGCTTGCATTGGGCTATTGATTTCAGCGCAGTGGGAGATGGTTCGTGGAAATACTTTCTCTTATACGGTTTTATCGGCGTATGGTGAGTTCTATCGAGAGCCCCCGAGGAGAGAATATCCACCTGGGCATCTGTCCATCTATCGTCGCCGTCCTCTTGATTAGCTAACGGATCGGGATACTGTAGCAATGTTTTATGGTGGTTATGGAGCGACCCTGATTCCTGCGTTCGGAATTATCGATGCTTATGGTGGGTTTACGGCGGAGTATTATAATGCCCTGGGCTTTTTTGTCCTTTGTGAGTTTCATCCAAGTTTCACATTAACAATGTAGTAGCACTACACCATACCAGTAGTGCTATTTTTCCCTTGATCGATCTTAGTCGGCTAACTAATCGCTTTTCTCGCGCTGGCAGTGTGGGGTGTTTTCAACCTTTTTTTTCTTGATCGCCAGCATTCGACTGTATGTTTTCCAATACTCAACTCAGCCCAGCCATGTCCATGGGTGAATCTCGTTCCAACTAACTCTCTTTTCTTCCAATTTAGTAACGTCGTTTATATTATCATCTTCTTGTCGCTGGAATTATGTCTTATCTTCGATGCTGCGTCGCAATTTAAGCGCGCAGATGGCATGATTGAACTCAGTGAGAATCTTTCGACTGTCGGTGGTGCTTTTGCGTTTGTGGCTAGCATTTTCGGGTATTATACTGTGCTGCATTATTTGTGTCAGGAATCCTTGCCGTTTACTGTTGTGATGGGGGATACTTCCAGGTTCTTTGAAAGACGGGCTCGGGGTCCTTCTTCAAGTGTGAAGGCGAGCGATGACCTTGTCTGACGGGCGCGGGTGTCTACAATTTCATGGGAAATGACTTTACTGGTCATTTTGCTGGTCGCTTAAGCGTTCCAAAGGTTGAAAATTGCCTTGAAATAAAAGTTGGAAGATAGAGAAGTGAGGTTGAAAGCAGTCCTCTACTATTTAATGCACATAATGATGACTATATCCATGAATAGCCTTTGAAATATACTAATTCTACTAGTAGACTGAGATATGGAAGGATTAATCAATATACCAGAGACTTGAATCAATAAACTGAGAAATCAATAAGGCTGTTAAGTGTAGCGCTTTCGGAAATCCTTTGCGAGCCACAAAGGTCAATCCCTATCATATCCCGAATAGGACTGTGGATGCGAACCAGTCTGAGATTCTCTTGCAATGCCCCACATCACCTAGTTCCAGGTTGAGAGTAAAGACACCATACAACTCATCGAAAAAATGACAGATTGTTTGGGACTTGAATGGAGAGGAACATACCCTAGAGCCTTTAGAAGCCAAATTTAGCCAAGTGAAGCTAAATCTAATCAGAACTTTGACCTGGCATCATGACAATCCTACATGGGGCTACTTAAAAAGGGGATTGATAACGCACTCTTTTAAAGATGCGGATTCCGCGGACGCCGGAGAGGTAAAACCCCGCATTCTAGCTTGAATTTCTGATAGTCATAAGGAACTCTAGTTAAGTTATTGAAGCGATAAATAGGGGTGCTTCTTTCGAAAGACTAGAGATACGGTTCTACATATACGTGGTCAATGGCTTTCTCAAGATACTAACAAACAATCAAGCCAAGCCAAGCCAAGCAAATTACCCATACGAATAAAACTACAACCATGACAACACGAGAGGGATTCTGCGATCGAAAGGAAGGATTCCAGCAAGGGCTTCCGTGCACAGCGACAATTACCCCGCGAAATAACATACCAGCTCATACATCGGACATATTCGATGTCATTGTAATAGGCGCAGGCTACGCTGGGCTGACAGCATGCCGGGATCTTTGTAACTCAGGTATGATTCACTAAAGCTGTGAAAATTAGCAGAAAGTCTGCCTAGCAGATACTGATTAAGTTGTTTTCGACCAGGATTCAAGGTTCTTCTCATTGAGGCCAGAGACAGAATCGGCGGAAGAACTTACACGGCCAATATCGATGGCCATCTATACGAGATGGGTGGTACATGGGTTCACTGGAACCAGCCTCATGTATGGCATACGATGCACCGATACGGATTGACGGAGCTTGTGAGTAGTGCTCCGGGAGACGTTGGCTGTCAAACATTTACCGTATCTGTTGATGGAAAGAAGACTGAATTGAGGAGCCGGCACGAAGAAGTGAGTGAAGTACCATTGGGATCATGTCCCACTGGAAATCGAGTTAAAAGTCTAAAAGCTGACGTCTGCCTAGGAGTTAATAATTCAAAGAGGATTCGAAGAGCTTTTCAATATTGACGGGAAGAGTGGTAGAACATTGATACCCTATCCACATGAACCGCATCATAATCCCGATATCAAAGCCTACGAAGCGATGTCCGCAGCCGAGCGGATAGAGAAGATAAAGCCCCTTTTTAGCGATGTCGAACTGGCGACACTACAAGCGTGCATTGGAGCGATATCAGGAAATACCATGGAAAACACGGGCTTTTTCGATCTACTCCGGTGGTGGGCCCTTGGTGGGTACAGCGCAGCCGGTGTTTTTGAGCTCACTGAGACCTATAAGATTGCAGCAGGACAGTCATCCTTTGCGCGAAAGATCTTTGAGGAAGCCTTATCTACGGGAAACTTCCGCTATACATTTGACACGGTTGTAAGCGCCGTGGTAGATAACGGGAGTCTGGTAAAGGTCACCACTTCATCGGATACAAGGTGGCTAGCGAAGAGATTGGTCTGTACGATTCCGTTGAATGTCCTGTCTCAGGTCCAATTCGACCCCGCATTACCACCCACGAAGCTAGCAGCGACACAAAAGGGACACATTAACTTTGGAGCGAAAGTGCATTTGGAGGCCGAGGGCTCAGACCTGAGGTCTTGGTCTGGGGCAGCCTGGCCGAGTAAAAGAGTCTTCGCTTGCCATGGCGATGGTCTAACCAATGCGGGGGAAAACACGCACATTGTCTGTTTTGGCTCGAATAAAGAATTCGCGCATCCACGCGAAGACAGCGAGGAATTTTCCGCAGAGGCAAAACAATTGATGCCTATGAAAATCAACAAAGTGGTGAGTTGGAAAGGAAAATTCCGAGTCCATCACAGGCTATGGTACTAATGAGGCCAGATCTGGCATAATTGGCTAAAAGATCCATTCTCTCGTGGTACCTGGTGTGTGTTTCCTCCAAACTACAGCTTCCAGTATCTCGAAGCCCTGCGAGAGCGACATGGGAACATTCTGTTTGCGAGTGCAGACTGGGCTCTTGGGTGGCGGGGATTTATTGACGGAGCGATCGAAGAGGGATCGCGGGCCGCGAAAGAAATCATAGATGAATTAGGCTTTCCCAAGCGAATCGCTGGTTTGCTGTAGGGTTCATGCGGGAATGCTTGATTATCGAATATTGGGACAAGGCGAGTCGTGACAAGGAACGCCGCTGTCAAAGCTGGTGGTACTTTTGTCTCGACGCTAAATATTTGTTGAGAATTGACCGCAATTTCATTTACGGAGTACGTCGGTCGACAGTCTATTTAGGCTAGTTTAAACTTGACTGGTGTTAGTTAGCTTTTTAGAAGATACCGCTCCTTAGTTGATTGTAGGTGATAAATTGAATGTCTTAGAATAGTCTGATTGCGTCGTCAACAAACCCCCCCTCCTTCGCTGAGAAAATAATTTTTTTAACCATTTACCCGCATGCACGAGGGTCTAGTAGGTTTTTTTTTTTCCTACTGTGGAGGAATATTATGACGTTGGAAAGTCCATACTAGTCTAGTTCTTAAACCGGTATTGGACAAACCCAGCATGGTCATGATGAGAATGCTTGATATCGGCCTGCTAGCGGTGTGAACCGTCAACCGTGAACAGTGGATTAGACAGCGGTGGACTGTGCGAGTAGAAAATGCGAACCCACCCCACGTTGCTAGGCGTGCCAAGCACTCTCGCCCGAAAATGCAATCAAGGCCGTTCGGTATTTGAAATCTCCCACACGAAGCCCCGTCAAAAATTGGCTACAAACCCGCTACGATCGGCCACGGAGACAAGCGCTGGACATGCCAAAGTTCGCTAGTGTGTTGAAAAATTCTTGCGTGCGATCGGCAGGCCAACTCAGACCCTCCACTAATTTAGGAAGGGAGAGGAGAGGATTTGTTAATTTGATGATGCCTTTGTGGGGCGAAGGGCGGGGTGTACATGTACCATAGTGGTTGGCCTTGAGATATTAATTGTGGTACCTGGTGGAATGTCCCGCCCACGTCGCATCTTGACTGGAGTTCTAGAGTTCTGGAGTTAGTTAGGGTGCTTAGGTCGCTGACTTTGCTCCGATCTGCTCTCCTGCAGGGACTGGCGGCGCCTGCTGTAACCCTGATGGCTAAAATAGCTGGCGCGCGGGTCTAAACCAGTGCCTGGATTGCCATGGATTGACATGGATTGACATTGCATCAACTGAATGGCAGCCGAGAACGGTAGAAATCGGAGAAGGCAACCCAATAGGCGCCCTGGACAGGACCAGGACACAGAGACCCCTGCATGTTGGTCACTGCAGGGGCGTTGGGAGAAGACGATCCAGACCGTGCGAGGTCGGGGAGTCTGTTATCCTTGGCTCTGGCTCTAGCTTTGGCTTTTTTGGAGGTGGAGGCGCTCGTTGCCCCCACCATCTCCGCCTGAACCTGGTCCTGTCTTCGTCGAGGAGGAGCGGTGTGCGCAAATGAAATGAATTAAAATGTCGATGTTGGGTCCCGGTGTCGTGCAGCCGTTCCCTTACCCCCCCATTCTTTATTTCTCGTGAGACTGTTAATTTTGCTTTAAATCAACTAGACCATCGGGATACTTCCCCATCCTCTTCTTCAGCCACTCCCCTTCTTTCTTTATTCTTTTCTTTTTATAGACTCACGGTACATGGTTACATGGGCTGCACAATGCGAGCTGCCCCTCCTGCCCAGCCCTAATATTCTTCTTCTCGAGTATCGATCGACAAAGCGCACTCTGTCCTTCTGCCGTTGGCCAGCTGCCTTTGTTTCTTTGCTCCTATAGGTCTCATTTGGAGAGCCTGTAGAGAAAGTTTGCGAATGGCCGTCACATGGCGTGGTGGCGGCGATCTTCACATGGACGCACCTGCTGCAGCACTTCCCTGTCTTGAGATCAAATCCCTAGAAACAACAGTCGTCGAGCTTCCTGCGAAATGCACTTCCCAGTCGCCCTCGCTCTCGCCCTCTCGGCTCTTGCCCAAGATGGATATCCCTAAAGTGAAGAGAATCGACCCGCCATCCACCATCACCACCACCACGACGGCCGACTCACCACCCACCTCTAGTGGACCACGGAGGGGCTCACGCCCAACGTCTGCAAATGAATCGGCACATCACTCTCGATCCAACTCACGCAGTACTGCCCGATCACGTCCTCCCAGTCGACATGGTTCGTTGCATTCTTCGCGGAGGGCAGTTACAAGTGCGAACATCGTTCCTGTCCCGTCCACTCGCCCTTCACCTCATGAGAGACGAGAGTCGTTGTTAGCGCTACATCGAGATTCATGTCGTCTGTTTCAAGAAATCAACACATGTACAACACCTGCAGAAGATGTGCGCTCGGTTCCAGCTCTCTCAAGGTCCCCGTCGTCGACCTATACTTCTCGGCGCGAAGGCCGCACGTCGTCTGAGACAGGCGGCTCAGCACCTCCATCACCGGTTGCATCGTCACAATCCAGTCGGCGCTTCGACTTTGAGCATCGCAACTCAATCAGCTCGATAATGACGCCGCTCCCGCCCCAGGCTCGAGACCGGTCGAATACCCTCCCAAACAAGACACCCGAATATGACTGTGTTCAAATTCCATCCGCCTCCTCTGTTCACGTCCCGGAGACGGTGACAGAGTGGACATCTCCTTCCTCCCGACGGGCGGAATATGAGAAAATCGACCGCGCAGGCCGTGGTGTTCGCGGCTTGTGGCGTCGCGTCGCACCTCGCTGGTGTCAAGCTCAAGATGCAAGAACGCCATTCTTCAAGGAAGGAAACACAAGCCGGGAGGGTAGCGTACGTCGATTCCGAATGGACTTACCGGATGAAGAGTTGGACAATACCCTTATTAATCCGCACGAGAAACCTGAGGTGCAAATATTGGATTTCCTCGGCAAGGGAATAGAGAATGGCTCTCGGCGCTGGACATATCGCCGGACCAAGACTTCCCCTGCATAAGGTTTTTTTTTTTTTTTTTTTCTAAACAGCAATAGCGTATCGGCACTGGTGTCACACGCTTTGTTTTCAACGCATCCATGATTACAGATTGACGAGTGGATTCTACTGCATTTGCATTGCATTGCGTTTGGCTTGCATACTCTACCTATACCTACGATTCCTCCTCCTCCTCCCTTTCTGTGAATATTGCTCCCCTTTCCTTGCCACTAATTTCGGGTTCTCCGAATGAGAATACCCTGGGCTACGTTTTGCTTTCCGTTCATCATCATTCTTCACCGCATCACTTACCAAGAATTCAAGATACCCGGCAATCCGCACCGTTGTACATACCAATACGATGCCTATTGCATACCTAGTATATAGTTAACCGACTAGCAGCCACAATACCATATGTTGATCCAGAACTTCAAGAATTTCAATAACTAGTCTTTTACTATTGGACTGCAGTAAAGATCTCTGAAACGTTCAAGTTTTAGATGACGATCACCACATGGTGGGGCGCCGGCAAACAATGGTTGGTTCACCAGTAAAGTGAAGTTCCGTCAATGCTACCTAAGGACTAGTACGAATGAAAACATTCGAGTTTGTACAATTTCAAATATAGGATAATCCAGAGCTAGGATAATATAGTATACTACTCCATAAGTTTACAATCTACTGAATGATGAGTACTTTATAATACCTGTTAATGCCGAGGCTATACTTCGTACTGCCGGCATTCACCGACCTTCTTCATCCGGGCGAACCGGGCGCCAACGAGGGAGTCAACTTGCGATGGTCAGCAACATCAACATCCTCGTCTTCATTCGATTTTAAGCCTCTCGCTCCAAGAACCTCATTACCCTTTCTTTGTTTGTTGATTCTTGACATATCTGCTTGCATTCATCTTTTGGCCGACCGTATACCACAATGATATCCTCCCCCAACCCCTTCTGGGGCCCTCCAACATCCTACTTGAAGTACGTTTTTATTGCTACCTAATTCCGAAACATGTTTCCTCCCCGATGGCTGTGAAAGAGACAGCCTGAAACTGACTGAATCTAGTTTCTGTGAAGAGGTATGCGTCCCTCCCTTCTCCTCCTTTGATTATGATTTTTTTTTTTGGAACAAAAAACCGGTAACTGACATGTCCAAAACAGGATTATGTCATAACTCGATTCGTGGCCGAGTTCATCAATACATTCAGTAGCTTTGTTTATAGTCAGTGCGCGAATACCTCCGTGTCGAGCAAACAAGAAACTAATGTTGATGGTCTAGTTTGCTATGGTATCTATGGCCTGGTTCAACTCCGCCAAAAGCCTCAGGCTGCCTTCCGCTCCATTTCCTATCTCGGACTCATCGGAGTCGGCGTCTGTTCCGCTGGATACCACATGACCCTCAAATATCATACACAAATGTGTATGTTTTATTCCAGCTCATGATATGTCGTCCCAGCTGGTGGCTTTGGCTGACCATTTTCAACTTCAAATTTCTAGCCGATGAGTTGTCAATGCATCTCCTCACTACGCCGCTTCTTTATCGCATTTTATCATTCAAAGCCAGCCCCGATCGCGCCCGGCTGATTGGAATCATACTTTCCATTCTCTTTACCATCGTCATGGTTGTTCACATGGTCATGGATGAATTTCTTCTCCATGCGGTCTCCTTCGGCTTGGCTGTTTACCTGATCGGTTCCCGAACACCAAAGCTTATTCCCGCTCAAGTCACCGATTTCAAGCAGAGGAAGGCTCTTCGCTACCTTTCCTTCTTCGGATGCTGTATGTTTCCACTTTTCACTTTTCAATAGGGACTGGCTCTGTTAGAGTTCCGCTAATGATCATAGTTTGCTTTGGCTTTGGCTATTTTGTCTGGCTGATTGACGAATTCGGCTGTGGAATCTTGACGGGTGCTAAAAATACCGCCGGACTTCCTCTGGCCTTCGTGTTTGAGTTCCATGGGTGGTATGTATACCTATTTATCTGAAGGCCATTTACACTTGCTGACGGGAATTAGGTGGCACTTCTTCACTGCTATTGGCGGCTACGTCGCTGTTGCTACTGTGGATCTTCTTACTTCCGGTGAGGCGCACGAGATCTCCAGTTCTTCTTTCGCTTGGCCCGTGGGCCCTGTGTTCGGAATCATGCAGGGTATGGTTGCTTCTGAGAAAGAAATTTAAGTCTTAGCAGGGGACTACAACTATACGAAGTGACAACGAAGCGAACTGGTCCTTGTGACTAGATATCATAAAGTGGTGCTATGGGAGGATACTGGGTGATATGAAGGGTGGCACAAATACCAGAGTCTTCCGCCAGACTCAAAATTACTGATAGAAACGAACATGCAAATAGACTCTACAATCCTTTTCGAAGACACACATGGTGCTTCACTTCTGACGCATTATCTCCGCCAAGGACTTCCCCCACCCTCCCCGCCCTGTCAACGACAGATAGACCCACCGGAAAACCATCGTACTTTTTTATCTTCCCCTCTCCCTCTAAAGGCTTTTTTTTTCTTTTCGGTCATGCTTCCATTTTAACTTCAATCAGAATGCGCAGTCTGACTCAAGAAACCGATTTTGAATTAGCCGAGCTTAACGCTGCATCTGAGAACCCTGCATCGGCAGATGCTGTTGTCTGCCTTGCATTTCCAGATGGCGGAAAAGAGGCATGGACCTGCTTGCTCGGGTCAGCCTTGATTCTATTTCCATCATTTGGATTCCAAACTGCTAGTATGTGTATTGTCCGCCAAGGGTTTCCTGGCTGTCATTAACTCGCGTCTCTGTAGTCGGATCCGTCCAGGACCATATCAGCACCCATCAACTGGCGGACTACACCGTCCGAGACGTGGGCTGGATCACCGCCGTTCTGGTCTTTCTAACTCTCTTCCTGGGTATTCAGGTCGGGCCACTATTCGATCGATATGGACCCCGCATGCTATTAATCTTTGGCTCGCTTGGTAGCACCGCTTCCTACTTCCTGCTCGCCGAATGCACGAAGTACTGGCATTTCATGCTATGTCTTAGCATATTGGGCGGTATCTCCTCGGCAGTTGTGACAACTGTTGCCATCTCCGTGTTAAGCCACTGGTTTTATAGACGCCGTGCGCTCGCTTCTGGCCTGTGTATGTCAGGCTCGTCAGCTGGCGGTGCAATCATTCCCTTGCTATTACGAACACTTTTCAAAGAGTACGGTTGGACCTGGTCGATTCGGATCATCGCATTTATGGCACTTGGCTGCTACGCAGCTGGGATAATGCTTGTGAAGGGGCGATTGCCGATGGTTAGCGAGACGAAAGTCGTCGTCGACCTCCGTGCGTTCAAGGCGCCGAGGCTGTGTTTTCTTGCGGTGGCGGTGTTTGCTTTTGAATTTATTATCTTCGGCTGTGCGGCTCTTCTTCCGACTTACGTTCGTTACTCGGGTCTGGATCTCGATGTTCAATTTTACTCTCTCGCCGTGCTGAACAGTATGAGTCTGGTCGGTAGAGTACTACCCGGTATTGCGGCGGATTTATTTGGTCGGTTCAATATTCTGCTCACTCTAGCCTGCATCACTTTGGTCATTATGGGGAGTGTTTGGATTCCCTTTGGGTCTCAGAATGAAGCGACGCTGTATGCGGTTGTCGCTATCTTTGGCTTCGGATCGGGTGGTTGGGTCTCTTTGGCTCCTGTTTGCGCCGGTCAGCTTTGTCGCACGGAGGAATATGGCCGATTCTACGGCACAATATACTCCGTCGCTGCCTTTGGAGTGTTGTTGACGGTTCCTGTTGGCGGTGAGCTTCTTCAATCGACGACACCCCAGGCCCTTGTCGGGTTTTATGCCGCGGTACTTCTCATAGGGCTTGTTTCTGTGGGCATGTCACGATGGGCATTGCTAGACTGGAAGTGGAAGTGGAAAGTAAAGGTTTGAAAGGAAGAGCATGCACAAGCAAGATCCCAAAATATAACAATAATTTCGTCAATTGTTCATAGCGCCGGTAAATTATAGAATGCATAAGCGCCGGGTATATCAAAACAGAACCCAAAATGCTTTTTTTTTCGGAGACAGAGCCAAATGGCCATTTCCCGACCCTCCGTGCCCCGCTGCCGAGCTCTCAATTATTCACATTTAAAGAAGATCGAAGTCATCCAGCTTGTCGCGGTATTGCATGATGTTGCGCTTGATCTTGCTGGAGTCGACCCAGGTAACGAAGTCCTCCATGTTGCGAGTAACCAGGAAAGCGGGATCGTTAACGACTTCAGTTCCAACGCGGACGTGACCTTGCTCGATGAAAGTGGTAGCCTATTTTTACTAGTTAGAATTCATCATCTTTTTTTCTTTCGTTTTGCTCTCCTCCACGCGCACTTCGTGCGTGATCGAAAAAACTTACAGCCTTAATAGTCTGAACCATTCTCGTGCGCACCATCAGCACCGCCAAACGTCTCCGGCAGAGAGCAGACACAGTGACCTCTCTCTCGACACGAGACAAGCCCGCACCCTGCTCGCGAGACTGCTTCAGGATTCCCATGCGCCACAACTTCTCCAGCAACTCGGACTCGAGTTTCCTACGGACGGGGTCGGACTCCGGATCCAGCTGGGAAAGCTTATGGGCGAGCTGGCGGAGGGATCCGCACATGGCGTTGTACTTGCGGTAGTCCATTGGGTCTTGGAGGAGGTAGCGCTGACGGATCTCATGTTCGCGGTGATTTCCATCGGACTTGTAGGTGTGGAAGTCGACCTTCCGGAGAAGTCTGTTATGAGAGAGCTTGTTAGCGATTGTTCTTGGTCGCACTTGTGCTGGTGATGGCTCTTGATCCGAGTGTTGCGGTGAGAGGACAGCCGGACTTACTTCTTCTCGTGATGCTTGAGCTGACGGACCATCTTGACGAACGATTCGAGATTTGGTCACTCGAAAACGGGGATACTCAAGGGTTATTACGACTGGAGCGACCGAGTTGCCCGTGAAAAAAGTCCGCGATAACAAATTTGTTATCGAGGCGGTGTGATTCTGCCACTCTACCATCAGCATGGTCACATGACTTAGAACTATACACAGCACAGCAACAACGACGTCGAATTCAGAAGAAGAAATATCATAAAATACTAAAATAAATCGAGATTCGGATTTGATTCATGATGTTTGGGAAATAATCAGAAGCTTTTTCATACCGAGAACCATCGCTCACTCTTCTAGGGAAAATCTACTCAAAACAAAATACGAGTAGATCGGGCAAGATATTTGAATTTTGAATTAAAACTTGAAAGACACGAAGTCCATACTACTTAAAATTGACCATCTCAAATCTCTTAGTTCGTGCCCCCGTTTCTGCTATTGGCGATCTTCTCACTCAGCGATCGAATGCTCTGCGCCCCCATGATGTCCAACACAGACACTTCCGCGCTAATTTCTTTCTTCACCCAAGAACGAAATTCCATGGCAACCAGGGAGTCAATGCTATTGAAACCAAATCTCTGAACGTCAATTCCAGAAACCGGAATAGCAAGAAGCGCCGAAAACTTCTCCACGATCCCATCCGACACCACTTCCACTGCCTCGTCAAAGGTACTGGTTGATGCTAGAAGAGCCGCAGTGCTAATTGTCTTTTCCTCGCCGCTTTCACCGTGGCTCACGATCATGGTAGATCTTTGATGCGTGAATAGCGAAAATCCAAGATAAGGGGGTGCCGGACTGCCGTTCTGACGACATATTTCTGCGGTTGGCAGACCAAGAACCAGTTGCGAGACCGGCTGGCCCGCATGATTCTGCCCCTTGTCATGGCGTGGATCGATCATGAATTCAATTGCGCTGTGTACCTCGCTCTCCTTGAGTATCTGATAGAGGTTGCCCAGGCGACCTGCTGTATTTTGAAGATTCTCCTCAACCCAGCCGACATTCGATACACTGCCAAGGTCGATGACAGACGCCTTCATACCACGTGCGGTGCGATACGCTGCAAGCGCATCTTGGAAGGTGTTTCCTGCCGCATAGTTTGCCTGGCCACGATTGCCAAAGATCCCCGTTACCGAGGACAACATGACGAAAAAATCCAATTCGGACGGAAGAAGCTCATGCAAATTCCACGATCCTGTGACTTTGGGTTGAATGGCAGCTTGCCAGGTATCGAGGGACATTCCCTCAAAAGCTGCATCCTGAATAAAATGTCAGTATGATAGATCAAGGGTTTATTGAAGAGCCTGACATACTCGTAGAACCATGGAGCATTGAATGCATCCTTTGATGGGGGGGGAGTATTCGATGGCAATCGTCCAGTACGGTGCGTAAGCGAGACCGATCTACCAGGTCACAGCAAAAGATATGAGCATTGCATCCCAGCTTGTTCAGTTCTGAAATCATTTTGGCCACTGCTTCGGTGACCTTGTTCGACCGTGACAGAAAGATCAAATCCTTCGCACCTCGTGCAGCCATCCAGAGAGCGGTGCTGCGACCCAGCCCACCAAGACCCCCCGCAAGAACGTATGATGCCCTGCCGTCAAACTGAAGAGGAGGCAACTGGTCCGGGACTATGGGGATACGGTCATCTGCACTTGGGACGAAGACTACTTTCTCAGAATCCCCTTCACTTTGGAGAGTCTGAATGCCACGCTTGATTTGGGAAAATGGCAATATGTTGAGATGTTGGACCTGTTTGAGCTTGCCTTCGGAGTAAAAGCAGAATATCTCTTCAATAAGTTGTCGAACAATATTTGGACGACAGCGAATAAGGGTCTCGAGGTCGATGTTCGAAATTGAAAGCGTTCGAAGAACTGATGCAGGTGCCCGCGTCAAACATGGCTGAGAAGCATTTCCTGACACATCTATGAATCGACCAAACTCTGCGATGCATGAGAAGGACTCTTGCTGAACTTCGCCCGTAAGCGTATGGAATATGACATCAGCCCCAGCTCCGTCAGTACATCTCATAAAGGTCTTGTAAAAGCCGAGATTTTTGTTGGAGAAAATATTAGCTTCCGGTATTTCATACACATCAGTCAAAAGTGCCTTGTTCTCCGTGGTCGAAACTGTTGTGAAAATATTGGCCCCGATCATCTTGGCGTATTGGATTGCAGCTTGGCCCTGAACATCTGCACCCGCATGAATCAAGATTGTGTCACTGGAAGATAGCTTCGCAATGTGCCCGAGGCCATATATTGCAGTGGCAAAAGCTGCTGGCATACTAGCAGCAGTTTCCAAAGGGATATTCTCTGCTATTTTGATAGCAACTGCTTCTTCAATTCGTGCAAAAGTCTGGAAGGACTTGTCGCCGGTGCTACTTGTCAGAAAAATCACCTTGTCGCCGGTGGTCAAGTCTTTCACTGCGGATCCGACCTTGGTCACAATGCCAGCTGCCTCGATAGGTACATTCAGGCGATCAAAGCTCGAAGTCACACCAATGGCACGAATCTCGACCTGTATCTGGGTTTCGATAGCGGATTCAAGTGCTGGATATCAGTGATCCAGCGTAGATCGACCGCGGGAGCGAACTTTTCCAAATAAACGGGGCGCCGAATATCACTGATGCGTAGCAGCTCGGTTGGAGGGGCTTCAGATTGCAAGGCGAGAAAGTCGTTCGCACCTTCAAAGCTTCGAAGTCGACCAACATGTATTATGTTATCTCGTAGCAAGTACTCAGCGTGTCTATCGTCTCCTTTGTTGGTGGTGAACTGATGATTAATAATCTCACAAGCCCAGACTGCCAGATCCTCGGCCGGGACATGCTCACAGTCTGAAACAGCAAGAGTCACGATATTTGAACCGTCAGAACCCATTTCCGAGCGGATGGTACGAAGTAAACCCAAACTAGTGCTCGCCAGTAGCAATTCACTTGAGTCTGGAGTAATCCAAAGCAAATTTTGGCAATTCATCAACATATTCTTCAGTGCGTTGTACTCATCATTCTCAATGGTTGTAAATGTCGGGCTCTCAAGATCAGCAAGAGATATGCATAGAGAGCCTTGTAAAGCAAAGTGAGCCAACTCAGTCACTTTCAACGCGGTAACTTGATATGTGCCAGAATACTCAAGAATCTGGGTAATACAATCGGCTATGCCGAGTGTCTTCAGTCCCGAGGATACAATGTAAACCTTTTGTGGCGTTTGCTTCACATACTCGACAGCGGTGGAAATCATAATGCTCTGCCAGCTTAGATCCTTATTGTCGGAAGAAGGATACTCGATGTCGACACCAGAGAAACCCGAGTCAATGAGGAGTGGCTCCCAGGCGGAAACGGGAATGTAGGGGCACCATTTTCGAATAGGCTCATTTCCAAGCCACCAACCGGGAAGTTGACCGAATGAAAGTGGGTACCAGAGGAAGTCTTGTCTTATTCCTTCTTGCATGATGAGCTGTCCACCAGTACGAAGTAAAGACCGCAGCCTGCGTAATGTCGCGGTAAGATCAGACGTGGCATGGATTACATTTCCAGCAAAGATTAAATCGTAGGAGTCGGCCTCGAGACCATGAGCGGCAGGCTCTTCTTCAAGATTGAAGACTTCGAACTTCATTATTTCCTTCCAGTGGTGGAATCTGTCTTGAGCTTTTTCGAAGAAGGCTGAAGATATGTCTGTAAAGGTGTAGGTTGCAATACTCTCGTTCAGTGTGTCACATGATGGTGAGAGCACATCGAGGACCTCCGCAGTCAAGCTTCCAGTCCCTCCGCCAACTTCCAGGATTCGTAACTGGGACCTTTGGTCGTGAATCAAAGACAGATGACTTCTTAGATATTGAGGCAGACTGTGTAGACTAATGATTTCCTTGTACAACTCTTCCATCAGTTGACCTTCATCGAACATCAAATGCAGTGGATCTTCCTCCTGCTGCATCACAGATGCAATATTTTGGCCCATTCGAACCGTCAATGCGCCTGTCGCATTGTGATTTGCAACTTCTTCAAGAATTGCGTCTCTCAGGGGCTTGTCATGGAGGCATGTTTCAAACTCAAAAAGTGGCAAATGAATGATCTTGTCATTCAAAAGATCCTCTCGCACACGCCGCATCCAGTTGTAGAACTTGCGGAGGTGTGGCTGTAGGGCTTCGGTATCAATGTTTAACGAGCTCAATGCTTCGGTGATAGATATCATGGTGACCAACTGGAGACGCTTCGCCCATAATAAGGCCCTATCGTGGCCTGTAGGACAAACATTTATCTGAGCCAGGGTGCATGCTGTTTCGGAGTCCAGAAAATTGATATCTGGCTTCCACTCAATGGTATTGCAAACCTGACGCCCAGGAAAAATTTCCATGTCCTTATCGAGCGGCGTAAGGTCAATGTTACTCATATAAATACAATGAGTCTTGGAACTGGAATCGAAAACTCTTATTTGACCTTCAAATTTCTCCGAGGCTGAAGGCTGTACCGATGCATAGCCCTCGAAATTATGACCGGGGGCAGGATTCAAATCAGCAGAGACCCACATATCGCGGATGTATGTTGGAAGTCTGATTTTTTCGAGAGAGGGCTTTCCAGTGAAATCCATTACGGCTGCGATCATCATGTGGATCATGCTGTCCATCGTGGCGGGATGAATTAGGTGCGGATGCGCGTAACGCTTCGGCATAGCCTCTGCAATGTCAGGAACGGTCACAAGGCCAGTCATCTGCCCCAATCGGGAGTCTGTGAGCCGCACATCGTGAAGATTGCGGAATAGAGGACCAAACTCAAATCCCGATTTGAGAAGCGCATCGTACGAATTCGAGAAATTTATCGGACGATTGCACACCTCTTGTACGCTGTTGTATTTGTGGCGCCATTCCCGGGCTTCGGCCTCGGTTTCTTGATGATTGCTCAAGGGGTCGTCTGGAGAGCGTTCCTCAATCGAGATGAGACCAGTACAGTGCACTGTCCAGTGCTCACTTGCCTCGTTGTACGAACTGATGTGGAATCGGCGCCAAACTCTGAGCTCAGAAGAGGATTCGGTCGTCATTGAGATGCAGACTTCTATCCCCTGCTTGGTGTCGGGAACAATCATTGCTCGACGAATGGAGACTTGGCGGAGTTGGAAGCCAGTTATGGCCTTCTCCCCAGCCAACTGCCGCGAAGCTTCAATAGCCATCACGAGATAGCCGACACCTGGGTAAACATGGTTTCCGGCAATCTGAAAGTCATCAGCGGGAATCTGCATTTGATAGGCCTTTCTTCGCTTACCACATAGTGTCTTATCCAGGGGTTCTCTTCCAGTCTCACAAACTGTCTCCAACGCGGTGCATTAGCATCCCAATCCGTGACAGGAGCGCCGAAGAGGTCATGACGCGGGAACTTGCGAAAGCGAAGATTTTTGCTAAGTCGACTTTCGTAAATCACCTTTTCTGCGTGCTTGAAAGAGTACGCCGGAAGATCAACCAAAAGCTTAGCATGGGAACTTGGGTAGTGAGAGGAAGCCATATTGACTTTGTGAATGTCGAGTCCGTATCCACTGCTGGCAAGAAAACCAATTGAACTGAGTAAAGGGGTCAAAGTTGGATCAGAATGGTTCAGAACGGCTAGGTATTTGACCTTTCCTTTGCTAAATTCTGGCGACAAGGTCTCTTTGATCGCACTCTGGAGGGTCGAGTGGGGCCCTATTTCCATGAAGTATAAAAGGTTTGAGATCCCACCCGGCTCCCTCTCTCCTGCAACGAAAACGCTCTCTATGCCGTCGATAAAACGTACAGGGGAGATCAGATTGTCCACCCAGTATTTGCCCGGTAGGGGGGTCTTCGTTTAACTCTTCTCCCGTCAGAGTCGAAAACATGCGAACCGGGTGCGGCAAGAAGAGGTGGCTGCCAAACCTCAAGCATCCCATAAGCTGGAGGTATTCATCTGCAATACTCTCCATGTGCGATGAGTGATAGGCATTTTGAACCTTGAGCTTCCGCGCGAGCACGCCTTCCTGATCCAGTATGACCTTTAACTCATCAATAAGGGCTGCGCAGCCCGAGACGGTGTTGTTTGTAGGGCTGTTGGAGCATGCTATCCGCAGTTCACCTTGAAGTCTTTCCCGGACAGATTGCATATGGCGGTTCAATTGCGACTCCTCCAGACGTACGGCCATCATTGCCCCATTGGCTGACTGCTGCTTGGCCGAAAGAATGCCACGCAGATAGGCGATCTTCCATGCAGCTTCGCGAGAAATTTTGCCAGCACAGTAGGCCGCTGCAATCTCGCCTGATGAATGACCTACCACTCGTTTCGGGAATATTTCCCAGCTAGCTAGAAGCTCAACCAAAGCGACCTGAAGCGCAGTGCAGAGGGGCTGTGCGATCTCAGGACAGTCAACCCTTGACCGTGACTCGGTTGCCGCATGTTCCACTAAGGTAGATTAGCTCGCATCTCAGAAGCTTTGTATGATGAGATTGTTCTTACCAAGTAGTGACCAGGAGCTTCCAAGGCTGTGGAAATACTCGGACGCCTCCTCCATTGCGTGCCTGAATACTTGGTATCTGAGTAGCGATTTTCCCATTGCGCTATATTGCGCTCCCTGTCCAGAAAAGACGAAACAAACGTCTGGTGGTACCTCCGTCCGAATTGGCTTTGTGAAGTTCCCCTCCAACAAATTCCATTCAAGCTCTTTGACAGCGGATGCCATTATGAAGCTCTTCCATGGAAATTTGGAGCGCCGTGCCGAAGTTGTGAATGATAGATCTCTCAGTAAGTCGCTGTTTCGCCCTGCAAGGGCGTTCTTCTTCTTGACATAGCGAGCATACGAAGATGCAATGCGCTTAACACCATCCTCGTCAAATGCTGTAAGTAGGAAGAGTTGTGGTAGTTCCATTAGCACTTCCGGCCCGCGGACTTGGACCGGCTTCAGCAAAGGAGTTGTTGCACTGCTCTGGGCGAGGGGTGTTTCACTAAAATCGACCTCGGTATCATCGCTGTCAGATTCAGGCCCCGTCGCCGATAAGTTAAAATACTCATCAGCTTGGGGAGGAAGTAGAAGTTGACGGCGCAATGATTTAAATGGACGAATGGCGGTGCTCGTGTTGTGTGAACCTGACAGGCCACGTTCATAAAGATAATGGTAAGCATCATCAAGGATACAGTGTGCATTCGTTCCTCCGATCCCGAATGAATTGACCGAAGCTCTGCGCAGACCAGAGGTGGGCCAAGGGATGTTGTCCGAAGGGAAGTCGATATTCCATTCCTTGGCCAAGATCTCAGGATTCACCTCCTGTAGATCGTGGTTGGCAGGGATAATACCCGACTCAAGGACCAGAATGGCTTTCACGAGGCTTGCCACACCAGAGCATCCTTCCGTATGACCAAGAGTTGATTTGAGGGATCCGATGTGCAAAGGCCCATCTCGTTGGCAGTCAAATGCCTTTGCAAGTGCCTTCGCTTCGATTGGATCGCCGATTCGGGTTCCAGTCCCATGTGCTTCGACAAACCGAGTGTCTAGCATACTTAGACCAGCTCGCTGATAGACCTGTCGGATGAGAGATTCTTGGGCCTCGCCGCTTGGAAGAGAAATACCGGGTGTACGACCATCTTGGTTGACACCGGTTTCACGGATTACTGCGCGAATCATATCTCCATCTCTTATCGCATCCACCAAAGGTTTCAAGATGACAGTGCCAACTCCTTCGCCACGAGCATATCCTTCAGCACGGGCGTCAAAACTGAAAGAGCGGCCTTGAGCACCAAGAAGACCGTGGTGACTGTAGCCAGTGGTCTCGAGCGGGTTTTCTAGTATGCTCACGCCACTCACAACAGACTGATAGCTTTGTCAGTGGATTTAGTAGGATCCGTGGGTGAGAAAAGGACATACCATGGTTGTCTCACGGGATCGCAGACTCTGGACAGCCAGGTGCAAAGCAACCAGACTACTCGAACAAGCCGTGTCAATAGTCATGCTGGGTCCTTTGAAATCGAAAAACCAGCTGACTCGGTTCGAAATAACCGAGTTCGAGGCACCAGTAGGCTTGTATTTGGCGGTCATCTCCGGATCTGAGTTAAGGATCCCCAAATAATCATGATTGAACCCACTGACGAATACTGATGTATTGGATCCGATCGCACGGGCCAAGGGGACGCCGGCATTTTCGAGACCATGATACACGTTTTCCATCACCAGCCTCTGTTGTGGGTCCAACGTGAGTACCTCATTTTTTGTAATGTTGAAGAAGGACGAATCAAAGTGGGCAGGGTCTTCGGCGAGGAAATGCCCACCCTGGATATGGAGCTATGCAATCGGTGCCGTCAGTAAATATTACCGCATCTCGACAGCCCACCAATTTATAAAGATCAAAAGGTGGTAAAAAAGAGAATCAACATACCGTGCCTCCATGCTCAGGGTCAGGATGATAAAACGCGTCGGAGTTGAAACGTTCCTTTGGAATTGGAGACCATGTAGAACGGGCTTCTAGCAAAATGTCCCGAAGATCTTCAACCGAGAGGGCATCCTTTGCAAATCTGGCAGCAGTACCAATTATGGCAATAGGCTCGACAAGATCTGAAGGAGCATCACTGAGACGCCACGATTTCCCTGATAATGGCTCCATGGTATCGTTTGAAATGAGAAGAGATGAAAGGTTTCAAGGATATCCTGCGTAGCAGAGCTTCCAAGGAAATCAAAGGAGTAGAAAGAGATAGATTTAGATTTTCAAAAACCTCTGGGAATGGAAAGATGTTCGAGCATAGATATAGGAATTTGAAAAAAAAGGCACGGGTGGCAGGTGAGAGGTCAGTCGAAGCAGGGAAGGGCAGATCAGCCGGCATGGATGATTCCGTGTACAACACCCAACAAGTCGATTGGTCGGTAGACCGTCCATGCCTGGCACCTTTGTTTGCCCGATTACTCCATAAAAACAGCATTTCTTATCAAAAGTACCTTACGCGGTATTTCGCCGTTATCTCTCCCGCGTGTCAACGTCAACGCGTTCTTTGCCTTAGGCAAGGGTGAGGTTTAGCCCACGTCAGAGCGAAATCATTCTTTGTTTCCTCTCAAAGTGCCCACTCGAGTATTTGGGTGCAGCGAGTCTAGCCTTTTGGAGTAACCTAATCTTGATCCAATATTGAAGCAGACCAAAGCCTCGGGTGCATCTTTTTCCAGCTCCCTGGACAAGCGGGGAAGATTGGCGCCAGTATGCAGGCTGTCGCATGAACGGCCCCAATCGACCTTCAACGACGAATAACAGTGCCTGTCACTCAACGGCTGCATCGGTGGATCTCGGTTCTCGGAAATCCCTGTCAATCAGCCCCTCCTTTATGCCCACAGGCCACCTTGGTGGGGAGAGTTAGGTAGGATGAATCGGCCAAGGCCCGGACGAGCCAAAGCGTACATGCTTAAGGGTAAGGCCTGACCCATGATCGAAGCTAATTCGGGCAGAGAGATCCCCAATTTTGCGATTTCACTACCTTTACCCTTTTCGAGCGAGACAGAAGCGCGGCCACGCCTAGGATACGTACTTTACACAAAGAAATCAATCTTCTCCACGCCGTCGATGCATCCATCCGCCTGTCTAACGCCTGTCTAGCGGTTCAAAAGCAGTGCACATGGTAAACAATCCCGTCTGTTTGTTGAAAGTATGCACAATGCAGAGTCTAGGACTTTAGCGTGAGATCCAATCAGACTATTCATGCTGTCCAACACCACCTCAGAGCGCACCCTGCGCCTGTGTTTGGCCGTTGCTGCCGCTAAAAAGCGCCACCTAACATCAAGAAGTCGCAATCCACGAATAATGTCTCGTGGTTCCAATTCAATTGATCGCCCAGCGAGGAAATATTGCTCCGCGGGCATATCCTCGCCATCACGTGAACGGGATTGATGGAAACTCAGATCACGCATTTGTTGACTCGCGCAATGTCAACTAATCTAGAATAGTCAACAGCTAGAGATGTGAACGTGCTAGCTGCAGCCAGAGGCCCTCCCTCCACCGAGCTGAAGCCCATCATTCGATACATGACGAGCCCGCCTCCCCTTTCCAAGGTTATCTGGGCGCCAAAGCTCCTGGGGACTCAGCTGAGAGATGATAGACCGTTTCCTGGCACGGCTGGCCACATCAGGACTAGTAGGGTGACTGTGGAGTAGCAAGGAACTTACGGCCTTCCTTTCCTTGACCCAACACGCCCCCGAGGCCGTTGAACGGGCAGTTCCAGTACTGTTGCGGAGTAGAGTTTACAGGGAGCTTCGCTTTTCTTTGTCCTTAGCGGGAACTACATCCGGACAACACAAGTTCTACCTCTCCAAGTATACTCCTAGCTAAGTTTTGAGCGCGAGAGAGGAAGTCTAATCTCCTACGGCCGGATACGTACGCAAGTGGTCAGGGTACAAATCGTTTCCTTGCGTTGGCAGCAAATCATATCACCGTTAAGGTCCTTCCCATTCCTGCCCCTGCTCCGAGCAAGCCTCGAACGTAGGCGCAGCTGGATACCTTTTCGGAACAAAGGATTCATGAAGCTCGGAACCTAGCTCGGAATCTACTATGTCTATAAGGGGAATATAACAAATGATAATCCTGATTCGAAGGGGCCGATAATCAAGCATGAAGGGCTTTATGACGTAGAATGATATATCACAATTAGTTAATTTTACAAAGCATTAATAATGTCATCAGCCGCCTTCTCAGCCACCATATAGGTCGACACGGCAGTGAAAGTTCCAGGGATGCGTGGGTAAACAGACGCATCAACAACACGCAAGCCCTGCACACCACGCACACGGAATTTTGAATCCAGCACAGCCATAGGATCGTCATCCGTTCCAATAGGGCAAGTGCACGAAGCATGATGGCCCCAAGCGGTGTTCTTGATATAATCATGGATCTCTTCTTCCGTGTTCACGTCCTTTCCAGGAAGAACTTCCTCAATGGGAACCAGCTGGCGATGGAACGCATCACGAGCAACTCCAATTGCCTCGGTGATTGCTGTCAGGTCTTTCTCGTAACCGTCACTTCCAGTGTCGAAATAATTGAACACGATATCTGGCATATCGAGAGGATCCGCGGAGCGGAGCGTCACGGAGCCGGCAGTGTTGCGTGGGTGCGCCTTCAGAACGGCCCATGACCACCAATCATGGCGTTCGGTGATGTTAATGCTGTAGTCGGGGTAATAACCGCGGAAGTTGACGGGGCCTCCAAATACGAAGGCATCATAGCTATCGTCTGCTGTAACGCTACTCTTGTAGAACATAGTAGCAGCAAATCCACCAGATGAGTAGATACCGCGGTTGCCTAGGATAGGGCTGTTAAAGCGGTCCAGGCAGGGATCCTCCTCGCCATTTACGCTAAAGGTACAACCTTTTAACGCGGTGAAGTTCTTCGGCGTGTGGCCTTGGACGGCAGTTTCGTAGTGGTCCTGGAGATTTGTGCCGACGCCAGGGAGGTCGGACACGACGTCGATACCAAATTTTCCGAGTTCCTCTGCAGGCCCGACGCCGCTTAGCTTCAGAAGTTGAGGGGAGTTGTAAACACCGCCAGAAACGATGACTTCACGAGACGCAGTAACGCTTCCGGGCGTTCCCTTTCCGGCAGTTGCAGAGCGAGGGCTCGCGCGGTAGAGGTATTTGCCATCCAGGAACTCAACTCCAGTAGCGCGCGGTGTAGTTGAATTGTCAAATGTGATCTTGGTCGCGTGGCAGTTGGTCCTGATGTCCAAAGGGTACTTCTTTGAGCCATCGGCATTCTTGGCACCGTGGACAGCAACCAGGAACTCGCGGGGGCCGTTACGTTTGCTGCCGTCGGTGGCGATGGGGAGTTGATAGTATCCAGGAGTAGTGTCACGCGATTTAGCATCACGATTAGCGTCGCCGGCGAGCAAGGTTCCAAGGTTAAATATCGAGTTAGTCTGGTTGCCCAGAGCAAATGCACCTCCGAGAAGCATACTCAAAAGCTGCGGATCTTCCAGGACAATACTAATAGGTGCCTCTTCAACACCTAGCCATCCATCATAGCCGTGGCCAGGAAGCAATGGAAGAGCATACTTATTGTTCTCCATGCGCTCGAAGTATTTGCGCATGTTATCGGGAGACCAAGAACCATCGCCAGTGAGGGTGGAGATATAGTCAAAATCCGATTCGTGGGGGTAAACCGTGATTAAAGCATTGTGTGCGGTACACCCACCTAGAGTGCCAGTGCGAGGATACAATGTACCCTTCATGGTCGAGCCTTTCGGGGGGGTTGAGCCCTGTATATTCCTCTCCGTCAGGAGTCTCGTATGTGGTTTTGTAATCGAGGGCCTGGCGAGCCTCGTCCGCGTAGTGACGAACGAAAAAGTTCCATGCCATAGCTCCATCTTCAGAGGCCTTGGCGGAGTAGGCGGGCACGGTATAATTATCATTCAATCCCTGGTCATCGCCGGCTTCGATAAGGAGTGTCTTGTGGCCGTGAAGAGCAAGTCGGGCCGCGAGAGGGCCGCCACCAGCACCGGATCCAACAACCACATATTCGTAGCCAGTCAATTCCACCGCAGCGCTCAGGCCCGCTGAAAAGGCAGCTAAGCTGAAAAGCCGTGAGAAAAGCATATCGAGATGCCTGTTTGTAAATTAGTGTGGTGGTTCAAATAACCATAGGAAAAGGAGAGGACGGGGATGAAGACGAAGAGTCCAAGAACTGAATCCTGAATCTGAACTGAGCCATCGGAATTAATATGTACCCACTAATTGCATGGGTGAACAGAAGGAATTATCAACTACATGACCTGGTGGGGCTTGGCGCGGAATTGCTTAGAGGTGAGGTCGCAGTCTCACGGGCTGAATGGTATTTCCAAGCGAAATGAAAACCCAGATTGGATCCAACAAACACCTATTCTGTGCATGCAGTTCCACCATGAACCCTAGTTAAAGGTCATGGCGAACCACAAAGCTTGAGTGCAGCGATGATCGGCCCCTTTTTAGTTGGAGCAGGCGGGCTAGTCAATCGCTAGTCAATAGCCACGCGGGGACTCTGCGCTCAGACAGCAATTTTTCAATGTCAGCCGAGGTTGGTGCAGTAAGCTGGGTGTTGATGCAATGAGATATGTGTAATATATACAGGTCTGGGTCTCAGCAAACACGAAGCTTTGCTTTTTCTTCTTGTTGTGGTTTCATTCCTCAGATATTATTTGCCGATGGTGTTGATGACCCACTGTTTGATGCAAGATCTTGCATTCCAACCTTGGAAGGTTGTGATCTCATTCAGCGACGTGAACTTGGGCAAACTCCACCGAGAAAAGGGAGATAGTAAGAGAATACCATCTAGTAATACATAGTATTATAAGGTTGGTGAGATATTCAGGCCCAGTATCTATTGATTGTCACATGAAACCATTATTATTGTTGTGTCGTGAAAAATGCCGTGTCGATCCCCCAAGAATGCGGGTCACAAAGACACGGCATATTAGCCACGTGGTTTTAATTCGCATTTTTGTATAAATGGTTTCATAAGGATATCGTAAAGATAGCGTGGCTGTCTTCTGCTACTCTTCTGCTCTTGTTCCCGTCGGTAATAATAAATTATCAATATTGCCGGGGTATAAACACTAGTCACCCTTCTTGCTAGAGCCCTCCTTCTGTAATAGATAATCACCACCTCTCCAAGCCTTGTAAACTCCATAGAGTCCACTAAAAGGCCATACATCCCAAAGAGTCCGCTTAACCATCCCCTTCCACCCAGATTCAAACTCCCCACGGTGCGCACCAGGAAGATCCGACTCGCGTACACGAACCTTGTCAAACAAAGTCGGCAGATGCTGGGCATGATACTTTGTGCGGAGAGCATCGTATCCGTCTTTCTTGTAGATATCCCAGAACTCCGATTCGGTGTAGTAAGTATGCGCATAAAGCCACTTCTTCCCTCCAAGGGCATGGACCTTGTGCTCGATACCGCGGTTTTGAGCCACAAAGCCGGACTGCCCGCTTGCTGTTGACGGGCCCCAGAGTCCGAAGTTCATGAGAGTCGTTCGCTCGGTGTTGGTCGATTCTGATTTTGGTTCCGATTCTTGACCTTCGATCATTAGTCCGCCCGCACTTCCTGGTGGAAGTGGACAGAGCCAGAGCGGATATTGTCCGAAGTTTTCTGGAATGTCGAGCCAGTCCAGAAATTCCGCTGCAGTGGATATCGGTACGCCGACGTCTTGAATCACGTATTGTCGGGCAAGACCGCTCACATGTAGAGCGTGGTACATGACTCGCGTGTGCATGAAATAGTCGAGTATCCAACGTGTGATGAAGTTAAACGGCGTGAGGAAGTATTGGAAGGCATACCGGCCCACCCAGAAACCACCTCTATCGTAGCGGAACAGATAGTCTTGAAGTGGGATGTAGTCGATTGCATCAGGTGTAGAGGTATCTCGTCGACTTGAAGTTGAACGTTTAGCGATTTTCTCGGTATGTAAATAGAACCACTGATCACGCGGTTGAGTGAACTGTTGGACTGAGCCCTTGCTCGATTTCCCGTCTACTTGTTTCCCGGCACAGACGACGATTTTCGTTCGCGAATACACGATGCCATCCAGATACTCTGTCTCCGGGTCCACGCTCGCTTCCTGGAATACCCGTAGCGCATCTGTCATATCGGAGCTAACATAATATTTCAATTCGACCAGGGGTTGAGCCTTTTTCAGGCGGACCTCTAATAATGTCACAACACCCATAGTTCCGAACGATGAAGCCGCGCCCCAGAACAAATCAGACCGTGAATCTTGAGCTGAGTCGTCATTCTCGCCTTTGTTGTCGATTCCGACATGGTCGTTATATGCTCTCACGATCTGACCATCTGCAAGCACCATTTCAATCCAATTGACGGTATGGTCAAAGAAGCCTTCGCGAAAAGAGCTGCTTTCTCCTGAAGTCCCGGAGAAGCCGCCTCCAACGGTAATTCCCGGAAACTCCATGACCACCAACGGGACGAGGCCCTTTGCCTTGGTGGCGGCGACGAGAGAGTCCATGGGGACATTGGGCTCCACGAGTGCGGTGCAGCCATCTTCATTGATTTCCAGAACGCGGGTGAGTGCAGCTGTGCTCACAGTGGTGGATGGAGAGTGATTGGCTGGCCGGGTACTGTTGGTTGAGCCATGGTAGATGCGAAAGGGTTGTTGACGACGGTGGAAGTCGGCAACCCGCTCCGAAATCTGCTGTACAGCAATTGAATGATCCATCTCCACCGAATTCAGATCGATGCGAGAGTTGGAAGTACGGAGTATAACTCCGTTAATCATGCGGAGTCGTCGGTGCCTGCGGGCGGTGAGAGCAGTCAATATCAACAGTCAACATCGAGTATAGAAGAGAACTCGTGCAACTAGTACTACTACTTCGTTGGTACTTTATTACTGCTTATCCAGACTATTGAGCCATTGTCTAATAGGAGTATTAGTAGTAGGGTAGTAGTAATAGTGTATCAACACCATCCATGCTAAGTCCGAATCTATACTTATGCTTCAATATACAGGTAACTGAACTACAGCTCATCCTTGTGCTCGTCCGCTGGCAAAGAAACTGGTCGACCACTATCAACTCCCAAATCAACCCCAATCTTCTTGCGCCACTTCTCCCACAAAGCAAAGAAATCCTTCTCCATGCCACTCTCCATCTGATCCGGCAGAACAACCACATACTCAATGTAAAGATTGCCCGGTTCATCCTCGCCCTCCTCGTGATGATCGTGCAAATGACCCTCCGAGTAAAACGGCATGCCCTCACCAACAATCGTCTCCACCGAAAAGGGCTGTACAACCTCCCCACGCTTCCGACTCAACGCAACAGCATGACCATCAAGATGTGTAACATTTCGAGTCCACTCTCCCATCCAAGCCTCCCTCAACGACAGCATCTCCTTCCAGAACAAATCCTTCCCCTTCCTCCGGAAGAAAGTCCCATCCGTCCTCTCTTCCTCGCTCGCACCAAGCTCAGGCTCCTGCTCGTCCAAAACAACAATCAAATCACCCGCAACCCAATCGGGCGACTCATCAGCCTCGTTCTCAAAAACAAGCCGAGTCCCCTTACCCATGCCAGGCTCAATCGAAGCAGAAGTCTCAACCCCCTTCTTAACAACCCTCTGCCCAGCACAAACAGGACAAGGGTTCTTGACCTGCTTTCCTTGCCCTCCACATTTATCACAGGCCATTTGAACCTGCTGAAACATGCCGGGCGCAAGCATATGTTTCTGAATCACCATACCCCGTCCCGAGCACCGGTCACAAGTAACAACTTCCCGGTCCTTAGATCCTGTCCCTTCACAAGAATCGCAGATCTGCTGCTTCTCCACCAGGAAATTAATTTCCCGCCCATTGTAGAAGTCCCGTAGTGGCAGCGCGGCTCGAACTTCCATATCAGGTCCCCGTCGCGCACCAGGCGCGTGTCCGAAATGGCCCCCTCCTCCGAAAAATCGTGAGAATAGATCGAATGGGTCATTGCCGCGCCCACCACCCGCCGAGCCGCCCTTCCGGTGCTGCTCGACTCCGTCGTGTCCGTATTGGTCGTAGATCTTTCGTAGGGAGCTGGTGGAGAGGACGTCGTAGGCGTCGGCGATTTCGACGAACTTCTCGCGCGCGTTTTCGTCATTGCTAGAATTTGCGGTTGATTAGCATGGCCATTCATTGCTTGAAATAGATTGGATTGGATTGGATTGGGACTTGATTGCTGCGCAGCGGTTTGTACTCACGGATTCTTGTCAGGATGGAATTTCTTGCTGAGCGTGCGGTATGCGCGCTTTACATCTTTGTCGGAAGCGGTTTTGTCGATTCCGAGGGTCTTGTAGTAATCTTCGGTGGCGAGGACAACGACGGCGAATAAGGCGACCGCAATGGCCAGAAGGAGTCGTTGGAGATACATGTTGTTCCGATTCGAAGGTTTAGGGCTATTAGCCGCGGCGGTGTTGCTGGAGTAGAGCTCCGCTGCAGCTAGATGTGGCTGTCCCGCGTTATGGCTGGGGGGGGAAGGAGTGTGTTGTCTTAAGTTGGATTGAAGTATTAGGTCGACATGAGTGGAATAGGATTGAGTTCCCGGTGGACTGGCACGAATAGATCTTTTGCGAGAGATCAACTGGAGTGGAGGGTGAAGTTCAACTGAGCCCGTGAGGTGGTCAATCAATCCGGCCAGATAGCCCTTATCGCTGGTCACGTGCTGTGTCAATGAAGTATAACAAGTTCGGGGTATTGGACAGAATATACTAGTAGTGTATTGTAAAGGTTGCATTTCATGTAAATGAATGACAAAACACACTTGGTGATACTTGATTCCAAGGTTCATGGGATACACCACTGGGAAAGGGTTTCAAGTTGTCGAAAGACTGAGTACATCATGATCGTATTATATATCTATCCAGGCACACGGATGTCACCCGCCACTGTCAGTGGGCACCTGGGCACTGGCCCTGGAGCAGCATGCAATAAATCATTGGAAAGAAAGAAACAACTTGAAGTCAAATGAACCCGTATAAATACGAACTAATACCTAATTAAGCCAATCGCCATATCATGTCGTACATCCGTAAATCATAAACCGTACCCGCATGCCAAACCATAACCAGAAACATAAAAGTAGTAAACATGAACCCGAATCCAGAAATCACGGAGGTATCATTGCAAGCCCGCAACATCAAAAATATCATTCCGCCAGGTAGACCCCAGTCCATGCGTCTCATCACCATCCTCAATAGCCTCCTGCGCCCGGGTAGCCTCTTCACGCCACGTCTTAACAATACTCCCCGGCGCATAAACGTCCCGGAAAACACCACTCTTCAGAGGATCAATACCGACCCGGGCTTCCACATCCGAGTCGGCAGGTTTGAGCCGGGCAAGGACGGCTCGTACAAATGTTGCCAGATCCTGCGGGTTAGCGATGCGGGTTGCGCGGAGACGCTCGCGCGCGAAGACAAGTTCCCTGTTCAAGGCGAAGGCGGCGGCGACGATTTCCTCGGCGATTTTTTTCTCCAGGGTTCGTCGTACGAGGTGTTTTAGGAAGGGCTTTGCGAGCCAGAGTAGGAAGCGCCATTTGCTTTTTGAGACCTTGTAGTCTAGTTTGTGGATGCGGACCCGCACGCCTCGGAGGGTGAAGATTTGTTCGAGTCGATTGCGTCCGACTTCGACTTCGAGGGTTATGTCGATTCCTCGGCGGTCTAGATAGAAACTGGCTATGCCTTCGTCTTTGAAGTAGAAGAGTAGACCGGTGTGGGCCTTGAGCCAGTAGCCGAATTCTTCGGCGCTGATGTTGAGGCCTTGGACTGTTACTGTGAAGATAGTTTTGATGGCTGTCTCGGTTCGTTTGGAGTGCTTCTTGACGACCTCGATGTCGTTTCGCGTGACGAGGTGCAGCCGGTATGGGAGGAAAGAGGAATAGTTGACTGTGCGGCCGGGTTCAAGGATTAGATTCTCTAAGAGGAGGTCCATCTCTGGCGCGGAGATCTCCAAACGCGGGATTGGGATGTACTGGATGGCTCGGAGGAGAACAGGGAGCATGACGTTGACGATATCAGCTGGAAGATCAGCCTTGTGGTCATTGTAGGCTGCCGAGGCATTGTGGTAAATCCTTTTCGTCGCATTGATTACTTTGGTCACTGCAGGGTCCTCGGGTACCGATCGCAAGGCTCGTTTGGTTTGTGCTAGGAAGCCATCCAAGTCCTGGCGCAGATGTCCCTCTGACCCGACACGCTCGGACTTTTGCTGGAGCTCATCGAGTTTCTCAGGAGCGTGGTTGAAGAACTCGGGGTCGGTGAGCATATCCTGGAGAGAATTGCCAGCTTCACCCATCAACCGTTCAAAATCAGGGTCCGAATTAGCATGTCGTAAGAGATCATGGAATTTTTGTTGCAACTTGTCCCATTCCTCTGCATTTCCAAACGACCGTAACAGACCCCAGAATTGATCCACCGCTTGCTTGAGATCATCATTCATTTGGAGATCCTCCTCAGCAGCATCCGCCGTGAATTCTGCCGCATTGGCATAGACTGCCGCATATCGCTTTACCAGCTGTGCAATGGTCGAGACTGAATCCGTATAGTCAGTTCTCTCCCGTAGATTCTGGACCGTCTTCTTTAACCGATAGAGCAGTGTATCTCGTTCTCGACCGGAAAGATGTTCCCGAGCACTTTTCACTGCATCCTCGCCCGTATGAGCTGCGCCTTTCCCCGCAACATGGGCAATATGGCTGAGTTCCTCTTTCACCTGCTCCCCCGACAACTCCCGACCCTCATCAGCGCCCGCACCCGTCAGCGCCTGCTCTTCTTCTTCAGAAGGCTGCACCTCATCCGCGACTTGTTTCGACGCCTCTGCCAGGGATGAGGCTGTATCTGCAAAGATCTGGCGGCCAACGGTAGCAATATCGTCGACGAAGAGACGGAAGTCAGCGTTTGTGAGGAGTAAGCTTCCCACGGTACGGAAACTATCATATGCTACATATTAAACAAGCATGGGGTTAGCCAACAAGCCCAGACGAGTAACTAATCATGTCAGACACAGGGAGGAGGTGGACCCACCAGCTTTGGTATCGGCGCGTGCTTTCACATGCGCCGCCTGCTGGGATATGCGGGCCTGATCGACCGAGACGCGGGCGCGGGAGAGACGCCAGAGGAAGTTCTGGAGATGATCGGAGCCATTTTTGTCGTGCAGGAACTCGATCAAGGAGGTGATCCAAAGACGCGCGTCGCGGACGAGTTGGCGGCCGACGGAACCGATGTCTTGGTTGCGAAGGTTGAGAAGGTCGGAAGCGAGAAAGGTGCGGAGATTGGCGATTGTTTGCTCGGTGGATGGGAGGTAGCCTTCAGAGAGAGCGCGGAGCATCTGGTAGGAATGGAGCTTCTGGTGGAGCTGACGCTGACGGGCAGTGTCATCCTCGTAACGGGGGAGCAGGGGCTCTGTTTCGCCCGGCATGGTGGATGTGGTAGAGATTGACAGCGACAGTGATAATGGATAGAAGATACGAGGATTCGAGCACAGCTGCCAGCATAAGCAGAAGTGAGGCGAGTAGAAGTGAGGTGGAAATGGGAGTGGAAGTGGAAGTTGCAGCCAGCCTGTTTTGCCGATGACGACACCGGGGTCGGACAGGGATTGCACTACATTAGTACGAGTATACATGGGGTATAGTATATAGTATACTTCTAACATAATTGTAGCATCAATTAAGTATTCGAGTGTTCCTAGTATATAGAATATACTATAACATACTATGATAGCTATAGTATACATATCTACGGATACTGTTCTGCTCTTCGACGATCGGCGGGTCTGGGGAAGCTGAAGCTCTCTGGCCAATCAGCTTGCAAGTTAGGGTTTCCAGTCTGTTCAAACACATCAAGGCGCGGCTCACAGCCCAAATGCCTTATGTTGGGCATCTATGATGGGAGCACCTATCGAGCGAGGCTCCATGAATGGGGACCTGTGTATTGACCGAGAGATAATTTAGCAGTGTATATACAGACTAACCACATTGCGCAAGTCTTGCTAGATGCTAAATACTAAATGCTAAATGTGAGAATGTGCTTTATGATAAAGCACAATAAATTGTTAGAAGGCTAGAATACCTTCGATATACCCAGGAGAAGGAGCTTTGCTAAGCCGTTCTGAAGTATGATGGCAAAATTGCGTCCCCAAGACCGGCTAGGTCAACAAGTATTATGTCCACTGGATTGCAACAACACTAGTACGCGTACTGAGTAGTTACTATAGGGGAAGACACTCTACTAACAGATCCTTTCCTCGGGCAACTACCACTGCCATAGCTAAAGCTAATTATTTGTCGGAACACCACAACGATGGGCCGAGGGCTGGGGAAAGCCTAGGAGAAGCTTTCCTTGATGGATATCCCCGGTAGAGGGCTGGGCGAACACACGACCCAGGGAACATACTTCCAGGCTCCAGCGCCTAGTTATTATTTTCTCAATTTCTTTTCTTCTTCTTTGGTGCTGGTAGGGCACCCACCTACGTAAGTATCATCCCACGCACTGGTCGCGCGATTGAATAGACGGCGATCACCCGTTTCCCCACCGGACTAGAACCAACCGGATAGATCGCGTGGGCAGGTTTCATGCAAGCTTGTTTGTGACCTCGGATGGGACGAGAATGGATGAGAATAGGTGTAACTTGGTATTAATTTCGCGCACCGTGTGGTGCCTTGATGATCAATATTTTGTGGAATATTTGCACAAAAATCGCGCAAAAGGTATGCATCTCGTAGACTCAACTGTAAGGCTGGAGATGGCGGGAAGGCGGCAAGGCGGAAAAGAAAAGAAAAAAGGTTGAATTAGCCAATCATTTTACAGCAGAAGTCCCTGACAACTTGAAATTCACTATTAATAGTAGCGTGATTTTTCCACGAGGGTTGAGAAAGCTTGACCCCTTTAGTCAGGTATTATAATGGGGATAATGGGGATGGTAAACAAATAGAATTGGATTAAAATAAATCAATAACAATTTTACTACATATGAGATGTAGAACAAGGCTTGAATCATTTGTTGGGATGTACACTACTCTGTACACGACATCATCATGCACGGCATTTGAGCAAGGGGGCATTCCGAATCTTACTGACTCGCCAAAAAATCACGCATGTAGGGGGGTTCAAAAAAAAGAAAGGAAATTGGAGAAAACGAAAAAAACCAACCTGGAAGAGTGTACTCCGTAAGGGAAAAAGAAAGAAAAAAAACCCCCCAAAAAACTCTGCTTGGAGATTCGCCATTCGGCGGGTTCTACCATTCAGAGTGCCGAACGGCAATTGTCAACGCGGCCAACTTGGAACATCTCAACCCTCCACTCTCTCGGGGGAGTAGTATGGGAGCAATGGGGGCTACACGGGGGCCCAATTTTATTTTTCCCATCGTTTCCGCCCGATGATTTTCCCATCAGGTAGCTTCCGTGTTTCTTTTCCTATCGCAGACGCAGACCTTCTCTTACACACGGCAGGCTCCGCACGCCGTCTCCCGTACGGAGATGCCCTGCTAGGTTTAGTGGGCCCCGCTCGAGTTAGGGCTTCTGGAAGTTCGATCCCTGGAGTTGCTGACCAATTATTGATCCCCCCACCCCCTTTGATGGATTCGTAGAACTAGGATTAGTGCTCGGAGTTTAGCCTGTACTCAATTTGTATCAATTGGCACCGAGAAGATCCACTTCGGCACCAACTGCGGCTCTGGAAGCTCGCTGAGGTGGAGACCCTGTCCTTCGGCGGATCCATCGCGGTGTCTCCCCCGGCCTATGTGGCCACTCATAGCCCTGGATTTTTATTCGGAGAATGCAGTTCGAGACCTACCGTGTACTCTACTGTCCAGTCTTCAGTCCTGCAGAGAACAGCATTATAGACTCCTCACACGGGACCCGCCATACCGTGTATCCCTCTTCACGCTGCAGCAGCACCCGAGATGGTCCATCTCGTCTCTCCTTATACCAGCAGACATGCTGACGTTTACCGGGTACAAGTTGGTTGTTCTGGAGCGTACTCCGTACAATTGCCCTCAATCCAGCCCTGCTCCACCCTTGCTCAAGCTCCCCGATCTGATCCATTCCACTCCGCGCGCAACGGTTCGCTGCCATCACCGAATATCCACATCCAGGTCCCACGCCGCGACCCCTTCCCAACCCCCGAGTCTTTCCGACTCTCCAAATCATGCTTCGTCTTTTACTGAGCCTTGACCGTCCTTCCCCTCTTGCCGTCCCGGCGAATTCTCATTGCTCGGAATGTCGTGGATGATGTGCGCTCGTGTGTCCCAACGGACGCCTAGTGTGTTCCGCGCACTTAAAACCATGCCACGCTCGCCTCGTCCTCGCCTCTCTTCTTTCTATCATTCTTCCCCTTCTGCGACAAGTAAACTTGCACGCACTCAGTCAGACACAATGGCACGATTTTCTCCCCAACAAAGCCGGCCCGTCCATGCGACCCCGTTTATGAACCACTCCAACACTCCCTCGTAAGTTCCAAACATTGATGCTTGCCATGGAATGGCATAGCATAGCATAGCATAGCACAGCACAACATCTTTCTCCGCAAGATCAATGCTAATACCGCTATGATTTTCCTAGTGACGCCAACTATGACACCGCCAACCCCTCTTACATTCGCAAGTACCTGCGCACATACGGCCTCACTCCTCCTCGCGCCGAGAGCTACGAGACCCAAAAGACACGATGCCTGGCCCAGTTGGGTCTGAAGAACACTTCCATCGACAAGTTCCAATACCTCAGCACTCTGCGCAAAAATAATGTCCACCTTTTCTACCGCCTGGTCACCGACCACCTCAGGGTACGTGAAAAAATCCCCATTATAAGAGTCATAGAGTCATACATCGCCATCACTTTCATGTGATTGGACCGCATGTGCTAGTCGGAAAAGGAAAGGGCACTAACAACCCCTGCAGGAATTGACGCCCTTGATCTACACTCCCGTGGTTGGCGAGGCCTGCCAGCGTTGGTCCGAGATCTACCAACAGCCCGAGGGTGAGTTAAATTAACCTAGTCCCATTGGAGCGGTTCCGAAGCTTTTCGGAACCGCCTCCTCTTCCCCACGAATTCAAACCGGAGTTAATGCTAACATGACTCAAAATAGGCATGTACTTGTCCTGGGAGGACCGCGGCAACCTTGCTGCTGTCATTGCCAATTGGCCCCAGCCCAATGTTGAGATCACATGTATCACCGATGGTTCCCGTATCCTCGGACTGGGTGATCTGGGTATCAACGGTATGGGAATCCCCATTGGTAAATTGGCGCTTTACACTGCCTGCGCTGGTATTCGTCCCGAAGCCACTCTTCCCTTGACTCTCGATCTCGGAACTGGCAACAAGACCCTCCGGGAAGACCCGCTCTACATGGGTTCCCGTCGTGACAAGATTAGCGCCGAGGAGGAGCGCGAGTTTATGGATGAGTTGATGTCTGCTCTCACCGAGCGCTGGCCTGGGTAAGTCACAAGTCACTTTTCTTCTTGCTTCTTTCTTCTGCATGCCCATTGTCGTCATCCCCTTCGTGTGTTTCCGGGTAGATCTGATTGATCCACTTATTTCCCCGATCATGCTCACTATTCCCCCTCATCTCTCCGCGTGGACTCCCCTCATCCGAAATTACCCCCCGTATATTCCCCCTCACTGGGCTTGAGCTCGGCTAATCGAAGCTTATCTAGTATTGTCATCCAATTCGAGGATTTCAAGAACCCCTTCCCCGCATTGGAGCGTTACCGCGACACCTACACTTGCTTCAACGATGATATCCAGGGTACTGGTGCCGTTATCCTCGGTGGTGTTATCAACGCCGTCAAGCGTACCGGTCTCCCCTGCAAGGACCACCGTGCTGTCTTCCTCGGCGCCGGCTCCGCTGGTGTCGGTGTTGCCAAGCAGATTGTTGAGTTCTTCATCCGCGAGGGTATGACCGAGGATGAGGCCCGTAACTGCTTCTACCTTGTCGACACCAAGGGTCTTGTTACTGCCGACCGTGGTGACAAGCTCGCCGACCACAAGGTCTACTTCGCTCGCCAGGATAATGCTGGCCAGCAGTGGAAGACCCTCGAGGAGGTCGTCAACCACGTCAAGCCCACCATCCTGATGGGTCTGTCCACTATTGGAGGCGTCTTCACCCCCGAGATCCTCCGCAACATGGCCGACTGGAACACCACCCCTATCATCTTCCCCCTCTCCAACCCTTCGTCCAAGTCTGAGTGTGACTTCGAGTCCGCCGTCAAGTACACCGATGGTCGTTGCCTCTTCGCCTCCGGTTCTCCCTTCCCCAACTGCACTTTCACCAACTCCGCCGGCGAGACCAAGACCTACTACCCGGGCCAGGGTAACAACATGTACGTCTTCCCCGGTATCGGTCTGGGCAGCATTCTGTCCAAGTCCGTCCGTGTCACCGACAGCATGATCTACGCCTCCGGCGAGTCTCTGTCTGCCGCTCTGACCGCCGAGGAGCTTGAGCGTGGTCTGCTCTACCCTGACATCACCCGCATTCGTGAGGTCAGCATCGTTGTCACCCGCAAGGTCATCCGCGCTGCCCAGAACGACAAGGTTGACCGCGAGACCCACCTCCGCAACATGTCCGATGCCGATCTGGAGAACTGGATCAAATCCCGCATGTACGACCCCCACACCGAGGTTCGCGAACTCGAGCGTGAGGTCGGCCACCTGCTCTCCAGCCTGGGCAACCTCTCCCCGCTGATGAACGGTTCCCCCACCGACGAGAACGGCTCTAAGCTGTAAAAAGGTCATCCTCGACCACCACCTTTCTTGCGGTCTTCAGGACTGGATCTTGTTGATGGCGTGATCGAAATCTTAGTGCATCTGTTCCTTTGTTCTAATATCCGCGCCAGGCTCACTGCGTGAGAACCCCTGCACCTCTTCATCTTTCAGCGTTGTTAATTTTCGGACCGGGTCTTTTCTTTCCTCTTCTCTTGTTCTCTTATTTTCCCCTACCACCTTTTGTTTGTTTGTCTTGGTCTTCTCCTGGAATACCCTGCCATCACGTTTCATTCCGTCGCATGGCCCTGCATTGGTAGGATAGCAAAATCATGAATGAAAGCAAATATGTCATCCACATCTTCTCCATTAAAGTAAAAGAAGTAGCAAGTTCATTGGGCCCGAACAGGTTTTAAATATTCTCATCTTTTCCGGGGCTAGCCGTTCCATCTGTCCTTCGGGCCGAGGTGATTCCCTTCATCGATGCAGAAAGCCCGTATACAATCAAAAGTAGCGAACACTGCAAACTTGAAGACTGCCTCGAAATTTATCTATCCAAATAGATCATCAAGCACATTCAAGTTACCAGTATTTCATCGATCTTGAAAACTCACTCCCAAGTCCATTCAAATTGAAGCTAGTCTAAACTGATCTAAACCAGCCCAATGCCGCCGGGTCCCTCCCGAATCTTCACATGCGCAGAGTAACTCAAACCTCCGACTGTCCAGCCCCACAGTCCAAACCCCCAGCGTAATGCATACCTTAATTGTACTCTTGGCTGCAGTTTTTGTGAAGACCCACAAATACTCTGAAATGAGTTTAAAAATTGTTACTGGATAGTGGGGATGGTGCTATGATCATTCTATCAATAAAAATCTGGGTCTGCCCGGAGAGATTGTCTCCCCGCGTGGCAAGTGGACCCACCGAGGTCCCCTTTCTTCCTTTGGGTTTTTTTTTTGGTTTAATTCATCAAGCCGAACTGTCCTGCTTTTGAATCGTGGGTATTTCCTATAAGTCAACTGTGAGAATTGGATTCGTTTTGGTCAACTATCACTGCTGAGCAGCTATTCTCAAAACTGCAACTCGTTTCCGCCACCAGAAACATTACACTGAATCGTCGGCTTGAAAACCTTCGGGAATCACACTATCAAAATGCCTTCACCACTATCGGACCCCGTCAAACTGCCTTGCGGTCTTGTCCTACCAAACCGACTATCAAAGGTTTGCAGTCTCTCCTCTTACCCCATGGTGGCACCCCCACTGTCCAGAAACACAAACTAATACATCCACAGGCTGCAATGGCCGAAATGATGGCCAAGTCCCACCACCCAGACCCTCTCTACGAGGCCTATGAAAAATGGTCCACCGGCGGCTGGGGCAGTATTCTAACCGGCAACGTCCAAGTCGACATCAACCACCTAGGAAGCCCCTTCGACCCAGCCCTGGACGGCGAATACACCGGTCCCGACGACGACAACAAGGCTCTAGTAGCACGCTGGACTAAGTATGCCACCGCATGCCAGCAACACGGCACACCCGCCTGAGCCCAAATCTGCCACCCGGGACGACAATCATTTCGCGTCGCAGGCAAGCGCGGAATTTTCGCAAACACAATTGCTCCCTCCGCGGTCCCGATTTCGATAGGTGACTCGTGGCTGGAGTGCTTCATTGGGGCTGTTGCTTGGACAAAGCCTCGTGCTATGAGTACTGCCGAGGTGCAGAGGGTTATCTCGCAATTTGTTGATACGGCGAGACTCATGGCCGATGCGGGATTTTCGGGTATTGAGCTGCACGGAGCGCATGGGTATCTTATTGGTATGGAATGGATCCATACATAATCCTGTCTTGAGAAGTATTGTGCTGATTTGATTCATATATGCTCTTAGATCAATTTCTAAGCTCCAAGACAAATCTCCGGACCGACGAATTCGGCGGCACGCCCGAAAAACGCGCGCGCTTCGTCCTGGAAATAATCAAACAGACCCGCGCAATCGTGCCGCAAACCTTCGCCATCGGAATCAAGCTCAACTCAGCTGATCACAGCTCCGCAACATTTGAAGAAACAATGACCCAAATCGCCCTCCTTGTCGAAGCTGGCATCGACTTTATGGAAATTAGTGGCGGCACTTATGAAGATCCGCAGATGATGGGATATCCCAAGGCGGAGATTCCAGTTAAGTCAGAGCGTACGGCTGCCCGCGAGGCATTTTTCCTGGAATTTGCAAAGACTGTTCGCGGGAGACATCCTGAGTTGATTCTTATGTTGACGGGTGGGTTCCGAACAAGGGCTGGGTGTGTTGCTGCTATTGAGGATGGGGCTTGTGACCTTGTTGGTATTGGACGACCTGCTGCTGTTGAGCCTGCCTTCCCGCTGCTACTTTTGGACGAGGGTGTTAAGGATGATAAGGCTGGCTTGCCCTTGATTAAGGTGCCGCCTCCTTGGTATATGAGGTTCTTGCCTAGGAACCTTATTGGAGCTGGGGCTGAGAGTGTAAGTTTCTTCTTTCTTTCTTTTTCAGAGTACCGTCTTTTGGCTTCCCAATTTATTGAATTTGGACTGACTCAAACTGCTATAGACTTATTACGCGGCGCAAATTCAGCGCTTTGCTCGGGGCCTGGCTACTTATGCGCCGGCTTTGTGAGGGACGGGATGTAGTCTTGTTTGAGGCGGTACTATGGCCTTTGATTGTTCTTAGATAAATATAATATACGTGATACTAAGTACACTAGGTTTGGTTTCACACTTCTGCAGCTTTGACCTTGGGGTTTCACTGTTATAGTATCCATCCTAAAAGGCTTCAGGGCCAGTTCAAAGAGTGTTCGACCCTTTTTTAAAAATTGTCGACCGGCATGAACAGTGGCCGCCGTCAAAGGGTTTTCAAAGCGCCTCTTGGTTCTCGCTGGTCCAAATTTCTTTCATTATTCCGTTTCTTTATCAAAGAGTCAAAGAATACTAATCTACAGTCGATTCTCGAGTTTATAATGATTGCAAAAATATCTTTGCAGCAAAATATTGGAATCAATAACCCTGGATTAAACACATTTGTCCTTGGCCAGCTAAATAGCTGCGTCGGGTCGCATCATACGATTTGCTGATTTTGAAATGACTAGATGTTGTCTTGCACCCTCTGGATAACGGCGTACAAATCCGTTCGCTTAATCGGCTTGGTGACGAAAGTGTCCATTCCGGAACTGAAAGCTTCTTTCTGGGCCGCAAGGCTGTGAAGTCCTGTCAAAGCAGCGATGATTGTGGGCGGCAATGCCTGTCGTGCCGACTCACTCAATGCGGCCCGATGCTTTTTCTCGAGGCGGCGGATTTGTCGGGCCGCCTCAAAGCCATCCATGACGGGCATGGAGATATCTGATAGCGTCAGTTTAGCAGCAAGGGGGGTTTGAGATTAACTACAGGGATGAAGAAGGAAAGAGAGAGAGCGCTTGGACATACCAAGGATAATTACCCGGAGTTGGCCGGGATAGGCCTCATATGTGGCGACTGCCTCGGCCCCATTGCGAGCAGTCATGTACTTATAACCTCCTTTTTTCGCGTACGCACTCAATAGCTGAAGGTTAAGTTCGTTATCGTCCACTAATAGGATGGATGGATTGGGGGATTCTATGTTTCCCTGCCCCTCGTTCGAAGAAGATGGGGGTTGCAAGGTATCCCGTGAATTTAGTCTTCGACTTCCCTCGATTGACGAAGGTGAATTAATTCGAGGCTCGGGGCTCGGAATTGTGTCAGTCGTTGATCGCTTGCCAATTTTCATCCTGTCATCGGGTGCATCGTTGATATCCACGTCCAATGACAAATGAGAGGACTCTGGCATTTCCACCCAGCGAGTCGTCTCCCCAGTCGAGGAGTGGCACTCTCGACCGAGCTGTCGCTTTATGCACAGATCCAGCGCGTGGGCCAATTTTCGAGGCCCACAAGGCTGGCTAATGAATTCGAAGCTTGAGGCTTCGCCCCGATTCTCAGCCGCAACAAACATCCTGTGGGCTTCACCAGGAGACTGGCAGATGACCACAACAGGTGAGCTCCGACCATCTTCGTTGTCGAAATGTTTACAGCTGGCGAGAAGCTTTCTTCTTTCGACATCCTCAGAGTCCAGCTCCGTCTGCACAGCTATGTAGAAGTCGAAACGAAAATTTTCCCCTTCCAGAGCAGATACAGAAGTCACTTTCAAGCCAAACCACTCAGAACACAAACGCTCCAATGCCGAGTACAATGAAATATCTCTTTGAGAACGAAGAGACGATCCGAAGCCTAGGAAACCGATTGTCTTCCCTTTGGTATGTTTTTGCAGGGTATCCAATAGCGAGTCCGGCAGGTTATCCGTTTTACTTGGGTAGCGGCTGAGCGGAGCCCGTACCAACAGTTCAGTGCCAACTCCCTTGGCAGAATTGATCTCGATCGACCCCCCCAGGGACCCAATTGCCTGACGAACGATGCTCAGCCCCAGCCCGTTACCAGGTGCCATTGAATTCTCCTGCCTAAAGGGGGGTGAATAAATCATTTTGCAAGAATTCATGTTCGATGCCCTGCCCAGTGTCCCTTACGGTAAGAGTGACATCATATTCATCAACTTGCTCACCGGGCGCTTCGGTAATCGATCCCGTGTGGCTTGGGGGAGCGCGGCTTCGAGATGATTTTAATCCAAGATATATATAGCCTGAAGAAGTATACTTCAGCGCATTGCCAAAAATGTTCATCAGTATACGGCGCCAAGCACCGGCGTGTGTGAGGAAATCCCATTTCGTCTCTGGCTCTATGTCGAAGATGATCGTAATCTGACTGGCATTCGGGCCTACCTGATCGAATGCGTTCGCTGGGCTAGCCGGTCGCGTAGATGGACCAGTCAACGCTGGAGGCGGCGCATTGGATTTGGTGTAGAAGCTGTATCCGGCGTAAATGGATTCGATGACCTCCTCGAGCACCTCGTCCAACTTGACATGTGAGGACGAAGTCGCTTCACCGCGATCTTTACTTTGCACGCGACCTCCTTCTGTCGAACTGAAAGTCATCTTAGGCTGCTCGGCCTCTCGATTTCTGCTCAGGCGGGATGATTTCTTCTGATAATTGTCGATGAAATTTAAATCAAGCAGGCTGTTGATGGTATCCAAGAGAGTGCGGCCGCATGACTCAATTGTGTGTATCATGCCATATTGCATGGCATTCATAGCGGTATCACCGAGAATGTCCGCTGTACCTAGAATCCCATGGAGGGGGGGTTCGAAGCTCGTGTGTAATGCTACTGATCAAATTGGATTTGGCTTTGTCTGCCATCTCCACGTCGAGGCGACGAATTTGGGCCATAATACTGTTGGTAAAAGCGGAAATGTACACAAGTTCGTTCTCAATGGTAAAGATACGCCGAGGGTCATTTGTCCAGACCAGCGTTCCGGCAGTAATTCTGCGTTTGTCCGAGTCCCAGACAGGTAATATGAGGATGTTCCTAGCATCAGGGAAAATTCTGATCAGGTGTTCGGCATCACGTTGAAGGGTTTTTTTCTTTTTTTTTTTCTGACTTGGCTTGATGAGTGTTGCCGGTCGTTATGATTAAAATCTTCGGTAATGCCTCCGAGTTGGGAGTTTGTCGATTTCTGTGCGGAGCCGTCGCTGTAGTCTGAGAGTAATCGTTCGGCGTTGTAAGAGAAAATCTTGCCATGAGGGTATCGCTGAAGTATTGCTTTTAACAATGGCTCTTGCATCAGGATTTCTCGGCCAGCTACCGAGTCATTGTTGATACTCGATCCCCGCGAGCTCGAAAATCCCAAACATGCACATAGGGAAGTATTGTCAGGCTCCTCACTTTTGCCGCTGGGTGAAGTTCCTGAGTTAGTACTTTCGTCACTACTTAAATCTTTTGCGCCCGGGTCAGACACTCTGCTGCTCATTCCATCAACGAGGCTACCAAAGCGGGCGCTATCCGCATCAAGAAACATAACTCCCTCCGCACCAATTGACTCCCTGATCAGGTTCGCCGCTCGTGAGAAGACAATTTCGATGTTCGTGGAAAGGGAATTTTCTTGCAAATCCTCATCTGCAGGCATAATTCGGATAGATGTATTCAATTGTGTTGAATCCTTCTGAGCTTCTTGGCTGCGATCCGTGACGAAATTGCTGTTGTCGAATGGTTGCCTTGAAGCCTCGCCGTCTCTCTTTGGCAATTCCCTAAGAACCAGAGTGTTCTCATCGTTTTGTCTGGCAGATTCTTGTATATCTTGTTGTTGGATATTCAACTGGCCCTCTTTCTGCTCTCCGGTGTGTCCCGATGCAGCATGCTGTCTATTGGCCTCCCGCCATGAATCACGTAGAGTGGACTTTCCATCGACAAAGCTCCCCAAGCCCAGCATCATTCGTTCTGCCAGGGAACTCTTGCGTACACACTCGCCCATCACCAGATGCTTCATAACGGTTGCAGCCATGTCCTTCATAAAATGAAGGGAATTCTTTGGGAGACCCGACATCCTCATCTCACTGTCCATTATGCAATACGCGCCGATAGTAACACCTCGCGGGCTGACGATAGGCACAGCAGCATAAAAGCGCACGTCAGATAGTGCATAATGCAACCTGCCGGCTTTGAAACGCTCATCGTTATTCACGTCCAAAATAACTAAGGCGCTACCGTCGAATACTTCGCTGTTCTCCAGAAAATACGACGATGGCAAGCGCTCGACATGGTGGCAAAGGCCGCTCTCTTTCGGGAGCACGCAGCTTCCCAATCGTAGCCGCTCGCGGTCATTTTCAGGGATACCACCATTTAGACTCAAGGTCGGAGTAGCTTCTGCTATTACATGCTGGTGGGTACGATCGAAGAGAGATATTAAGGCCCGTTGGGTCCCTAGGCGGGTGGCACCCAGCTGGGCGAAGGAAGTCAAGGCTGAATCTTGTGACGGCTGTGGGATGAAGGTATTGCGGCTCGCGAGATCAAAAGGCGCGAATTGTGAGGTGGCATGGTCGCTAGGGATGTACCTACCTCCGTAAGAGAGCGGTCAGCTATTATTGTTTACAAAGGACATACAAAGCTCAGTCGCACTTGTGAAATTCCCGTTCCTGCGCCAATCTGTAGTTCGATTGCGCATCCTGACCTTCGTTGTCAGCCATGATGGAAAATTTGTGGAAAGAACTATGCATACAGTGCGTCCCGAAACCGGTGCAACAACTTTCACTCTTCGTGGGTTTATTTTGCCCCACTGCCAAGGGACGCTAGCTTATATCTGGAATGGAACCGGAATGTCAGTGTTCCTGTGACAGTCTCAATACCATGGCTGACTCCCATTAAAATACGATGCTTTGTCTCGTAACTGTATTTGCGATCCAAAGGAACTACATTTTCCATATCAATGCAAACAAGTTAAACACCAAAGCTTGAGTGTATGTCGCAAACCTGGCGAACTGTCACTTCCCTGTCACTCCCAAGTCCAAGTTACTGTCCGTGGGGCTTACTCACCACCAAACCAACTTGTGGATTGCATATATTGCGTACCTGCGGACTATCTATGAATCTGTTTATTATAATACTCAGCCTGTCAGCCGCAGCTCTCTCTACTTGATGCTCCCTGACACCCTTGGTGAAAGCTAACACACTGGCATGCTAACAGACTCCTCAGTGGCTTCTTCTGCCTCGGTGGCATAGTTTCCTTTCTCTTCTGCCAATCCCGCTAGGCTAGAAACGTGCGTCTCGCATACCCTTTCCACCAGATACACCAACAAAGCCCAGAAATTGTCGCGCCATGAGCGACAATCTCGCCTGGCGCACGTCTCATTCCGAAGCAGGACCCAGCATCTCGGACCACGCGTCAGCTCAATCGTCTACGATCAGTTCAGTTGGGACATACCCAGGCTCAGGCGTCTGGGCTCCAGAATATTATGGAACATATCCCTGACGACGACCGTTCGGGTTCCAACCTAGGCCATCAGCCTATGAACGCAAAGGTTCCGATCCCCCGCTCAGTCTTTCCCAGTAACTATACTACCAGTCGCCGCGTCAGTAGAGCCTGTGAGAATTGTCGCGATCAAAAGGCCAAATGCAGCGGACATCGCCCCTCCTGTCAGCGCTGTCTGGTTAGTGATGCCCGATGTTTCTACGGCGATCGGAAACGAGAAAAGACGGACAGGTGCGTTCTAGCGCTTGGTGGGATGTGTGATCGTCATCTAACTAGAATATTAGAGAGCTAAAGGATCTATCCGCACAAGTGCAAACCCATAAAAACTTACTACGAGATCTGTACCCACGCCTGGACTCGACTTCCGCGCAGCACATCGATCAGGCCTTCGGTGGTCTATTAGTCAGAGTGAGAATGCACGCCCCTGTCACGCCTCTCCCCTCTCCCCAAACCCTGACCTGAAATCTTGTTGCTTATGTTTGTTTCTTGTGTTGTATTGCCTCATTGTCTCATTTCTCCCATTAACCTATATCCCGTCTAACCATAACCAGTCCCCCGAATCTTTTGCCACTCCATCCGATGTTGGGAGAACAGGAATCCCACAGGTCACCAGGGACTACACCGACGAGGATTTTAACCGCGATGAAGCATCGCAGGCCATGGGGTTCGTTGGAGAGCACTCAGAAGTGACATGGTTGTACAGACTCAAGCGTGATCTAGATAAGGGCGCTTTCACCCCTGTCGGAGACATGCCTGATCAACCATCGGTCTCATCTCTCAATTACTTTCTAGATGACTTGGACATCCCTGTCCCTGACGATATTGACGTTTCAGTACGACCACCCCAGCAGATTGCTGATAGGCTCGTCGAAAGTTATCTCCAGACCATTCATCCCGATTTCCCCATCATCGGCAAGGAAACTTTCCTCAACCAATACCAGTCCTTCTATTCGAATCCTAACGTGCGGCCCGGCAAGCGATGGACAGCCGTGCTAAACCTCGTGTTTGCCATCGCAGCAAAACACTGCCATCTGCTTCAAAACCAATGCCAGGGGAACTATACTGACCACTTGGCCTACTTTGCTCGGGCATGGCGGTTAAATATTGGCAGCGTCGGGTTGTTAGACCATCCAAACCTACAACAAGTGCAGGTAGAGGGTCTAGCTGCATTTTACCTCTTGTCGACGGGGCAGGTTAACAGGTGTGTCCACCTTGATAGTTCTTTAAAGATGTTTTTCTTTTTCTTTTGGTGGTGGCTTGCCTAATCAGCTCTCTATTAGATCCTGGCAGATCCTTGGGATAGCGATTCGCTCAGCGGTGGCAATGGGACTCAATCTCCGTAGTGAGACGGACAGTGTCGCCCATCTATCAAGGGAAACTCGATACCGCGTGTGGTGGGCATTGTTTGCGTTGGATACTGTGCTATACGTGATGACGGGGCGACCCCCCAGCACCGGCGGCATCTTTTGCACTACGCCACTCCCCGTTCCATATCGTGAAGAGGACTTCTGGAATGAAGGAGTAACTCAGCTTATCACCAACCACGAAGCCCGGAGCAATTTGTTAGCATCTCTCCTCACCTCCAGCAAACCCACCACCCATGGGTCTAGCGTGGCCTCTTCAATAACCCTGTCGTCAAGCACGGGCACCGAGCAAACGCCCCAGTCGATAAAGGAAACCCCATCACCGAATATATCCCTTTATTTCCTTTATGTGGTGGATTTGGCGATGTTAACGCGGGAGGCAATTGAAACCTTGTACGCACCCGGGGCGGGAATACGGCGATCGTGGTTGGAGATGGAAATGGCAATCTCTAATTTCAACACTACTGCTGACAATTGGCTCTCACGTCTGCCAGCGGAGTTTCGATTCGGCGAGTTCGACAGTACCCGTCCTTACATCCGCCACCGCATCAGTCTAGCTTTCCGCTTCTATACCACTAAGCTCGTTATCTCGCAGCCGTGTCTCCGCCGTCTCGCCCATCAAGTCTCCGGCACACCTTCCCACAGCTCCGAGTGCGATGTAATAGCAACAATATGCGTGGAAGCTGCGCAGCAGATGTTAGATATCCTGCCTGAGGAACCCGACATTAATTGGCTATACGAGATGTTGCCCTGGTGGTGTTTTCTCCACTACATCATGCAATCCACAACAGTTATACTGGTTGATCTCTTCACCAGGACTCTGCCCGGGACAACCGAGGCTACCGGACTCACGGAGAAAGTCCAGAAGGCTGTCCGCTGGCTCTACGCCATGTCGGACAGAGACCCTTCTGCACATCGAGCCTGGCTTGTCTGTATGGACATCATTTCTCGTCATGGGCTAAGATTCTCCATTTTTCCTGATAATTGACGTCGACTGCTAGGCCCTGGGAGCCACTCCCGCCTTTCCGCTCCCCGTGGAATCGGATTCCGAACCAACGTATTGGGTTCTATTATCAAAACTAAACTATGCCATCATGCTCCATTTTACTTTCGACGCCCTGCCTTGGTTTTGAATTTATGGGTCATACTCATGCTGGTTGCCCTTTGGATGTTGCCCTTTGGATGCATATATTGATTCCTTTCCTCATCATCTCCCTTCACTTCTAGTCTGTGTTGCTTTAGTCGAACATGACTTCCACCATTGTTCGGACACCTTTTGCTTTGGCGTGCTGGTCTTTTGTAAATTAGGTTGGTGGGCTGGTGTGTAGCTGTCCCTTGGCTTGTTTACTGCCGAGTTCTAGGTATTCCTCTGCTACTCCTTTCGTACTGTTGGACTCTTCTTTTCCACTCGAAAATGTTGCACATTCTAGCGTATTGTTCAGCGATAGTGCGAAGATACCATTTCGACTGCTCTTTCAAACAATACCAGACAAGTAGAGAAAGACCATTAATCCCCATACATGCGTGCGTGGCTGACGAGATAAAAACTAACACATCGACGATGACCCCACTAATTATCGCAATCATCAATCCTGGAAGATCTTTACAATATCTTTACCCTGCGCAGTTGGTTCCTGCCGACTATATGCTGATACCGAAAATCGGCATTCCGACAGTTCACGATAATCTCTCCTATAATATACTACTGTATTGGGGTTCCGAACACCTAGCTCGCTCGACTCAGCTCAAGAGTGAAGCTAGCACTGAAACAGTGGGCCCCAAGGTGACTCAGCTTGAAAGCTGGGGCTATGATTGGCTCTGCAGGGAAGCAAGATATGCAAGTCACTAGTTGCAATATTTGTTGGCGAGTAAATCCCCCGGACTGTTACTTGGACATCGGAGTGAGGGAAGTGACAGTTCGCCAGGATCGCGAGGCACTCTCCAGCTTTGGTGTTTGACTTGTTTGTAGTCCCTTTGGATCGCCAATACAGTTACGAGACAACACATCGTATTTTAATGGGGGTCAGTCACGGTATTGAGTCTGATACAGGAATATTAATATTCCGAGGCTATTCCCAATACAGACTAGCGTCCCTTGGCAGCGGGGCTAGAGAATCACTCTTCGAGTGAAGGTTGTTGCACCGGTTTTGGGACGTACTGTACCGCGGTAGACAACGGAGCGCATAGGCAGTAATTTAGTCAGATCCGAACATCCTGGCCAGTTCCATTGTACTGCATCGATTTCCAAGGCACTAGCCAACCACAACGCCATATCGAGAATTGAAAAACGACAAAGAACGCCACTATGTGAAAAAGCAGGTTCTGAGAATTTTGTCGGCTATGACGACGGGCATGTTCACCGCTTTCGGATTCGACGAATCATTTACTAGGGTTAAGAGACCTCGACTACTACAGGAGCGACACGGCTATGAGTGAACTAGTGCTTAAGTTTAAGCTTCTTGAGCCCAGGATATTAGATATCATTTTTCTTCTCACCTCGACCTTCTCCTTCAGGATAATACTTGTGGTCGTTCGGCCTAGATGTCAAATTCCATTCTGGGCATACGCAGATACAGTCGACTCTCATGAGCAACTCCCCGCGCCATCCATCGAAATAATGTTGCACACCCCCAACGTATGCAGCATCTCATGTGTGGGGGGGTTATTGATACTATATTGTGTGCCTGAACCCAGCTCTCTTGTCACATCCAGATTCATCACATAAACCAAATGATACGACAAAGTTTTCGTAAATGACCATTACGCTCCTCTGCATGCTGCCGGCCGTCTTTTCAGACCAACCCTTGGCCACCAGGGCTCGTCTAATGCTAGAGATTGTGACCATCGTGCGAAACTCATCCCAGAGGAAGAAAGCCATCTCATCAAGGTACGGGCCCGGTTTTTCCGACAGGTGGTCGCAGAGCGCGTCGATCATGCGCGGATTTACGGTTGGTTTCCCACCTATGCGAGTAAGGGTGCGTGGATGCTGCCGAAATGTCGCTGGTTTCTGCGAATATTTATGACCGTGACCTTGCTGCATTTAGCTACTGTAGTAATCTCTGCTATCCAATAATATTTGAAGCCGGAGCATGATGATAAGCAATGGTGGAGATCCCGAAATTGAACCTTATTGTTGAGACTTGCCTAAAACCTTGACCCCACCTGGACCCCCAGGATGCATCAAGCGCTGCAGTAGAGCAACAGCAAGATGCAGCAGGGAGAAGTTGGCACTATGCCAGGTATGTTGCTTTGTTTGCGGTGTTTGCTACATTTGTTTAGAATACTCTAGAAGCTCCAGGCCTCTAAATCTAGGCTTTTGTATCTGTGTTACAAGGAATAAAACGGGATTGGTACTATTACTGGTATGCACAAGACGTGTTATCTGCAGATATACGTGATTGGGGTTTGAAAGAGCATCTCCATGTTCGCGACATGGAAACCGATGGCGGGAGCTTCTGTGAGCTTTTAAGTTTATTCAGTTAAGTAATGTTCCTTTCCCTAGTATATTTACATGAATAAAAATCATAAATCATAAATCCTCCTTTTCAAAGAGCGGCCACATATCTGGCTCGTTATGAGGTTTCATCTGATCCAACTGCCCCTGCAAGTCCTCATTTCCTTGCAGCAGAGCACTGACGTATTTTGCCGTCTCATCGAGTATATACTTTCTCGTGAAATTATGGTTCTTCAGTCCAGGGACCAAGTCAGATAGATCCTGATACCCTCGCGTGACAGCTTCCCTCCTCTTCTTTTCCGATCGACAGTGACATAATTGTTGCCCAGGCTTTTGAACACACTTCCGCTTCTTCTTTGGTGGTGCGGGCTCCTCCTGCCTCGCCGGTCGCTTTTCTTCTTTGATCATTTCCGGCGGGCTACTTGCGTCGAGCGACGTTGCCGTCGACAGGGAGGCAGATCTTAACGAGGGTGTTTTTGTTGGGATATCGGTTTGTAGGTTGTTAGAAAGGTCGTATCTGTTCAAGCGAATGATATCCGGCTGTTCCGAGAGGAAGTTTGGTGTGTGCGTGGAGAAATCGAATTCGTAGCCAAAGTCGACGGTGACACTATTGGCGGCATGTATCATGTTGCGCATCAAGTTCTGAGTTACACGTTCCTCAGTCCAAGTTCCGATCGGATTAGAGAATCCATGATAGCAGAAGCTGGGGTCGGATCCCCACTGTAAGCCGGTCTCCAGGGGCCAGCGCTTTTGCTCTTTGGTGTCGGGTGGGCAGCATGCTTCGTTTTCATGGGTGTAATCGCGGGTCTGATGTTCGGTGTGCATTGGTGATGGTGTTTCAGGAGATATATCGTGGACGTAAAATAGTTTTTCTCAGGGTGTGCATGTATTTCTGCATTTGTGAGGGTGTGAAAGAAGTTGAATCCGGGGGGAGAGCAGGGGTCGCGGTTGTCTTTCACAAATGATCAGCTCCTGAAAGGGCGCCAAGTGGCATGAGATGACATATGAAAGTGGCACGGGGTCTAGCGTTGGAACTAAAGTTTTGTTGAGAAAGAAATGACTTATGATAGGAGATCCAAAATCTTACTTGGGTGAGCTTGCGAGGAGGCCCCAGTAATACTACGTCAACACCGGATCGCACCCGGGCGGCTTGCAAAATGGACCGGGTGCATCCCGGAGGAAACCTCCTGACCATATTTGCTCGGGATATTTTCTGTCGTACAATCGCCATGCACAAGAAGCTTATTTGTGTCTCGAGTAGAGCCTCTCAGAAAATTATCCTTGGATTTTTGAGGTTCAAAAAAGGGAACTCGATCGCGTGAGACTCTTTTAGGTCTGGATATAAACACGTGACGTATCCGGGTGCATTCCGGGCGTCGTTCGATACGCACGTCTTTCCTTTCTCCACACTCCGCCGGCCAGACGACGATCTTCACAATGAGGGCCTAAACCTTGGAAAACAGATCCATATATTTTTCAGGCAGCTGGATTCGTGTTCCCCAACATTCCGGGGCTACAGAAATCGCATGATCGGCCCCGGGCGATCCTTGGCTGTGCAACTAATGGTTGTCCCGGTCCCGAATGGCAGGGCATTCATACTTGAGCCTCGACCTTGAGCCTCGGTGACCTAAGCCAAAATGTCTTCGCGAAGAAGAACAATCAAAAAAGAGACCCCGCAGCGCCGCAAGATCGCTTTAGCATGTGAATCATGCAGGGACAAAAAGGTCCGATGCGACGGGGCGAAGCCGATCTGTGGGCCATGTGCTCGACGGGCGTATCCGATAGACCGGTGCGTATACAAGATTGAGAATGCTCGGTCAGCAAGCAATAATGCTTATCTCAAGGTGCTGCACAAACGCATCCGAGAATTAGAGAATATTTGCGCACAAAATGGAGTTGCTGTCCCGGCCCGAATCCCTGATGATGAGGAGAGGGGATCTGATGATGGCCAAGAGAGACAACCTAGTGCAGACACGCTGGACCATGAGTCTAGAACATCTGTGGCCGTGGAGGGTCTGCTAGGCCTAGGCTCCAATACCGAAATACTCAATCAGCTACGTCCCTCTACGGTACCCACGGTGCCGCAAATGGGTGCTCAGCTGAGACATCGGCCTTCTATACCATCGACACATTCAAGCCTGGGACATCCAGATGCTGATCCAATCTCACCTCATCGATCACTTGCTCCTTATGAAACTGGGAGGGCATCTTCGGCAAATCCATTTCCTTCCCCGTCTATCAATTCCCATAATGTCACAGCCATGGGAGCAATATCTGTGGGAGAAGATGGGGAGAGTAACGAGTCACCCAGGGAGCAATACTACGGTAACTCTTCTGTAGCTTCCTTTATGCGCCTTGCAAAGGACTCAATGCCAATACGATCTTACCTTCAAACCCTCAAACAGATGGAAGGCAGCACGCCGAGTGGTTCTTCTTACCGGGACACAGGGCTGTGGCGAGACTGCCTGACGCCAACGCTGGGACTACAATTCGATGATTTTTCACTGCCTCCTCGCCCCCTGGCGGACCACCTTTTGGAATGCTATTGGAACCGAGTGCATTGTCTATATCCCTTTTTCCATCGACCAAGTTTTGAGCAAGCTTATGAGAATCTGTGGGGATCTAGCAAATGGCCCAAGCCTCAGCTGCCAGAACTAAACATTGGCCTTGGTGGCTCATTTGATTCTGGTCATCAGTCAATTGTCTTTCATTGTGCACTGAACGCTATCTTCGGCTTAAGTTGCCATTTTTCTGACATACCTGCCGCTGAGCGCGAGGCAGCCGCATACTCATTTTTTCTCCGATCGAAGCGGTTCGTCGGTCTTGACCTCCTAGACATAGGTACTATCGGCGTTGTACAGACACTCCTCATTATCTCCCTTCTTTTACAAAGCACACCCTATCCTAATAGATGTTGGAATGCGATCGGGCTTGCTTGTCGGGTGGCCCAAGGACTGGGCCTGCATGAAACTGCAACGCAGCAATCCATCAACCCCTTGGAGCAAGAAACCAGGCGCCGTACCTGGCACGGATGTGTGATCATGGATATGTATGAGCCTCCAATCCGCCTAATTTTCAGTTTCGTATCTGACATTGAAACCTAGGATCGTGAGTATGACTTACGGTCGCCCAAGCATGACATCTCATATTTCACCTGCTTCTCCCCCGGTCATGAAACCCGACCTGCAGTCCGATGACCCTTGTGCACTTGCCGGGCAACCTTGCGATCATAAATCGGGTTACATGACATTCTATGTCTCCACAATTGAGCTTTACAAAATTCTCGAAGCTATCCTGTCCGACATATACAATGCATGGCAAAGTCGATCGAACCACCATCGACCCTTGTCTCATCGGGGAACGAAGCATAGCAGCCTTGATGTCATTATGGAACTCGACGACAAGCTTTCCACATACGAAGCCAACATTCCCCCCGTACTTAACTGGACGGGTATACACCCACCACTCAGCCCAAATAGCCATCAAGATCCAATCTTCAAACGCCAGCGTAACGTCTTGCGAGCAAGGTATTCACAGCCCTTCCTTCCCGGTAGAAAGCTACAACAAAATAACCTAATCAACTATACCAGATTTATACATCTTCGTCTTCTCCTTTATCGCCCCATGTTCACACAACTCTGCTCTGACGATCGCATGGACTTCGCTCGGCAGACAGGTTCAGGCTCGGACTCGGAAAAACCCACGATCGGACTGGAGAAAAATGTCATTTACAATTCCATGTCTGTAAATTGTGCAGCTGCTTGTGTCAGGGCAGCTGTGGAACTGGTGTCACATGTCCACGCCACGTACAGGACATCATTAACAGACGCGTGGTGGTATAATGGCTTTTGTATGTCCTTCCCTTGACCCTGCCCTGGCAAGAATTCACCTTCTAATGTACGAACCACAGATACATCGACTGCAGGATTCGTTCTGATCATGTCGTATTCGTGTCGCTCTATCCTCGACCAGATCGACGTGCATGCCGTGGACGAGACATGGCGGAAATGCGAGGAGGTTCTGACAACAATGTCCTCATTCAGTCTCTCTGCCCGCAATTCGCTACAGTTCCTGCAGGTTACGCACCAACATATTGTTCAGAATTATACAGGTAATGGAAACCACCGCCTCGATTTTTCTTCGATTATTTAGAATGGCTGTCTAATACAGATACAGGTGCCCCCCGTAACGATGATAACGCTTTTGCCCCGAACCAAGTACACAGAAGTAACAAAAATGCCGATCGGTCAGATGTAACTTCTCATCTTGCCGAGGGAATTTCAGAAGAGTCTGGAGTGCGTGACTCTGAGTCCACTGGTCCAGCCATTAATCCGTTCATGAGTTGGGATGAAATGGGTCTTGGTCAGGAGGATCTGGGATTTTTGGGCAGATTTGATCTTCCTGATCTTGCGACCTGGTTTTCTGACGTGCCAGATATGTTATCATGATACTGTGCATCAGGCATAGCACAGGGGTTCTTAAATGATAGGGAAGAGAACTACCTCTTTATTTGAATTACACATCTCACTTCTCATCATAATGCATCAAAAAGAGTAGAATCAGCACCATTCCAGAACGTTCCGGACAAGCTCTCTAGTGTCTCAAAATCCGGCATCCACAACGGATCGCTCTGGTTCTGGTCAATCCACGGTGCAAGTTGCAACGCCATCCTAACGGCATGGTCACTATCATCGTCGGGATAGACCTGTGTCCCAAAGCCGGCGGTATCTGGCGCTAACCCGGTCGGGTTTTCCGCGGGGAGCCTTTCCCCACTTGACATTCCGGGAAAAGTAGGGTTTAGAGACGCACCACCATGTTGTGCTGTCATGAGCTCAGCCATACCTGCGTTCCGAGCAGTTTCGTTGCCTTGCAGCTTCTCCATGGCTGCATTAACGAGGAGCTCGAATGCATCGCGGTATTTCTTTACCCAGGCCGCTCTTTCACCCATGACGAAGAGCACTGTTGAACAGGCCCGGATATCATTACTCATGCGGACAGTCCAAACTTGATCTGTGTGTGTCCATAACGCGTATAGGAGAGTGATACCAGCCATGAAGACGGTTTGTACGGCGAGGAATGAGTGGCCGTATTCAAGGGTTTGGTGGAGACGTTTGTGGGACTGACAGATTTCCCCTGCGGCCTCGAGACAGATCTTGTAGTATGGGTCTGTGATCGGGAGAAGAGGGAGGAACGGTTGAATTAGGAGCCGAACGGCGCGGTTGTAGTGAAGCATAGGATAGTCGAGATCCGAGCCAGAGAATCGGAGGAGAGCGGACTCTTTCCATTCTTCAAGCTCGAGGTATAAGGGGTCCATTTTGAGGCGGAGGGAGGAGAGCGGTCTGTCGGCGCGGTATATCTTATGTTGAATTCGGGAGTCGATGCGGCGGAGTTTGAAGAGGTAGATTGCAAATGTGAGAGTGGTTGTCTTTCCCGGTACTTGCGATGCGGTTAGAAGGGCGGGATCTTGGATGTCATCATCCACGTCTATTGGTAAATCGAGGTCGATGTGGCGGTCGGAGATACTAAAAGGACGTCCAAGAGACATCGAGACCACCCTTTCTAAATAGTAGACTGTCCAGAATAGTCTCCTTCGCATCTGAGTGGTGAATGGATCCATGTTAATTTCGTTTGCCTTTCGGTGGAGACCGAGATCAATAGCTGTACGCATTGCCAGCCCGATCATGTACCACATGCCATGGCTAGAGGCAGTACGGAGGTGGTATACAACGAGGAGAAGCATTGCCTCGATGTTCTCAATAGAGCGAGCGTCGCACATTGTGGGCACATACTGTAGCGCAGATGTATAAAATCGCTATCAATTCCAAGGTTGTTAGTCATAAAGAGCTTGAATGTGGCCGAAGTTGCGGCATTTGGATTGTACCTCTGGTGCGGTGTATGCATATTTGTACTTCTCACTAAATTGAAGCATCGTTGCGCCAATAGCGTAAACCAGATTCAGTTTAAAGATTGCAAATCGATCCGATCTCGTGAGATCTCCACGTTTTGTCTTTGCTAACCGCCAACGTTCTTCGTGAAGAGTCCATATCTGCTTGCGGTCCAAAAATGGATAACGAGAGTGCAGTCTTATGAAATAAGTTTCTAGCATCCTATTTCCCATTTCTTCTGTTGGCGGTTCGGGCAAAAGCTCGTCTGCTCTTTTACATCGGTCTCGCATTCGAGGGCCACCGGCCGGAGGGGTTGCCGCAGGACTCAACCCGCGATTATTTTGCGGGTTGCTATTTATTGCTGAGCTTTGCTGGGGCTGCATCCGTGAAATAAACTGATTCCAGACGCTTGTTTGTACCATTTCACCCAAGTTGGCGGCTAGGGACAGACCGGAGCTTGAGCCCACATAGGCGGGTGCTTCGGATGAACTCAAGGCAAGGAGTCCCACAATCTCTCCTACTGGGTTATTATCCAGGCCAGAGGCCGTTGTTTGTGGTGTTGTGTGACTACCCTGCGGAGACCAAACAGAGGCTGGTACATTTGGGGCTGCATTGTGGCTGGAGGACGATGGGTCAGGCTGGACCAGCTTGCCCTCGAGGAATGCCACTCTTTCTTCCAGTGCACGTGTGTAGCTTGGGTATCTCATTAGCAATTAAACCCTGTCAGTCTCGTTCTTGTTCATTCCCAACTCACTCGTTCTGACGGTCTGCATCTTCGCGCACGCTCGACTTGTCGCACGTGACCCCTGCTTTCCGACAGTTTGAGCAGGTCGGATATTCGTTGTCGCACTGCACCGAAATTATCAGCTATTGGTTTGGTCTATTCCAGGGCCAGGGTGCTTAGCAAACCTTTTGTTTCCTAGTCTTGCAGCGTGTGCAGGCTGTTCGTCCGCGCTTGCGGGGATTGAAGTCCTTCGAAGCAGGACTGGTCTGCCTGGATGACTCCGGGCTAGGGCCGACAGGATACATAATGTCGCATTGTCTAGATGTGAGAGGCCCAATCTTTTTTCAGTCGGGACAGACAAACTTCGCTGGGCTGAGAGTATCTCAATGTGGCAACGGCAATGATGGAAGCCCTGGAGGTTTGAAGCGGCGACGTTGGAAATGCGGAGAGCGCCAAGACAAACAGCAACCATCAGCCAAAATAAAATGAATAATCACCATGCTTATAAATATCATATAGAGAACATTAGTATTCGCCTACCTTTGATCAGGTAAATTATTTATGTAGAGCCAATCAATATCGTATTATTCTATATTCAAATGCGGTTTTAGGTGTAAACTAATACTATGCGCTTTTATGGTATCGAACGCTGTGTAACTATCAAATGATGGAAGAAAAGCAACAGAACTTCAAGCAATAAAACATACGACAACCAATACGCAGGTGCATGTTTCTCTTTTGTCTTAATTTTGGTCCGGGTTAATTTTCTCGTCCCGCCCGGCGAGGGACTCAGCACGAGATGGATGCAGCGTATGAGAGTCGGCTGCAGAAGTCATGGAGTTCTGCCTTGTCATTACCTCCTCGCCCTGGTGGACTTCATTTCCTTTGGGTTGCTGATCTGTAAGGGAAGCCTCTGCATCTCGCTCGGCCTCGACCTTTCGCTTCTCCTCTTCAATCTCCTCGGGTGACTTGACGCGTTCGAGGCCACGGTCACGAATGAACGCACATGCAAGGAAGCACACCCCGATAAGAGGAACCTGGAGAATAAAGACAGAATGGGAGGCCTTGCTATAAGCAAGCAGGATTTGTGCCCATTGAGTATCAGTGAGACTGGATCGCGAAGGGAGCGAATAGGTGGACTCGGTCAGATAGGAAAATTCGGCAGGAAGTTGTGAGCGCAGAGTAGCCTGCAAAATGGCGGCGGAGATAGCGAGACCGCATGCTCCCCCCATGCATCGGAAGAAATTGCGGTTGGAGATGGATATGGCGCGATGCGACTTGGTACAGTGCGCCTGCAAAGCGACGAGTGTGGGTTGAAAGGTGAAACCAATCCCGATACCAGTGATCCCAACGCAGACAGCGATGACAGCCGGGTGTGTTTTGTCGTCGAAGCGAAGCATGAGGCCAGCTCCTCTATGGTGGCTATTAGAGCATATTCGAGAATAGTATTGTTCCAGTGAATGGGCACTCACAAAGTCCAGAGACCAAACCCCATCCATATGATTTCTCCATAACGCTTTAGTCGGGAAATATACTGGCCAGAGCAGATAGAGGCAATAGCCTGGCAGGCCACCATCGGCGAGGTCAAAGCAGCGGATACGATGGGAGACCAGCCACGGGCATTCTGGTAGTAGAGCGGTAGGTAGTAGAGGTACGCTTGATACACTGCCCCGAGAAGGAAACTCTGTAAGAACAGGGCAGTGATGACTTTGCTTTTGAAAAAGACAACTACATTGGTGTCAGCGGGGCCATTCAAATCAAGAGGGTCTTATAACGTACCTGGCAGCATTGGCAATGTTGCCACCTTCCATTCAATGAAAGCAAAAGCGACGAATGCACAGCCTCCGATGACAAGCATTGCTATCACCATCGGCGAATCCCACGGAAAGTAGGACCCTCCTCCCGAGACGGGAATCAAAACAAAGATAATTCCGATAGATGATGCCAGGACACCGAACCAGTCAATTCGATATAAATTCTGGCGAAAGTCGCCCTTTTTGGCGTTATTCGGGATCAGAAAATATCCCACAATAGCTGAAATCGCTGCCAGAGGCGAGATCAACCAGAAAAAGCCACGCCATGTTGATCGCTCAATAAATGCTGCGGCAATGAAAGGACCCATGATATTTCCCACGCCAAGTGACGCGCCGAGTATGCCTTGGTACTTTCCTCGCTGCTCGAGGGTGACGACGTCTGACACAATGATCATTGTTAATGAAGCAACGCCCCCACCTGCCACACCTGCCAATCCTCGAAAAACGTAGAACATGGCTGGGTTTTGCGATAAGCCACACAACAAATCTGCTATGCACAGCAACACTAGCGCCGATATGTAGACAACCTTGCGTCCAAAAATATCCGACAGCCGGCCATATAGGACCGTGAACATGGTATTCGCGATCAATGAGGAGGTTCCCGCCCAGGAAATAGTGTCCTGGGCGCCCCAAATCCCGTGCGATTGTGGGTAATGTGACGCTGATACCATTCTGATCCATGCACATAATAAGTAGGGAGGTAGCTAAGCCAGTGAAAACAACCATGAGCTGGGCGAATGGGAGAATGTTTGTTTGGTCGTGCAAGGCCTTTTCGGCCTCGCGTTGTCGATTCATGATTGAAAGTTTGGCCCTATTGTCGGCGATCCTGGTAGGTTGGCTTCAGATATCCAGTGCTGTGGCAGATTCCAAACACGCGAAAGAATCCACAAAAGACCTTCGAGACGGAACGTAGCGAATGAATGTTGAAGGTGGAGCTCAAAGATCTCTGCATACAGCTCCGATGGGCGAGGTAGGCGAGAATTGCATTACTTCGTAGTGGGAATCTGTTCGAATAAGAGAAATTGAGATTTGAAGAAAATAATTCCCGTCATGTTGCAGTCACCAGTGGCATCCGGCACATCGGCAACTCGTTCTTAGTCTCAATTGGAGATTCGCGCCGCTCAACAGGATTTGAGTCGGATATGCCTCCGATGCGGGCAAAAAGCCCCTGCATCTTGTCCCAAATCTGCACCGGTGGACTACAGGCCAGCCGCCGTCGGTTTAATTCCGCGTCATCTCCGATATGGTTGGCGCGCCAAAAACACCGAAGTGGAGTCGCCACTTCGGACCTCCGGTCGGACATCCGCATTGAGTCATTACGGAATAATTCTCACGCGACAATGAAAAGGACCTTTTAACTACATTCTAGATTGTTGTTGGCAAAGGGTGAATTGAAATGTGCTTAGCAGTGCCTAACTATATGCGATGCTATTGCTGAACGAGCAAAAAGCCATGGATCTACTAAAGCACCGAAGTACTCATACTCATCATTGTCAATTTCTCGGCAGGGAGATAGCAGCTACTAGCACTTCTTAGTAATTAGGAGATGGAAAGCGAAGCGGTGTAAGATGAGACATTTGTGTTGATTCTCTCATTTGACCACGACCATGCGTTGCGGGCCACGCGAACAATGCGTCGGAGCATCCGATATGCCCAATCTAGATCTTCGGACCTCACAGATCAAACTTCGATCCTACTAGCTCTTCGCTCAATTGAAAGAGTCTCTCAGCGGCATCCATATTTACCGCATGGGGTGCAGTTTTGGCGAATTGACAATCACTTAGATATATAGCCGATGGTTCGGAGACCTCTATTGCGTTATTAGCAGTGGATATAGTTATCTAGGGATCTTCCTTCCAACTTGAAGGTCTAGAACCTTGGAACATACCTGTCAAAGCGGGGTCAAATGCAGCTACAAGCATTGTAGCTCCACCTTGATCTGCTGATTTCCAGACATTGCTGGTCTTCGACATCGTATCATGGCCGGCATCATCAAGGCCCCGACTTAAGCCAGTCCATATAGCTATATATTTATCAGCATCGGAGGGAATGGAATCTACGGATTAAGCTATTCCAAGGTTTAACTCACAGCCAGGGTGTACACTGTACGAAACAATCCCGGCAGTGGCTAGGTGTCTTGTCAGATAAACCGTGAAGAGGATATTGGCCGCTTTGGACTGTCCATATGCTAGCCATCCATTATACCCATCGGCCGTGGGGCTAAACATGGGCGGCAAGCCATCCGGGGGTCTTTCATCAACAGGGATTTCTTTGCCCTCAAAGTTATAATCATGGAACCGAATAGGAGATAGTCGATGACCGGCACTAGTCACGTTGACGACGCGAGTGGATCCCCTGCCAGAAGCTTTCGCAGCATTCTTCAGTTGGGTCATGAGCAAATTTGTAAAGAGAAAGTGTCCGATATGGTTTGTCCCAAACTGCATCTCGATTCCCTCTTCTGTTGTCTCGCGGTCAAGTACCATCATTCCGGCATTGTTGATTAAGGTGTCGATTCGATCGACTAGACCCTGGATTTTCGATGCCGCCGCACGAATTGATTTCTGAGAGGCGAGATTCAAGGCAATCACCACTATGGAAATATCTGGATTCTGTTCTCGGACAGTCTTGGCCACCTCTTCGACTTTAGTCTCTGTGCGCGAGGCAAGAATCAGGTTCGCCGGATTTTGTTTTCCTATGGCAAGAGCGAGTGCTTCGCCCAGACTATTGGGACCAACGCCCGTAATGATGACTAGGGTAAATTTTATTAATTTTCATGTCCTGAAGAGGCTAATTCATTCGGTGCTTACCATTTTTGCCTCGGATATTGCTCGCGAAGGTCTCCGCGACTTCTGTCGCGGTGGTTTTCTCATTGAATTCAGGGTGTGAGGTAGCCATCTTGCTGTTTCTATCTTCTGTAACTGGTAATAACCTTTTCTGCCATATTTCATGGGATTATAATGGTATTATAATGGCATCTATATCTTTTCTTTTTCCAAAAGAGATATATTCCCTATTGAGAGACCCCGCAAGGAGCTGCCAAGCCCATTCAAAAGCCCCACAAGCTGCAACGCTCTTCTCCCCGGTGCATGTGAGGTCGAAACGGCATATGCTATCTGGTATTCAAGCAATTGAATATGGTGAATGGCACTAGTATTTGCGGGGGTGCGGGGTGTTATGCATCAAAGGCCACAAGGTGGCTTTGCCCCCATAGCCCCGCAGAACGATGCTCCACATCATCTACTTCGGCTACAATGCAGAAGATTTATTGGCGTTTGAACTCGGTAAAGATGGCCGGAGCCCTTACCTCTGAGCGCTTTTGGTATAGTGTCCGGCAGTTGCGATTTTTCCAGTCCCGCCTGAAGTTGGGGTTATTCCAGTCGACTGGAGGAAGATCATTACGCTATCATCCAATTTAAAGTCCGGATGTGCGGCTTATCGCAAGACAGTCTCTGTTCATACTCAGCGATCAATAATCACATAATTTCCAACAGATTGATCACATATCATGGAGACCTCAAAACCTCCAAGCGAAGTAGGATCGGAGCCTTCTGGCATCAAGGTGATCGTTGTCGGGGCGGGTATGAGCTTTTACGGTGTTCTTGGCGACAATTTCTAACTTGGGTAAAGGTTTCGGTGGTCTAACCGCTGCAATTGAATGCCATCGACAAGGGCATGATGTGGAAATATATGAGTCATTTCCTGGTTAGTCTGGTCGACCTGCATTGAGAAAGATCGCGCTTTAACAGATTTTGGTATTTGCAGAACTTAAATCACTTGGCGACATCATCTCTTTCGGACCTAATGCTGGTCGCATATTCCGCCGTTGGTCAAATGGAAAGATTGCGGATCGTTTGAAGCCCCTCAGTATTGACCTAGAAGGTCATGGCTTTAAGATCCACAAATGGACCGGCGAGCTGGTTCATACACAGAAAGCACATAACCCGGACCCAGATGCACCGGTTTTCAACGGTCATCGTGGTGAGCTGCACACGGTGGTTTTCAATTATGCCAAGGACGAGCTCGGTATTCCAATCCATCTCGGCCAGAGAGTTCTGGAATATTTTGAGGATGAGAATCAAGCAGGTATAGTTCTGGAAAGTGGAATAAAGGTGCGGCCATACAGACCCCTAAAGTATGGCCATTTTGACTCATTCCATTAGGTCATCGGCGATATGGTTATCGGTGCAGATGGTGTGCGCTCCAAAGCACGCGAGTTGGTATTGGGCTATGTTGATAAGCCCAAGTCAAGTGGATACGCCGTTTTCAGAGCATGGTTTGTTGTAACTGAGACCAATTTCTTTTTTTTCAATACTGACCTTTATCATTCTCAAAGGTTCTCTAATGAAGATATGATTCGGGATCCACGAACGAAGCATTTTTGCGAGAACGGAGACACATTCAATGGTTGGATTGGCCCGGATGTACACTTTTTGTTTTCCACTATCAAGAATGGACAAGACTGTTGTTGGGTTTTAACGCACAAAGTGAGTTGTTTATCTGTCTGGGCCGTAGAAAGTCATTAACAGAGTGAAATTTCAGGATGACGCCGACATTGAAGAGTCATGGTCTTTCCCAGGCAAGCTAGAGGATGTATACAAAGTTATTGAAGGATGGGACCCGATTTGCAAGGCAATTGTTGAGAAGACTCCTTCGATAGTTGACTGGAAGCTTGTTTATCGCGATCCACTACCACGTTGGGTGAGTGAACACGGACGCATTGCGTTGCTTGGAGACTCCGCACATCCGTTCCTCCCAACCTCAGCGCAAGGAGCAACGCAAGCAATGGAAGATGGAGTAGTCCTGGCCGTATGTCTGAAGCGCGGTGGAAAAAATGGTGTGCCAGCTTCCGTTAGAGCGTATCAGGATATTCGGTATGAACGAGTCTGTGCTGTCCAGAAGACAGGCGAGACTACCCGCGACCTGTGGCATAAGGCAGACTGGGAAAAGGTGGCAAAGGATCCTGCGTCAATCCAGATGCCTCGTGAGGATTGGATTTTCCGATTTGATGCGGAAAGAAATGCGGAAGAGGTTTTTTCTAAGGTTGTTGAGGTGAACTGAACTTTTTTACTCCGGACCCGAGTGCTTTCCCAGGTTTCCGCCCATTTCACGATTTTATATTATACATCAGGTGCAAGAATCAAGTTCCAGACCACATTTTAATCGCCTTCTACTTGCTCGTAAATCATAACTCAATATGGGCTATCAGAAGGATCAATTAGTACTAAGTTAAGTATGAGTAGAGAGCTTAATAGCTTGGGATAAAGTCGAGGGCTGACCGAGCATTTTCCTTGTTAAGATAGATATTCAGGGTCTTTACTTGGTGTACCAAAAGGTGTTGATATGAAATCCGATAAATGAAGTAAGAATTACTAGTATGTCTCGACATATTGGAATATCTTGACTTATAGATAACCGTAGAGATATATCGTATCCATGGTCCATCGGTATTTCTTTGTCAAAATCCATATTCATAGGTGGTCCTCCAATGAACGACAGAAAGTAACTTCATCGAGCCTTGCACAATAGTCGCTACTCGCAGCAAACCCGGTGGCAATACCCTGTCGGCTTCACTTATTCTTTTTGATGTAGTCGGCGATTCTGGGTCTTTTCTCAAAGACCGCCTCGAGCTTAGCTAGAGCCTCTGGCAGGACCGACTAAAAGCACCATAGTTAGCAAGCGGTTTAGATCAAAAGCCAAAGTTGTCATACCGGAAGCGTTCCAGTTCTACGATCGTTATCGATAGACTGGTATATCGCGAAGTCGACGTAGGTGATCTTATCACCCAATAGATATGGCCCCTCAGAATCCGAGTAGTACTGTGCGACAAGGCTGTAATACTCCGGCACGTATTTATCCTTGTACTCGGGCTTCTTTTCGCCTAGGTTCGCAGCCCATTTCGCCTGTTTCAATTAGAACTTTTGGTCGCACACTACTAACTAGTAGTCACATCTGAAACAGCAGACTTACTCTCCAATCAACATAGATATCCGAAACAGCGTCCACGATATATTTCTCCTGGCTTGTTTCCCCGTCATATCCGCCCAGGTCACGTGCGAGGTATCGTAGAATGGGAATGTGCTATTACTGTCAGTTATTTCTCCAATGCATGGGTTGAACTTTTAGCTTACCTGTATGAGGTTCTGGCCCTTGTATTCGAGCGCAGGAAGCTTGCCTGTCCGAGTGAGGCCCTGGTTTTTCAAGGTCTCGCTTTGCTGAGGCCATGTCGCATCCCACGGATAAAGAACGGTCTTAAATTCAACACCCGCATCTTTGAGGAAAAGACTTGATTTCGAATGTTATGATCAGCACGAAGCTCCGGTCGCGATGGGGTGACTATTGGGGTACTTGGGCGAACTCACTTGACAACTTCACCACGCCCTAATCGGCCAATGTCGAGGTAATGGTAGACTAGATCCTTAATCGTAGCCATAGTTTGTTCTGCAAAAGAGATCCTTGGGAAAAGGTGAGAGGGGCAATGATGAGAAATGCTATGAGGGGTTGGGGAAACAGAAACTGCTATATAAAGGTGAGGAGTCTCAGGATTGGGAAAGTCAATGGCCAGAAACTGTTACCCGCTTTATATTTCTGGGTAATAAGTCTACAAAATTCGGTTGGTGCCATCATGCGTGGACTCTCATTACAAATCGCGCATTCTTCTCCAGCTGTAATGTTGTTGTTTTGGGTGCTGAGCATTGTTGAGCGAGATAAGCGAGTTACGCGAGAAAAGCGAGAAGAACGAGGGAACTGAGGGAAGCTAGGAAAACGAGGAAAACGAGGAAAGCGAGGAAAGCGAGGAAAGCGAGGAAAGCGAGGAAAGCGAGGAAAGCGAGGAAAGCGACCATTCGCAACAGGCAAAGGATTTAGCATCAATTACTTCAGAACTTCACGGTTTTTATTCCAAATAAAGGCTTGATTATTTTCCACTTTGACAAGCACAGAAAAAAACCTTGAGAGCTCAAGTATCATCGCACAGCATCACCGCATAAGCACGTAAGTGGTCAATCCTCCTTCCCACTGTGGCTTACATTCTTACCGCAAAATAGAATGGCCTCAGCAAGAAACCCGGAATTGAAACTGTGGTTCTCACCCCGGGCTTGCTCCTTTGTCCCGCATGTTGCTCTGTGTGAAGCCGGGCTTAAGGCAGAGCTCATTCTCGCCGAGGTGGGGGCGAAAGAATTCAAATCGCTGAACCCAAAGGGCCGCGTGCCAGTTTTAGCGATTGGCGATGATATTATCACTGAAATGTCAGCCGTGCTGACTGGCATATCTTCACTCGCGCCAGAGGCACATCTCTCTTGGACAAAGCTCATTGGAGACTATTCGCGTATACGAGTGGCTGAATTATTTGTCTACCACTGCCCATGCGCAATCATTCGCGAGCGTCTGGAGAACAGAGAGATTCACAAATGATCCCAATCTGTATCCTTCAATCCAGTCCCGAGGAGTGGAGAACGTCAGGGATGTGTATGCACTGATCGAGGGAAAGCTTGCGGAGAGTGACTCGAACTATGCAGTGGGAAGCTCTTTCACAGTTGTTGATCCATTTCTCGTTCTACTTTATCTTTGGGCAGGAAGATTGAATATTGAGATGGAAAATACCTACCCCAAGTACACTTTGTATGTAAATAGCCTTTTGAGGAGAGAGTCGGTGATTGAAGCTGGCAAAGTTCACAGGAATCTGGCTGCATAGGGATTATCGAAGACCTCTAGCCCGCGGAAGGAACCAGATGGATGGACTGAGTGCTGTACGCCTATTTCAAGCAAACTTTTGGCGTGTTGAATTTATTGGAACTTCTGTTCAATTTGGTCGGATAAGGAATCACAATCGCAATGTGTGGTGAATGGGGAATGGGGGAGAATTCTCATCAGGCGCAGAGCAGATAATGTAACCCAAGGCCCGATCTGTCGAAACCTTGAACATAAGATACAAAAATAGAAAAACCGAATGTCCGCTGATTGCGCAACTCGAGCTTGTAGACCTCGGGGTTGGTAATTTAGTCAATTACTACACCATGGGGTTCCAGGCCGTGGTGGCGTTTCTATAAATGATGGGCCGCGCCCCTGCTAAAAATCATGATCTCATCGCCTTTTACTCTTTTTCTTCCCCAAATAATCCGACCGATCTCTTTTTTTCATAAGCTGACTGAGAACACCTTTTTGCTCCCACAGAAATTTCTCCGATGGCTGTCGCACTTCATGGGTGGCACCCCGGTGAGGTCGCCATACAGCGCCACCTCGGCTTTGCAGATGCGGTCAGCGATAGCTGGCCAATCGTCGCAAGAAGTATGCCAGATCAGCATCGTCTTTTCCACACGTCGAATTTGAATTTCATACCTGTCACCGCAATCGATAAACATGGCCGTCCTTGGGCTTCTATTATGGCCGGGCCAGGTGGCGAAATCGGCTTTGTGACGAGCCCAAGTCGCCAAACATTATCAATCGTCGCTAGTTTATGGGATGGTGACCCAATACTGGAAACTGTAGCTGCGTGGATGAAAGATTCTGGTATATATGAGACTGACAATCACCTGATTGCTGGTTTGGGTATTGAGTTCTCGACGAGGAGGCGCAACAAATTCGCTGGAAGGATTGATGACATCCACCCCTTGGGAACTCGAATTTTCGATTTGAAATCAATGTGAATGAAGCTCTAGGGTGAGTCATAACCTATTAATCCTCTGAACAATATCCGATTTTTGTTTGGCTTTGACTAACTAGACCATCCGCAGAAACTGTCCTAAATACATCAATGTTCGCAAATTGGTCCCATTCGCACACGCACGACCAAAGATCATTTATCAAGTCGAGCATCTGCAACCATCCCAGAGGCTTCCGCAGGATTTGGTTGATTTTATCTTGAACGCAGATACTATATTCGTGGGGTCTATTTACAAATCTCAGAAGTCTACAGCATCTCAGTTTCCGTCACACGCAGGAATGAATGCCCGAGGTGGCCTACCTGGATTCCTCCGGGTAAGCCCATCTGATGGGCGAACCATCGTGCTGCCTGACTACTCCGGCAATCGATTCGTATCAAGTCTTGGAAACATCGAGGCCACGGGTCTGGTTGGATTCACTATAGTCTCATTTACAACGGGAGATGTCCTCTACATGACCGGCACAGCCAAGAATATCATCGGCCAAGAGGCTCTCAAAATAATGAAAAAACATGCTGCAATCACGGTTATGCAGGTTTCCGGCTTCACTTTCGTGAAAGATGCCCTGCCTCTTCGTCAACAAGCCGGAACCTCGGTCGAGCGAAGTCCTTACAGTCCCAAGGTCAAGTACCTTGTTGAAGAGTCTGGAGAAGGATCAAGCGAGAATGCAGATTATAAAGCTGTATTGGATAGTGCGGTACAGCTATCTGAAAATTTGGCCGTTTTCAAATTCAAGGTTCCTCCGCACAAAGGATCAAAAAGGCTTGAAATCCGACCCGGACAGGCCGTCGTTCTGGACTTTATGGATTGGATTGGACCGCCAAAATACCAACACATGTCCAACGCCAAGCCAAGTCTCATCAATGATGACCGAATACGTACCTGGACAGTCTCAAGTGCCCACGAAGACGGTGAAGCATCTTGGTTCGAATTGACCATGCGCGAACTGAAAAATGGTGCGGTAACAGGCGCTCTCTTTGATATCTTGAGGCAATCCAATACGCAATATGGCACACCAATCACCCCAAGGAAACCTGTCGTCGCCGAAGTTGTGGGCATCACGGGCGACTTCTATCTTAGGCAAAATAATGTCAATGCACTGTGGGTAGCTGGAGGAATCGGTATAACGCCTTTTTTGTCAATGCTGAGTGCGCTTTCGACGCGAAATCGGTCGGGCGGGTGTGATAGTATAACACTGGCTCTGGCAACAAAAGAGCCAGCCCTCATGGTGGACCTACTGAGGCCGCTCCTTGCCCATCTAGCGTCGGACATTCGAATCGTGATTGATATTTTCACGCACGTGAATGGCTTTCAGCTGCCAGAGGATATAACTCAAAGGGAAAGCCAGAGACTGTTTATTCACCACGGTCGGATCCCCGCTGAGTACTGGATTAAGACTGCTGAGAATAAGAATGTACTTATTTGTGGTCCGGGCGGGTTCGGAGACTCGGCGACGGAAGGATTGCAAGCCGCTGGCGTGTCTTTGGAGAGAATACAACGGGAGGGGTTCTACTAATTATCCAGCTTCTATTAATTAAATGATGCCCATTAATAATGAAAAGTAATTTATATCATGCATTCAAAATCAACTTCCCAATCTGCTTAATGAAAACATCATGCTTCAACACCAATTTCAAGCAGAAGACGATTCCCAGCAATGTGGTCCTGGATCACTTGGTTCAAATCAAACTCTGTGACACAACTCCAATCCAACCACTTCTTCACAATAGGCTGTTCCATAAGCCAATTAGGAGAAAAGGGCTGCGGGTATATCTCATAATCCTCAATAGAAGGCTCAGAATCCTTGGTTGTCTGTAACCAGTGCGCAACTTTAGAAAGAGCGAATTGCGTGTCGTTGCCATTGTCACTTGAAGAGCCTCTGAGACGTCCATAATATGCTTCGAAGCTTCGACCGTCGATATCAGGGATAAAAACGGCGATCGTTCGCATGGAGGGGTGTACGAAATTTGCCCCATCGGAGGATAAATGCAAATCTCTCGTTTTGAGTTCTTCGAGCGATAACAGAAGATCAAGTGTTGCCGCAAATTGTTTGTTTTGGAAGATTCCCTCGGGGCCAACATTTTCGAGCTCCTGGATGATCCAACGAAGCCACGGGGCTGAAGGACAACAACGGCCCGCTAGATAGAGCAACGGTGAAAACCCAATTCTCAAGTTCTCGCACATTACCATTGATAGGGAAGAGGATCGATGCGAGATCGTCAAGGCGGTTCTTGTGTACCGCAGCAACTCATAGACATGGAAGTATGAATCTAATTCAATTTTGCGGTCTTGGTCTCCTAGAAGACATAACGCCCAGAGGAGACGCGCCTTGTAAAAGCTGTACAGCGCTAAGACAAGGCAAGACTCCCACGATGTATGCTTGTGGGGCAGTGGCGGAAATGGGAATTTACCCAGCCCCTGGTACGAGAACTCATCAAGGTCCGGTTGGAAGTCATCTGCTTTCATCGTTTGGAAGAGTGTTGAGTTGTATGTCTTCCAATCATCTAGAGCTTGTAAGAACGCTAGGATCTTTTCTCTCGACGCAGTCTTGTAATGTGCGGCATAAACACACCATATTAGGTGCTTGAGGTCAAGATCTGCGGAGGTGAACTCCAGAAGTTGTTGGATCAATATCGAAGAAGAGCTTGCTCCCAATTCAAAGAAGGAAGCAGGAAGATTGACCGTCAGCTTTTCTGCGTTCGACAGAAAGTTTGGTTCCAATGGGCTAGGAAATGGTCTCACGATGCGACATATCAACTCCAAGTCGCGAAGGGAGGACTCAACCGGCAAGATGAAGTAGCTGGTCGGGTGGTTGTCATGCGATTGCATTGAATGCGAATAATATTGGGTGACTTGAGTATGGCGAATGGCGGCCAGAATATTTCCGGAAATGCACTAATACCTGTCATTAATTTCCAAGGACGCCAATTAGGAAGAGTCTCGACATACCTCGATATACGCCATAAGAATCAAAACGCCTACTGCCAGAGGTGTAGGGCTCTTTGTCTGGTTTATTTCCCTTGATACCCCTTCAAGGGCTCTGATGTACGTCTGGATGGCAGCGATTTTCGTGTCTAATCCGCGGTCGCGGTCGCTACCACCTTGTTTCGACAATAACAAGGTTGCGCGATGCATAGAACCCAGGGCGACGATAGCGTCGAAAACCCATTCAGTCTCCCATGCCGCTTCACACAAGTAATCTCTCCAGAAATGAAAGCTCTTCGGTGCGAACAAGATCGTTGATGTTCGGTATAGATATTGGTGGTATCCCAACATATCGCGCGCTCGGGAGTGAGGCCGCTGAAATGGATTAGGATTGACCGGTAACGCCATCAAGGGCAATCCATCTTCGCGAGGTTTTGGCTGCAAATATTCATGATTAATGAGACTTGCCGGGGGTGGCGCAACACCGTTATGTGTCTCCGTTGTGGTTGTGCTTTGTCCCGGATGTCTGGTCTTCAGCCGCCGCTTCTCCGCGTATCCAGAACACTCTATATTGGCAACCTCGCAGCGTTCACAATCTGGCTTTCTCTCGTCGCATTTCACTCGTCTGGTGCGGCATGTCAGACAGCCCGTCCTCCTCCTGCGTTTCTCCGTCATTGTGTCCCGGATAAGACCAGAGGAGCAATGTTGGTTGGGCGGATTAACCAGGCTACCCGACTTCAAAGTCTGGCATATGTCTTACTTCGAGCCTTTTTGAAGTCTCTGTCCCTTCAAACAGGAGTTACAGATATAACTAGAGACACGAGGCGTTACCAACGTGGCAATCGGAAGTTGTCAGGTCGAAAAGCGATTAGTAATACAAATGTTGAGTGGCAGGAAATATTGATGCCTTAAATATTTGGCCGTAATTATATGCCACAATTATATTAGCTTCGTGCAACATCACTACTGTCTCGCCTTCTCTGGTAATTGGAAAAAACCATTAAACGCAAAAGGGGCATCTTCAAACATCTCCTCTCCTAAAATCATCCGGATGCCACAAAAGTTGACCACATTTCATATTCAGCTAACCACTCAACATCCGAGTACCTCATGCCTTATTCTCAACTGTCTCCGTGGTAGCCTTTTCCGAATCTACAGAAAGTCTTGCGTCGACATTCTCACTTGGAATACCCGTATCCTTTAGGGTCATTTCCAAATTCGCAGAGCCAACGCATTTGTAAGTAGCAAACTTTCGAGCTGGAAGTTGTAGTTCAAACTGAAACTGTCATTAGCACCACGCAATCTATAAAATCAAAGAAAATCAAGCTTACCATTTCATCAATCTCTTCCAGTGTGCGACCTTTTACTTCAGGTAGATAAAAGAAAATAAATGCAGCGGCGATGAGACATGACGGGAACCAGATGTAACCGTATTTTGGCCTAGGAATCATAATTAGTTTCCACTCGTAATATCTAGAGTGATCAATCGAGCGATCTTCTTACCCCCAGTTTAGCGAGTCTGGATTGATGAAATATGGAGCCGTGAACGTGCATAGCCACTAAATCCTCAGTCAAAAATCTGACTTTTGTGAGACTTCCATGTGTTTTTAGATGGGACTCACTGCTCCGAGGAACCCAATGGCGGCTGCCAGGCCAAATGTATAGGATCGAAGGCGCTGAGAAGGGAGCTCTCCACCAGAAACCCATGCATATGTTGAGATCATTCCCTAGTATTCCATGTCAAAACTTCCTTGCCTCGGTCCTGTATATCGACAAGAATTGGCCTACATTGTATCCAAAAATGAAGATGACGGACAACCCAACAATTGCCTTACCAGTGGCCTGAGTACCCGGATGAACAGTGTACAACGCGGCAATGATCAACTGGCTAAAGCCACAAATTATAAGACCAACTGTCAAAAATAGCCTTCTGCTTCCAATTTTAGTGATGACTGCAATGTTGATCATGATGGCCACGACGCCCAGAGCAGTTAGTATGCAGCTGTTCTCGAACGCATTGCCAACATTCGCCATTTCAAAGAAGTAAGTTCCGTATGCTATCAGCAAAAGAAAATTAGTGATTTTCTCCCTTGTAGTTGCGGACATGGAAAATTGAACATACCAATCATAAACATTGCGCCGGAAGCTGCCTGCGTACTCACAGCCGCAACGGACAATAATGTTCTCCGGCGATCGACGGGATTCGAAAACATATCCCAAACTGACACACCGCTAGCCAGATCTAGCTCCAGCCTTATCGCGTCGTTGATCTCCTGCATTTCCTTCTCAACTGTTTCCTGATCGGGCCTCAGCCATACTAGTGCCTTGCGAGCTTCCGCTTCTTTCTTGTGCTGCAGTAACCATCGGGGCGATTCAGGAATGAAAAGCATTCCGATACATAGAACCGCAGGTATGATAAATATCAGACCGAGCGGAATGATATAGCTGTTTTTTCCATCTATCTTTGCTGTGAAATTGTCGATAATCGTTCCGAGTAGGGAGCCGAAGGACGTCCAGAATTGAAACAAGCCTAGCATGAGTCCACGGTATCGAGCCGGCGAGCATTCCTGGAAATTTTAATTTAGCTTGGAACCAATCCTCTTTATCGACACGGGAGACAAACTTGGATGTACAGCTGTGAAAAGGTCATCAAGAATCCATTGCCTAGCCCGATAACCAGACGACCAGCGTAAAGGCCTGCGATTGAATCCGTAGTCATCATCACCACGTTAGCGACGTAAATCAAGACAACCGCAATCCAAAGACAAGTCTTTCTTCCAATATAAGTGGCGGTAGGACCTATTCAAATTCTCTCCTGTCAATTTCTACTAGTGTCTACTCCTTCTGGGAAAACCTACCCGCTGAGCACGATCCCACAAATGCACCGAGGGTCATCAACGAAGATATCAGTTGCTGACGCTCGTGAGGGATATTCCATCCAAGAGAGGTGTTTGGAGCCGGCTCTCCAAAGACCTAAATTTCATAACCCTTGTCAGCGAGCCATCGATCGCGGATAAAAAGCCGGCCATTCTCACCTTCAAGAACCCAACCATTGCCTGGAAACCTCCAATGAGAGTGAAATCGACACCATACTGAAAGGGAGACATGGTAATCAATGAGCAAGCCATCAATGACTTCCAATGGAGCCGCAGCCCATTTTTCTCTTGATTATCGCCCATGGTGTGTATAGTCTGTAAATGTGACCAAAATCAACAGTGACCGGCGAGGATGATAAATAGGAGACAGAGCTCCAAGCCGGCTTTCAGATAAGTATAATACGATCATTCCTGATTGGTTTCAATGAGATAAACGCCTCATGCCGGGGAATACACCGAATGCGTCGCATTGCTGGCCTGCCCCAGTGGTGGCGTATTACGATCGAGGCCTTCGCCAGATCATCTGTGGGGCCATGCGGAGATTTAAGGTCTTGTCTCTGTAAAGACGGGTGGAAATGAACCTGTCAGTCCCATGACTGCTTCTTGCAATCAACCGAAGCAGGCGCTGAGTGGTTGATTGTGGAGGAGGGGATGCGCGGGTGGATTCAACCGACGTGGTGATTAGGACGTATTGACTTGTAACTTGTTTTTGCCAATTTCCGGAGCGTTTGAAGCAGCTCATTGCCGATCCAACCCCTCTCGCATCTTTGGCGCCAGGATGGCTTTGGGCGTCGTGGCTGCGTGAAGAAAGGAGCTTGGGCTCCCTGGGATTGTAGCTACACCGGCAGTTGGGTTATTCTGTTGATCCCGGTTTCTATCGTATTCCTCTTGTTCAATACTAGTCTTCTGGAGATGTGGGTCATCAATTCATGTGTTCACTTTGCTCAAACTGTCATTTGAACGGCAGGTTGTGGGGAAGATCAGCGACAGAATGTGGAGAAGCGGGCCGCGGGCATTTCTGGTAATCTGGGGAAGTGGAGGGTTTCACGGGACGAACAGCTTACATTGACTTAGTAGCTCTGATTTTTACAGACTAGATTGAGCTGGCGGAGGAGAGTGCTTTCCTGGAAGACTTCTGGGGAATGACCCACCTGGTGAGTATTGAAACTCGTATCAGATTCACATTTCGACCGAAAGTTGCAGTTGATTCAGACATGAAACAGGTTGTATTGAACCAACGGAGAATCTATGACTTTGTAGGAGAAATTGTATTATATATAAGATATTAAAAATTGCGAATATAGCTTCTACCGCCATTCATGCGTCATGAGTCAATTGCCATACACCCTGGCTAATATAAACCCCTAAGTGCGAAGCAACTCTCCACTCCTTTGGCGCTTCTGTTGCGAATTCCAGAATTTCCTGATAAGTCAAACCATCCACGTTCTTCGCTTCCTGGTTCGCCCCTAGTTCACGCAGTTTTGCAATCGCGCTATGCTCACAATTCCGTGCTGCTTTGTGTAGAGCTGTCTCGAAAAGAAGGGCATCCCTAGCATCGATAAAGACGTCTTGTTCCATCAGTAATTTGATACCAGGGATCCATCCTCCTGCAGCAGCTAGATGTAAAGGAGTCACACTTTCGAGCATGAGGCTATTCGGATCCGCGCCATGCTGTAGAAGCATCTTCATGCATTGCATTGTCTTATGCGCGACGGAATAGTGAAGCGGGGTCTTTCCTTCAGGTTGTGTGGTAGGAAGCTCGATCAAAGCCCCATGATCAATGAGGAGTTGCAATACCTCTACAGAATCCCGACATACTGCTCCATGTATAGGTGCCCAGCCCTTTCCCGATAAAAAAAATTAGCATCTGACACATCCTTAAGAGACTTGGAGGGGGCGAAGAACGAACATCTTTAAAGGTTCTGACATTCACATCCACCCCTTTTGATAGCAGTAGCTTAACTATCTCGGTATAGCCATGTCGACATGCCACCGAGAGCGGAGTACCCCCCCGCGGTCGTCCTTACTTCCGGATTTGCTCCATGCTCTAAAAGCAACTTCACAATCTCCAAATGGCCGTACTCCGTTGCCTGCCACAGCGCGGTTGCGCCACTATGACGATAGGGGCTTTTACCTCCAGCCCACCCGGTAACACTCCACTGACGAGCGGATACCGACGCCCCGTGTTTGAGCAGAATTTTCACACTCTCAAGTTGACCCTTTTCGGCAGCGTGCGACAACGCCGTGCGGCCTTTTTTGTCGCGTGCATCAACATGAGCATGGGCCAATATAGCTTTTAGGAGCAATCCACCCCCTTGCATCATAGCGGCTTTAATGTCCTTAGCCGCCTCGGGGCCAGATGGTAGATTTGGCCTGCTTGTCTCCTCGTGGTCGGCTAAGTGTCTAGGGAATGGCGTTGCTTCATCGTCTGGGTGCTCGGCAGCTTTCACCGTGCTAGCATATTCGAACAGGGAAGTGCCAACATCTGGATTAAACTCGATTTTTCCTTGAAAGGTCCTATCTCCAAATCCTAGAGCTGATTTTGTCGAAATTATCCTGTCCACTGGTTAGTCTCATTCAGGTTGAATCAACCGTGAGCGATGAATAGGTATGCGTGCATGTGTGCTCGACTGTCCACATACAAAGTTACATGGCCCATAGCATTACCAAACGTAGATTTCGTCCGTTCAAGCTCCAACGACAACGCAAATACCTCCCTCCGTCTAAAATACCACAGTACGCCATTCATGCGAGTTTCGCCAGTTCGGGGCGAATACGTACTGCCAGTTTTCGGATCCGGGGACGAGGTCTCAGTTTTGAGATACGGCTTCATCTTTTGCAGTATGCGGTCCAGGGCAATTTTGCAGTTCTCAATAGGGCTAAGCAGAGTCAGAATGGCGTGGCTTATCTCTGAATCCTCGTTGACCATATCGAAGACATCGCTGCTGCTCAATGATCTTTCGAGGCTGCTGACTAGTATCTGGAAGGACAAAATATCGTTTTTGATCGCATTAATTTCATTAGGGGCATTCTTGATGGTGGAAAATAAATCGTGCGCTGTCATGGCGGCTTGGCCAGCCATTTGAGCGACTTGGAGTATAGCCGCGGCTGCGCTGATGCCGTCCATCATAATTTGTTATGATTTATTCCGAATACTGTGGAGATGTACCTGATTGTCTTGGCAATATATAAGAGAAAGAAAAAAGGGTCCAGAAAATTTGACATCCAAACATGAACAAACACGAGTATTGCGGGGGTCCGAGGGTCTCATCCCTCAGGGGAGGCGGTGCATTCTAACTAATGCAAAGTTACGTCAGGTAAGGGAATGATCATAATGGCCAACACCTATTATTAGAGGCCGTACGAGGCTATGTAGTTCCAACGGGGATTGAGGCTCTGCAGGCAGGCGACTTTAGTCCTGTCTCCTTTCAAACTGTCGACCTGGACTCCGTACATGTACGCAATGAAGAATGGACTCGGTGAGTAGGAAATTGGAGCCAGCAGAGGCAACGAAAGTAGAATATCGAATCGAATAGAATAACTAGCAGCGGTCATATCTCATCATCTTCGTAAACCCCAGCCAAATCCCACTTGTTCCCTGTATCCAACAGCTACTAGTACCGGATTATGAGGCAGGTTTTGCATCCAAAGAATCTTGATACGCGCTGATGTTCTGGGAAGTTTCCTGCAGCCCAGACCATGCCAAAACACCTCGTCCAAACAAGATAAAATAGCATCGAAAGCAAACCTGAACGACACCATGCCAAAGCAAGCAGTGGATCATTCACAGGTACTGCAACGATTCTCACCTCAAACAATGGTTTTATCCGTCAGTGAAGAGGACACTGTACCACAAAGGTGATTATCACAAGAAAGTTAACTGTCTCATCCATTCCTTCTTCAAGTATTCGGCGGACCTATCGGAACCCCTAGACCTCCAGCCGCCCACGGATTCTGCATTACACGAGCGTTGAGGGCATTAACGTTAAAAGTATTGTCCTCGGCGACATCATTGGGGTTTCCGCCCGGCCCAGCCGGAGGGTGAGGAACAGAGTGTCTAGCGACAGGGCTCTGGGTTGGAACTGGATGGTGACCCATATATGCACCACCAGTGACATTCCCTTGGTTCGGGAAGAAACTCTGGTTCAGAGACCCGCAGCTGGTGCAAGTGAATTCAATCTTGAAATTCGTCATAAGCATCTGGGTAGGAACGGCAGGGGGGTGGTCGCTGCGTGATGGATGGGGATAGCCGGATGGTTTGGGATGATGCTCTGGTCCAGCCAGGGGCAAGGCAAGGGGGACAGCTTGGTAGCCAAGTGCTGTTTGTGATACCATGGGCTGTGTATCATTATTCAATGGAGTTTGATTGGGGGTTCCAATCGGCGGTGGTTGCGGTATCTGTGGGCGAATGGCTTGGGCGGTGCCGTGGGGCTGTGGTGGTGGATGTGGTAATTGAGATGCATGGTTCTGTGGAGAAGGAGTCGGATCCATAGCTTCATCGTCCATTAATGTTGGAGGGAGTGTCGCTGGGAGCCAGCGAGTCTCAGATATGGCCCGGTACGCTGGTTCGGGGTCTTCCTGTGATTCGGGTTGGGATTGAGATGACGATTGCTGATCACCTACGCTCATTTCCAGGTCCAGACTGTTATCGGCCTGACCATCAGCTTGTCGAGGCTGCAGCTTGATCAAGGCCCGTTGCGCCTGTCTCATGGAGATATCGTATCCGTGATAACGCTTGACGGCATCGACGACCTCCTGTCCTGTAATCTTGCTTTTCATGTCAAAGAGCTTTGGGATTTCTGTCAACAAGAAGCGAACATGAGAGGCTTCGGAGCGCGCGGGGGTCGCTGCCGGTGTCTCTGCACTCCTTCGACAGCTGTGACTGTCTTGTAGACTTGTGATATAGGTCGCGTTCTTGTTCGAACGGCAGACCACGCGGAAGTAGCAATTCGTGCCCGAGCGACAACCAATCACCACGCTCTTTTTGTTGCTTCGCATAACTCGAAGCTCCCAGTGTTGTCTGACCGATATACTCCGAATCACCGTCTTGAACTCGTCAAGAGAAGAGAATCGCTGGCCCACGTGGAGCCCGGAGTACATCTCAGTCATGTCGGCGACGGCGACGGCGGAGCACGCAGCAAGGAGGAGAACGACAGAGCAACTGAAGTTTCAGCCGCGACGGCGCAGGGGACAACTTCCATCAGGGTTTGGAGCGTGAATCGCACAGCCTCGAGTTCACGAGCTTAAGGACCTCAGGGACGCGTGCTCGTTCAAATGCAGAGCGTAGCGGAGCGCGCGCTGAGGAATGTTTAGCCTGTCATCGAGTAAAATTAGCGATGTAAGGAATGTTTATCCAACACTGCCCTGGATTAAGATTGAAAGCTAGACCAGGGAGGAAGTGAATGAGGTTGTGTGAGGAGTTTGAACTCTGGGGAAAGCAAAGAGCCAAAAGGTCGGGGAAACTGCAGACCGCTCGCCTTCTTTCTCTTTCACTCCTCACTTTCACTCTTCACTGCCCTTTGGAAGTCGCAACTGCACTTCTTATACAACCACCGCAGTCGGGTTCACTGCGCCTTCTCCTTAATTAAGCTGCAATCTCGCCTTTATTGTCTCTTTGTACATCTCAATCTCCAGTCATGGCTTCCTACGGCCTGCTGGGCCAACAAGAAGAAGGTCGAGTTCTGATCCCGCCAACCCCGAGCCAACAGCAACAGCAACATTCCCCAAGCTAACACCAACTAGACGCCCTTCACAAGTCGCGCCTTCTAAACGTTGAAGAAAAGCCCTTTAAGCGCATCTCCAAGCGCATCCTCAACCCAGAATCTCTCGTCGTCTCCAACGCCCAAACCGCAACCCCTCCACCAGAAGACTCCTCCTCCTCACCCTCCACATCCACCGAAAAGCAAAAACGCCTCGACGAATGGCGCCATTTCCGCGAAGATGTGACCCTAGATTTCGTCGCCTTTGAAGGCAGCATCGCACGAATCCAATTCCTCCTCACAAGCAATGAAAAAGAACGCGAGCGCTACGCGACAGAAAAACTGCGCATCCTCGACACCATGCAATCCGTCCGGGGCAACACAGCCGAACTACGCGCCCAACTAGACGAAGCGCAGCGATTACTCGCATTACGGAAAAGCTACGACGAACTCGCCGAGAAGATCACCAGTAACCGATTGCTCAAGCCGCGCGAAGACCAGCAGGCCAATTTGCACAAGCTTGAGTCGGAAATTACCGAGCTGGAGAAGGAAAGCAAGGATTACGCTATGACTTGGTCTGAGCGTCGCGAGCAATTTGGCCGTATTGTCGAGGAAGGTATGCAGCTTCGCCGGCTGATTCGCGATGAGAAGGAGGAGGTTGAGCGAAGGGAGGGTATGCAGGAAGGTGAAGATGGGGACGAGGGGGATGTCAATTCTAAAGGGAAGATTAGTGCTGCTAATAGTCCTCGTCCTGAGGCGGAGGGGGGGTCAACTCCGTCGCAGAGTCAGGATGAAAGTGGGCGGTTGCAGGTTGAGAAGGGAGCTGGGAGTACGAGGGGGGTGTCACCGCTGCGAAATGCAACTAGTGCGCAAGGCGAAAAGTCTCGGTCTGATCAGGAGGATACGAATATGCTGGATGAGGGTGAGGTGAGAGACGAAGAGGCGGGCAATGACTCTGATGAGCTGGAGGAAGGCGAAGAATTGCCCGATGACCGAATGGGGGGAGAGCACATGGATACCACTTGAAGATTTCAATCTAAATGTATATTACTACTAGCATGGAGTTTAGGGTCTGAGTAGGGCGTTGGTCGTCATTGGTCATTGGTCACTGGTGATCCGGAGTTTTCAAAATACATGCATTCAATTTGAGTTATTATGGATGCCTAGAAGCATCTGGGTATTTTCTTGATTCAATCAGTTTGGATCCATGAGGGACTTCAAGTCTGCTCAAGAAAGCTCCCGCTCAGCGGTCTTGGCCTTCGCGATGGCTTCCTTCGCAGCGGTGATGTGTTCAACGTTGCTCTCGGCGCCCTTCTGGCCCTCCTCGGTCTATAGCAGGGTCAGTATTGATCAATATCAGGAATTCAAACCCGGGAAAAACAGCTTTCACTCACGATCAAAGTCTGCAGGTCTGCCACGGTGTTGACAAGCTTGGCCTTCAGGGTAGGCAAGACCTTCTTGGTTTCCTCAAGAGCCCGATGCTAGAAATTTTCAGTCAGCTTCTTTTCAATAATACGATACATGGCACCAGCCACAAAGCTTTCTCATAAAAAGGAGGTCCATTGGAGGGTGAGGACACCATGATGCAGACATACCTCTTGCTTAATCATGTACTCCTGGTTCTCATCTTCGCCGCCCTGCGCATTCTCCAGCTTCTTGATACGCGCCTCCTGTTGGATCAGCTCGTTTTTATAGGAAGCCTCTTCCTTGACCAGGCGAATGACCGAGGAGGTGGTGATTTCAAGTTGAGAGCGAGGAGCCATAGTGATCGAGATAGAGCTAGTGGGTAGTCAGTATGGTTGAAAATGCAATCGATTTCGAGTGCTGAGGCTAGCCGTGGATCCAAACGAGGCTGGTTTCACTGCGTTTGAATTCAGGCACAGGGGCATCCGGTTCAATCAGCCTGCTAGCATGGGCCATGCAAATAGCAGCTGGCGAGGATGATCCATGCAGCATGCCGCGGGGTCTCGAGATATTGTAATGTACAAGATCAAGGCCCACCTCAAGCCTCTGGACTGAAAGTCAAATATGTGAAATCAGATACGAACACTCACATTTTAGAACTCGTTAATTTTCTTTCCGTTTTCTTGTGTCACGGGCAATTGGTAATGTTGATTGAATATGGCCAAGACTCGTTGAAGCGTGCCCCTCTGATGGCACGTGATGCGTGATGTCAAGTTTGTCTTGTTTGCACTGATCGTCTAAGTCACATGTGTAGATCATGTGATGGGTTACTCTTATGTACTACAGTATAAGATGAATCGAAATGCAAAGAAACTTGAATGCAACCTTATGATAGAAATTCTGAAATGTCGAGGGTCTACAAATATTACATCTACCTTGCAGTCTTCAAATCAAGCATCAGATATTGTTCATTAATTGGTGTAAAGCTGGTAGTCGCCATGGCAGACAATGCAACACAGTAATATAATAGAGACCACGGGAGTAAGTACTAGGCAGACAAGTAGTATCTGCTACATAAATGATAGGCCAAATACATTTCAATATCTTCCTTGTTTAGGCTCTCAACAAGACTAGTAATAGTAATACTCCCTCTCCCATCTCATTGTTCACTTCAAACCACCTCAGCCACCCGACATGGTCATCTGGCCGCAGCCACGGCCAATAAGCGGCCGCCTCGAAGCTCCTTGCCCGGCCCTGCTCTGCGCTGCTCGCTCCACTTCGCCCGCGTCAAAGAACCCTCATCAATTATAAAACCCATCCACAGTTCTTTTCCGTCAGGTTGTTTTCATATCATTCTATACTTCCAATGTCACCTTTATACCTTGCATAACCCGGTCGAGTTTGCTGTCTTACGCCGGCCATGCCAGCCCCAACCCTCAAACAGCTGGCGACAGCGACAGCGATCAAGCATGTTAAGAGTAAGTGGTTTGCATATGCTCTTCTATCAAGCCATCTGTTCTTACAATCTAATCTGTTTCTACCCTCGTTTAGTGCTGGACGATATCGGCAGCCTACCCTATGCCCTTGCTCGTCCCATGCTGCTTAAAGTCGACAACCCCGAGAAGCTGGTAAGTGGTACCATAACCAAGGAACATCTCCTTTCCTCCCATGATCTTGATACATATATCCCATTTTATACACCACTTCTTATAATCCCACGCTAATACCCTCCCCCTTTCCTCCAATCTAGCACTCAATGGAACTCCTCTCCCCACACCTCGCCGAAGAAGACCAAGAAATATGGCTCGAGTTCATAAAACGCGACATCCCCCAATGGGATACCTACGATATCCCACGACACACCAACCAGTGGTACGACATCTACTGCGACCTCCGCGAAGAAGTCCAACGCTCCCTCGACGCCGATGCCGAGAAACTCAAGATGGCCATCGACGGCATCCAATCCCAAAAGGCCCGTCTCACGCCCAAAATCATCGCCGGACCCCGAGGCAAACACAGACCAAGCATGAGACAAATCTACGCCTCCAAAGATCGCAAAATGGGAGGTATCCCCCCACCCTTCAATAAATCCAGCAACACCTCCTCAGCCTCAGCCTCGGTCTCAGACTCGTCCTCGAGCTTCACCTTCGGCGGCTCCTCCCGTGTCTCCGGCTTCGGCTCCGCGGGTTCCAAACCACCCAAAAAATCCATTTTCGCGCCCCAGCGCAGAAATAATGCCCTCGCAATCCCGACAAAACACCTCAGCACCCGCGCCTCCCGCGTGAAGCAGGCTCCACGATCCCTGATCGAAGAGCATCGACGGCCTATGGACCCACCCGCGTCAGCATCAGCATCAGCCTCATCCTCAGCATCGCGACATGACAGAAATGCAGGCGTTCTAACCCAATCAAACGGACGAATAAGGCAGGGCAGCAAACCCGTTCCATCCAATCCCGCCTTCGGTCCCAAAAGTGCCGCGTTAGCGGAACGAGAGGCCCGTTTGCAAGCTATCGCTTCAGGCAAACCTCTCCCCTCCCATGGCAATGCCGATTCAAAGAAACCCGCTTCATCGGGAGATAGTCCTTCAACGCCGGCTAAGCGGCCGATTCTTAAACGTCGCGCTGTTTCTCCGCCGTCACCCGTGGCTGCGACTTCCCAGGCCTCGCCGCCACCGCCGCCGGCGCCTCGTCCGGCTGTTATACGGAAACGTCCGGATAATGTTTTTATTCAGCCGAAGCGGAAACGTGTTGGGTGAAGAGGTTTTTTGTGATACTTTTATCATATTGGGCTGAATTTTTCCAGTTGGATATCAGATATGTCCTTCTCTGAAGGAAGGAAGGCCTGTGGTCTTTGACGACTATAAGCCCTTCCCCTCTGTGTTGGAGAAGAGGCAATCATTTGCCAAAAACCCCGTCGTCGTACCGGGTCATTATATCTCACTGACAGAGACCATCACAACTCCACGCGACAGAATGACTTGAATGTGAAATATGCCGTCGTAGCTGCTGCTGCTGCTCTGCGAATACCGGCTCCCGAGCATCGACATCCTTCACTCACTCACCACTCGCATTAGAGATATGGGGTTCATATGGTATACCACCGCTCGGCTTATTCGATTATAATCATTGTCATCAATGATAAAGTTCAGCAAAAAGTCTCACCGCGCACGGCAAGGGAGTACAAATCCCAGCCAGGACCAATCTCATCGCGCCGCGTTTACCGCTAGCTAGTCTAGCTAGCTGACGTCCTCTTGCGATCGATCATTCAACGTGACTGCTCTCTCATCGCATCGCATCGCATCGCCGGTGCAGTCATCACCCATGTACATGTACATGTACCCCTCCGAAAAGTATCGTATCTTCTCTCGAATACATTTTGGAATCTAGATAGACGTTGATAGCAGGATGGATGAGAAGGGTATATGTACAATTTTACAATCGAGATGACCTTGACTCTTTCTTTCATCTACGTACACAAGGCACTAATGTGACATCCAACTACCCGATAACCCTGATAAATGAAGTGAAGTGGAAAGGGACCCTGAAATGTCAGACACGGTTGATAGGGTAGAGTCAACTTCAAATTACCAACTCCCCATGCCAAGCCAAGCCACGAATAGAATTGGGGAAAGGAAAGCAAGAGCGAGCGAGAGCGATAAAACTAGAGAAACAAGAACTTCAAGATCGGAATAGAAAAGAAAAATCGCTTAACAAAGATAAAAGATGCACGTTTCGCTCGCGCCTTACCTAACTTTATTTCATACTCGGATGACGAGGTCTGGTCTGCTTTTAACTTAACTCAATCGCATTGCTAAAAGGAAACTTGAACACATAACAAATGGTATCGGTATTGGTATCGTATCTCGGGGAACTGCTTCAAGTTGCTTGCAACTTCCATTTCAACTTCTTCGCCTCTAGCCTGTGGTGTCGTAGGTCCTACTAGTCCACTAACTAGTAGGTACCGGCTATTTGTTCTTTATCTGTTTACAGGCCACCGCGCAGGGCGAGAACAAGGTGCAAGGTCGCGCCACCGGTTAGGGAGTATTCGGATGCTGTCTTGTCGTCTGCCCTGTTGTTGAGAAGAGGGGGCTGGTTAGCTTGTCTCTTGTCTTTCTGTTGGTGTGGATGGGTGCTGTGCTGTAGCGCGAGCGGAAGAGGAAGTGTGAAGTGGGAGTGAAGGGTGGGTGGATGAGGAGCATACATTTGTTTTCCGCCAAAGATAAGTCGTTGTTGGACAGGGGGGATGCCCTCTTTTTCTTCGACGCGCTCCTTTATCCGGGCAACCTGGTGTTTATATGGATTAGTTATCTGGTAGGCTGATTGGTGGTGTGGTGGGACTTGGGTGGAAATATTCCGGTGCATTTTCGGACGTCGCAGGTGGCTTGCGTGCAGACGGGTAGACGAGGAGGGTAGGTAGGCAGGCGGATGTGTACTCACCTTGTAGTCGGGCTCGATGTCGAGCTCGATTTCCTTGCCGGTGAGGGTGCGGACTCTGGAGGTGGGTGTTAGCGGGTGATGATCGGATGGTGCAATGGCGAGAGAAAGGAAAAGTGGAGGCTCACTTGATCAGCATCTTGGCTGGGTGATCACTTTTGTATTAGGAGGTAGAACGAAGTGGCAAGGACGGCAAGGTTGCTGGTGGGAAGAGTGGACTGTGACTGGAAATGGAACTGGAACGGGGGAGGAAGAGAGAGCCGCGTTGGCGGGGTCTGGTGGGGCGGCGGAAGCCTGATTGCCTGATTGATATTGAGGCTACTCGTGCACAAGTGGGATATAGTGATCCCAGGTGTATTTCAAATTTCTCTGGAATGGACAGAAGGCCTTATTCTTAAACTTGGAATACTTAAAATATCTTAAAGCAAGTCCGAATATAGCTGGTGGCTCTTAGTACTGCAGGGGGTCTGACGTGCGGGCTAGGATATTCTCCGAGAGTGCCGAGGTGGCTATAGTTGGAGATGTCTGTTCTTCTTTGGGGTAATTTGAGAACGTTCCAAGGTTATCTCCTTTGATCTTCTAGAGATGGTTCGAATATAGGATTTTGTTGTAACTTAACCCCTTAAGAACTGCAGTCAAATTTGTAGAGTTGCCCAGCGTAGCACTAAAGATACTAGTAGTAGTAATTAGTAGTACTTGAATATATATCGGGAAGGGACTCGGACGCATGACCCCGGGGACTTACTATTCAACGTCCATTGTCAATATTGGAAGGTAATGCAACTACAATATACTATCACCTTAAATAATACCAAGGAACTAGTTCTAGAACCAACTTGAAACATCATATCCTGATAATTGAAATTAGAATATAGTAGTTCTATAGATACGGGTACTAAGTATACACTGCGGGATGCTGAATCACGTGACCATGACTCAGCAATGACCACTCTGAGCCACCCAAAACGGCTTAGCGCGTACCCGAATAGGGCCTAAGCGAAACGAATCCCACAACCCAAGTTATCCGCTCGATCTTCTCCGACCAGCGACAACTAACGACACCCACCACGCAAGCCGGCAAGTTCAGTCAAAATGGTAAGACACTTTCCTTCAGGTTTCCGTGTCATCCAGTCTCCGTTCGAAATACCTGGGACCTCTGGGACCTCTAGGTCGTGAATATATTGTGCGCCCGGAATCTCGAAATATGTGTGTGCGTTCAATGTGTGCGGCCAACCTCGAATTTAATTTCACCAATCCAACCCCCGGACCGAGTCCCTCGCAACCCGTCATAGCCTCCTACCGTCGCCGAGAAAATGAATGAATTGAGAGAGCGCTCGGTGGGAAAGATACCACAATTCGATACCGACTCAAATCGACCAGACCAGATGGATCCAGACCCGAGGCGAAAGACCAAGCTGGTAAAAACTTGGAGAGGTGCGACCGGCTGACTGGGGGACAAAGGGAGCCAGAGACATGGAATCAAAATCTACCACGAATGACCAATGGTTAATTTGGTGCTCGTTTTTCTCTTGCTCTGGCTTCCCTTCTCTCTCTGGCTTCCCTTCTCTCGGTCCCGCACCCGCACGACCTACACGCATGCACACACATATCCCACACATCACACATCACACATCCCACCTGCGATCGCGATTTCGAACCCAGACTCGGAGACACTGCAACCTGAACCTTCCCACTCACGCTTGACCCGAAGCTCATACTCTACGTCTAGGTCAACATTCCTAAGACCCGCCGGACTTACTGCAAGTCCAAGGAGTGCCACAAGCACACCCAGCACAAGGTCACCCAGTACAAGGCTGGCAAGGTGAGCAAAAAACCCCCCCACCCCGTGATCCGTGAGAACCAGCGCACTGATATTCATTCCCCTTCCCCCAGGCCTCCCTTTTCGCCCAGGGTAAGCGTCGTTACGATAGAAAGCAGAGTGGTTACGGTGGTCAGACCAAGCCCGTCTTCCACAAGAAGGCCAAGACCACCAAGAAGGTCGTCCTGCGTCTTGAGTGCACTGCTTGCAAGGCCAAGAAGCAACTCGCCCTGAAGCGCTGCAAGCACTTCGAGCTTGGGTACGTTTTTTCTCTTCCCCCGCCTCTTCCGTCCGCATTACCTCCTCTGGAGATGTACCGGGTCGAGTGTATATTTGTTTTTATGTGCGATTGGTACTAATATTCTTTCTTCTACAGTGGTGACAAGAAGACCAAGGGTGCTGCTCTGGTTTTCTAAGCGTGGAAGTTCCTTGTTCGGCTTGTGGGTTTCGCATTGCATCCTTCGCTGTGTTTGCGGAGGAAATATGATGGCAATGGAAAAAAGGAAATAGGATTTCATACCTTCAAAACAACTCAATGATTACCATATGATGTTTGCATACTCGACTGTAGATGGGTGTTTGGTGTAGACTACCGAGGTGTTTCCAATGTCCCGACTCTCCTAGGAATGACGGAGCCCTGGAGTGCTTTCATTAATCTATGTCCTATTCCCGATGTGAAGGTACCAGGTCAAACCTGTTCAGGGTAAGCTCGGAGATATGTACCTACTATCTACTAGTTAGTAGGTACAGTGAAATGAAGAGCGAAGTGCGCCACGACAGTCACTAGCACTAGGCTCACCGGAGCTTGCCTCATTTGGGTTGAAAAGCTTTATCTATAATAAATCCAAGAAGTCGAAAGTCGAAGGCGATATCAAAACCCGGCGCTCTTCTTAATTATCTCTAGAACCGGCTTTATCATTTCTTGCAAATGCTTTCCCAAGGACAATAAGTTTTTTCTCACTTTCCAGGCTATCTCCACAGAATCGACAACGTTCTTCACGTGGTGGTTCTTTTCGGTAACACTGCTCAATCACTACCCATGAAATTTCCATATTCGTTTCTGACAGCCTTGTGCTCTCGTATCAAGTGTTGGATGAAGTTATCCTTGCGCGCGGAAGCTAGCCCACACTCTGGGAAATAGCAGGTCCAAACTCCCGGTTGCCGGTGACTTTCCATTTCATGTCGCACCCAGTCTGCTTTGAGCTTGAAAGTCTTCGGATCGGGACAGTTGAGAAAAGTGCACATCGATGTCAAGGGTGACTCAATGATAGCCTTGTTGAAGACTGGAAATAGGCCAAAGGACGCGGCATAGTACAGTGGGTGCGTTTTTTCGATCATTTTGACTTCGACATACGGTGTTAGGGTCTACACCCAAACGCCGAAATTACCACGAGGGAGAGTCCGCGAACCAAAAAGCTTATCCACTATTTGATGGTCATGGTAATCAAAGTTTCGCGACTGGTACTCAAGAAGAAGCACCTGGACCCCTTAATGCAGATCAGCCCGAACGGCAATATCGAAGCAGAGCTGCCGACATACACCCATGGTGAACTGAACACATGCATACCCTCGACAGACAAGGTTTTTGGCCCAGCCTATTGCTTCATCTCTCTGAACGAATCTGAACTACTTTCAGAGTTCTATGTCAAACAAGCTATCAGATGTCTTCCATATTGTGGACAAGGGGGCATGGATACCTGATCCATATATTATGGGGTGCTTATTGCTTGTTCAGCCGCGAGGATCTTTACTCATTTGAAGAACTGGGAGCGGTTTCTTTGGACCCAAGATGTTTTTATTTGTTTAGAACGATGCTATTTGTTTGGAACGATGTGGTTTCGGGTTTGCTGCCCCATTTCGCGAGATTTGGTGGAATTATGAGGTTGAACATCACAGGCAAGATACCATCACGGTGCTGGATTTGAGAAATCTTTCGAAAGAGCACAAAGAAACTATATACGATGTGACGGAAAGCGAAAGCAGCAGCGTGTCATTGAGAAGAAAAGAAAAGAATTTAGAAAACCCCCATTTTCAGTGACAGTGACGCTGGACCAAAGTTCCCTGATATACTCGGCGCTCTTCGGAGATGCGTATGATATTCATTATATTCATTTGAAGACCTTAGCGGTCGCAGAAACAAGTTCTTCAAGCCACAGCCAAGCATCGGACTTCCTCCAGATCACCTACCTAACTAATCCTGGCGATGAGATGCGAAAGACAAAGGGCGTAGCCTATACCCAACGCGGCAACTCACCTCACCAGTCATGCCATTCTCCTCCCCACACCCACACCCCCACGCCGAGACCCTCCCAAAGCTAAGACCAACCATCGCCATCGACCCAATAAAAAGCCAAGAAAACCGAATACCCCAGAGAACACGCCCAAGGATGATTTACCCAAAGTTTCACTCGTCCAGGAGCAGCACCAACCGGAGCTGATCTGCTCGTATCTCGCTTCCCCGGACAGCGAGCGCACCCCCGCATTTGACAGAATATCATTGCCATCTCGGCTCTCCTCCGAGAAAGATGGCTGGCACCAACCGTGTCACCTACCTCGGGCTATCGGACAAGGACCGTGTGTCATGGTGATAGATAATGTCTAAGCCAGCCGCTGTCTGGAATGCAGAATTCCCCACACTCCACCTCCACCTTTTCTCTTTTCCCCGGATCTCAATCAAATCTCCCTCTAGCGATTTGACTGCACGACACTACACACCATGACGATGTGGTACTCGCTCGGGGTAGCGTTCTTCGCTGCCATCGGCACATTCCTCTTCGTATGTATTCACCATGACATAGCCTGTTGCTAGTTACTGGCTGTGCTATACCATGTATACCTTGAAATATCAGCTGATAAAGACCAGGGATTCGATACCGGGATCGCGACAACGAGTATGAGCCCCCGACCCGAGACTGCAAATTGAATCAGCAATTCTAATGATGAATAGCAATCGCTCACCAAAGCTGGATCGATTATATGGCCCAACCCTCCAAGGGGCTGACCGGTGCCGTAGGTCCAATCCAATCCAATCCCACCTGGGCACCCGTCCCGGGGCCCTTTGTCAAACCCCGCTAACAAGCACGCACAGGTCGTCGCAGTATATATCGCCGGCGAAGCCCTCGGCGCCTTAACACAAACATTCATCGGTGATAAACTCGGCCGTATCCGCTTCATGCAGCTGATGTGTATAATCGTGACAATCGGGACCGTCATCCAAACCGCCTCCGTGAATATCGGCATGTTCCTCGCCGGCCGAGTTCTAGCCGGATACGCTGTGGGGTAAGCTCTCTACAAACACAGACTCAAGCCTACTAGTAGCTAGGCCCACGCCAACTGCAGAAAGATCACTGACACCACGACGATGACAGCGGAATGGTCGCCACAGTCCCGATCTACCTGAGTGAAATCTCCGACCCACGCGTCCGAGGCCTAATCGGCGGAATATCCGGCTGCGGTATCTCCTTCGGTACAATGATGTCGAATTGGGTCGGGTTCGCGTGTAGTTATGCCCCCTACGGCCCTGTGCAATGGCGACTCCCACTCGGCATCCAGATCCCCTGGGGCGTGATCATGTTTATCGGATTGTCGACGTTTATGCCGAACTCGCCGCGGCAGCTGATTCGTAACGGGAAGGTTGAGGATGCCGCGAGGGAGTTTACGAGGATTCGACGTGGTTTCGAGGAACAGGAGGTTCAGCAGGAGTTTGCGCTTATGCAGGCTCAGATTGAGTATGAGATGGAGAGGGAAATCACTTCTTATAAAGAGATCTACAAGTTGTTCCGGTCTCGGGTCTTGGTGTATGTTTTTAACTCCTTATCCCCCACCCCCACCCGCGCTCCGCATTGCGCTATTTCCGTTTTTTGAAGCTTGATTATGGGGCGTATTAGGGGCTCAACGGGGGGAATTTGATTGGAATTATTGCTGATCAGGTTACTCCACTAGGTCTATTGCCGTGCAGACAATGACTAGTTTGACGGGCGTGAACGTTATCCAGGTATGTTAAATCGAACTGTCGAGATGCAGGCAGTCAGATGTGTACTAACATTTCACCGTACAGTATTATCAAAGTGAGCCAGATCTCTATTTTACCCAGTATAAGGGCATTCACAGGTAAAGATCCAGACTAACTGTTTCAGCAATCTTGTATAAATCCCTCGGCATCAATTCCCACTCGATTCTCGCACTGGCCGCCGCTTATGGGACCATCGCCTTCGTCTCCAACGCCCTAACGACAAAGTACCTGACAGATCAGTGGGGACGACGCAAGTACGTGAGCCGTTGGAACTGGAGCTTAACCTTTTCCCTTTCCTCCCTCTATTCGCTTTGCCTTTCCCCACATGCTAACGTCACGCACCGCAGGATGATAATTACGGGTCTAGCCGGAATCGTGCTGATCGAGATCTATGCGGCTGTCATGCAGCGAGTGTTCCAGAACACGGATAACCGCGTCGGCAAGGGATTTGCCATTCTCGGTATATATCTGTTTGTCGTGTGCTACTGTGAGTTTGACTTTGGCTCCACTTGAGAAGGGAAGCTGTCGAAGGGTGGAGAATGCTAGCTGTGGATGATTGACTGACATGCCTGCGTCGCGCTTGCTTAGATGGTATGCTTAATAGTACGACTTGGCTGTATGGAGCGGAGGTCTTGCCCATAGCCCTGCGAAGTAAAGTTATGGGGTTGGCGGCTGCGTCACACTTTATTGTTAATGTCGCGAGTGAGTTTGCGATCTTATCATGTCCACATTCAAGTTTATGAAAGACCCGCTGCTAATTTTTATTCAAGTCACCGAAGCGGGACCTAGTGCATTTGCCAATATCCATGAAAACTATTACTACGTTTTTGTGGTTTGTTCGGCATTTTTCTTGGTGATCGCATACTTCTTCTTCCCGTATGTTAAAATGATTGCTTTTCGCCCCAGGCATCCAAGGCATCAAACCAGCTAATTTATTTTTATCCAGGGAAACCAAACAAAAAACTCTCGAAGAAGTCGCTGCGGCATTCGGCGACCGTGTTATTGCCGCTGATGATAGTGCCAAGCGAGTGTCGCAAGTCGGTGAAGCTCAACACGTTGAATCGGCCCGGAAGGCGGAGCCCTGAGCGTGCCTCACCGATGTCGATGGTGAGTATTGACCATTTGCAGCTCTGTAGGAAATTACTAGTACTTTATTGAGCAAAACCAATGAGAAATGTGGAATGTGAACATAGAATCTATGTGTCAAGAGAGTCCTTCCTAGTTGAGAAGAAGCCACGAGGCATAAACGTAATATTGATTTAGAATTCGGATGCAGAACACTGCACCTGCATAGCATCGAGGAGAATATGTAAAATACACAAAGTACGTGGCGACGGACAAAAGGAAGCACACCTACACGCATAAACACATACAGGTTTCAATTCAGCCGCCCTGAACTAGATCGACTGTAGCTCTATTAGGAAGAGGTAGAATGGCCCCTTGGACTGGACAGGTCAACTTTCGGAAGGGAGGCTGGCCCACGGGATTTCCTCGGGAAGATCGGAGATCTGACTCCAGGGCCTCTGATCCTCCTGAAACGCGATCGCCCTGGGGAATTTCCAGATGGAAACACGCGGACACGACATGGGCTCGGTAAGGTCAAATTGTTTGGCTGCTATGGATCATAGTGTTTTGCCCGATCAACTAGTCTTGTCTCTTCCATCCGAAAAACTCTATCACCACGCGTCTGTTCCCGTACCATGCTCATGTTGGTGATCGCTAGTCTCGTGTTTTGTAAGTGGGAAAAAGAGTCCGATCGGCGGGTAACGCTACGCTATTCGCCACGACTGATTTCATACTGCTCTGTCAATCTCTTCCCCGTCTGTCTCTAGTACATTCTGGATGCTGCCCGGAGTAGTACGGAGTACTACATATTCCCTACTGTGGATTTATGTAGGGACACTGTGCTTGAATTGATATTTTTCATAGAGAATTCTTGCTCTAGAATGTCAGTCGTCGGCAAAGCGTCGGCTCTGCGCTCATCCCCCTTCAAACTTTATCGCCAGGAACACGAGGCCCGAGCCCTCGCTAACGTCGATAGTTCGCACACATTCCGGGGGACACCATGTGTGCGATGGGGGATCCCTTGCTGATCGGAAACGGACAAAGAGTCTAACTGCCGTCTATTGATCCGCAATGGAAGATCTTCAGGTCTTTCATGACAAAAAGAACAATATTAAAAAGTCCGAGCCATGAGACGAAGAGGTATTCACGGTAGTTTTGTAAATGTAGTATGTACACCTCCAACATCACCGCCCGCGGGAGGCCCAATAGGGTAGTCTGTTTTCATCCACATACGTAACCATGTACTCCTACACAGATACGGTGTAGCTACACTGATTCATGCACAGATGGATACTCTGTCTAGGTATCCGTACTGGGACTAGGTGTAGGGCTACCGTTGGATCACTCTCGATAGTTCCAGCCCCAGTTCAGCCCCAGCCCCAGCCCTAGCCTGAGCCAGCAGTGTGGTTTCAAATCCCCAAGGGGAAGGTGACGTCTCCGGGGGACCGGTAAGCGTCAGAGTTTTCAACAGGTAACAGAGCTGCCTCGAGTGACATGCTTAATTATGGCTCAACTACTCCGTAGATGCAGGAATGTGGCTCATGGAGGCGCATGCCATCTCTATCAAGTTAGTGCGTCTCCAACTGCCATCGTAACGCAGTGAATCACAAACTAGTATGATCGACGCTTGGACCGCGGTGGCAAACCTTCTCGCATCAACCCCCAATCATTGCACAAAACAACAATAATAATCGCCCGTAGTCATCACGGCATAAGCACAACAACGCGTGTTGTGCCGTCTTGGCGTGTCTTTCGGTCTCCTCCACCCTTCTCCAAGCCGACCTTGACTCCGGCCATCCGAATACAGGCCCGAGCGACTCCCTGCATCAACAGCATCGGACCAAGGGGTGATGACGATGATATGCAAGGTGACACGATCGCACTCTACAATTTTACAATTTTGATGTCTCGGTTGGTTCTTCGGCAACTAGAAGCATGGAAGCATGCCATGCCATTTGCTATCCCCATACTACCCCCTGCACCCAAGCACCAAAATAAAAGCAAATAAAATGAAATAATAATAAAAAAAACCTTGATCCACAGACCCATTCGATGGGTCTTCTAGAAGCCTTCTATGCGCCCCACTCTTCGGGCGTTCCGCGCTATTCGAGTCTCCTAGTTTCATTGAGGTATGCTGTCACTCTTCCGGTGCATTTTAGCTACTTTCGGAGTGAAGAAAGGGGCGGCGGCGCTTCAGCTCGTCCGGCTAAACACTCGCCATGCTCAAAGGGTTGCCTCCTCTCATTTAACTTGACCGCGAGTGTGGATTGGGTCAAGAGGGTTTATACAAATGAGGCATCACCTTCCCCATTCTGTATTCTTTAAAGATCTCGATTTCCCACCCCGCTCATCTGAAAAGTGGGTTTTTTATATCATCTTGGTCCATCGTCATCCTCTTTTTACAGTGATCCATTTTTTCAGATCTATGGGCCCATCTTTCTAGAACGGAGAAGCGAGAAATCAGACTTGTCCAATCAAGACCCTGGTCCACCCAAACGCCCCCATCGCCACGTTTATCTCCGTCCGAAGCCCGTGACATCGTGCCATGTCCACTTGAGAAAAAAAGGATTTTGCCATTCACAGAGATCTTGATTCAGTGCGGAAGAAATCTCCTTCCACTGGGTCGTTGTCGGTGCTTGATCCACGAATTCGGTCATCATTCCATCTACGAACTACATCAACGTCTGAGCTCCAATGTCTTCATCATCCCGCTCCACCGGGAAACGTCTCCCCATCAGCTGTCAAGCGTGCAGAACGCGAAAGATCCGCTGTTCTCGTGATGGAAGACCCTGCCAGACCTGTGTGCGAAGAGGTCTCGGCGCCGAGGACTGCATCTATCTCGGCCAACCCCGACTGTCAACAGAACAATCATCCACCACCGACCAAACAGTTCAGAACGAACTATTAGCCCGCATAAGAAACCTAGAAGGCTTGCTTCAAAAACAGGTCAGCTCACAAGCTGGAACGCCCACGGGTGGCGCCACTTCCCCGCTAGGTGGTGGTGCCCCCAGTGTCACGGGCTCATTTTCCGAGTCTGATGTCGGTGCCTTCGAAGCGTGGGGTAGTCCCATGCTCGGGAATATTGGAAATCTGCAGACCTCGCCTTCTGGTCATGTGCGGTATGTCCCACTGGCTTCGCAGTGGGAATCTGTTGTTGCGAAGAGCCCCGCGGCGGAGTGTTTGCGGAGTTCCGAGGCGGATATCGCGGACGATGACGATCTGCAGATCCCGCTGGCGAAAAATGGGAGTATCTCGCGCGCGGAAATTTTGGCTCTTCTTCCGCCGAGTCGGTATTGTGATAATTTGAAAGAAGTTTATTTCCGTGTCTTCTCACCGGTAAGAAAATAACTAGCGGTGAATAAAGTAAAAATGGAAAGTGCATGGCTAACTCTGGATCTGACTAGGTCTTCCATATTCTTCATGACTTGACGTTTGAGGCGGAGTATCAGCAATTTTACCATGACCCGGGAAGTGTCTCGACATCATGGCTGGCCCTGATGTTTGCGATGCTCGCTATTGCCGTTAGCGCATTGGAGGACGATGATCCTCTTCTATCTGATCTTGGCCGTGAGAGAACGGTCAGTCGAAATATCAAAGTGCTTTCAGCACGGTATCGCTCTGCTGCACTCAGATGCCTGGCTTCTGATGGGGTTATGACTCGTCACTCGATTAACTCCCTCCAAGCGTTAGTTTTGATCAGCTATGCACGTCTCCACCGTGGTCTGCCCTTCTGGACACTATTGGGCTTTACTCACCACGTCGCGATTTCCATGGGATGTCATATTGATCCAGAGAGATTCCCACTGGGTCCTATAGAGCGAGAAGAACGACGACGAGCCTGGGCCGGAATGATGATGCTATATACCATTCAAAATTCCTCATTCGGAAGCCTGGATCAGTCGATGCTTCCCCAAGATGTGAAGATGCCCATTGATGTCGACGACGTTGACCTCCTCACTGGCTCCGGTCTCTCATCAACCTCATCACCCTCTCTCGCACGCCCAACTCAAATGACCTACCTTCTCCTCTCTACCCGTCTTCACAAAGTCTCCAACAGAATCTGCGAAACCATCTTTACCTACCCGCAATCAAGATTTAGCTCCTCCCAGCTCGAAGCCGAGCTCTACTCCATCCGTGAAATCTGTGACGCACGCTACCAAGATAGCAACGGTAGCCAAGAGTCGCTTCCAGTACACCACCAAGCAAACCTCCGCATTCTCCACAGCCACATCGACCAACTCTTCTTACTCCTTCTCCGGCCTAAGCTTTGCCGCTTCTTGCAAGGCGAAGTCACGACCGAAACAATTACCGCGCGGGGAAAATGCATGTCCATGGCCAAGAGGTCACTATCTAATTTCCAGACTCTATTGGAATCTCCACAGTTTACAGCGCCGTATAAATGGTATACAAGCGGATTGGGTAGTTTCCATGCATTCCATGCCGCCGTGGTTCTAGCCATTGGCCTCATGAACCCGGAGAGCTCGTCTGAATTCGACGAGATGAAGGAAACTCTCAGCAAAGCGCTGGATCTATTTGCATCATTGTCCGTGAGAAGTATCTTTTGCAGTAAGGCGGTTCCCGTCGTACGACAGATTGTGTATGTTTCTCCTATCTCACATTCCCATTTCACTGGGTATGAAGAGTGGTTGCTAATGGTTTATAGTGAGGTTGCATCAACACAGTATACCCAACTTCAGAAACAGCAAGCCCAAACCGAAGCCCGGGCTCAGTCTCAGACTCCTATTCAATCTCAAACACCCATCCATCACCCTCAAATGTTTACTACTCTCCCGCCATCCCTTTCATCCATCGCAATCCCTGACAACTACGCCTTCTCTCACTCGCAGTCCCTCTCTCCTGTCCCGACTGTTTCTTCCTCCTGCAGTGACCCGACCATGCAATCAAGCTTTGGAGTCCATCTACATCCGCAAAATTGGCTTGCTCCTACTTCTGTTCCGTGGGACTCTCTTGGTTCTTCGGTTGGCCATTATGGGTTTGAGTCTGATGCTACTATGTAAGGGATCTTCTCCAGCCAGGTGGAGGAGTCTTCATATTTTCCCCTTCTTTTTTTTTTTTTTTTTTCTGCATTTTAATTTTCCGGAAAAGTCTTTCTGGCGCGGATACGAATATGGATATGGATCTGTCTGGGTGGTGGCTTTGTCTTTAGATTGATGCTTGATGAGACCATGATGAATGTGTGTTTTATTATTTCTATTTCCAAGGTTCTTTATTTAAAAAATCCATTAAGTGAAAGAAATACCAGCTACTAGGCGATACTACCCAAGTACTGCTGTACTCCGTGCTACTTAACTAAAGCCAGTTAAAGCCAGTTAAAGCCCGCCAAGGCTGGTTAAGCCCTCCAGCCACACCCGCCAATCACGCCCGCAGGTCCAGCCACGCGTGCCGATCTCTTCTTGTCTTCCACTTCTCTCCTTCTCCCACTTCTTCCCTTCCCATCCACTTCCCAAACCCTCATCTCTAAGCGAAGTCATCGTTACATGATCATCCACTCTTAAAATTGCGTGCGCTTTAATCCGACCAAAAACTTAATCATGATAAACAACACACTGTGAAGACACCATGGAAAGCCCCAGCGCAACACCAGTGCGGAGACGGAGACCACCACTTGACCCGCTATAGCCTGCGCGTGCAGGCCATGCGGTCGCTGATTTGAGTCGTCGATCATTCTACTTTCGATCATCACGGCCCACCTTAGCGTGCAGGACTTTGCTCTAGTGGATCTGTTTGGTCCGTCCCTTCACATCCCTTCACATCCAACCGGTCACTGCGTGTACCTTGTGCCTTCGGCATGCCAGGGTACCTGTCAATCTACGTAAATCGCACCATCCTCTCCATGGAATGAATATGCGTGATCCAATCGGGTGGTCTATATTTCCACCTGACCCATCCTTAATGGATACTCTATCGAAGCTTCCATGCCTGCCTACCCCGCAGCACGCAGGAGGGTCGGAGCTGGCCTACACCGCGATCGAGCGAGACGATGATCAGAGAAGCTACACGTGGGATGCGAACAGGTGCTGGCTTCATCGGAGCGAAGGCCGGCGTTGCACATGGGCTCCGTCCGTGATAAGTATAAAAGTCGGAGGGATTTCGAAACAATCTCTTCTTTCAAACGCACATCTTCTCATACCAGGATCTCATCATGCATCCTAGTGCTCTTGTTGGTCTACTGGCCTTTGCGTCCGCTGCTGCTGCGGTGCCCAAGGGTGGTCGCTCCAACGCGCATTCGCAAAGCTCCATCAAGAACTTGAAGAGCGTTATCAAGAATGTTGTTGTTCTGGAGCTGGAGAACCGCTCCCTGGATAACTTGCTCGGTGGCCAGACTATCAAAGGACTTGAGAATCCCATCAACAATGGTCCCTTCTGCAACCCTTATAACTTGACCGACGCCTCCCAGGGCCAGGTTTGCAGCGCCGCTAAGGACTTCGATTCCATTCTCGACGACCCTGATCACTCGGTCACCGGCAACAACATTGAATTCTACGGCACTTTCAGCCCTAACAACGAAGACATCGCCAGTGGCAAGCTGATCCCAGGTCAGAAAGGCTTTGTGCACGAGCAACTGCGCAGCCATGCGGGCGACCTCGCCAATAAAGATCTTGCCAAGCAGGTTCTCAACTACTACACTGAGGATGAGGTACCAGTCTTGACAAGCCTGGTCCAGAACTACCTCACCTTTAACCACTGGCACTCAGACCACCCTGGTGTAAGTCTTATATCTTCTCTGAAGCGCGAAAAAACATCCAGGATATCAACTTACACACCCTAGCCCACCAACCCCAACCGTGCCTATGTTCTCTCAGGAACCTCAGCTGGTCATGGCACAAACGATGACGGATTTGATGCCGACACCCACAGTCTGACTCAGCGCACTATCTTCCAACAACTCTCCGAAACAGACCACACCTGGAAGAACTACTACACAGACGCCGACACCGGCATGGTCGACTTGTGGTTCTTCGACTGGCCCTTCACCAGCGGCAACGACAAGCTCGCCGTACCAATGAAGGACTTCTATTCCGATGCCGCAGCCGGCACCCTCCCTGAATTCAGCTTCCTCGACCCATCCTGCTGTGGCACCGGCACCAATTCCATGCACCCAACAGGCTTAATCTCCGACGGCGAAAAGTTCATCAAAGACGTCTACGACGCCCTCCGCGCCAGCCCCCAGTGGAATGAAACCCTCTTCATCCTGACCTTCGACGAGACTGGTGGTTTCCACGACCACGTCCCGCCGCCTCTGGCCCCGCGCCCGGATAACCTCACCTACACCGAGACCGCGCCGGATGGCTCGAAGTACGAGTTCGAGTTCAACCGACTCGGCGGACGTGTTCCTACTATCCTTATTTCCCCCTGGGTTGGAAAGGGCCTTGTTGAGCAGAAGGGAACTAACTCGAATGGCAAGACTGTATCGTACTCTGCTTCGTCGATTCTCAGGACTCTGGGTTATCTTTGGGATTTCGATCCTTTTACGCCCCGTGTTGGTGGCTCTGCTTCTTTTGATCATTTGATTCGCTCTTCTAAGCGCGATGATACCCCGCAGGCTCTGCCTGAGCCAAAGGCCTTTAAGAAGTGAAGGCTTACATTCACTGGGTCGATGGTGAGATGGTTGGAGATAGATGAATAATTATAGACTTATGAATGAAAACTTCATGAATAATGACTTTTGGTCTATACAGTCGATGAGAAAATCTCCAGCGATACTACTAGTACGTTACTCGGGGAATTGTGTCGAGCCGAGGGCATTTAGCGCAAGCAGAGAAGCTCTATGTACATGTTTTGTAGATCTTGGCAATAATCAATAATGGAAGGGTTCTTATGACAGAGCTCATGACTTGGAAAGATATGCTTTGGAGGCCCGGAAAAGGGGCCCAGATGAGATATTTTTCTGATCGTGCTAGCTTGTTGAAAAAGGTCAGGCCCTTGTACTACTATCTATGTTGAAGAACCGAACCTGATCAAGGTTCTGACTATTGGGTTGCTGGGCACTCTTTAACAAACCATCAAAGATGAATAAATTCACTTGAGTGATTAGAGAGTAGTATAAGATAGCAATAAAAGTTTCCATTTGTATTTCAAGCCATCAGCAAAGAAAAGCTATGTAGAATATCATCAATTTTAGCAAAGGAAAAAAGAATCGTCCATGCCAGCAACCCATTTTGCCATGAGGCTCCAAAAAGGCTACCTAGTAGTATTGAGCTCGTACGGTTCCGTAGCTCATGGAGTTCATTTGCACTTCAAAGAGCAAAGTTATGCTTTGAGGCGTCAGAACCATATTGTAGTTGACACGATAGTACTGAATTCCCCGAGAATTCGTATGAATCTTAAATAATTTCTTTGGGATCTTGCTCAAGTCTGATTCGAGCCTACAATGCTGAGCCACACCTATTTACAAATTAGTATCATGATTTTCTTAAGATACATACTCTTTTGGAAGAACTCACCATTTCCAAAAAGGGCTGGCGCTTTCTCCATTACACAGACATGCAGATAATCGTGGAACACGAATGAACCATCCAGAGGAACAGTTCTGTAAAAAGGAAAGGATACTGGCTTTCCCTCAGAAAAAGCATCGCCCTTTGAGAGTTGTCAATTTGAGATTTTAATTTCGTAGTTGGTGCAAATAGAGTGGTTTCTTACTCTGTGAATGTACCACCGCATATTACCATTAGCTTTCCATCTCTCTTCGTATGGACACCAAAATCTATCTTTCTTTTTGTGAAGATTGGAATCAAAATAGGTGTGATATATCACGCCGTAGTGACAGCGAGATTTACGTTCTTGGATTTGGTTTCCTTCAAACCCACGGTAAACAGCACCACTGCAATCGTCAGTACTTTCCTACTTCCCAAGGGGTCTATATGCAAGCAATTTCACGACTCACCGAACAACAGCAGACCAGCTAAAGATGCGCCAAGTGAGATTAGTGACGGGACATAACATTATCGCAATAGGTCACGTACGCATTCTTTGGTTGCATGATATCAAGCCCGTCAAATCGTTTTGATAGCCTCTTGTAGAGATACTCCGATGCACCAAGACCGCCAACAAGGAAAATAGCCTGCTAGATATCAGCACTATTTATCATGGAACTATAGTTGCAACTCACCTTTGGAGCTGCACCGGCCTTGATGGCCTTTTCTTGCTGGCCGTAGATCAGAATCTCAATTTTCTCCACCACAGCGTCAAAGATCTGCTGAACATCCTCGCTATAAACTCATCAGCATTTATTTCTCTAGTTGGTAGTCCTGTAATTACTTTTCCAAATGAAGCATACCCTGATAAATTTGCTTCTCCGGGAAATCTGGAACACCCGGAATGGGTACCGTGTAACCCGCGTCAAGGAATTCGTCTTTTTCAGGACCCGAATACGAAGGCTTAATGTCGTTCTGCCACTTCAGGAGCGCATGGCGCTTACTAGAATCGGGCAATCCTAGGTATCGCGTTTCCCCAACTGCATTGGACAAGAAAGCCTCGAATCGCTCATCCAGCATTACTGAGCCACATACCTCTCCTAGGAAATGGTGGATCAGCAAAGCAAATAAATATGTATTCTAGAGAACAACCTGTGCCCTCTACGATTTCCTCCATCCTGATCGGTTCCGTTTGCGTAATCCGATAGGTGATAAGGTCCTATTAGATGGAGAATCGTTAATGCGTAAATCAATTACTTTGGTGAAAACATACCACGGTTCCGCCGCCCGCGTCACAGACTATGAAAGAATCACCTTTCTAATACTGATTAGCTAAGTTCTCATATAATATTTCGATACGTACGGCGATGGAGTTTGCCTGGATTGTGCGAATAGTATAAATTGCGGCTGCCTCAGGCTCAGAGAGGAGAAGGAGACCAGACTCCGGGATGCCAGCGCGATGGGCGGCTTGCATGGTCAAATCTTTGGCCTTGTCGGACCATATTGCTGGCACGGTCAAGATGTACTGAACATCCATGTTCTTCATCAAACTGGCAATTCCTCGTCGTTCGAGAATGCATTTGGCATGTGTGAAGATCTCCTTCAGATATTCAGCTGCAACATCAACGGGGGTTCGAAACATCTTCTCGATAATATGCTCGCTTTCGATAGCAGGCCCAAACTTCAGCTCCTTACTCTTATCCAGCAACAGTTTTACGCCCCTCACTGCTTCTTTCATTTCGTCGACCTGATACCCCCATCTAACATGGTCATATTGGTATGCAAGAACAGAAGGAGCCTTTGGTGAGGTGACTTGTACAACTTAGAACGATAGTAGTCCATAAATAGAAGTTAGCGACTCACCATTAAACTTTCCAGGCCATTCCTGAATAACCTCAATATCATCATCACCCTCCAGCCCCCAGCAGATGCTGCAGCAATCAGCGAAGAGCCCATCTATTTATGGATACTGACGTAAAAATACCCGCTAAAAGTGGTGCCAAAATCTATTCCTACCACAAGTTTGATGCGCTTGTCGAGCATAGGAACTGTGATGTCTGCCATGATGCTTGAGTGAAGTGTGCTGCAAGGAAAGGGTGGATTCCAGTTTGAACATGAATTACGAATGCGCCCAAGAATTCTGTTTAATATTGATGGTCGATGATGTATGCCCGATCCAAAATGAGTGGCGGTTACAGCTTTCACCATAGAGCGGGTCATTAAATAGTAATCAGGACAAAGAGCCCGCTGCGGCTTTCGCCGAACCAACTTTGATATTCTTTTTTTATCAAGTTTTCTCACATATTCTGAAGTTCTTCCTACCTGCAGACCAGCCTACGTCTTGAAATACCCACTCTCATAGCCCACTTCTACCATCTTCCTTCAATCAGATCTGTTGCTGCAGGAAGACGTCAAATTTGTCCGAAACCTTTGCAAAGACTAGTCCACCACCATGATACATGATTGGGTTCTAAACTCCTGGCTTTCAAACAAATATACCGGTGATGCCAATACCGGTGATATCGCCATCAGGAATCTTGATTTCAATGATGTTGATACCCGTGATGCCGAACATATCTGTTTCAGTCGTCAGTTGAATGAAGAATCAAAGGAAGGTTAGGATACATCATGATTTCTATGATAACTTTTCCTTATGTGAGCTTTAAACCCGCTGATGCATAAAAAGGTTCTAATACAGTAGAAATTTCCGTCACCAACCTGAAAAGAGATTGTGGGAAGTGTAAAGAGGCGAAAGTGCAAAGGAGTTTGCTCATGAAAGCCTTGGAAAAGCAAGTGGCAAGGTGTAGTGAACTTGAAAATGACCTTAAATGGAGCACTCAAGCCCGATATGACATTCATAAACGGTTAGACGAAGTCATGCGAAAGGGCAAAGCTGCAAATATTGCCCAGATTGCTGCAGAAGAGAAATTTCGCCGGCAGACCGAGATCATGGAGCAGCAGACTGCAAAGATAAGTGAACTACAGCAAGAAAACACAATGCTCCTTTTGCGGCAAAGGAAAATCCAGAAATCAACGGACCAAGCCGACGACGACGAGCTCAGTCAAGTTTTGAATGGTCTTTACCAAGAGCTTGAAGGATGGGCGAATCGCCATTTTCCTCAGGGAGATACTCATGCTCAAAATTCCTGCTGGATATATGGAGCAGTATCCTGCCTGATTTTCAGCTTTTACTTGCTGAAGTTCTGGATTGGTATGAGCAACACTGAGGAAGAGCTGATCGCGAGCCACAAAATCCAATCAATCAGCGCAGAGGTCCAAAAAATGTGTGAGTAAATTCCCGAAGCCATCGAGTACATACCCTACTTTTGCTGATAGATCTATCAAGTCCCATCATACATCAGACAGCATTTTTTTGCTGCAATTAGCAAGGCGGCGGTCTCAATCAACAACGAATCCCTACGTGCTAGCGTCGATTACCTGGCTGAATTGGTTGAGTCTAAAGTCGGGAATCAATCACCTACATGTCAACAGAAGCGGAGAGAGCAGTTGAAGACTTTGATATGGAAGTTTGTGGAATTTAAAGCAAGATTGGAATGCCAAGTCAATCGATATATGATTGGACAGTTCCGACCTAGCACTTCATTTAACGAAAAGAAAATGATCAGCTTTGGCGGACAGTCTGGCGCGGACATTGTGGTTGACTACACCCTTTCACAGGCCCTTTATAAGCTTTCGGTGGATGGTGACCCAATACTTCTCCTGAAGGCACGCGTGAGTACCCGTCAGGCGAGCGAGCACGCAAAATTTGCAACGAATCCCATGTATGCAGCTGAGCGATGGATGAATGTTTGAACTAACGGACTTGCAATTCTGGCGATAATGTTGGGGGGTTGGGATAGGCTAAGCAACATTTATATTCTCCAGGGCTTGATGCAGTTCAAAGTATTTCCGGTACTACAATGTGGAGTATTTTAGCTAGTTATTTTTTTTCAACGTTTATACTTTGCGAGCCTTGAGATTGCTTGAAAAACTTTGAAAATTGAGTGTTTTGCTTGACATTATTCAACGAACGACCCGAACTTAGCTCGTTAGTATCAAATAAATCGCTAGCCCGGTGACCAGTACTCTTATGGCTCTCTCCATAGGAAGCACGCCATCTCGCGTCAATTTTCGAAGAATGAATAACTGCTCCAGGCTGGAAAAATGATTTAACCTGACTAACATGCAGATCCAGGGCATTCTATATCGATGTTTCAATGATTTTACTTAGGCATCGAATATTTCAGTACATAATACTAAGCACTAAGACCAATCTAGATCTTAACTTTAATTTCAAGCGCGATGGATCCCGTCATTCTCGTATTGAACACGCGCTAACACACAACCCCACGATGGAAGGGGCAACTTATGATGGGTATCCCCTCCAGGCAGACTGAAGGATTTGAGATATAAAAACCGTATTCTCCTTCGACCAATGGAAGTTAGACCATTTATATATACCCCTTCCCATCTACTGCTGGCATCTGCGCTCTTTGTGATATGGTGGATCTGCATCCGCCTTTTCTCAGCAACAAACATGGCATCTTCAAATCCATCATCGACTCCCACCGACCCCCACATTCTAGGCAACGCACATCGCGACAAAGGACTACTAAACGAGGCTGAACAGATGTACACCCAGGCCTTAGCCGAAAGAGAGGCAAAGCTTGGACCAGAGCACGCCTCGACCATCGACACCGTCAACAACCTGGGTGTCATCTACTGCAGGAAGGGCAGACTCGACGAGGCGGAGCAAATGTATACCAGGGCTCTGGCCGGAAGAGAGAACGATCTAGGGTCAGAGCATACGGCAACTCTCGACACGGTCAATAACCTTGCGATTGTCTACTGCTTACAGGGACAGGTAGACAAGTCGGAAAAGATCTTCCTTCGAGTCCTATCTGGGCGGGGGAAGCAACTTGGAGAAAATCATGCGTCAACCATCGATACCCTCAACAATCTGGGAAACCTATACATCGCACAGAAAAAGCTGAACAAGGCGGAAACAATATATCTACAGGTCCTGGCTAGGAAAGAGACGCTGGAAGGGGACGACGACGTCGCAACCCTCAATACTGCCAACAATCTTGGAAATCTGTATTATTCCCAAAGAGAATTCGACAAGGCAAAGCAGATGTACACGCGAGCGCTAGCGGGTACCGAGAAGGCCTTTGGAAAGGGTCACCCCTTAACCGTGGAAACTCTCAATAGCCTCGGAAAACTGTATAATGCGCGTGGAAATTTGGGGATGCCAGAACGAATGTATTTGCGGGCGCTGGATGGTGCTGCGAAGGATCTGGGTCCGGATCACCCCTCGACATCAGAGACGGTCACTAATCTTGTAGACCTATATTGCGCCAATGGAAGGATGGACATGGCCCGACAGTTGCAGGAGAGATGGCTTCGTATGTGACATTTGAATCTAGCAGCAAAGTAGGCACGAGCCTCAGTCATTTTGGATATTTGAACCAAGCCCCCTTTGTATCTTGATTGTTTGAACAGTTGGGACACGTGTATTGAAGACGGTTTAAGGGGTGCTGGATGAGTGTGCAGAGACTGTGATGATGAAAATCCAACAGTATCCTTTGTCTTTGCACCCCGGGAGGACTGTATCAATGCAATTACCGTAGCGGAAAAGTTTCTCACAGAATAGAATAATTCTAGTCGGTCTTGTCACTCTAATAGATTAGATCATTGACTCATATTCAATGTACGCAGCATCGGCTATCGGCGCAAATGCCATCCTGCGGCTTCCTGTGCGGCTCCCATCTACACGCAGTATATGCTGGATCGCTTATTATAGGCGTGGCAGTGCTTTAAATTTCCATACACTCTATATTCGACCCGGGCAAAGTCGAAGTTTGCACTGACGAGTGAGAGGTCGCACACGCCTGTGGACGAGGAAATGGCTGTGATTATCAGGATCACCCGGGCAAATCCTTCGGAGGCATACAAAGGTCTGACCGATGGAGACGCTTTATCGGCGATTTGAGCGAAAGTTCAAAGCATTTTATTATACTGTGAACCTTTCTCATCGAGTCCGAGTCTTTCATAGCTATAAAGGCTGCGGATAACTCTTGCAAATAGGTCATAGTCCATACTTCAGCAACAGAGCTAGAGGGGAGTACGAGCACTAGTGTCAGCGACTCGATAGTTAATCATAGCCTGTACTTCTCACGCAGATTGAGTTTCAAGCTTTTGATGTTCCAAGTTGTCACACTCGTTTCATTGGTAGCGTCCCATCTCCCTCTTCAGAGAATGGCAAATGTGACGCCAGGTTATCAACAACAGCGAATGGGAAACATACATTGCTTCGAGTGTCCCGGCGGTAATGGGAACTCTTTTGAGTTTCACGCAATGCTTATGAATATATTGAGCGAGTCATCGATGCGAGTCTTTAACTGGGCGTCCAATGGCGTATGATTGAATACGAAAAGTACGCTATCACAACGAGGGTCGGCTGCCTTTTCAAAATTTAGGTTTATGATATTCACTTTGTCCATATACTGATATACGAAGGGAAGCTGAGAATCGAGGCATAATTCTCATAGCCTCTTGAAGTATAGACCCAACAAATGCCCATCTTCCGACTGAAGCGTGTGGAGTCGATTGGATGCTTGCCCGACCGTAGTATAATGGATAATAGCAAACTCTCCTTTCGAGATGCGATTAATGCAACCGTACTCGCGCTCTTTGTTTTCGACACAAAGTCAAAAGCCAGTCATAATGCGTAATGTTTATTGAAGGAGCCTAAAGTGGGACTGGACAAGGGAAGTCGGGCTGCTCTTTGTATCCCAATCCTGTATGAGACGTTTCATACCTGATACCAACCCTGGTCAACGACATTGCTCGCACACGGGATAAAGGGGAAACTAGCCCCCGAAAAAAGAATGGATTTAGCATCATATAGATGCCGAGTACTCCATACTCCGTATTCCCATCTCACTTTTGGGACTTTTGAGGGAAGAGAGGTTGACGTCAGCTGGGGCCATCAAGATTTTGAACCGGCCTGCTGCCGTGCCTCGTATTACTCGTGTATGCATCGACAGTACTTGTGACCGGAGGCAAAAAGAGCCGCGTGTGCCACTTGGGTCCTGAGGTCCATTATGGTGCATAGGGCTGGAGAGAATGGAGACCGGAGAAAGTCTCCTCGGGTATTCTAGCCTTTCCGTACTTTTCTAGCGTTGAGACTTGTGCAGAGACAACCGCTCGGCAGTGCTGGAGTCCGCAGCTAATCGGTGTATGGATGTATATGGTGTATTATGGCGTATCAGGGTGTATTATGGTCATTATCATGGCCACACGATGTGCTCGTATCTGTTTGTCATCCACAATGCCCCGCGCCTGACGTCATTGGTGCAACGAGTCGCCCGTTGCCCATCAGGGACAGGGCTGGACAAACTTGATTGCTAACCGGCCGAGGCGGTTGCATAGCGGCAGATATCCGTCCCTGTGTACAACATGGCCAAGGGGCAGGACTCGAAAGGCAGGTGTCGCAGTGTCGCAGTGTCGCAGCCTTTCAACCATTCCACCCCGAGCCCCGAGGTTGTGGCAAAGGCCAAGGTCAAGGCCAAGGTCAGTGGGGAAGAGAGGCGCAGTGCAGCGCCCTGTTTTGTTGCAGGTTGCGCCCGGCTTGCAGCAAGTTCTATAAGGCGATCGAGTCAAAGTGCTTTCACACATGTATGGATGTATGGATGTCTGCATTGATGTAGATGGGTTCCACTGTACCAAAGACTGGGCAGGGCATCCATGGGCGCGAACGGGAGCGAACCAGACGGGGCATGTGTAGAAAGTAAACAAATCCAGAGAGTCGTTGATTCAGATGTCAGCCATTGCAGACCGATAGTTCGCCACAAAGTGAGTAGGCAAAACAGTGGGTATGTGAGGATATACTCGGTGTGGTGGTTGAGGGTTGAGGGTGAAGGTGAAGGTGAAGTAGAAGGAGCCTCACGTGGCGCTTCGCTTCTTTGCCTCTTTCACTTTCACCTTCACCTCTACCATCTTTTCTTTACCCTGAACCTCCATCACTCATCACTCTTAACTCGACTCAATCCTTTCTTCTTCCTTCATCTCATCTGATTCCTCTCCTCTCTTGCTCCTCCCTCTTTTGCTCACTCCACTCCTCCATCTGCTACTGCTAGCTCTGCCGATCTGAGAGCCTCACAGTTTCAGGCATCAGCCCAACCCGACTCAACGGCTCTACGCCCCTGACGACTGTTGAACTGCCTGAATCGTCTCCATCGTCTCCTCTCATTCCTTCCATTGCCTTCTGGAAATCCCCAATCGGATTCCGCCTGGGTTTCCCCCTCAGACACTAGTCGATCACAGCCTCTTGCACAACCCCACTTCCCTGCGCCCCCCCCAAATTCTGTGCAGTGCAGTACAGTGCTGTGCAGAGTGCATCCTGCCTCCCGTGCCCCTCTGTCTCTGACATCTGTGGCCCCTCCTCCACCTTCATCCTTTTTTTCCTTCCTTATCTCCCCTCTTCCCCTCCATTCCCTTTCCCGTCTCCCCTCATTCCTATATCTTCCTCCGAATCCCGAGTACAATGTCGTACTACCGAGATGGAGGCCACGACGACCGCCCCGTCACTATCAAACGTTACGTCATTCCATCAGACGAACGAGAAGAGCGTCGCGAGTTCTCCATGAGTCGTGACGATCCTTACAACGAGCGAGAGCTCGTCATCCGTCGCAAGACCGAGTCGGACGAGCCTTTGTCCGTTCGGCGCTATGAGCGTGATGTTGAATACGACCCGCCCGCTCGCCGCTACGAATACAGCGAGAGAGACTACTATGAGCGTGAGTACCCAGATCCCTACACACATCGCCACATCTCCCGGTCCGCAGAGCTGCTTCGTGCACCGGTTCCCAACCCGGCCCCTACTATCATCATTCACGATCAGCCAATAATCGTTCATTCAGCCCGCAATGTTTACGCCAGCCCCCGCGAATCCGAGTACGATGTGGTCCGCCGATCGGACGCCGAAGAGGACCCCTATTATTATCAACATCGCCGACGGGTTCGTGAATATGATGACCGTCCTCGTCGAGAGTTGAGCCCCGGTGACTCGATCTCGCAGGCAAGCCGCCGCCACAGTGACCGTGACCGTGATTACAGTAGTGATGACAGCATGGTCTATGTCCGCAAGGAAACCCGCAACTACGAAGATGAAAATGGTCACCACCACAAACGCCATTTGGCAGAAGGTGCTCTTGTTGGTGCCGCCGGTGCCGAGTTCTTTCGCAGTCGCCGTAAGCGCGATGGTGAGGATGTTAGCCATGGCTTGAGCCACGCCGCTAAGACGGCCGGTGCTGGTGCCCTGGGTGCTGTGGCTGTCAATGCTGCAGGCCATGTCCGAGATTACTACCGAAGCAAGAGCCGCAGCCGTCATCGTGCAAGCTCTTTCGATGACGATCGATCTCACCGCTATAGTCACCATAGCCATCACAGCAGCCGTGGCCGTCATGGTCGCAGTCGCAGCCGCAGCCGTTCTCACTCTCGCTCACGGGCCAAGACCCTCATGGAACTCGGTCTCGGTGCTGCTGCCGTTGCTGCCGGTGTCGCTGCCCTACGCAACAACAAGGCCAACAAAGAAAAAGATGGCAGTGACCGTAAGAGTCGCTCCCGCACTCGCTCCCGCTCTCGTGGCCGCGCACTCAGCTCCACTCGCTCTGAGAAGGGAGGCGATGACGCTCAAAGCGAGTCCAAGCGTCGCCAGCATATGGCCAGTGCAGGTCTCGCCGGTGCTGCGATCGCTGGTCTGGTTGAACATCACCGCAGCAAATCTCGTTCACGCAAAGGAGAGCGCTCTCAGAGCCGGCTGCGAAAAGCCCTTCCTATTCTGGCTGCCGGTGCCGGTACCGCCGCTGCGACCGGCTTCTATGAAAAGAAGAAGGCTGAAAAGGAAGGCAAAGACCCGGTTAGCCGTGAGCGACGCCGATCTCGCACCAGATCCCGCAGCCGCCATGGATCTGAGGTCTATCCCGACCCTTCCCGTGATTCTGCAGGCCTGATTGAGTATGGAAGCAACCCGGTTGCTGGTAGCATTCCCGCAGAGCACTACTATGGTCAACCCGCCAGCCCTGGGGCTTACTACTCCGATGGCCAGGACGCCTATGGTGCTCGGCGCCACAGCCGCAGCCGCAGCCGCGGCGCAGGACGCTATAGTTCGTCAGGCTCGGACCGGGACGACCGTCGTGGCAAGGACAAGAAGCACCGCAGTCGCTCGCGTGAAATCGCCTCTGCAGCCCTAGGTGCAACCGGTCTCGGATACGCCGCGCACCGATTCAACCAACATCGGGACCGCAAGAATTCCGAGAAAGAGGGTAGAAGTCGCAGTCGGAGTCGGAGTCGTAGCCGCAGCCGGACGCGTGAGTTTATGATTTGGTTTTCAATCCTAATGACAATGTTACTAACCACTGTTTACCAGGCCATAACGACGACATCCACCGTGACCCCTATGAGGAGGCCTATGACCCAGAGCCATACCCGCCTGCGTCGGCTGCTCCACCCGCGGGCTACTACCCGAACAACAACTACTTTCCCCCACCCCCAGGTGGCTCGACCCCTAACCTGAACGCGACTCCCCAACCCTACAACCCGTCAGACTATCCCCCACCTCCAGGTGCTGCGCCCCCACCCCAGCCATACAGCTATGGGGCCGCGGGGCCGGGTCCAGAGACGTACGCCCCCGACCGCGGAGAGCAGAAGACAATGTGAGTAGTTCAAGCTCAACCCCCCAGCATGCGCACGATGGTGTGTTCGTCCATTGCAAACCATCCCGTCTTGCTCATATACACGACTAACACATAGCAGGTCTAGAGCGATCCGCCCCGATACCCAGCGGCAACGCATCTTCTAAGTCCGTTGCCTTCAATTTAAAGGGATATGAGTCGGATGACAGCGATTCCACAGTCAACAATGATTCCTATCATGACTCTCATCAACGCCATAAGTCCTCCCACTCTCGCTCCAGGTCCTCTCCAGATGAGTCAGACTCCACAATCGATCTCCCCGACCGCTTCGACTCAAAAGGCCGTCTTATCAAGGAGAAGAGTGACAGCTCGACCGAGAAACTAGAGGACTTTTTGAACAAAGTCACCAAGGTCTTGTTCTAGTTTTTTCCTCTCTTGCTTCGGCCTCGCTGGCCATTCGGCTTGACTTGTTCTCCTCTATATCTACATGGTTGGTCTGCACTTAATTCTGGAGATTTTGTGTGTTTGGTTGGGGTTTGTTGCTCTTGCGCTTGATGCGCAGGCTTTTCTCCATCCTTTCGCCCCGTCCTCTTTTCTCGCAAGCAGCCACTGTACTTTCTTATGCCCGTCTATGTCTATGGATTTCCTGCTATTGTTTTGATGTTCTTGATTCTCACTTGATGACTTATGCCCGCGCGATATGATGATGATTCATGACTGTATTTCCATTTGATAGTTTTCAATACCTTTTTTGTATACTCCTGCGTGCGTAGGGTTTGTTCAGTCAGCCGAGAACGTATCAACGTAAATGATAACGATCTCCAATCTGCCCAGGCGGTTACATTACGAAAATCCTGCCTGTTAAACAAAGTGACCAGCAGAGTCTTCGTTCTGGATAGAAGCCACGGCTTTACTGTGGCCACCAAGGGACACTTCCATGGGATTTCCAAGCTATTCAGAATAGTATCAAATCAAATGTGTCGAGACAGTACAAGTAAAAAACACATATTTCACATATGAGTCTTCTTCTCAGAACCTAGAGGCTGTCGACTGGCAACATTCGGATCAGCCTCCTGGTAGGCCTCGAAAAGCCATCTCTCATCAAAGGGCTCAGTCTTATCAACAAATCTCAAATCCGTCGCGAGTCTAACAGCTTGTTCTGGGCTCTCGTTCCGAGCGCTTAGAAAATCGTGTTAGGGCGAAGAATTACATTCTAAAAAAGGGAAAGTACTCACCTTGCATGAATCATAAATGGACTATGAAATACCATATCCCAGCCTCATACGGCGCTACAAGCCACCATCGGCTCCAAAACTTGCCAAATATAGCCGCATTCCGATCCAAAAAGCCATCAGTTATCATATTCTTATCGAAAGCAGAGAGACGAGATCCTTACTCTTCTCAGAAAAGTCTGCTTCAAATCTCTTCCCTATCTCGACCGAATTCTCAAGATGCATCAACCCCCCACCCGTCAGAGCGCAGTCGTTGAGTGGAATCCATGCTGTAGCTGAGGTAGGTGGTCCTGCTAGTAGATAGATCTGGTCATAATGAACTGGTGTAGTCTCGCCACCTGGAACATTGCACTGGGGTAAGGTTCGTTTCAATAGCATGGGATCTTGGAACTGAGCGAGTTTTTCAACAAAAGATTCCAGTGATACTGCCATGTTGGACTTAAACTTGGAATAAAAGTCGGCAACATGTGCTGTGAGAGTCTTTTCGACACATATTCCTTCATATTTGAGTCCATTGGCAACGCGAATTGCGCCAGGTAGCAGGAGTTGTCTCCAGTCCTCGCCGGAAAAGATCCCCTCGCGAGGGTTCGTTCCTTGCTTGAGGATCCCTGAATCGCCATTTTCGGTCATGAACCTAAAGTATTGCTCTCGCATGCCCAGAACCTTTTCTTTATCGAGGATGTCTTTCATCTGAACCAAAAAAAGGTAGTCAGCATATGAAATCTGCTCGTGCATTTGGGGCATCTGAGTCCTTTCTGTCATACCCATAGATAGCCGTCTTCCTCGTAGCGCCTACGAAGCTCTTCAATGGGAAGATCCGGACTTGAAGACTTCATAAGGCCTATTTCCGGGAGAACATCCCCATTGCTAGCCTTTGAATTGTCCAAGTCTTGGTCTGCAAAAACCATCGGTGAATGTTGCAAGGCTGTAGTTGCCATCTTGCCTCTTAGAAGGACTCGAAAGTTCGAAACGAGATAAGTTAAATGGATTACTAACTTGGAGAAGACTCGGAGATAGTAAGAGAGTCCCACAGATCGATACCGCGATCAATCTAATGACCAACTAAGTTATAAATGTTACGATATATTGTTCAACCCCGCATCTGACGGCTATAGATTGAGGTCCGGAAATGCTTATTCGGAGATATGGCTGAGTTCGGAAATGGTCGAACATCGGAATGCCATATAGGTAGTATGATTGTTATCCCCATTTTTTGTTTCACTCGACTTTGGGCTTGAGGTGTTGAGGATTTCCTTGGCGGTCGTCTACGCGTAAATATATGCGAAATTCGCCGTCATTGATATCAAATTCCATTTACGTACTCGGCTCCGCGTCGTTCATCAGGAATATCCTGGGATCTCCGAGTACATTATTTCCACGGTTACCAACAACGTCATGTTCCAAATTCCTTCGATGGAGGTTTCCCTTGCTTTCTTTTATCTCTGCTTTTCTTTCTGTGATTTGAGCACGGTGATCCATATTTGGCATGCCAGCCTAGGCCTTCATCTACGTAGACTTGAGAAACTTCAAGTTCTGGCCAGTGAGTGTGACCTACCACAAGATCAAAATACACAAGACCCAAATCTTTTCAAGAAACCATCATCTGGCGGCTTTGGAACACAATAAGCACAAAGGAAATTCAAACATAATATGGCCTGTGCATGTTCAGTGCCAGACAGCAGAGAAGCTGTTTTATCTTTGTGGTACACATCGTTCTGAAAATTCCGTTTCTGTGGGATTGAATCACATGTTTGATACATTTGAATGCCCTTGCACGCCATACTAGTACTAGTAGATATCTGTCTAGTCAGGCGGTGTTCACGTGTGGATGTGACCGCTGTGCCTCCTTCCGCTTCCGCTCTCACTTCCTCTTGTTCTTCAACCATCACTCTTCACCGTCGTATCTTCTTCCTTCCAGATCATATTTTAGGAAATTTACCCTTCGTCCTTCTTCATCGCCATCTCTTCTCACGCCACATCTTGCGTGTTTTTGGGCTTTCATCTATTTGCATCATCTTCATATACCTCACATCAAATCACCTCAGACTTGTCTGAATATGAACCCAGAGTCAAGACGCGTCAAAAAGGAAGAAGCCTCTTCAGGCTAAAGCAAGGTTCGGTCAGTGGATTTGTCCATTCTTTTCATGTGAGGAACTACAAAAACATCAGCGAGAGGTGTACAGACTCAACTAACCAGCACAGTGACTCTGCACCAGCACCTCAAATACCAAACTGGCATGCAGCACGCCAAACATCCTGAATAGTGTAGCCCAAGAAGCTTCTTGCGCTTCTTTTGCTGCACTATTCGGGATGCCTGGCGAGTTTCTCCTTCCCTTCTTTGTTCGTGGATCTACAACTTGGGAAACGAGGCCGCCGATGTCTGCAGTGCCCTGCATTTGGTCGGTCAAATCAACCAAGTACCAGCAGTACATCTCGAGACTTGGTATGTCGGGTCTTCAGTCCCTTTTTGTGCTCTTTTCTAACCTTTTTGCAGATCAGAGCCCTGATCCAAAATGACATGTTCGACGCCCGTGTGCTGATTGAGTGCGTTCGATCCCATTTCGACCACGATACGGATGGGAATCCGGCCCATGGCGAGGCTTTCACCCAATTCTTGTTCGACAAAGTGCTCTCCCTGCTGAAGGGTTTTCGGCTGCCGATCTTCACTCGCCGACGAGAGTGCAAGCAGATGGGCAAGACTGAGTATACTTACCCCGAGGCAGAATGGGAGCGAAACATCGCGGAGGAGTCCCCCCTCGGCGCCACATACTTGAACTACCTATTCAAAAACCGCCTGGTCTGCGCCTTTGGGGTCATCGGCGTCATGGAAGTGCTGAGACCGGTTGAAAGCTGCATGATCTCTACGGCCATCCCGTCATGTCGACGCCCTTTCAACCCATACCCTGGCTCCTGTTAAGCCTCGTGTTCCACGGCTTCCATATACATACTGGAACTCCACTCCGCCCATGAGGTTCTGAAGATAGCCAAGTCGAGCACATCGGGCACCGGCAATATCAACATGTGGGACAGGATCATGGAACAGTCTAAAGATGAGGTGATCGATGAGCGCGAGAGAATGAAATCACCGAGCTCAAAGAGGAGAACACTGACCTCAATGCGGTGTAGCCGATGCCGAAGATAAGAAGCTTTGCCAAAGAGACAGAGGAGTATAAAAGACTACGACGGGAAAGAGCCAAAGCCAGAGAGAAAAACGTGACAACGAAACAAAGGAAGATCCGCAAAGAAAGACAAGCAGCATAGTACAGGGCCAAAAGGGATGCGGAAACAGAGGATCAAGCAAATCTCTATCCGGGGAAGAACTGCAGAAGAAGTGGTATGAGAACCGAACTGACGACAGAAGGAAAGATATCGAGCCATTGTGGGCGTCGCTTCGCATCGAACAGAGGCAGAAACAGAGGAGCAAAAGGGAAAGGAATGCAGCAAGATGGATCAATTGTCATTCCTGCCCCAGGAAGGCCTTTCAATTATATATGGTACCTTCCAAGGTTCTTTGTCCGACTAGTGCACTCTGAAAAGAACCTTGGAATGGAAACTGCTATTCTTGATACCGATGAAGTGAGGTTACTGGGATTGTGTCGAAAAAAAGAGAATACCAGACGAATGGAACGTATAAGAATGTCCATGGATGACAGATGAGGGAAATATGAGGAAGTTGAAGGGCAAGAGAAGAGCTTTAAAGCGATCATTGAGAGATAGGCCCTGGGAACTATTACCTACTAGCAACTTTTTAAATCCATTCAAGTCACAGTACTACTACTAGAATGAACCATGTATTCTACTAGTACTAGTAGGAAGTGTGCTATTTACTACTTAGTACCAGTTCTCTTCAATCTGAAACTGGCATGAATGCTACCCTCTCCAACCATCAACCGAAAAGCCACTGCAAGACTCCGAAATCTAAACATCTATGAATAATGTAGAAGATAGTCGACCATTGAGTACAGTATAATATAATATAATATAAATACAAGGTATCAGTACCTAACAAGGGAAAAAGGGTGTGTGGCAGACGTGCCAGAACAGAATGTTACCATTCCAAACTAGGTAGTTCAGTAGAATAGAATAGAACAAACTCCATTCCACTCCACCGGAACCCGACCCAGGCAATCAATTAATGAATCAATAGTTGTCAACTCATTTCTGTACAGGATGTGATAAGCCGAAAGGGGGACGTAGAAAAGGGGTGGTTCGTAATTCGTAGTATTTCCTGCACCGCTAGTCTTGACGCATCTCTAAGCAGTAGTGGAACGATGAGATAAAATCAAAGCAATAAAAGTCATTGCGAATGGGTATACAGCGGGGAGAAAGCAAGGGGAAGGAGGAAGGGATATAAGATAGCTCAGCCCAGCCCAGCCCAGCCCAGCCAAGCCAACCATGCGTTTGGTGATGCCTAATTAACAAAGGCGGTTTTTTCCCCCTCGTATCACGTCACGTCGCGTCTCTTCTCATTACATGGGGATCAAATAGTAATAGAAGAATAAAAAAAAGGGGGGTGGCAGAGGAGGGGAGTGAAAAAAATGGTGGTTCAAAAATGGTGGCTGTCGTAAGTAGTGGACATAATTCTATCGCTAAAGTATCGAAGACGAAAGAGAGAAGGAAAGAAAGGAAAGGAAAGGAAGGAAAGGAGAGAAAAAGGATTATGCCGTAAACTGTCGTGTCGAAAATCCCGATCGTGGCTCGGGGTGGGCAACGGTGTCCAAAAGGCGGACTGAGGTAGATGGGACTCTCTTGATGAAGGAGACATGAGCGGTCTCATTGCTTGGAGGCGTGGTGTCTGGATCATCATCACCATTTCCATCACCGCCATCTTCATCTGGGACCACTTTGACGCGGGAACTGATGGGCGCAGAGTAATAACGAGAGCTTAGCGGGAGCTGATATTTGACTACACCACGCACGATGAGTTCAAATGGATGCTGGAGTACTCGTTCCCAACGCTCTGTGCCGCCTTCCTCTGTCTTGTTGCCAGGACGTGGGAGGCGGATCTGTCCCTTTGATGTGGATGGTAGATTTTCCCATGGAGATGCGTCAAAGGAAAGAGGCGAGTCAAAGCGGAAAACACGGCCAAGTAGCATCGTTTGCTGGTCTCCCTCGGGATCGGAGATAGGGTCCGTACCATGATCAACGCCATCTTCTGCGTGAGGCTTTGAGTTCTGACGAGACTCCGCCTCCCGAACACAATCCATATTTCCTAGACATCGGACAATCTGCGACAAGTGCCAGCGACGCTGGCTTTGCTTCACCCGCGGGAAGTGATCAAGTTCATCGGAGTCATGGTCGCGCCAAAGTTTGTCGGTACCAACATATCGACTCCTGGCAAAGATGTTGACATCCGTGTCGTCAATTGTCACCGGGAATATATTAGGATTCATCGCTTGAACGTTTAGATCCAGCATGATTTCCTGCTCTGATGCGAGCACGTTTTGGATCGCGAGGACTTTGACATCTTGAAGAGTCTTGGTCGCGGAAAGCACAAATGTAGTGGCCCCACCAGCGATAATCATCAAAAGGAAGAGTATTATAGCACATGAACCATATCGTGTCAGACACCCACGCTGCCGTCGCATATATTCCATCTGTCGCAAACTCGCGCTATTTGGCCTGCGACTGGCGCCATGACCGCGGCTTCGAGGAACTCGAGCATTGCCAACCAGTGGTGTACGTTCATCATCAGCGCCTTCAGCATCGAAGTCGAACATTTCGTTTGACTTTTTGGAGCTACCCATCGTTTTATAGTTGGGCGAAGATCGAGCATTACTATTTCGCGAGTGCCGATATCCGCTTCCAATAAAGTGTCGTGGTGATTTGAGTTGAGACTGTTGCGGCGAGAGCGTAGAGTCGTTGTCGAAGAGTGATGGTAATACACCATTGCGTCCATGACGTCCAATGTTGTGGCGCGGGGTGACAGATCCACTGCCATCGACTCGAGAGGGATTCCGGCTCCCATCCTGCTCGGCCATCTCACCATCCAAGCTGGGGTTGAATGGGTTTGGATTGTTGGTGAATTTCATGCTCCGCTTACCGGTGACGCTGTGAGAACCATCCCGCAGGCCTCGTGCGCGACCAGCCAGCTGGTCTACTTGGCTTGCCATGGAAGTGGCACTGGGTGTCCGAGAGTGGTAACGGGATTGTCGAGCGGGGAATGGATCTGGTGGATTTGATTCATAAACAAAGGTTTCATCAGAGTCAGAAACGTCAGCTTCATCCACCGCGCTGGCCACCTTCGCCTCGAAGATATCAGCTTTGGTAGAGGCAGGGCCGGTGGTCAAATGATTCGGTCGTCGATGATTCTTTTTCTTCTCTTTGCGAGGCCGAATTGTTTCTGTTGAGGGCTTCATGCGCAAAGTGCCAGGTTCCGCACGGCTAGCGCTGCCTCGCTCGCCAGCGCCAACCCCCAAAGACACTTGTGGTATGGAGCTGACAGTCTCGGTCTCAACGATCATATTGCGAACTGACCCATCGGCCGGTTTCCCACGGGCTCCAGCGCTAAGTGAAGTGGTGGAGCGTTTTGGCATGATGGTTGCGGCGGGCTTTGGGGTTCCAGCAGCATTTGGCCGGCATTCTTCCTTGGGATCTGAGCTGCGATTGCCACCGCTATCGCTTCCACTTTCTGTATTTTGTTTTGCGGCTCTAGGTGTCGGATCCTCATCGATTGTGTGTAACCGAGAGTCGTCCGGGGTGACCGGCTTAGTGATCGTGTCACTCGATGGAGTAGACGGATTACTGGCCATCTCCTGGACTGTTTCCAAGGATGGGCCTTGTCCACTGACGCCCCTCGTGACCGCACGGGGAGTGCTTCGGTCCACTGTTCCCTGTTCTTCTGATGGCGGCAAGGAGGCTCTCTTGTGGGAGGTATTCGGTGGAGTAGACTCCTGCTCCGTGCGACGATTCCCCGCCCATGATGGCATATTGGACTTTTCCGGACTGAGAACATTGGCTGGTGGTTCGAAAGCAGGAGGAGAGAGAAGGGGTGTGTTTCCTGGTAGCGATTGCGCGCGCTGGCCTGATGACGTGGACGCAGGTATTGGTAAGGCTGACGGCAGACCGTTTGAGGACCTCGCCGGGCTACTTCGTTCTTGACTAGTTCGCCGTGATTGGGAGTGCGCTCGGCTTGCGGTAGTAGTGTTGGAGTAGGAGGAATTGACGGCGCGAGAGGAGAATCGGACCGGAGAGGACTCGCGAGAGGAAACGGCGGAGTTGGGGGCGGACGGAGAGTAAGAGGTGGTGTTGGAAGGACTAGGTGAGAGTTTAGGCATTTGGGCCATGGCCTGGGCGTGTGATTTAACTGTCGGGCGCGGCGGTTCCTTCATGTCGCCCTCGTTGGCCGACCGATGCGCGGGATCCGATGCCACCTCCGCATTGTTGGCCCCCCCCGGAGTGTCCAGAGACACCGTTGAGGTAAGGCGGCCTCTCGGACTCCGCAGTCATGGTCTCCTATCGAGTCAGATTACGCTGACGCGATGCAGACAAGTCAGGAGACCCGAGAGGAAGCCGGACAGTTGGGCAGGAATGAAGTCCGGAAAGGGAATCGAAAAAGCAAGGTGCGAGGCAGGACAGGGAGGGCTCGACGGTGAAGAAATGAGTTGTCGCAGCAAATCAACGACGGATGAGTAAATGGCAGCGATCGAGCGAGGTATGTTGCGCAGAAAACGGGTCGTTACACAGGTGACGGTACAGCAGGGCGAATAGCCGAAGTCCACATGCTGATGTAAAAAAAAAAGGCCAAGAACGATGGGGGGGGGGAGCGTTTGCTGCAGGCGCTCGCAGGGGTATGCGTGTGTGGTGTGGAAGAGGAAGAGGTGAAGTGTTTGTTTGAAGAGAGGTCTCTGAAAGACGATCGGACGATCAAGCACAACACACAGGGCTAGTGATCACAGGCTGATGCTTTGTCTCCGGGGGACACAGGCACACGAAGAACGTCTAGAACGCAGCCGACGAAAAAAGAAGGACTGTGGTTGGCGGAATTGGGGGGATGATGGAGACCGCCGATCCGGCTCAACGTTTGGGCTTGACTTGTTTTTCGCCCATGAAATGAGGAGATGTGGCGTCCGTCCGGTTAGGGTGCTAGGGTGCCGAAGTGCAGTGCGCCTGCAGAGATGTCGGTGACCAGAAGCCAGAGACTAGGACCAAGACCTCGGGTGAAAGCGAAGTGGAGAGGTCAGGGCCAGCCACCGAAGAGACCAATGACAGCAGCCCACGTCAGGGTGGAATGGGCGGGCCTTTAGACTGCAGGGGACCAGGAGCACGCGGAGGGTCTAGAAGGGATAGGATGACGAAGCCACCCAGGACTCGGTAGAGAGAATGGGGGAGGGGAATTAAAGAATAAAGAAGGGAAGAAAAGTGGCAGGTGGGAATGGAGAAAGTGAAATGGAAGAAAGGGAATGAAAGGATGAAGATGAAGAAAGACAAAAGACGTTGGGGGAAGTTGAGAAACCTGGGGAACCTTGGAACCGGATATGGTGGTGACACAAGCCGGTAATAAAACAAGGCCATTTCACATAGTAAAGAGGCGGGAAGCCGTCAATACAGTGGTATTTTAGTGACAAGCCTCATGACCTCATCAAGTAACCCAGTTTCACAAGAGATAAATCTGGATATAGTGATTGAATAAACACATCATAGTTGGCAACTACTTTCTATTAGGTACGAGGGTCTTTGGAAGAATCAGATACAAGGGGCAGTACCTCTGTAAGTACTCGTATACTTAACTAATACTACTATATGCAACTTCCAATTATTCAGTGCACAACATTGTACATATCTATTGACAGCCATAGAGTTAGTGGTATATACACCCAAGATAAAGTGAACGAGAAATAGAAGAAAAGAACATGCTTCCCAAACATGCATGACCATGACCCGTATATCGTCCAATCACGATCAAAACAAATCAAAATCCAACCTGAACGCCACCGCCCGAGGCACACCGTATATGAAGCCAGAGGGAGAAACTTTGATAAAAAAAACGATAGAAACACGAAGAAGGAAGCAAAAGCATGGATATGACAAGTAACAGGCAGCTGGGGAAGAGTCAGGGTCCAAAACAAGGCAAGGGTATCAGTCTAATCCAAAGGCGGGGGGTCACCCCAACACAAGCACACACCACATGGTATCCAATCTAAACAATTTTATAGACTCGCTTGGCAATCAGGAACGAGGCAAGGCCGAAAAATACCAAACCACCCGTGACTAGATAGCATTAGCGTTTGCATGAGCACTGACGGGTTGCAGTGGAAGGATCTTCACTGCGATGCACCCAAACAGGAACGGGGAAGGAAAGGGAAGGACTCACTCGACCAAAACCAAGAAAGGCTCTCTATATCCTGACCGGGTACTTTGACATTCATTCCCCACATACCACAGATGATATTCATGGGGAGCACGATGGTACCAAGCACAGTAAGTTTTCCCAAGACATCGGCAGTCTGCTCCTGACGCTCATTCATCAGGATATTGATCTGCGCTAAGTAGTTGGAATGCGCACGAGACAGAAGCCTATAAGAAGAATTAGTAAGTTGTCACCGACCAACTTAAAACCATAAAAAAGGCAAAACCTGAATTGAATGTCAAACTTACGTTTCGTAGTGTGTTAAATTTCCTGTCATGGTCATGATGTGATCTTGAATATCGCCAAGGTACAGACCAATCTCCGACTTGGGCGCCACCTCCCACTGCTCATTACAGCGCTTGGCGAACCCCTTGACGACATCTGCCTTGTTACTGAGTAGACGGTATAGTCCCATGACCTTCTTTCGGCACTCGCCTGTTCGCCGCAGCATTTCACCCGGTGCAAAGGAGGGTTGCAGACTTCCATTGGATGCGTCTTTGCTGGAAGGGTGCATCTGCATAATCATTTCGTCAATGTCGTCGACTTCGTCCTCGATGGCTTGGATGAGAGGTCCGAATACGTCGGTAATGTCATCAATCAAAGCGTAGGAAATCCAGTCCGAGCTCAGAATCAGGTAGTCCATAAGTTGGCGAATGCGTCGTCGCACGTTGGCTGGGTGCGGGGTTTGCGAAAAATGAAATGAGATCACTCCTTCCCGGAATACTACCACGTACATGTTCACGGGTTCCAGATAGTCTTCGCTGTTTGTATCTTGTTCGAAGGTCCGATAGTTGACAAAGTAGTAACTGCGGAACAGCTCCACCTTCTCGCGCGCTTCTTGCATCATGATATCCTCCGCTGTCAACGCGTGAATTCCAAAGGTCTTCGCGATGACGCGCATCTCGGCGTCGGTTGGCGAAAGCACATCTAGCCAGAATGTTGGTCGAGGGCCGAATTTCTTGGGCTTGGGCGCAAGATTCGAATGGGAAGGCGAAAGCTCTCGGTGGGAATCTGGGTGTCCTTCGCTGATGACTGACAGGCGAGACTGGCCACGGGAACCATTGGTTGTTGCCGAAGCTTGGACAAAGTCCTGGCCATTTTTGGTTGTAGTATGTAATATAGGAGTGGCTGTATCACTTCGTGGATCTGGATGTTGAGTTTTAAGATCGTTCTGGGAGCTCTGACTCCGAAGTCCACCACCAGCGGCGAAGTAGTCATGCTCATGTCCAAAGTGATCTTCCAAATCAGAATCATCGGACGACTCGTCCAATTCAGGAGGGTCGGGGATGAATAGCTCTTTGAAGCTACTTCCAGGCTGCACCAGTTCTGATATTGTTTGGGCGTGGATCGTGCTTTGGAATTCCTCGTTGAAGTAGGTAAATCGGTAAGGAGCCTCATCTTCCTCGCGCCGCCATAGCTTATACTGAGGACGAAGACGGCCTTCAATAAGCATAGGCTCACTAATCTTCTTAACACGGAGATCACCACTGCGATCCTCTTTCTCCTCACGACTCCATTCTTCCAACACAGAAAGATCGGGCCACCGTCGATGCCTACGTCGTCGACGTTCAACAAGTTCATCACGATGGATGCGCGAACCCTCATCACCCAGCTCGGATATATTCTCGTTAGGAAAGCAAACGTCTTCTTCAACTGGCAGAGCAACTGTACGGCGACGGCGCAAATCCTGAGGAGAGAAGAACCCAGATTGAGGAGACGACGGGGCTGAATGGTTCGGTGGAGGACCTCCTTCAATGTTGATTAAGCTCTCACTCAATGGACCCGATGACCCCCTCCGAAGCTCTGCTGAACGAGCTAAAACAAAATCAAATTCAGCACCGGTCATCAGGGCATCGTCGTAGTTCATATCCGGGCCCAATTTCGGCGACCCGGGGATGGATGGCGGGTTATTGACATCATAGTCCCGGTCTGCGTCTGGCGAGTATATCGGGCTTGGGTGGCTTCCTGGAGAGATTCCCGAGGATGCGGTCTGGACAGATGGTCGTCGTGGACGAGAAGAGAAGGGGCTAGTCCTTGAGTCTGCTCCATAGCGAGTAGTTGCAGAGGCATGCCCTGATGAGCCACGGATCAACGGCGTTCGGTCGTTCGTCTCGTCTCCATCGCTATCCCCATCCTGATATTGCTGATTGCGTCCTCCGCCAGGACCAGGTGTATTGCGCTGGCGACCTTCGGATCCTCGGAATCCGCTTGAAAGTAGCGAGCTAGGGCGAAACGATGAACCGACTCGGCTATCGCGACGGGGCCTCATCATCGGCTGGTCCCTGTTCGATTACGCAAGAAGTTAGAAAGAACACCAAAGATCTCAGGGATTCCCATCCCAACCAACCACGAAAGCCACGTACCGATGGTCAAGAAGAGCATCACTCTCGAGACTAGTATTACTCAGATTCCTGCCCAATTTGAAGTACGAGTTATCCTTGGAAGTTGGCCTATCGCCCTCCATTGAATCTCCTCTCACACCGCCGGACCCCGAGCCGGAGGCAGGCCGGTGGGATTCTTCTTTGGCGGGAGTAAGGAATGACTCCTGGCGGTTGCGACGCTTGCGATTGCGATTCTTCTTGCGTTTGGCAGACTTTGACTTGCCAGGTTCGTTATCAGGCGCGGGGGCCGCTTCGAAGCGGGTCTGGGTCTCCGATGTCGTAGCAGGTCCTCGGTCTTGAAGGCGACCGCCCATTGGACCGTTCCCAGGTTTTGTATCGGTTTGAAGTGGATAATCGGTGCGCTGAGGGCGTTTTCGCGGGCTAGCTGTTGAGGAGGAAGGCGAAGTGGGCTGTCGCAGGGCCTCGATGCCAGGCGTTGGGGTCAATGGGGGGTCCATGGCTGCGGAAATTATACACTAAAGAAAAGGGTGGCAGCCCTGGAGGGCTGGAGGGAGATGGTGATTTCGGCACAAGCACGGGCACCATCTGCGGCACTAGCCAGTGCGCAGCAGGAGAATTGTGAGATGAACAGGGACTACCCGTACAGTGGGAACGGGGGGAAGGATTTAATGGTATCTTTGGGATCGGGGAACAGCACCCGGCATGTTCCAGAGGGAGATCAGCCTCGAATCGGAGTTGGCGCTGGAGCTAGAGCTGGAGCTTGCCGCTGCGGATGACGCGTGTGGCGAAACCAAGACGAACATCAGGGAATCCAGGAATGTGGAAATCTCGATAAGAGTGTGTCAGTGCGCAGTAGAAAAAGGGCACAAGGACAGACTCGGTTATAAAAGTCTTGACAGGGTATATGCTGTGCACTGTGAGGCAGAGTTAGGGTGACAAAGAGTGAGGTTCAAAGGTCAAAGGTCACTCAACCTTGGATAGTTGGAGAAGTCGATTGCCTAAAACAGACATGATGAGGTCAGCCATGAACCACACAATTTAGTATCAGGACTAGTAGTAGTAGGAGTAGTACATGTTATTACTAGTAGAACTACATTATATTTACATTTACATTTACATTACTACTACTTAGTTAGGTATCTCGGATCGAAAACTTGAATATGTAAATGATTCTATTACATGGCATGCCAGAGTACAAGTCGTGAATCATCAGACATCAAAGATAGTAAATACATGTGCAGCGGCCGTTATAAGAAAAAGGGAAAAAAGGGAAAAAACGAATTAAACAACAAAATCAAATCAAATCAAATGAAACAGATCAACTCCAATCGGTCGTCAGCGCGAGGGAATATCCGAGACCACAGGCCAGACGCCAAAACCCGCCATGTTCACCAGATGTAGAAAACGTAGGAAGAAGTAGAAGAAAAAAAAAACGGGGGAAAGGGGAGGAATTCGGAAGACATTGACCCACACGCTACAGATCAGAGCATGAGCAATCATGATAAGAGTGTGACGCCTCAAATCACATTGCTCATGTCCATCGTAGAGGGGGCCATTGAGGGTGCCATGGATGGTGCCACACTATGGACGGAGCGGGATGCATCAAACGACATGCGATCACCACTCATCATCCGAGACACTCTCTTGTCTTTGCCGGAGCGAGCGATAAGGACTTGAGCAGGGCAGACGACGACTTCCTCCTCGCCTTCGCCGACATCGTTGCCCTTTTTGACGACGAGAGGGAAGAGCACGATGCGGACGACGGCCTGGGAGGATTCGAGCTCGTCGTTGGAGGTGGTTTCGCCGCTGCGCTCATTCATCAGCGCGGCGTTGAAGAAGACTTGACGGGCAAGGTCGCCGTTGGTGTCATACTCGGGCTGGAGAGGGGGCAGCATGATGAACTCTGCCAGTTGGGTGCGCATCTCCAAGGAGAGGTTGACAGCAACACGGAGGACCTTGCGGAGGGAGTCGAGGAGTTGGCCCTCGTTTTGAGAGGGGGGTGGAAGGATTCGCGACAGAGTACCGAAAATCTCAAGTGCGACCGCTTCAGTGTCGCTCTGGCGCTGTGAGGCGAAAGCTGGTCGCCGTGACAGAAGGGTCAAGGTAGTAGCGCGCCAGCGATGAACTGCGCGGCGTGGACCGACCTCGCCCAATTGCTTTTCAAGGGACTTGAGTTTTTGACGTTGTTCACGGTCCATGCCGAAGAGGTAGCGAGTGAAGATATACTCCCATACCATCGTCATGACCACCGACATAAAGACGTCGCGACGACGGACACGATCGGACAGGTACGCGTCGGCGTCGGAGCCATCGAGGAAGGCGTTTTCGAACCGGTCGGCAATTTTCTCATCGGTGATGTCGACCAAGCGGCGGCAGCGACGGTGATCAGAGTGCTTGGAGAAGCGCAACACCCACTGTTGAACGTGGCCGCACAGCTTTTGGCACGCAGCGTCGAAGTAGTCCTCGTCGCGGAAGACGAGAGCGTTGTCATTGACCGACGAGGCGATCTGCTGTTGCAGCTCCTTCACTTTGTCGCGGGCTTCTTCCAGCTCTTCCCGTAGGCGTCGCAACTCAGCATCCTTTTGAGCGAGAGCCGACTCGATTTCTTGTCGGACCCGATCGTCCATCTCAGATGAGAGGGCATTGTGTTGCGATCGCAAGTCATCCAATTCGCGCGTGGATGATTCGCGCACGGTAGTGACTTCGGTGGCATGGGCGGCAGCGAGGGCAGCATTGGAAGCTGCGAGACCCTCATTCTCCTGGGTGACACGACTCATTTCTTTCTGAAGCCAATCCACCGAGTTCTTGAGTTGTTCCACCTCGGCTTCGCGATCCCTCAGGTCGGCGCTACTACTGTTGAGGGCGCGGTCGCTCTTGCGACGAGAGACGCTGGCATTGCGCAATTTATCTTCGGCGTCATCGCGAGAGGCAATGAGTAAACGATTCTCTGAGATGAGTTGGTCGAGACGGGTTTCCATATCCTGGAGGTGTTGCATGCTGCGGCGACGACGGACGCTAGGCGGTCGGCTGGGCGACCGCGGGGAACTGGGTGTTTCACCCCAACCCTCCTGCGCAAGTTAGTAAACAAACAAAGAAATGGCCATGGAATGAAAATTTATGGTCAAAACTTACATAGACATCCATATTTCGCAGGGGGCGTTTGCCCTTGTCATTGACGGGGTCGTAGGATGAAGAAGAAGGAAGTTGATCGAGATCGAGATTGGGTGGAGGCTGGGAGAACTGAGACTGAGACTGGGGATGGGGCTGGAGCTGAGACTCTGACTCGTCCTCGTCTAAAGCCCGACTAGCCGCCCGCAGATCGCTGCTCGTGCTACGATTCGTGCGTCGTAGCTTGCCCTTGCTCCCACTGGGCTTGAGTACTGGCATCCCCTGCTCCGGAGTTTTTAATGGTGACAGTCCTGATCCACTGCCACTGCCACTCTTGAGGCTGTCCTGACTGCGAGTATTCTCATTTTCAGGGGTGGGCCACCTCTCTCGTGCCATCGCATTGTCGGTGAATTTTCGCACTGGAGTCACTGGTCGTGGAAGGACATGCTCCGGTTTGATCTCCAGACGGGGCGTCCCGGAGCGAGCCATGGTCGCTTTCTCCCCATCCGCTGGTTCTTGCTCCGCAATGGGATCGAGCGGAGTCCGGGGTCGCGATAGAGCATCATGATCTCCAAAAGGCCCTCCAAAGAGGGATCGCGGTGGTGATGGGCCACTGGTCGCAGGGATAGACTCTTCGTCAAGGGTCCACGTTCGCGGCGTTTGCTGATGACGCCCGTGGATCACGGAGGGAGTTCGGCGTAGTCCAGAGAGGGAGGGGGAGGGGGATAGATCGGGGGCTTCCATCTGGGATGGCAATAAACGCCGGGGTGTAGATGCCTCCTCTGTACGTGTAGATGGAGATGAGTCGAATAGAATTGAGGATCGTTCCTTAGAGGCAGACTGCATGGGCCGCTCACTTTGAACCGGGAGCTCTGGTTCTGGTTCTGGCTCTGGTTCTTCGATCGGCGCTTCATGGAAAGCGACGGGTGAATCTGGCAAGCCTGGTACATCTTCAGCAGGAATAGACAGTTCACGACTGCTCTCAGTAATTTCTCTGGATTTGGGGGTCGCTTGGGGTGCTTCCGAGACGGGGATCGCGATATCGCGATTAGCTTCCATGTCCGCTTCAGTCTCATCCTCAGCACTATCTTTTAGCGACGGAGTCTTGTTGTCCAGAGCCGATCGTTTGAACCCGCCTCGCTCGAGACCGGGAAAGAGATTGGCAATCTTGGAGCCGCCGGGAGTCGTAGTTCTCGCCGGTGGCTGAGTTTCGATCTCTTTGGAGAGAACAGTGTCAATTGGTGGCTCGGGGAAGTCAGTCGCCAATTCGACTCTTTTGTGCAAGGGCTCCTCCGCCTCAGGCTCTGCAAGGCTTGCCTGTTCGGACTTTCTCTTGTTTTTCTTGGCTTTTTTCTTGTCCTTTTTGCTCAATGGGGCAGCCCAGGCTTCTTCCTCGGTCGCCTCTTGGGACTGCTCCTTGGCCTCTTGCAGAGCAACGGGGATTGCAGACTCATCATATTCCTCAATGGTTTGGGGAACCGGCTCAGGAATCTTTACCTGGAGCTCGGGTGATTCTGCCTCGAAGGTCTCGCGCTTGGGAGACCGGCCATGCTCCCACTCGATTGTAGGGAATTCGTCATCCCCCGGTTTCTTCTCCTTGGGAGTCGATTCCGAAAGCTCACGGTCATGGCTAGACTCTTCCTGACCAGGGGCGGCAGGCTCTTGTTCCTCAGTCGTAGTGGCGGGAGATGCTTCCACATCGAAGGCTTGGGCCGCTTTCTTGGCCTTTTTTGATTTTTTCTTCGAAGCCTTGCTTGAGAGTGGTGTTTCTGTGACGGGTTCAACGGGTTCGACGGTTTCGACTGGCTCTGATGGGATAGCGTCTGGAGCAGTCTCGGTTTCAGTAGGAAGGGGAGATTCGATTATAGGCTCAATCTCCCTGGACATCTCTGGCTCAGGCTGGAGCTCCCTTGTTGATTCAGTTTCGATCTGGGGCTCATTTTGGACCTCGGGCCCCGGCTCAACTGTAGACTGAACTTCGGGTAAAGGCGCAGGCGTAGTCGTAGTCAATTGCTCTTCTTCTCTAGACTGGGTAAAAGGTACCTCTGGGGTAGATTGTTCTTGGTTTTCTTCAACCGGTTCTTCAACTGCACCCTTCTTCTTGGAATTGCGCTTCTCCTTTTTGGAAAGCTTCTTTGAAAGAGGGGCAGCGGCTTCTGGTTCCCGTGGTCTGTCTTCGAACAAATCACCAGCTACTTCGAGGTCTGCCGCCTTCTCAAGAGCTTGGATTTGGAGTTTTGTCTCTTCCTCTTCTTTTTTCTGTTCTTGCTCTTCCGGAGAACGGGTTTGATAGAGAGTAGCTTCATCGATTTGCTCGGCAGGGAGTCCTTGATCCTTCGCTTCGGCGGGCGAAGGGCCATCGAAGGGGTCGAGGGAGACAACAGGCTCATCCTTCTCGACTTGCTCGGATGTCTCTTGGTTCTCTGGCTCAATCGCAGCAGGGATATCATAGGATTCGGGTTGAGTCTCCGTTGTCTCCTCAGCTAACACCTCGTGGACGGGCTCTGACTCTGGAACAATTTCGCGGGTCGTTTCGATACCAGTCGCTTCAGAAGCTGTCGGGACATCTTCATTGACAGCGTCTACAGGTGCATATTCCGTCGGGAGCTCTTCAGTGGAAGTGGCAGCCAGATCGGTAGGCTCTGTCTTTCCCTGCTTCTTGGCCTTCTTCTTTTCCTTCTTCGACAACTTGCGAGTCATAGGTTCAGCAGGCGATTCTCCTACCACAGGCTCAGTTTGGATTGCCACAACTGTCTCCTGTGTCGACGGTTCAATGAGCTCTTTTTCGGTCGACTCCACTTGTTGGGATTCATCCTGCTGCTCAACTACGCCTTGATTATCTTCCACTGTGGGCAGTTGTCTTGAAATCTCCATGGTTTCCTCTGGGGACACGGATGGTTCTTCCACAGTGGACTCTGGCTCAGGCTCGGCAGGCATTTCACTTTCAAGAGCGGCGGCGGCGGCAGCAGCAGCAGCAGCAGCCTTCTTCTTCTCCTTCTTACTCATCTTCTTCGATACGGTAGGCCACTCATTCTCAGGCTCTACTGCCGGTTCGACAGAAGTCTCTTCGACAGGGGGATCTGTGGAGGGAACATTGAGAGCAGCTTCCTTGGTCGATTCAAGGGCGGTTTCAGGCTCCTCCGTATTGTTCTCTGTAGAGGGCACTTCAATAGCAGGTTGCTCTTCGCCGGCCTCGTCGATAGCAAGCGGTTGTTCCTTGATCAGAGGCGAGTCGATATCTTTTGGCAAATCAATGGGAAGGTCGGAAAGCTGAGATTCGGGCTCAATCGTATCGAGAGGGGGCGGGCCTTCTTGTTGGGAAGTAGTGGCAGGAACATTGATATCTTGTGTATGAGCAGCAGGCTCTTCAACTGCCTCGGGCAAGACCTCCTCGGTGGCCTTCTCTTCCGCGGCTGCGGCGGCTGCGGCGGCAGCAGCAGCAGCTTTCTTCTTCTCTTTCTTGCTCATCTTCTTTGGCACTGGTACATCTTCCTCTGCCTCGGGCTCAGGAGCAGGAGCAGGAGCAGGCTCTTCTTCGGCTGGTTCGACCTCCTTGGAATATTCCATCTCTTCAAGCGGCTGAGATGCGGAAGTCTCAACAACATCTTCTGTCGACTGTATCGGCTCTTCCGCAGGTACAGCCTCCTCTTGCTCTGCAACTGGCTCGAACTCAGGATCAGGGATCGACCTGTCGCGGGCTTCTTCAACAATGGCGGGCTCAGCTTCTGCCTGCTCGGTATTCTCTTCAACCACTTCCTCCGGCTCAGCGACAGGGACTTCTTCGCTTTGCGCCTCCTGCTGCTGCTGCTTCTTTTTATTCTTTTTCCTTTCTTTCTTGGACAAGGCTGGCTGGAGGGGCTCCTCAACAGGCAGCTCCTGTTCGGCGGGGGCACTGACATCCAGTGCGGTCTCAGTAAACTCCTCAGCGGGAGCTTCCTCGACGATAGCTTTTTCAGTAATATCTTCCTCCTTCGGCACAGACTCTTCCTCCGCAGTCACAGGCTCAATAATCTCCTCTCCCGTAATCTCCTCTTCGACACGAGCAATATCAGCAGCAACATCATCAACAACAACCTTATACTGCTCCTCTGCATCCTCCTTCACAACTTCATCAATAACATGGTCTTCGGCGACGTTCGCTGCCTCAACTTCTTCGGTGGCTGGAGTTTCCCCCTCTTTCTGCACATCTCGCTCCGTCGACTCGCTAAAACTCATCGAACGCTCAAGCACGGGCTGGGGAGGATAATCTGATGAACGACTCTCTATCTCTGGCTGCTCTACCTGCGTAAACACGAATTCATCAGTCGGAGCCAAATCATTTGCCGGGGCGTCGGGCGTTTCTATGTCGTGGGACTGATGATCTTTACCGTCATGCTCTGCAGGCGAGGTTGCCGTCACGGGTATGGAAGAATCCCGCGTGTCTTCGGAAGGGACGGTCTTGTCAGAGTCTTGGGTGACTGGCTCGGCAGGGACGGCGGCATCATCGGTCGTGGGGGTGTCGGCTTCGAGGTTCTTGGACTGGCGCTTCTTCTTATCCTTCTTCGCTTTCCGCTTCTCCTTGGCTGACATGGCAACATCGATTTCGGGAGAAGCGGAGTCTGGCTGTGCTGGTGCATCAGTCGAAGGAGTGGCCTCTGTCTCGGCGGGCTCCTCGATGGGAGGTGCAACCTCGTCGTCGATAGGCTTCTCGGTCTCGGCGATTGTCGATTCAGGCTCCTCGGGCTGTGTGGTCGCAGGGGCATCAGCTTTATCGTCCAGTTCCTTCATTTCAGGTTCCTCCACCTTTGAAGCTTCCACAATCTCCGGGGTGGAGACAGAAGCCTCCTCTGTTTGGGGAAAATTTAGATTGATGTCCTTGGGAGCTTCTGTCTGAGACTCTGCGGCAGCCTCAGGCTCCTGGGGTGCCTCGACGGGAGTGGAAGGAGCGGAAGGTTCTTCTTCAGTCAAGTCCACGGACTTGCCCTTCTTCTTTTTCTCCTTCTTCTTGAGCTTGCGACGCTCAGCGGCAGTTAATGTAGCATCAGCAATGGGTTCAGCCGACTCGGTGCTCTCAGCGGGCTTTTCATCGGAAGGGACTTGGCTTTCTGGCGACGGCTCAGATTGGTCGTCAGCTTGGGCAGTTGTCGATGGCTCTTCCGAAGTCTCCAGGGTTGGCTCGGGTGCAATTATCTCCTGCGTTTTCTCAATTGTCTCCCCGGAATGCTCAGAGACATCTTGGGAAACTTCAGGTTGATCTACAGCTGCTTCCTCGGGATTTGGGATCTCCTTGTCTGCCGAAACATCGGCAACTGCGGAATCTGTCGTTGGCTGAGTGGTGTCTTGGCTTACAAGATCCTCGGCAGGTGTATTGCTTGATTCCACATCTGCAGGGGGGGGCAGAGGTAGACTCTTCTGCGAGGGGCTCGGCTGGGGAAGCAGGCGACTCGTCGAAGGCCACAGACTTGCGGTTTTTCTTCTTGTCTTTCTTCGCCTTCTTCTTTTGTGCCGCAGTCATAGGGGCCTCTGGCTCAGCCTCGACGCTTTCTTGCTCGGCGACAGTGGCATCCTTCGGAGTCTCTTCAGAGGCGGGCTCTTCTGTGTTGGGTATATCTTCTGTTGCGGGGGGGAGCTTCTACAACTTCAGTTGGCACAGCTGGCTCGGTGTTCTCAGCGGCAACTGGCTCGGACACTTCAAGTTGTTCTTCGGGCACAGTAAAGTCGACAACGACAGGCTCGGCAGTAGAAGCTTCACCGATGAGTTCAGGAGCAGATCCTGCAGCAGATTCGGAGGAGCGCTCAGCAGTAGGCTCAACAGCAGGCTCAGCAGTAGGCTCAATAGCAGGCTCGGCAGTAGGCTCAACAGCAGGCTCGGCAGTAGGCTCAATAGCAGGCTCGGCAGTAGGCTCAGCAATAGGATCAGCAGCAGGCTCAGTAGACTCAGCAGTAGGCTCAGCAGCAGGCTCAGTAGACTCCTCCTTAGCAGGCTCAGGCTGAACCTCCGGAGTGACAGCTTCGGAAACGGACTGATTCTTCTTGTTCTTCTTCTTCTTTTTCTTCGACTTGGAAGAAGTCTGCTCAGGGTCCTCGGCAGGGGCACGCTCGACAGGAATACTCTCGACAGGTGGCTCCTCCGAAACCTGTTCCTCTGGCTTGGGGGTCTCTTCAGGAGAAGGCTCAGTAACAGCCTGTTCTCCTTGGGGTTGATGATCAAGGGACTTCTCCAAGGCAGGAGTTTCTTCGGCAGGAACATCCTGGACGGTAGAATCGATCACAGTGGAATCTGCAGTTGGTTCTTCAGACATAGGCTCACTGGGAGGGGCAGCATCATCTGCAGACGGCTCAATAGGAGCTTCAACTTGTTGTTCAGTTGATTCTGTCACAGGTTCAGGCGCGATCTCTTCAGAAGTGGCAGGGACAGTCTCAGTGGGTGCTTCTGTGGTTGGCTCAGTCTCCTTTTCGGCGGGAGTGGGATCCGTCTCAGGTACAGATTGCTCTTCAACCACAGATTGGCGCTTCTTTTTCTTGTCCTTCTTGGCCTTCTTCTTTTGGGCAGCTGTCATAGGAACTTCAAACTCAGGGTCGGTTGCAGGAGTTTGAGACTCTTCTTGAGGTGCCTCTGCCTCTGCCTCTGGGACTTCAGGAAGTGGTTCGGCGGAAACATGGGCGGAGTCCTCTTCAATGGGGGTATTGGTTTCAAGAGGCTCATAGTTCGGCTCTTCCTCTTGAGATTCATTTGAGGCAAGAATAACTTCAGAGGGAGCAGGAGTATCAGCAAGGGTCTCCTCAATAGGTGCCTCGGTTTCAGTCTGAATATCTCTGCTGGTCTCCTCGGTCTCAACAGCAGCGGCAGGGACGGCAGAATCTTCAGCAACAGGAATTTCGGCATCAGTGGTGGCCTCTGTTTCCTTGGTTGCTTCAGTCTCAGGGTTGGGAGCAGGCACAGTCTCAACGGCTTGTGCGTCGTCGGCAACCACATCAACAATTTCTTGTTCTTTTTGCTGCTGCTTCTTCTTAGCCTTCTTGGCCTTTCTTCTCTCAGCTGCTGTCATAGGAACCTCCGCCTCAGGCTCGCCAGCAGGTTCTTGTTCAGCAGACTGCTCTTGGGGCTCTTGAGGCACTTCGGGCTGCTCTTGTGCAGGCTCAGCGATTTGAACGTCACCGGGAACGTTGACAGTTGTCTCATCGGCAGGGACAGAGAGTTCCTGTTCAAGTATCTTTGGCTGCTCTACCTCGACTGAATCATCTAGTTTCTCTTCGGCAGCAGCGACTTCCTCTGCTACTGCTTCAGGGGCAACTTCGATTTCTTTGGCAATATCTTCGGCTGGAGATTCAACAGGAGGGGTGTCCTCGACAATCGGAGATGCTTCAATGGGCTCGGCGAATTCGACTGGCGGAACAGACTCAACTGGCTCGGAAGGCTCAACGGGTTCAGCGGGTTCAGCGGACTCAACAGGCTCAGATTCAACAGGTTGAGACTCAGGCTGGGCTTCAACAGGTTTCTCTTCCTCGGGAATAGAAGAAACACTCTGCTTGGCCTTCTTTTTCTTGTCTTTCTTGGCCTTCTTCCTCTGCGCAGCGGTCATAGGAACTTCAGATTCAGCCTCAGCCTCGGCGTTGGGGGAAGTTTCAGAAGCAGGTTCGACTGGAATTTCGCGAGTCTCCTCGGTGGGTTGAGGCTCCGAGGCAGCATTAATGGGCTCGGAGATAGACTTAGTAGGCTCAGCGATGGGCAAAAATGATTCGGAAGTAGGTTCGACAGGCTGGATAGACTCGGGAACAGGCTCGACGTGATCAAGGACAGACTCGGGTTCCTGAACAGCAGGAGACTCCTCAAAAGAAGGCTCAACAACTTCCTTACTAAGCTGTTCAGGTTCAAGCCCAGGCTGAATATCAGCAGCAGCTGAAACATCCTGGGAATCAGCAGGTTTACCGAAAGCAGATTGCTCAGGCTTGACATCTTCGGCAACCTGTTCCTGTTCCTGTTCCTGTTCAGGCTCGAGATCAGCAGGTTTAGACTCAGAAGGAAGATCCGTCTCTTCAGTAGCAGACTTCTTGTTCTTCTTCTTCTTTTTGTTCTTCTTCTTTGAACCTGCTTCTTCCACTGCTTCTTCAGGCTTAGGCTCCTCGGGCTGCTCTGCTGGAACCGTAGGCTGCTCTTCAATTCGCTGATCGGAGGGGATATCTTTGATATCCTCAGCGGTGGCAGGTTGCTCCTGGAAAGTCTCGTGGAACATGTCTTCGTCTGATTCGGCGGTCCTGTCTGTAAGCTCGATGGGGGCTGGAGCGGTGTCGACATTTTGCTCCGGCAGCGCTGATTCTTGGGCCTCAGAGAAGACGGGCTCTGACTCTTCGATGTCACGAGAGTCAGATGCAGCCACTTCGGTAGACTTTTCAGCGTCCTCCACCACTGGCTCTGACTGCTCGGTAAAATTGGGAACATCATTCTCAAGGTTCTCGTCGATAACTGGTTCGGCAGCATCGACAATTTCACGAGTCTCTTGGGCGTCAGAAGGCACTTCTTCAGCTGGGGCTGGAGGCTCAGGGATATTGGTATCCTGGGGAATTTCTTTTTCCGTAGACTCGGTCTCAGCAGCAGGGGTAGACTCCGAGACAGGCTCAAGAATGGTTTCTTGTTGGTCTTGGGCCTGCTCTGGGGATTGCTCAGAAGCAATATCTGTGACAGCACCTTCTGTCGGCTCTGCAATGGAGAAACCCTTCGCCTTCTTTTTCTTGTCCTTCTTGGCTTTCTTCTTCTGCGCCGCAGTCATGGGGACTTCAGGCTCAGGGTGAGCTTCAACAGCGGGCTCTTCGAAAACAGTATCAGCGGGCTCGACGGGAGTAGTATCGATCTCTCGTGTAGACTCAATGACAGCGGAGTCAACGGGCTCGGTGATGGCGGGAACGGGCTCAGCCTCGATTTCCCTAGAGACTTCTTTTGGCTCAGCCTCTGGCTCTGGCATAGCAGGAGCAGAAAATTCTTCCACGGGAACAGGAACCGCTTCGAAAGGAACTGGAGCCTCTTCCACGGGAGCTGTAACCTCTTCGATAGGAGCAGGCATAGCTTCAGGCTCAATAGAACGAGACCCACCCCCAGTCTCCAGAACAGGAACAGGAACCTGTTCCTCAACAACCGGAGCAGACTCAGAAGGCAAATCAACGCTATCGCTAACTTGATCCTTCTTACCCTTCCTATTCTTCTTCTTTTTCTTCTTCGAAGAAGACGTAGTCGCCGGCTCCTCCGCAACCGGTTCCTCTGTGGCTGTCGGTTGCTCTTGAACTAGCTCAACGGGTTGCTCTGGCTCTACAGACTCGGGAACAATATCCTTAGCTATTCCTTCCTCAATGGCCTCTTCAGGAGCGAAAATTTGAGGACCCTTTTCTTCGATGGCGGTACCAGGTTCTCCGAGCTGCTGGTCGGCCATACTCACATTCACATCGACATCTAGTTGAGCAGGTTGTTCAAGAGCAAGTTCATGAGTATTCTTATGCCCACCACCTTCAACGGCAGATTCAGATTCATCATGCTGCTTACCACCAACCATCGACCCCTCAGCCGAAGGCAAATTCTCCATCGTAGGCGACGAAGGAATTTCAGGATAAGAGTTCGGATCCTGCAGCAATTCAGACGGAGAATGGAATTCATACTTCAACTTCTCCTTCTTGGCTGATTCAGAAACATGTACGAAGTCCTCCGCTGTCGGCGTTGCCTGTTGGGAATCGAGAACGTCGAGTTCTCGGTCGACGTCGACGTCTCGGTGATGGTCAGTTGAGATGGTCAGACCAGCCGGTCGACGATTCTCCATAATGGAGTGGCTAAGGTCGACATTTTCCCAGCTCCGGACTCCATCCTCCTCGTTTAGGGCGCGGAGGTCTTCGACAGAGGGGGCGCGGGAGGAAGTTTTGCTGGAGGGCAGGGAGGGGAGTGGTTCATCTGCTTCGGGCTCGGCTTTACTTGAGCCGTGACGCTCGACGAGCCAGAGAGGACGGATCTCACGCGAGTTGCGGAACTCGACGGAGTTCAAGCGGCGGTGGCGCTGGGTGGGCGATCCTGGTGATGGTACGGCTGGTGGTGGTGATTCTGTCGTTGGCACTGGCACTGGCACAGCACGCGAGAGACCGGGGGATAGCGGCGGGCGGCGGAAGTGCAAGGGGACTGCTGTGGGTGATTCGGTGATGGATCGTGCAGTGGAGTGGCTGCGGCCGCGAGTGATGTCGTCTTCTCCTGATGCTGCTGCTGCTGCTGCTGCATTTCTTATGGCTTCTGGGGAGGAGGGTCTACTCTGGGACTTCGGGGCCAGATCGAGGGCGGTTTTGTCTGCGGCTGGAGGGGAGGTGGAGCGACTGCGAGGTCGTTGGTGAAAGAGGTTCTCGCCTAATGCTAGACCAGCTGCTGAGATAGCTGCTCCCTTTGCAAACGATTCAAGCCCCGAAGCACCACGGTCATCGCGCTCAGCGGCGGCTGGCATTTCGGGGCGCTCCCCTAAAAAAGAGTCGTCGCGGGCGTCATTATAATCGGAAGGCTTTCCGTCCTGCACATGGAATAATACCAAAAGAAATGCTTAGCATAATATTCGTTGTTTTTGTGGGAAACATGGTCATCATATGCATTGGGGAAGGCCATCAAAGACCAACCCAACAAAAGGGGCAACTAAATATGGCACATAACAGTGTACAAGAATCAAATTCAAACATGTCAACAAGAAAAAGAAAAGAAAAATTTCAGATGCTATACCTTCTCATTATCCCTTCGCTTCCCAGATTCGACGATCTCCTCGTACCGATGGCGACGGCGCTCTTCCTTCTCTTGCCGACGTGATCGATATTCTTCCAGATTGGTACCATCCCGGAGCTCTGCATCCTTGTCCGAATCAAAATCATCCCGCTTCGATCCACGGCTGGAGCTGCGCGACTTGGAAGAACGCTTCTTGCGGCGGTGCCGTTCGTCGTCAACGCCAGCCTCTGATATTGCCTCCCGAGATGAACGCTTCTCTAAGGAGGAGGTAGAGCGATTTCTGTCATCAGCAGGTGCCGAGACGCGGGAACCGAAGAGGTTGCGCAGAAACCCAGCAGGATTCTTTTCCTTGTCTTCCTTGCTAGTGCTCCGACTCTTCTCTCGCGTTTCATCAATGCGTGCGGGAGAAGATGTAATGGAAGCATTGTCATCAAAGTCATTGCCAGAGGAGCGGTGGCGGCGGTGGTGCTTGCGACGCTCAGACTTGTCTCCTTCTTCATAAGCGGTCACAACAGATCGGGCATCATCGTCAACGGAGAAAGTGTCACTCTCATGCTTGGATCGCTTCTCATCCTTGTCCTTACTGCGGCGCTTCTCACGCGTCTCGTCAATGTTTGCGGGAGAGGAGGTGATTGAAGCATTGTCATCAAAGTCGCGAAGGCCAGAAGAACGATGGCGGTGTTTGCGGCGCTCAGACTTATCCGCATCCTCATAGGAGGTCACGGCGGATCGGGCATCGTCATCAACGGAGAAAGTATCGCTATCACGCTTGGAGCGATGCTTGCGCCGCTTCTTCTTCTCGTCACTACCTTCATCGTCTTCAGGAGGAGAAACATTTTCACGAGTCAGGTCAACGGGCAAGTCACGAGGCAGGTCGAAATCATCACCGCTGCGGCGCGACTTCTTTGACTTGGACGATTTCTCCGAGTCTCTCTCGAGAGGAGCAGAGACAGCCGAACGCGAATCATATCGGTCGTCAAAAACATCCCGAGGAGAATCAACACGGGGAGCCTCGGAATAAGGTTCGACATCGCGAGACTGATCACGAGAGATATCGAAATCATCGCCACTGCGACGAGACTTCTTAGACTTTGCCTTCTCATAATCTTTCCCAACGGGTACGGAAACAGCCGAGTATGTATCATATGGAACCTCGACATCTCGGGGGACATCAGCAAGAGTCTCCTCTCCGAAGGGTTGGACATCGCGAGGCAGTTCCCTAGAGAAATCAATATCATCGCCGCTGCGACGAGACTTCTTGGATTTCGACTTCTTCTCGTCCTGCTTGCTAACGGGAGCAGAAATCGCCGAGTAGGTATCAAACGGAACCTCGACGTCGCGGGAAGCATCAGGAGTCTCCTCTGCAAAAGGCTGAACATCACGAGGCAGTTCCCGAGAGAAATCAATATCATCGCCGCTACGACGAGACTTTTTAGATTTCGACTTCTTCTTATCTTCCTTTGAAACGGGAGCAGAAACAGCCGAGTAGGTATCAAACGGAACCTCGACATCGCGGGAAGCATCAGGAGTCTCCTCCGCAAAAGGCTGAACATCGCCAGGCAGTTCCCGAGAGAAATCAATATCATCGCCGCTACGACGAGACTTTTTAGATTTCGACTTCTTTTTATCTTCCTTTGAAACGGGAGCAGACACAGCCGAGTAGGAGTCATCGCGAGGTTCAACATGGCGAGGCTCATCATCACCAAATCCACCAGGCATGGAGAAAACATCGTGGTCATCGAGAGATTCGTGTCGAGACTGCTTGCCGTTTAATTGTTCAATTACCTCCTGGGCAATGGAACTGCGCTCACGAGTTGGGGATGAAGAAATATCATTGTCTTTAGCCAAGAATGGCTCGTTGACGGGACCGATATCTCTGGACTGGTGATCATAGCTGCCGACTTCGCCCTCGACATAGCCGTGGCGTTCGGGATTTTGACTAGCCCAGTTCGATCGCGGAGAGAATGTTCCTTCGTCGCCTGAGCCGGGTGGGGAAGTGCGGGTGTGGTATTTCGGATCATCGATGATGAAGGAGGGATCGAAGCCGGCTGCTTCAGTTCCAGCGGCAACTATGGCAGCAAATTCGATGTCATCGCCGTAACCAGACTTGGAGCTGACATTCTTGGACTTGGACTTGGATTTTTCCAGGTCGCCCAGAGAAAGGTCTCTGGCATTGTCTTCCATGGGAGAGATATCATGCTCAAGCGGATCTTGCTCGGAGGAAGAAGGCACTTCGTACTCGTGGGTTGAGTGCTCGCCCCAGGAAACACGAGAGCCAGTTGATGGACGCTCACGCTGCTTACGCGCAACGGGTTCGGGGGGCTCGACATTTTCGGCATGCTCAACATGCTCTTCGGGTTCGACATACTCGACGAGTTGTTCGGTTTCGGGGGCTCGCGCTGCGGAGGTAGGGGTCGACATGCCCAGAGCAGATCCATTCACGCTAACAGGGGGGGGTGGGATCAATGTAATTAAGTCGTGGAACCGGCCACGGCAGTCCTTCGTGATTTGCATAAGGTTCTTGTCCGAATCGTGACATGTCTTCATCGCGCAATTCTCCGCGGGCCTTGCGGACAGAAGCAGGGACGACTTCAACGATCGAAGGCTGCTCAGCAACATCGCGAGTCTTTTGTTCATCTGCACTGTGACGAATTTCGGAAGGCGCGTAGAATTCAGCGTAGCTATCATAGACAGGGGATGGAGAGGCGGTCTTCCGAGATGAACGCTTGCCTGGTGCATCACGGGTTTCCACTGATGATACCCTCTCAACAGGCTCCCGGATGTCAGATCTTGACACAATCGACGATTCGGCATCCCCTCGCTGTCTTCTTTCCGCTCGACGCTTCTCACTACGAGAAACGCGCTGAGAGCTAATCTCAGAGGCGTTGTCCGACTTATGAGAGGAGGCAAGGGCACCGACCGCAACTGCGCCAATGGCTCCAACGGCAGCTGCTTCAACCCATGAGGAAGAGCTCTTGTTCTTTTCGCTCTCGCGACGCTCTTCGTCCTCTAGGTCCTTGCGACGGTGCTCGCGACGGTCTGCTTCTCGCCGAGCATCCTCTTCTTCGCGGTCGACCAACTGAACCGATTGGTCGTCGTGGAAATCTTCGCGCGATCTCTGGTTACGACGGTTGAGACGGCGTTCGCGCTCGGCCTGCTCGTCAGTCAGGTTGAAAGAAACAGAGGCTTGATCTTTAGCCGTAGAGCGGCGCTTGAGACTTGATGCAGTCTCTTGAGTAGGGAAAACCGGAGAGGAGTCGCTTCGGCGGGGTTTGCGAATATCGACATCATCTCGACTCCAGGCAGCATCCCGAGAGCCTTGGAATCGAGGGTCGTACTGATCATGTTCATTGGCAAAGATAGCAGGAACAACAGGTGCGCTGTACGCGGGAATAGAGCCTGGCATGGTGCCTTGAGAGGTGTAAATGGCTTGAGAGACAGGCGTGAAAGGCTGTGGCTGCTGAAGAGGAATTGGTCCGGGGCGGACGAGAGGAGTTTGACCACCGGAGACAACAGATGGAGACATGTTGGCAACGTCAAAGCGAGAAGGATCGGAGGTAGGCACAGGATAAACCTGCTGCAGGCTACCAGCCTGGCTAGATGGACGACTATCGCGTTGGTGAGCAACAGAAGCAATAGCAGCACTACCGAGAACACCAGCACCAACAGCCATAGCAGCATTGGCGGCAGAATTCTTCTCCTTCTTTTTCTTGTCTTTCTTGCTTCCCCATCTCCAACCCCAGCCTCCACGGCTGCTACTGGAATCGGAATGAGAATCGCTGCTGTGAGCACCACCGAAAGCCAGGGCGGAGCTAACGCTCGATGGGGAGTCTTCAGCTGAATCAGCGTCAATCCACTCTGCATCCTCGTTCGCAGACGAAGCGTACTGGGAGTGCCGAGAACGAGATTCCCTGCCAGTTAGCATTTGACCGGTGCTGCGACGATTGGGAGATGAAGCCGCAAGGGCAGTGGCGGTAGCACCCAAGCCAAGAAGTGCTGCATTAATATCTTCGTCCTTCTTGCCCTTCTTCTTCTTCTTCTCCTTCTTAGACTTGGACTTCTTCGAAAATCCAATTCCAAAAGCGAGGTCGGCATCAAGATCGGAAGACGAGGAACTATTGAATGAGAAAAATCCGCGCTTGGTCTTCTTCTTCTTGCTAGTCTTCTTCAACTCTCGCTTCCTCGCGCGATTTTCAGAGTTGGATGTAAAGAAAGAGGTAAAGCCTCCAACAGACTTGGGAGCAGGTTGGGAAAAGTCAACAAAGGAGGAGTCGGAAGAAGATTCCTTGCGGCGTTGAGTCCGCGAGGGAGAACGGCTACGGCTTCGGTTGTGATGTTTCGCGACAGCAAGAGCACCGGCACCAACAGCGGCACCCAAGGCAGCCTTCTTGACAAACGAATGGCGACCAGATCGGGAGGAAGATCGCGAGCGAGAACGGGTCCGTCGAGAATGCTTGCTGTCTGAGTGGTACTCTCGCTGTGGGCTGCGTTCGGTCCGGCGGACAACACCACGCGAAGTATAGCTTCTGCGGTCGGAGTTTGAGACATCATCACCATCGTGAGAGACACGGTCACCAGCCATACGACCAGAGCGAACACTGTAGGAGTCATCAAAATCCTTACCGGCAAAGATTGACTTTGTGGCGTAGCCAGCCAGCATGCCCGGCAACCACGAGGACGACTTCTTGCTCGATCGCTTGCGCCGACTTTCATCTTCCGAAGAATGGTATCGACTGAGTTTGCTCACTCGGGAAGAACCGCTAGCGCTGTAGCGATCGGCAGAGTGTCGACGCCGATCATAGTGATGCTTGCGCGGCGCATCAATTGAGGAGGTATGCGGATCAAAGCAGTACTTGCAGACACCAATGGTTTCGGTGTAATCCTCGAACCGTCCTACAGCTTCCGGATCGCGCCAGAAGTCCACGAACTTCGAGAGAGGACCTCGCTGACGCTGCTGGTAGGCAAGACCACCGGGCGCGTAGGGGTAGTATCCAGGACGGTGCGAGATCGGATGCGAATGAGAATGAGAATGACCAGCATGGGCAGCATACGCCGCTGCACCTGCAGCTCCTGTTGCCATCATGGCATTATGAGAGCCAGAAGCATATGGGGGCAGACCAGTCTGGGAATATTCCTCGTAGTGCTGAGACTGATGCTGATGCTGATGCTGATGCTGATGCTGATGAGCATATTGAGACGCGCTCTCCGGGCTTGAGGAGTGATGCTGATGGCCGAGCATATATCCTGCTGCTGCACCTGCTGCTGCAACTCCAACGCCGGAACCAATACCATATGTAGAAGGCTTTGGCGGCTTGCTGGTACTAGTGGCAGCCGGCTGCGAGTACGAAGCCGATTGGTGATAGGCAGAGTTGGAATGCTGGGACTGGGTGTTTTCGTAAGAGGACGACGTGTGTCCCAATCCGTATGTTGCAGCTCCCGCGGTGGCTGCTAGTGCTGCTGCAGGGACTGCGCTGGCAGAAGGCTTGCTATTGCTAGGCTTGGTAGGTTTTGAGGGCTTGGAGGGTTTTGAAGGAACGGCTTGCGACTCAACGGGACCCGCGTCATCGAAATAAGAGGCGGCCGCACCGACTGCACCAACACTGCTAGGCTCCGGCGGGGGGTTGGATGTAGGAGAGGCGGCTTGCAAGTGCGCTTGATGGGCGGGGATTACCAGAGGGTCAGGCGGCCGGATGCCAGGTTGCTGCTCGACGGACTGGCCTTGGTCACCATAATAATCCGCGGCAGCACCGGCGGGATTCGGGGGCATATATGGCTCTGCAGTTCCGGTGGGGAATTGGCCAGGGAATTGCTGTTGTACATGAGGGTCATACGGCGATGGATTAGAGTCGTGGGCGGGCGAGGAGGCCGCCGGCGGCATTCCACTGTCGTATTGGCCGGGAAATTGCGAAAAGCCAGGCGCTGCCACGTCGGCGGCAAATTGAGCGCCGGGAGCACTGGATGGCATATAGGGGTCTCCCGAATGTGTGCGCCGGCGCTCACGGCGGTCCTCGCGATCCAAATCGTCATCGGTCGCTCGGCGGCTTTTTCTCTTTTCACGCTCACGGTCACGGTCGCGACTCTCGGAACGGTCGCGGTCGCGGCGGCGAGAGGTCTTGCTCTCTCGATCGCTATCTCTGCGCTTGGGGGTCCGCTCGATGATGCGATCGGGGGAATCGTAGGATTCGGGTTCGGCGGTCACGAAGGAAGCGACAGAATCACCAGCGGCGCTTGAAGCAGTACGGCGGCTCCCCGACGCAGAGGGCTCATAGTCAACCAAGTCACCCAGGCCGCGATCACGGTCGTCACCCCGTGAGGACTTGCGGCTATGTGTGGACTTGGAATCGGTCTTGCGACGGCTGGACTTGGAGCTGGAGCTGGTGGTGCTTCGGACATCGGAGGATGACCGGTTGCCCCCGCCCATGAGGGCTTTGAACATGGTGGGCAATTAATTAGGAGGGAGAGAGACACCATGTGGGGGAATGTGAGAGGGGGGGGGGGGGTGAATGGAATGTCGATTGAAGGTAAAGTTGGAGGTTGGTGAAGATAGGTGGAAGTAAAAGGTGGAGGATGTTATGGTTTGTTTGGGGGGGGAGTAAACAACGGAGCTGAACCGTGGATCTTCGGCCCAAGCGGGACTGGTGAACCCACTGAGAGATGGCTGAGGTGGGTGAGATCGGGGAACCACACAGTGACTCGGAGGGACTCGTACCTAGTACATCAATAGTAGTAGTACTACTTCCAACTCAAAGATTACCTAGGTAATGCTGTCAAATTGTGCAGAGTCCGAGTCCGAAGAATGCAGATGGCAGGAATGCAGATGGCAAAAGAGAGGTGGGAGCTGAAGCGAACGAGTGGAGCGAATCAAATCGCGGTGAGGAGAGTGCACGTGCCACGACAACAGAGCAGTGCATAAGTACATACAGTAACTATGGTACACATAGTATCCCTAGTATAGTACTATACTGTATGAGTATCAATTAATTACTCAGTTAGTCCCTACACCTGAGGGAATATACTAGTGGTACTTAATAAGGGGTAGTACCTAGGGGAATTGTGTTGCGAGTGGTGGTGGATATAGATACTGCCAGTTGGGTAGGTAACTATATACATCCCGAGGTCATGATGCACTCCAGGGCTGCCAATGGCACTTTATATACATTAAAGTTGACGTACCCATGGCTACTATGCCCCGGGCGGTTACCTGTGCCACTATGAGGACTCAAAGTAGTACACAAAATTGGACAGATATTGACAATTACTACCTACTATTTACTTGCACCCTCACTACCACTACCCCCCCCTATTTACCAGCCCGAACCAACCTCTCCAATCGACACCGCAATCCATGCTGAAGCCACAGTGGATATCCACGGAGACGATGACACAAATAACCCGCCGACCCAGGCACAACCACACTCCCACTCTCCCCACTAAGAACCTGCCGAACAATCCCCCAAGCCACCGTTTCCGGCTCTAGCAACGGATTAAACCACGTATCCTCCGGCGTCAACACCCCAATAAGCGGCGTCCTCGTAAAACCCTGCGTAACCAACACAGTCCGCACCCGCGGCGCATCATACCTCGTTACCAACTCTGCCGCAAGACCCTCATGGAACGAAATCGCCCCGGCCTTCGAAGCAGAGTAATCCACCATATTGGGCGTCGTCGTATATCCCGCCTGTGAAGCAACCGTCACCACCATCCCGTGATTCTGCGCAATCATATCGGGCAGAAATTCCTGCGCGAGCCAGTAGTGCGCGAGCGTGTTGACTTCAAACATGCGTCGCGTGGTCGCCTCGGTCGTCCCGAGGATCGTTTTACCGGTCAGAATGCCCGCGTTATTGATCAGGATCGTTGGCCGACCGAATGAGGCCCGGATCGCGGCGCCGACTTCTTTGATATCCGCCGCGGAAGTGATGTCGCACTTGAAATAGCGCACGCTGTTGGGCAGAGCGGTGTCTGGCGCGGTGATATCTAGAATGGCAACTTTGATACCGCGCTCGCCGAGCATTTGCGCCACATGTCGGCCGATGCCTCCGCTGCCGCCGGTTAGGATGACCACTTCGCGGTTCCAGTCATAGTGATCTTTTAGCCCGTTGTTGATGGCGCGGTGGTCGAGCCAGGCGCCGATTCGGCCTAGGACGGCTAGGGTAGCGAGGGCCCGGAGCGCTTTGAGGAGGTGAGGGCGTGACTCGATGATTTCTCGGCCCTTGATGGTGTATTGGGCTAATGCCAATATTGGGACAATTTTCCAGGGACTCAGGAGTGTTCGGGATATAAGCTTGCCCAGAACATCTGCTGTGAAGCCTGTGGAGAGTTAGTCTTCTCAGCTCTTCCCTTGGTGGAGACGGTCAGCCCTGCTTACCTTCATTGGAAAACCACTTCTTTGCTGGCGATGCCATGATAAATCAAGTAGTTAAAATAGTGGGGCAATGGAGTACAGGGGCTCTGTAGTACTGTCTCACTGCTGAGAGTGGATTGAGTATGCTGCAACGCAGACTCGAGGACGTGGGTGTTCGCAGTAAATGAAGCAGCTCCTGCTGATCTGCATGGGGCCGCCATTCTGCGGGGAAGCCGAGGTCCGCGCACACAAATGCATTTGATCCTGCATTGACTGCATTGACTGCATTGACCGGGGTGAGCTCCGTTATGCATTGATCAGAGTCAATTTGGGCTGAGGGAGTTTGCCGCTGTCGCTAGTCAGTCAGGGGCTCCTTGACTACCCTCCAGCCCTATGCGCGAGTAATCCCAACTTGGTGACTGCACAACTCTGCCAAGCACGTTTCCAAAGAAATTCTCTTATCTCATTGTCTGCAATAAGATTATACCTTGACACCTTTGATCTATATCTAATTTTAAGCTTTTTTGTTCTCAGTCAGATTTTTTTTCAAGTTCCAAGTTCTTTGTCTTTATAGGACATCTTGCCAACATTGTTTTATTGGAACTTGTATGAATTGAACTTGAACCCGAAGACTAACAATCACATTCTTTGAAAGATAGGGCCTCTTACTTGTAAAATTTCTCGCCACAAACTCATCGAGTTCGAGATATAAATATGCCTCGAATAACACGAATTATAGATGTATCAAGCTTACTAGCAGCATTCAGTACTCCACCGCGAGTACTACGGGCTATTTCACCCATTCAACAGCTCCTAGCTGTTGGATATAGAATAGTCTACCACTCACGCACAGTACTGCTACTTGTACGCCCATTGTTACTACCATTGCTACTATCATTACTACTACCACTACCACTACTTACATCACTTCGTCATGGCACGACGCTTGAGCGATGCTATGTTCGATTGCCTGTGCGGATCATGCATAGGAGCTGCCCGCCGGGGCATGGATAGAGCCCGTGAAGGTGAGCAAGGCAATGAGCAAGCCAGAGGTGTTGGCGAGGCTATCTTCGATGGTTTGTGTGCTGCTTGCACTAACGTTTGTTCTCTTGCCTTTTGCAGATTCGCCCAGCATGAGATTGCAACCCAGACAGGAACTGAGAATATTGAACTGCAAGAGATGCCGACAGGGGCACGGCACCAAGCTCAACAGGCGGCTAGAATTACAGCTGCTTTGAACCCTGGTCCTGCTCCACTAGCTCCTATTCCTGAGGAGGAGGAAGAAGAAGATGAAGAAGAAGAGGATGCGGCATCATCTCCTGGTTTCACTGGGGCATCTCCTGCCCCCCCCCTCCGTCAACACCTGTTCTCGTCCCATTAGCTGGTCCGTCGACTATCACACCCCCTATTATGTGGCAGCAACTCCCAGGGTTTCCATCAGCAGCAGCACCATCATTTAGTGGACCGCAGCCTGGAACTATAGGAATAACGCGTGATGATGATCCATGGAATCCGACTGCCGAGTATCCTCTCCCATATGGACGACTGCAAGCACATGGAGGGCTGCGACGCCAGTGGATAGATGACCCCGAAGCGCCAGACTGCCCTATTAACCCATCAACATTGACAATGCAACAGGTAGAAGCGAACTTTCCTTATGCGCTACCACCTAGACGTAATGTTATGGGTGAGGATTTCGCGGACCAGGTAAGTGATCTTGGAATAGCTCCGGGCCCAGTATACTGGTCACTTCAGATTCGAGCCACCAACTTTCTTTGGGTTGGAGATACTGGTCCAGGTGTGATTGTTCTATGTGCCGTTCGCCGTAATAGAAGGTCGGATGCTTATCAGATTTCTGAATTAACACAGGCCCTTTATACCCGGAACTTCGAGATGCATACTTTGCGACATGTTTATGTTCAACATGTTGTAAATGCAGAGACAAATCCCTTCGTGAGGAGGGGATTATATACCGAGAAGACTCGGCCTAGACTAGCATGGCCAAAACAGGAGCCCGAGACCTGGGATTATCGTACCCCGGAATACGATGGCCTATTAGGCTCTCGTATTGGGAAAGTTGTCGCATACTTGGTCTTGGGTGCATTTCCCGGGGCACTCGGCGCATTACACGGGTCGCTACATGGGCAGTCGACCCTCTGAATCACGATAATCGGCTTCAGATTCGGTTTGATATTGAACCCGTTCCCGCGGCATAGAGATTTGACTTACTAGGCAGGTTGGTTTTCGCATGTTTATTGACTGATATTGTTTTATTGAGACTGAGAGTTTAAGAGAGAAGAAATCAATCGTATTTGCACTGGAAGATGAAAGAGATAAACAGTAGACCCGCAAGTTGTAGATGTGTAGTCTGAGTAGTACTAGTATAAAACAAATAGTAAACGATGGACATTTAATCGTAAAAAGAGCGTATCCGAGTCCCCAACAGACTTTGAATAGACGTTGACCCAAGCGAATGATCCCCCACTCCACCTCCCCCCGCTTTCCTCAATCCCAATACAATTTGGCCCGTCAATCCCCGCACGAGAAACAGAGGACTCCTGTGTGTCTAGATCATCTTGCTAATCCCTTGACCCAAACACCAACCAAAGAGGGAAACCACGGCAAACCAGACGATCACTTTGGCCCGCGACCCATCCTGCCATTCCTGACGTATCTCTGCCCAGGAGGGTCCAAACCGAAGGAATGGAGATAATCGATCTTCAGTATCTCGCCCGTTGCTCTTTGATCCCTCGATTGAACTGGACAGCTTCTCCTTGAGCTCGGTGACGCGGTCGTCATTCTGAGTTTGAGCGGGGTCGTCATAGGGTTGTCTGCGGTGGGTCATTTTGACGAGTGTACAGTATAAACCAGTGCTCAATAATGTAAAAACTGCTTTAGCATTCAAGTTGTCTTGCACCTCGCAGAGTCGAATTTGCGATGAGGTGGCCGTCTACGTGGCAGTGCGAATGTCTAACTATGATTGGTCTAAAATCCCTGCAAAAAACGGCCAGTGGTGTGGCGAGGTTGAGGCTCACCTGCAGCGCGGCAGTCGCATAATTATAGAAAATATTTACATATTAGTAGAAGGCAAGAAATCCCAGAGGCAGAATTACTACTTCCTTTTTAGTATCGGTCAAGATGAGTGTTCCATAATTAAGCATTTATATCCTGATTTTCCTGCTGTACTTCTAGTACGGAGTACCCACCGGCCTCCGTCGAAAAGAAAAAAAAAATCAAAAATGTGGAATGTGGCACCGTAAAAGAAACAAAGAAGACATCATTAAGCGGAGAATTTAGAATCGGAACATCTAGAATCGGAATTTCCATCCTGGCGGGGCTCCAGGCTTCCCTGTTTTTGATGATGATCAACTAGCGACCTTCCTATCCGTGTGGGCCATCGGGGAAGAATCAACCACCGACCAACCAACCCACCAACCCACTCCCAGCCCACCTGGGCACACAGTCTCGGTCTCTTCCCTCTGCTGTTCTCAGGTTCTCAGGCTTGCGATAATGGGCTGACAAAAGGCGGTGGATGGGACATAGCAACACACGGACCTGCCTAGCAACGTGGTGATCCCTCTGTGCGACCGTCCACACTTCACTAAATGCAGCACTAATAATTTACTAGTTGCCTTTGCCGAGTACTTTCCCGTGGATTCGACTGCTGCATGTGCATTGTGCATCTACCATTCCCCCGATCGATCGTGCTGGATACCACGCGGCAATCGAATCGAATCGGATACCCCTGAAAAATCTGCGATAGAGCCGTGGTTTCGACATGATATCAAATCCTTACCACGGATTGCGTCAGGTCTGTTTCACCTTATCGAGATCTAATTTGCCCATTGGACAATGATAGCTGGAGATCTTGAATCATGGCCCCCGCCTTGTCTCGGGGGCTTCAGGGCCCGGCCAATATCGTCGCGTGCTGGTCTGGTGGACTCCTGCACGACCGCGGAGCGCAACAGCGACAAGCTACGGGTACTCCTCCATTCATAGTTTAACCTTGGGAGGAGGGGCTAGGCGTCGGTGTTTATTTCGATAGCGCAGTTTCTTGATATCATATTTCCTTTTTTTTTTTTTTTTCCCCCTCTCTTTTTTCTTTATTCCCTTTGCCATTTTTCCTTTTCCTGTCGTAGTGCTGTAGATCAGCACCAGCAGCAGCAGCAGCACTCTACTAATTCAGCTCTCTTCTCTCCTCTCCGACCTACTTGACTGCTCCTCTTTCTTGCCTGTTTGATGTCCACTTTTGCCAATCTCTCTCGCACATCGCCCTCATCATAATGCGTGTGGTGCTGTCTGCTCAGCTTCTCGCGGGCCTTGTCGCGCCTTTCGCGCTCGCATTATCTCCGCGCACGGAAATCGCCGATTCGTACGATTTTGTCGTGATCGGCGGAGGTCAGGCTGGCCTCGTGCTTGGAGGACGCCTGGCAGAAGATACAAACCACACAGTGTTGGTACTGGAATCCGGTGGCAATGGAGATGAATATCGGAATCGAATTGGTAGGTCCATTCCATCTTCAGCACTACCTTGGGACAAAATACTCCTTCTTGCCCTTATCGCACCGTCTAACAACTCATCTAGATACCCCGGCATACTCATATTTCGACTCCCTTTGGACAACACCGTTGAATTGGGGCTTCTATACCGTCGCGCAACCCAATGCAAATGATCGTGAGATCTACTGGCCCCGCGGGAAAGTGCTGGGTGGTAGTTCTGCCATCAATGGGCTGTACATGACTCGGCCGGGCGAGAATGAGATTAACGCGTGGCAGAGTATGCTGGGCGATATGGACGGTGCGGAGAACTGGTCGTGGGACTCTTTCTATTCTGCTATGAAGAAGAGTGAGACTTTCTCGCCGCCAACAGACGATGTCAAGACACAGGCGGATATCACATGGGATTCATCCACGCACGGTAGCGATGGTCCGATCCACGCCTCGTATCCTGGATTGTATGTTCACAATAACACCCACGTACATATTTACACAAGACGAGTGGAAACGCTAACTCTACCTCAGCTCATTCGACCAAGTCGGCCAATGGTCAGAAGCTTGTGCAAACATCGGCATCCCCATCTCCGACGATATGTACGGAGGCTCAAACTGGGGTGCAGAAGTCTCGACATCCTGCATCAACCCGAGCAATTGGACCCGCTCGTACAGTCGAACCGGCTATCTCGATCCGCTCCCTGATCGTGGCAACTATGATGTCCTAGCCAACGCGCACGTCACACGCATTATCTTCGACAGCTCGTCCAACCTGACCGCCAACGCGGTCGAGTACACGCCTGACAACGGCACGACGAAAAAGACCATCAGCGTTACCAAGGAAGTCATCTTAGCCGCGGGCTCTATCGGTAGTCCGGCAGTTCTTCTTCACAGTGGAGTTGGACCGAAGGATGTCCTCTCCAGTGCTGGTGTTGATCTTGTCCACGAACTTCCTGGCGTTGGCCAGCATCTCCAGGACCACCTCGTATGTGCTTTGACTCCAGGGCTCGCTCCTCTCGCCAAAAATCCAATCCATAACTAACCCCAACCAGAGCGCTACCATAAAATGGACCACAGACGTCGAAACAGCCGGATCAATCTTCTACGATAACGGCAGTGAAAGGGTAAGCTAACACCACACCAACCTCCATCAATCTGTAGAATTTGAACTTGAACTTGAACAACATCTAACAAACCCCAGAACAACCCCCTCTTCCTAACCTACATCGACTCAGCCGTGGCCTACGTAAACGCAAGCAACATCTACGCGGATACCCTACAATCCGAACTAACAAGCATCCAATCGAAAATGGACTCCTGCGCCCCAAACACCACTTACGAAGACACAGTCCTGGAAGGCTACAAAGCCATCTACAACACGACGGCCAAAATATTCAACAGCCCCACCGGCCTGGTCGAACTACTCTTTATGAACAGTGACGGAAATGGCGACGTCGGCATCACAGCTGCCCTTCAGCACCCTTACTCCCATGGACGGGTTTATATCAATTCATCAGATCCGATGGATTATCCCGTCATCGATCCGAATTATCTTTCCAATTCCGCCGGTGCGTTTCCTCACCGACTCGAAAATACTAGACTCAATTCTAACTTTGATATCTAGACACATCAATCCTAACAACAGCCCTAAAACTCGCCCGTAGCCTCGGAAACACAACCCCCCCTGTCAACAAACTTCACCTCCGAATCCTCCCCAGGCCAATCAACCCAATCAGACACCGACTGGGAATCCTGGATCCGCAAAAACGCCGGAACAGAATACCATCCTTCCTCATCTTGCGCCATGCTCCCGCAATCCCAAGGCGGCGTCGTAGACGCCAACCTCCGCGTCCACGGCCTAAAGAACGTCCGCGTAATCGACGCGAGTGTCCCGCCCATCGCGCTTTCAACGCACCTGATGGCGTCCACGTATGGCGTTGCGGAAATTGGGGCGGCGGTTGTTCGGGAGTTTTGGAATGATGGTGTGCAGGGGGCGCAGGTTGCTTTTAGTGGGGGTGGGAGTTTGACGAATTCTTCGTCTGCGAGTGCGAGTGCAAGTCAGACGGGGTCGAGGGGGGGTTGAGAAGAATGTGGCTGCGAGGATTATCACTAGTAGTAGTACGCAGGTTTGGGGTGGGTGGTTGTGGGGTTTGGCTTTAATGGTTGGCGTTGGAGGAAGGGTTTTTGTTTAGATTCCATGGTTTGCGTCTAGTAGATTAGAAGAGAGGAGTCCTGGAGGATACTTCGGGATGCACATTTGTACTAGTAGTTCTAGCACATACTGATGAATAATGACATGATTTCAATGATCAATGGGACTTCAAGTTTCTGGACCTAGAGCTATATGGCCACGGTACTACAAATGGTTGTAATATGATAGTAGGAAGTGGTGGTAGAGTAGGATACAAGTAGTCACAAGACAATATAATAATTCGGGAACGGCAAAGCCACTTCGTTCATTGTGGATGATATGGATATGGATATAGATAGATCAAAAATCAAATGGAACACCAGGCCAACCGGAGAAAAGGAATATGCATCAGAGTGAAAAAAAGTGGCTGTGGGGGACCAAAGCCCCAAAGTTAACGATCGAAGAAAGATGAGCGATGGACGGTTTATCATGCAAAACAAAGTGATGGCCACACCGGAACTCCCGGAATCAAGAAGTGCATATATCCGTTAGATAGACCGTAATTGAAACCACTAAATGCAATTTCGCAGCAAATAAAACACAGTCCGCCCTGTCATTCGTCCAGGTAGGATACCAATCCTAAATACGCTGGGTGTTGGGTTTTATACCATGCTCGGGGTAAATACCTGGACAAGACAGGGGGATGGGGCTAAAATCCAAAATCCAACAAAAATGTCGTATCGCGCCAATTGAACACCAACAACCGTGGTCAAGGCAATCTTGGCCAGGATGGGAATATGAAAATGTCATCATGAGACTGAGGAATTTTCCTCAAGGGGTACTGGGTTTCTCCAGCGTGGGGGAGTGGTGGAAGATCTTCTTGTAGATTTCCGTCAAAATTCGGGCGTCAGCGCGGAGGGTTGGAGAGATGTGTTCACTGCGCAGGAGGAAGCGAATGGTTCGTTTGAGGAGTGTTTTCAGCTCGTCGCGATCGACGAGCTCGGAGAGGGTGGACATGTACGTTGCCGACAGGACGAGCAGGTTTCCGAATTGACTAGAATGGAGGTTAGTAAGAGTAAGCGGAGACGGGGACTGTCTGGTTGAGGGTTTGGTTGTTGTAGACTTACGCATGGGCTGTACCAAAGATATTAGTAACCACAAGTCGATTCTTCTCATCCTTTGAGGTAAAGTTCGGGTCCATGGTGAATGGATCCTCCATACGGTGGCCCTCTAGTGGATCCTGCATGTTCTTGTACGGCTCCTCTTTAAATGATGCGTTGCTGAGAGCGTCGAACGGATCCTCGATGCCGTCGAAGGCCTTTGTACTAAGAATGGCGGAGTCCACGCAGACCTTGCAGGCACGTCGAAGTTTGGAAGGGAGGTCTCGCAAGTTGACGGTTGGTGGCGTCCAACCATTCGGGAAAGCAGCGGCAGGGTTGCTTGAGACTGTACCGATGTCGCTGAGCATCCGTGTCATATTTTGCGCCCGGTGGGAGGTATTGGTTATAGAAGGAGACATTTGCTGTGGCTGGGAATTGCCCACTGATCCCGTGGGGGAGTCCACAGCAGACGTTTGACCCACCGCATCCACACGCGCACCAGATCCGCCATAATGGAGAGCATGGTATAATAGCGGTCTGTGAATGATGTACCGAGCTCCGTAATATTTAGCTCGCATTCGAGCTGCATTGATCTCCTTGGCAGGTGGATCCTCGTCTTTCCAGATCATAATATCGGGAAGGCTGAAACGCCAGAGATCCAGATTCTGACTAAGAGCTTCTTGGACGCTGGATGACCACCGAGATTGACCTTCCTTTTCAACCTTGTAAAGATCCGTGTGGACACGGTTAAGAACCTTGCGGAGATGAATCTGGGCTGAATAGAACATCATCATCAAAACATGAGGATCTTTCATGTCGTTCGGCATGGGTATGATCGTCCACCTTCCCTTCGGAAGAGGGATCATAGACTCGGAGCGGGATATGCCACTGGCGGGAATATCCAATTCTGCCAGAAGATCACTCTCCAACTGCAAACAAGTCCAATATACAAAGTTAAAGAGATCCTGTGTTGGACCTCCTTCCAGTGCTTTGTACTCTTTTGAGGCAACAAGAACTTGGCACGCCCAAGCAGCCTTATGAATATGGCTATGGCTTGAGAATGGGTGTGCAAGCTGTCCAGCATAGATACCCGCAAGCAGGTTCGCTTGTACATGCTCCAGATGGATACCAGAGTGAAGTAATGCCAGAGATTGTATCGCATATCCATATAAGGCTAGCCCTGGGATCACTTGGTAGTTCTTAGGCTGGCTATCATGAATGGTAGACCGTCGTATCGGAGCTTTATCGGGCCGTGACTCTGTTGCTGAGGATGGGAAAGAATGACTCGCCGCCTCAAATGGGGCGTAGAAAGATGTATTCGATGGGAGAGCAGAGTCTGAGTTTGCGGGAGAAAGGAAACCATTGATCGTGTTGGTGCCGTTAGCGGGTGTTGGGATGGTTTGCCTTGGACCGGGGATGAATTGATGTCGGTAATCGGGTTCCTTCTCCATCACGGGTCCCGGGAGCGGAGATTTGGTCTCGCAAATGGCGCCGACGGCAAGGGCCAGCAAAACAATCGCACAATCTATATTCAATCCCACGGGTGGCTTTGTCGAACCATCCCTGCCACTGCCATCCACATCCTCGACTGAGCGCTTGCGCTTCTTCTCACGGCAGAGTGAGTTAGCATCGGTAGGGCAATAGCACCGAATAAACGCCTCCACTTTGAGTTCGAGCTCTCTCTGGTCGAGGAAAGGATGCAGCAGGTGCATCTGGTCTAGATAGCTGTGGAAGTAGCGTTTGACAGTTTTCCCATCCAACCGCAGCAAACCAAATCGAGAGATATCTGCGTCCGAGTCTTGTAATGCTGAGCCTGCCCAGCTTGGTAATCCGGATTGCATGTGAGCGTTCAGGTCTCCATTTGGTGTGCTCTGGTTCCACGGCAAGAATGAGCCGTCGGCCGAGAAGGAGTCTTCGCCGCGATCGAAGATGCTGGTAACACCACGCTGTCCTTCCAATCCCATCACATAGTCCTTATCGTAGTCGTGGGGGGTTTAACAACTTCTTGATTGAAGGCCACATCAACAGCTTGTGAGCCGCGGTCGTATGTTCCAGCGGGATTGAAAGCTCGCCCTCATTATCCCCCTTCATTCCTGTTTCATCGAAACTGACGGTAGCTGGGTCTAACCTCTGCTGCTGTCCATAAGGGCTCTTCTCTGTCATCGGATCCATCGGCGCTAAGACCTGCGATTCCATCTTCACCGGAAGCTCACGAGCTGGGGCCGGGATAGCTGATTGACTTAATCGATTTTGATCGGGCACGGTTGAACCATGTCCGCTGATAAGTCGCGAGAGAAGGTTGGCGTTATGTTCCTGTTCGTTATGAATTCTCTTGAGATCTTGTAGGACCTCATCCTTAAAATGCATGAGCTGGGTCATGATAGGCTGAATAGATTTCTCCTGTCTGGTCTTGGGGTCAGTATTCTGGATTACTCGATTCCACATCATTTTCCAACAGGAGAGACAGACTTGTGAGTTGGCACTTCTTTGTAGACACACTTCAACCCATTCTCCTTGCAGTGGCTACACTCTGGGCGTCCTTCGTCGCACTTGGCTTTCCTCGCTCGACATTGATCACATGCCTGTCGGACATCGTTAGTCAACCCTACACACAGAGGATGCGTATACGTGTATAATCCTCCAATACACATGTTGTTAAACATACTTGTTGCGCTCTAGCTGCCTTGCGCTGACGCAGCCCATAGGCCGCGCTCTGATAGTAGTCAGGGCCGTAAGGTGCAGGGGTTGGAGCGGAAACTGGAGCAGGAGACATAAACTGCGAGGGCGGAGGCAGAGGACCGGAAGTAGGCGTCGTCTCGCCCGGACCGGGGGGGTTCTGGTTGATAGCCTATGCGCGGCGCACGGTACTCTGGCGGGGCGGAATGCGGCGAGGCTTCGTGGGGGGTTCCGTTCATAGGTGGACGAAAAGGATGTTGTGAGGGGTGAGGGTCAGGGCCGGCTGAACCTGGCAAGCTGCCGGGGCGACTATAGGGACCATCGAGGTGTAGCTGTGGCAGTTCGCGGCCATGCATGGCAGGGTAGTTTGGCGGTGGGAGCGTGGCCTGGGTGGTGGGGGGGGACGGCGTTCCGGGGCGGGAGCATGGGGATGGGCGTGATGGTGAGCATGACTGTCATAATGCGGCGCATATGGAGGCCGCCAGGCAGAGGCAGGTTCATAGGCATGCGGGACCGGGGGCGGGCCATGATGCCCCTCGGGCGGCGGCATGCGACTCATCGGAGGAGGGTGAAGTCCGCGTCGGAACGGGATCGCGAGAGCTCTTGGAGACGGGGTCAGTACAAACAGGATCAGGATAGGATAGGACGAGATGTGAAGGGAAGCGCGTCAATATACCGATGAGAAGCCGTGCAACTGGACCGAGGTCATGTATTAACAAGGAGACAAAAATTTAGAGAAAAGGCGCCGGGATTTAAATGGACATGGCGAGTACCGGTAGGATTCGAGTGGGAGAAAAAGGAACCGGGTTGGAGTCGGGGAGGGAAAAGTGCAGCGCGCGTTGGTGAAAGGAACGAAGTCGCCAAGGTAGGTAAGCTCAGCAGGGAGGCTGCAGCAACCAGGAAGAAGGAATAAGTATTGTAAGGAATAGGACCGCCACAAATGTGAGAGAGCAAACGGACGCGCCGATGGAGAAGCTCTGAGGGGGGTTGGGTGGAGCGACTAGAACAAAGAAATAATCAGATGCGGCGAAGATCGGACCAGGGACCCATATCGAGGGAGGGAAGATGAGATGGAATAAGTGGTAGAATAAGTGGTAGAAAAGAGAGAGAGATGAAGTGGAAGTGAAGTGTGAGAGAGGAAGTGAGAAGAGGAAGAAGAAGAAGAAGCCGCGTATCAGATAGATCGTGCAAGAAGAAGTCGACTGGTCTGAATGCGCAATGACAATGGAGGGGAAGGAGCGATGGTGTATATGGTATGGTATGGTGTACGGTATGGAGTATGGTAACTTACAGTCTGTACGGTAATGCTTGGTATGGATACACTGGTTGACCACTGTCGATACCACTGTCCACTGTCGAGTTAGGGCTGGGCTGGCAGGCTGGCAGGCTGGCCAAGTTATATCGCAGCCTGTTATGACTACATATCCCCATTTCCACCTACTTTGCCTCCTGGGTCTTTCATCATGAGGTGACAGGTCGGTTTCCTTTCTTTCGGAATGAACGAGTGGGTCATGCTGATCAGAGTCTGTCCATGTTCATGTACAGAGTGCTAGCACTACGGAGGGCACAGTACAGAGCACTCGTACAGCATTCATTCACATTATGTTCTGCTCTGCTGCACAGCATCCATATCATGCTGTTCTACTCAGTAGTCATGGACTAGTTCTGAGTACAAGCACCCTATTCCATCCACGGAATACTCCGAGTACTCCGTCTTCCAGCCGATCCAGATCCGTCTCCACTAACACCACACTACGCGAAAAAGAGGCAAAGCCCGGGCAGGGATCGCTCCCCAGCACCCAATCCTCGGGAAATCTTAACTACCACGCGTCCAATGCTGTCCATCCTTCCTTCTCTGTCTCCTATCTCCTCTCGATCTACTCTGTACTCTGTACGGTGTACGAATACCCAAGTGCCTCCTTCCTTCTATTGACCTCTCGCCCGCGCACTTAAACTTTGACTTCGGCAGCTCAGCTTGCAAGGGGTACCAGACAATCGCCGCCTTCGAACTCTATTGCATTAATGCCACTGTCTTCCAAGGTGGAGACGACTCTCCGGATTCGTGTTCGAGAAGACTCCAGAGCCCGAGGATCCCGCGCCGTGAAAGGGGAGAACAGTTCCGGTCTTCCCAGGACTCTGGTCCTCCGGTAGATCAATGATCATGGGCTGACCCGGAACAGTGGTTAACATGCGCTCGTTGACGACGCGTGTTAACAAGGCAGATATATGTACGGAGTCAAAAGATCAGATTCAAAGTACGGGTAATTCAGTTACCACCCCCTTCCACATCCCATCATGATCCACGGTAGCATCAGGGGACTCCCGTTGTCTCGTCCATGGGACAAGCACGGGAATAGCCAGGCTCCACCGTGGAAATTGGAGAGATGAGAAATGTCCACCCGATTTTCAGTCTGACACGGGTCCATTGTTTCTAGTGGGGTTATATCTGGAGTTCAATCGGTGCATAGTAGTAGTGACGAGTAGTACTAGTATCAACTGAAACCGTACTCGCTACTCCGTAGATTGACTTTGAACCTACGTTCTAGGTTTCTCAGTAGATAGATTGACTACGAGTAGATTAATTCCAAGGTTACCACAATTCATTCCCTCCCATTCGTCCACTGTTCCAAACACAAACCAAATGGTCCCGATCCTGAAGGAATGACTTCATCACCAGCCACGGGCCCAAGTGGCACCCGCTTCACCCACCGTCATTGGTTCCCTGATGCTCCCGACCGGCAAATGATATCAGAGACGGAAACCAACTGTCCAACGATCATGAATGTCTCTCATTCCAGAAAAACCTGCCGGAGACTCGGGCGATCCCACACCACACCGCCGAAATAATTAGAAAAGGGCAAGCCTTCGAGGGGGATAAACCTTAGAAGCCACAGGACGCAACTGTGGTACAAAGCTCCCGTCCCCGTCTGTCCGGCACATTCATGGCCGTTGAGAGTCGTACAGAAAGCAGTCAAAAGAGCGATAGTGCCGCGCTAGCAGAAGCATTGCTCTGTTCTATTCGTCTCTTCTTTGCTTTTTTTTGTTTGGACCGACCGTTTTCGCCCGTCGCGGCGCAGATACCGTAGATACCCTGTCATCTGAACAGTTTTGACGGGCCCGGGACGGAATGAAAGTGGAATCGGTGTGGAGTCGAAGGCGAACCCGATGGAGCGGTTAGTTACAGTACTCCGTACAATAGTTCCAGTTCCAATTCAGGTTCACCTGTTCAAGTTCAAATTCCAGTTCCAGTTCTGACCCGACTCGATGGCCTAAATTTCTTGCCGTCGGATCGGGACTCAGCCAACGGACAATTTAGTTCGACCGGGGTATGGTACACCTCCATACACTCCATACGGAGCATAAATCAGAGATGCTCCGTATATTCCGCGGGAAGCAACAAAAGAAAATAACAAAGAAGCAAATTCCAAATTCAATACTCCATCTTTTGCATACTTACTGATCTACCACTCTTCGGGTCCGAATTATCTCCAGATCTCCATTCTCGATGTGAGGCGCGGGTTTTATTGGGCAAATCAAATCACTATTTATCGATTCTTCGAAGGGGGAGGGGAAGGCAGAGTCAGAGTCAGAGGGTCACGTACAATACATATTGACATGCATACAGACACAAGAGTGAAACATCAAAACATCCCCTCTCCTTTGCCCCCCTCCAGGTCCCATCGAAATCTTCCACGCTCCCCTTCTATGTACAATGCTCTCGTACTCTCGTACTCTCGTACCTGCCCAGTCCCTTGGGTCCGGTTGGGCGCAGTCTGCCCGACGTGAACCGGTCGTTGGGCCACCACCTAACTCTATATAGAGGGGTTTATACAAAACACATCTGGCCGACTTTCCAACCCAACCAGCTTCCCGCCCTCATCCACCATTTAGACTGTAGACGATCCATTAATTAACCCTCGCCCCCCCACGAAAGTAAATTGATAGACATCATTCGAAATCCACCACTCACTTGCGTTTGTTAATGCATACGAGCTCAGGGCGGGGCACGGCGCGGCGCGGCGCGTCCTCTCCTGTCCTGTCCTGATCTGTCTCGCTGGCAATGGCAATGGCGATCAAGCAGGTGAATATCCAACGCGCACTCTTCCCAATAATCTCATATGTCGCCCCGCACACCATGCATGAAACACTCCCCAAGGCACAGATTTCTAGTGACGATAGAGTTTGGGAGATGACTGATGCGCACATGCAAGGGGGTGGCTATTTTGACAAGGAACAGGACCTGGAGTACTCCGTAGGCTCACAGGCGGCTCCTACGAACGAATTGTATTGGATTGAACTGGACCAGGCTGGACTGAATTGGACTGGATTCCTGGTGCCTGGATCTTGACATCGTTTGTATGTAAAGTATGTCTGTGGGGACGCGACGATAGGCCAACACTCACTTCCAAGGTTCAAGTTCACTTGACATGTTCTGTTTACATCTTGGTCGTCGCGATTAATGCGCGCATGATCGCATTCGCGCAGGACCCCGGAGTCAAAATATGCAAGACAACGCCCATGTATGTACATACGAGAGCCCTTTCCCCTTCCCTCCCTCCACGCCCGTCCAATGAATGGCAGTCGTGGGGTTCACGGGACTAGTGGAATGACTCCATATGGAGAAGATGATCTGCTTTCCCCCTTGGTCTGGTCTGGTATCTATCTACGGAGTATCCATCCATCCATTCAACCCCGGTTGGCGTCGGCTAGATAGTTAGTTCGTTGTCTTTGCAGACGGTATATCCCAGGATGAAGCGTATGAGAGCTCGACTGCATTGAATACTAAACATTTTCCGCGCTATCATGCTCCAAGCACTGACCAGTATACTGTATTTACATATATAGTCCGTAGTATAACTAGATCAGGCATAATACGACTTGACTATTGTCAATCAACGCGGCTGCGGCTGCGGCTGATGCAGATTTCTACCGGTCGCAGATGGGGACACATCCAGTTCTGCGGAGATCGAGCAGGGCGGCTGACTGTATGACAAATTCTTGGAAAGAGGTGTCTTGTGAATAGGGGGAGAGAGTATTCACTGGAATGCAGTTTTTTGAGAGAAGGTGGCTGGCTCAATACACCAGTTGTTATAGTCGGGCGTAGTGTACTGTAGCATTGAAGAAAGACTAAACACCATCAACCTCCACTTTTACCAGATGCCAGTGTGGATCAAGGAGTGGTCAACTGGTCAACTATCCTCGGAAGAATCTCGGATTTGCATCTCCGTCCAGGTGTACCGGCTCTCCAGGGCTGTCGTGCAAAGAATGCTGGGGGTGGAACTGGCTCATCCTGTTATGCACATACATCGTCCGCTCTGGCATGATGAACCAGCCAATACGCGACCCAGTCGCCAACCATATGACCATATTCGCCGACAAATGTACAAGAAATAACATACTATTCATCGGCGATGAAGTGCACTGATTCGTGCGCCACGAATGGATCAGATGCGGGGCCGAGCGTAGACCGAGCTGAAAATAGTCGCACGGTTGATCTACGGACTCGAGCGCGCCCCCAATACCCCAATACCCTCTCGCAAAGCGCGCCTCTCTCATCTCAGCTTGTGTCAGTCAGCCAATGACGGCGGCATGAACGGCGAGTCTACCGTTTTGGTGGATTCCGCATTGATTAAAACTGAAAACTTAAGAAACAACAAAAACAAAAACAACCCTCCTCGCCCTGGTCTGTGCCTATGTCTGTCCTTGCGGGAACGATGATCCACACATGGAGCTCCAGCTGGCAGCTCCCAGCCGAAAAGCAATGAGAACTGGGAAGCTCTGGCCACGGGGTTGGTTATTGATTACTGGTTGTTACTGTTACGACAGTCTCCGAACTGGAACGAATGCCTGTATTGTCTTTCTTGAAATACGCTTTCAACCCCACACAGAAATGTGATCTATACACGTTGCACAGCGCAGGAACTCGCCCACCCTGGGTGGCTGGAACCCTGACACTTCTTGTTTGTTTCGGTATCTTGTCGCCACTTGAATTGATACGTCGCACGATATCGATATGACACCCGCACGTCACATCTATGGGTGTCCCTGTATGTATGTATGTACATACATACATCCAGTACAGATGTACTCAATTTACATACATACAGCAGGCGGAGACCCGAAGAGCACGTCCTCCACGTGGGATATCGGGGTTCCATGTGGTTTGGACTTGCATTTCTTCCCATGGAAGGATCCTTTAATGGTCTAATATCGACTGCGCTCAATTAATACCAAATTTATCTCTGAACCGTGGCTATTCGTTGAGCCTGCTACTCGTATTTGGGACTTCTGCTGTACCGGTCGGCTGGGACCCTTCCCAGCCTTGTGAAAACAAAGTCATTCAAATTAGGCTTTTTGCATATGGAGTGAGGCTCCCCTTACGCTGGCATCCATCCCCATGCCCCCTTGATCAAGTGCGATAACAAACCCCGGCAAAAACAAACCAAGATAAAGGGATCCATGTATACATTTACGGAGTCTCGCAGGAACGGATGGTCTGTTCCCATATGCAAGGGAACTCAGGATTTTGGGTTGCTGGGCCTCCCAGCAACTCAATCGGGGATCTTGCATTGCACCCTGTTGATGAGATGCGAATATCCGATTCCACGATTGTCCAGGTGCAGATTCGTCACGGGAAAGTAAAACTCCCACACCTGGTCCTATTGCGAATCATCAACTTGAGTTTAGGGAAATAACTGGAAGGCAGAGAAGAGAAGAGAAAAGAAAAAAAAGAATAACTTGCCAGTATGAAGATCCCCGCCAGAGTGAGCTCTGTCTAAACTGTAAAAACTATAATAGAGTATATTTTTCCCACACCGGTCCTTTCTTCTATCCAATCCATCGACTTCTCCAGATTCCCTTGCCGAAGTGGGAATAGGGTGAGTTTTGCTCCAAAGTCAAACTAGTTTGGGTGTAATCCACCCACCACCCACACCCAAATCCCGTCCCTCGGGAACGCTGCAGATGATTCACGCAAGTCATTTCCGTGAACTACAGTCACTTTTTTTGTTGCTAAAAAGAGGATCCTGCATAGTATATTTTTACATCAGTTTGATTGAGAATTCGGCTGTCGGTTTCACTTTTTTACCACTCCAATCTCCTGCTCTGCCCCCCCTCCCAGGACACTGGATCTGTGCGACCCGTTACTGGAAGGTGGAAAGTGCAAAAGTACGAACTATCCCACTTTGGATAAAATGGTCCCCGTGAAGCCCGGTTATCGTAATTTCATTCACTATATGGGGACCTTTGTATTATTTCATAAAGTCTAAGTACCGAGATCCGCATTTTATTCTTGTGTTGGAGGTTATCATTGGAAGTGTTAGAAGTGTACCACAGTTGATCATTCCTTAATTGTAATCTATACGAGACAGGGCAACTTTCAATATTGACCATGACTTACCGGAGATGAACTGAAGGTTCACTTCGACTCCAATCTAAATTCTAAACTGGGTTGTTTGTCATGATATCGGTCAAAAGCTCGGCAGTTCGATCGGATCTTCGTGTGATGTGATAACCACGCGTGGCATAGCATTCGGCTATTGACATTCAGCTTCAGGAGCTGGGAAAATATAGCAAACATTATTCCAATTTTCTTAATTTGTTGTCCTGCATTCTGGGTAGCTGCTGGGGTCTCTTTCGAGACAAGACTGGCAGTAGCAACAATCGATATACATATGTCCCGAGGCCGAGCCTGGAGAAACCATCTACAAAAAGAGCAAATCTAACAAGGCTCCTCCGACACGGTCTTGTGGCCCAGAATCTACTAATATTTAGTAGGGGATAATAATGACCTCAAGTTGTCCGTCTAAAATCCAGCAAGACTTCCCAACTACCCGACTCGTAGTAACTACCGTGACTTCAGTGCTTGCCCAAATTTCTAGCTGAGGGACCCGAGTTACTATGTAGTCCTACTATAATGACGATTGTAATAACTCAGCAAAACATATCATGAGCCATATGGTTACTTAACCATTTGTACTGTACACTCCCCCATAGATTCACCCGGCAGGACTCGCACATGCACAACTCCCTCACTTCATCATTCATCATTCGATCCCCTCACTCCACCTCCGCTCTACCTGCAGCAAACTCCCTCACCAAATGATCCTTGAATGCCAGTTGATATCACAATACATAGATCCACAGCGGCTGCATCAACCCACCTCAAAGATCTCACCGACCCTCGCCTAACCGATCTACCATACATGTGGCGGTCGCATGCCAGTGTCTCGATAAGTACGAGTACGCAAAACAGAGCGCCCATGTATGTACATCAGCATGTACACACCCGATCCAGGGACATTCAAAACCGGGAAAACGGCAGCCCCGGACCGCAGACCGCTCGTCTAGATAAGCGAAACCCCATAAACTGGAAAGTTACGGGGGGAGAAATCGGATCTGCTGAGGTAGACTGCAACATGCCCCACTTCCATCTCCAAGGGCCCGAGGTTTGGGGACTGAGGGGAGGGCCATTCTAGCGTTCTGGCGTTCTCTACGATATTTACCGTAACTAAACTGACAAAGTCCTTGTCTTGTAATCATAGCCCAGCTCGGTACGGAGTATGCAGTAACTACAAGTAACGAAGTGCCAAAGTACGTCTATGACTACCGAATGTTCGTGATCGCTCTCGCTTAGGCTGCTTCCCCCTTTTCTTTCTTAGTCAATGTAGATTATTTGGCTTGGTTTCGACCACGCAGACACACCAGCGTCAGCCTTTTTGCCAGTTCGCACGCGCAATTCGGAAAATAATCGCCAGCGTGGGGAGGGCCCTGCGCCGCCAATCAGCCCCCATCCAGCCCCCCCCTCCTCCCCCACCACTGCTACTTTGGGCGAAGAGTCCGGAAGCAAACTCGATCCATCACATTTTGCTACCGGTCTAAAACGACTTTTTCAGCGGCTTTCGTGTGTGATTGATGTGATTAGCTACCATTACTGTCGCTCGTTGGTCCGAATATCTCCGGCTAAAAAGATGGAGTCATGTGGGTGATGAAGGTTTTGAGCCGCGGTAAAAAGTAGAGGGAGTGTCGTTGCGGCTTGGTTGGCCGTCGGGCGAGGGGGTCTGTTGAGTTTCAGGGCGTTTATATCGGTGGTACATTATTTTATTGGGAGATCGGGGATTACTGATTGTGCGATGATGCAGTTGTTTTCTTTGGAACGGTGATGGATCAAGTTCGTCGGTACTTTTGTTCTAACAAATTTGCACTAGTAGAGGTTGAATTACGGGGCTGACTTGGTTTGCGTGGCAATACTTTCCAGTTGTCTTTTTTACGGTGTTTGTACGTGTTTTGAATGGAAGGGTTGTTACAAGGCATTGTTCTCGGTTTTTGTTTGGTGTCTCTGATGAGTGAATTTTGTGTGAGACATGACAAGGGGATGGGGTTGGCAACCGTCAAGTTAAAGATGTTGCTGGGCAAAACCATAGATCAGGTTACCACCGCGGAAGTCGTCCCTAGATCCGCCTCCTTGTGTTGCCAGTTCCCCGGGTAGGGCGTACCAGCTGGCCGGAAACTTCTGGGGAAGCCGCCAACGCTAGGCAGAAGGGGATCTGTGTTGATTTTTGCACGACATGCTTCAGTTAGATATTCAAGTTTCTACCCCGGGTTGAATCTTTGTTACTGAAGTAAAACCGCGTCTCTAACAAAAAGAAGAAATATCTAGTGCTATTCTTGTTTCATATTCAAGTTTTTGTTAGTCTACAATTAGCTGGCTTTATATACTGTGATGGGCCGTTTTAGTTGAGTTTTGCTTCAATATAATGAAAATTTTCACTACCAACACAATATGAAAAGGAATATAATCAGCATCCAGAGAAGAACTACATAGCTCAAAGATGTCCCAATATAGTGTTCATCTCATCCTCCAACCTCTGCAAGAATTCCTCCGCTTCCAGCTTCGAAATTAAGACAGAGGAGTAGTCAAGTTTCCAAAGGAGAGCATCATGTTCCTCATTGTAACTAATCTCCAGATAGATGCCACTACCCCCTGGGAAGTGCTTCCAGTCGAAGTGATCAACCGCAGTTTCTCCGGTAATCAGATTGTCAGAGTCAACCTTAATATCAGAGTCTAGAGACAGCGGAGTAAAGATGGTGTCCACTTCCTTACTAGGTGTGCTGTTCAGTTGACGCCAAAGAATATTGACAAGAAGGTTGAACTCTATCTCTTGACCAAGAGCCTTCATTTTTTGACATAGGGATTGAAGGTCAGTTTGGTCATAGAGAGTACGCTGGGCCAACCTCTGCTGCATGTCTAGCAGAGCCTCTCGAGAAGGGGATACCAAGGCATCCGGGACCACCAACGGAAGCATATTAACAGTAGGTCCCACCATCTGCTCGATTTCGGGATAGTCATTCGAGCGACCATTTTGGAAAAGGCCAAGGATTGGGTGAGAAACGTCTGCGGTACGTGCCAAACTGCGCGCGACGGCCAATATCATGAGAGAAGGCATGGAGATGTTCTTTTCGCGACATTGACCCTCCAGTATGGTAAGCTCTGGGGGAAAAATGGCCTGAGAAGACTGCACACTTAAAGGAGTTGGGTCACTGGCGGGCTGTGGCCCAAGAAGTGTGCGTTGACCCATGAGGAGTGCTTTCTTCCAGTAGTCATCTGCAAAGCCAGAATGATACCTTTGTCGTGTGTCAAGCACGAAGGATGTGAAGTTTGAAGAGGGGCTCATGGGCTTGCTCTGGTACAAAGCTTCCAGATCATGCACCAGAATGGAGATGGTTCTTGCATCATACAAAGCATGGTGTAAAGTCAACAGAAGAACATCAGACCCAGCATATTGAACCAGCCGGAGGCGGATAGGAGGCGTAAAAAGATTAGATGATTTGCGTCTAATACTTTGCATCAAGCCATGGATGAATGGTTTCAGATCTCCAGAAGCTTGTTCAATGTGAATCTGGGTTTGTGGTACAACTTGGCAGGGCTTTTGCACGACTTGCACGATTTGATCTGGAAGTATCGCAGCGAATGTTGTACGAAGGATGCTATGTCTTTGTTGAAGCTGTTGCCAAGCATGCTGGAGTCGCTGCGGATCGAGCTTAGATTGTGACATGAGTGGGAATGTGAACTCCCAAAGCTGTCGTTGACTGCGGAGCCAAGAAGCTATGTAGAAGTTCTGGCCGCTGAGGCAAGGAATAACAACCTCGACCTTGTCATCCGAGAGAGACAAAAGCGATAATGCCTTGCTTCTAGCATGTGAGGTGATAGCAAAGTTATCGGTCAAAGTAGACCCTGCGGGCTTACAGGATACACTCTGCTTCTTTGATGCGAGGTTTGCGATACCTCGAATAGTTTCTCCTTGAAGGATCTCAGTGACTGAAACCTCAAGCCCAGCATTGCGGCACTGAGAGCTGACATCAAGTGCCAGAATTGAATCCAGACCTAGCGTAAATACACTGTTACTCTCATGGATATTCTCCGGCTTTGTATGTGTAACCTGAGACAGAATAAGCTTCAGCCCTTCCACGTAGGTTCTGAAAACAGAGTCATCTGGAGAAGCGTCATCTGCCATGCACAGAGGGACTTTGACCATGGGCAAGTGATTAATTCCCGGGGATAACTCAGAGCTGGCTCGCAAGAAGAAGGAATATCTTCGATCGCTAGGGCAAGGCTTTGAGTCCAAGTCTCGAGGTCGCTCTTTTTGGTCAGCAAATCACGGGTTACTACCCGGACAACAAGGGAATCCGGAGATTGATCAAATTCCACATTGAGTCTGTAGTGAGGGATATCCGGTTTGCGAGACGACTCATATGGCTGGAAGATTGAATGAGCATCAAACTTTTCCGACTTATTGAATGTGAAAAGTGCATCGAATAATGAAGATCCATTGCTGTTCTTTGCCATCCGCCAATCCTTTTGCACAAGACTTAATGGGGCATGCTGGAAGCGTTGACAATCGATTGAGAAACGCTGAATATCTTCCAAGACGGAGCGAGTGCTTTTATGAGCGGATTCAAGCTTGAGGCGGAAAGGGACAGTGTTGAAAAGGGGCCCTATCACATTCATCGAATCGTCGATATCGAAGCTGCGGCCGGAGACTACATGTCCGAACACAACGTCACGCTGACCAACAATGGGCATCAAAGAGCGCCCAAAAGCAAGCAGGGCCACAGTCTGTAAGGTGACGTTGGCTGCGCCACAAAGACGCTGCAATTCAGGAACTCCAGTCTCTATCTTGATCTCTGTCCACTGAACGTCGGGCTGAGTGGAGGGCTGCGAGATCGGCAATCCAAAGTATTGGTAGCCGGCCACCACATCAGTCCAAAACTTTATGGATGATAATTGCATGGATGATACTTTCTGCGCGGCAAGTGCGAACGAGCCTAGATGTTCTGTGTGTCCGAGATAACTTTTCTCTAGGCTGCTGAAGAGGAGGGGAAGCGAAAATCCGTCGTAAAGACAGTGATGCATGGAGACAACCATCAATTGTTGGGAACTCCCAGTGAGCAAAGTAACTTTCCATGGAGGCTTGCTGAAACTCGCAATACTGGGGTAGGATGCTTCTTGAGATATCGCCTCGATGGCCTGGGATAGCGATGCGACGTTTGACTGGTGCGACCATTGGATGAGAGGATACTTGTGAGCTGCAGCATGAAATTGGCTATTGGTTGCGTGGCGATGGAACGACGTGCGAAGAATATCGGCATTTTTCACCGTTTCTTTCCACGCATGAAGTAGTCTCTCCGATTCGAGTGAGCCACTGAGAGTTATCACATGGTGATGAAGGTATCCCTTGCCCGCCGAACTTAAGCATTGACCAATCATTGCGGTCTGCAGAGGTGTGCAAGGATAAGTCTTAACAATTGAGTCATCTGGATGAAACAGTTCTGCGCCCAAATCGTGGTCCAAAGGCCTTTCGAGGGCTTCCGTTTGACGAGATACAACACGAGGCTTTCCGAGATAATTGTGTAGAGCTCCGATGGATGGATACCTTAAGATATCACTTGGAGAGGCATCAATATTTTCTACCTTCAAGCAACGAGCCAGATGAATGGAAACGACGGAGTCAATTCCCAATGCAAAAAATGATGCATTCTTGGAAATTTGCGAGTCCGAAAGACCTGATACCTCAGCCACGGCCCGTTGGATCTTTCTTTCGATATCAGTCCACTGAATCTCGTCCCAGACAGGCTGCTTTTTCTCTCGCTCTATTAATGGCTCTGGGGCATCAATCATAGCATCTCCATCTGAAATCAGGCCAGTGAGAAGGTTAGAAATCCTGTCCACGAGGGATGCATATCTTTGATTGGAAGAGAGGGCTTTGGAAATTCGCAAACGCAACGTAACTCTGTCGGCACCAGGCTCCGCATTGACCTCGAGAGCAAGTGGATAATCTGCTGGCATAATGCTTTCCATTTCAGTCAACATATCCGCCCAAGGTGACTGGGGGCTCGTGACGATGTATGATATCAATGTGTTGAACAATGGACCTGGCACCCGAGTATATCGCTGAATTGTGCGAAGGGGTGTATGCTGATGAGGAAGAGACTCAAGCATAGCCTGTGTATGAATCTTGGCTAGCTCTATCAGACTCGATCTGAGAGAAGGAAGTCTAAACCTGCCCGGGATGGTTGTCACGAGCGGAACAAGCATTTCTTCCACTGAATCCACCGGGATAGTCCTGCCATTCATCACACGCCCAAATATAACATCTTTTTGGCCTAGACACTCCGCAAGAACAATCGCCCATGCTGTTTCAACGATAATTGGAGCAGTCGAAAATGCCTGAGCAGCGTTTTTAGAGAGTGATGATAATCCGAAAGGTAGAGTCTTTGTCATGATGGAATAAGATCCACCATCGCTTTCTTGATCCTCGACAATACCCGGAGAGTAGCCATCGAGATAACGGGACCAGAAGCGCTCAGTATCTGCTTCGGCGTTTGCCACCATGTAATGATAAAGAGGAGCGAGATCGACCGGACACATTGCTGCATTGCCAGTATAATGATGGTGAAGTTGTTTGAGGAAGATGCCCATGCTAGCACCGTCAAAGATAGAATGATGAATAGACAGCATGAACCATCCTGGGTCATCCTCGCATATCGGAGAAGCAGCAAGGATATGGAACGGGGGTTCTTTGTCGATTTTTTGGATAATTCTGGAGGCAATTCCGGCTTGACGCATATCGAAAAGACCCCGGGCGACGTTTTCATCAGAAACAACAACTTCGTCCCAGCGGATAGTCAACACGCGAGGTTTTAGAACAACTTGTAATACCTTTCTGTCCACGACCTGGAAGCACGTGCGGAGAATTTCATTTTGCTGCATCAAGTCCTCGAATGCTGACTTCAGGCTTGTAAGTTTGATAGAATTTCCAAGACGGCACATGATATGATTGACATATAAGGGTATCGGACTGCCCACGGAGCTAGAAACAATGCTTTCCTGTAGAGGCAGACATGGACGGATGACGGAAATTGAAGAATTTGGAATTTGTGTCTGGGAATTCCGGAAGTTCTGGTCAATCTGCGCTAATCTGTGCGAAACTTCGGCGCCTTGGTCCTCGGAAAAGCTCCTCATTTGCTTTCGACACAAATCGCTACTTGAGTTTGGTAACAAGGCAATTTTTTGAATTGTACCCTTGCTGAGGACATCGACTGCTGAGCAGGTGTATCCTGCCTGACGCAATTTTGCCGCCACACTGAGGGCACCCAGGCTATCAATCCCCAATTGGAAGATACTCGTTGCTCTAGTGACAGATTTTGGGTCTGTTTCTATCTGAGAGCAGATTATATCACAAACTTGCATCTCATCTGCTGTCATATCTGCACCACCTGGTTCCGAATAGGGATTCTCCGGGTTTGTTTCTTGGTTAGATTCTAGGTCAGTTTCTGAACTAGGCTCCAGATCCACTACCCCATGTCCTAACAGCAGGTCTGAAATAGGAATACTTCCATATAATGCAACAAGACGACGACTGTCTGCTTTTCCAGATATTTGGATAGGTATAGAGGAGACCGGAAGTAGAACACTAGGTACCATGTAGGCAGGCAATTCAACCCGGCACCTGATCAAAATCTTTGGAACCCATTCCTGGTATTGGTTCTTCATGAAAGTGACCTTGGTGCTTGAAGAATCTAGTCTGTCACTGGATGGGCTGATGAAGGAGACCAACTGAGGTCGTTTCGTAATTGGAGAAGGAGTAATCATAGAAGTCACATTGACCGGAAATCCCGCGCAACGACGAATTGCAATGGAAACCTCTTCAAGCTCCAGACGCTGGCCACGTATCTTAGCCTGACTATCTCGTCGCCCAAGATATTCAATACAATCATTGGCCATCAGGCGTACGATGTCTCCCGTCCGGTACATTCGCTGTCCATTATGATCTGTGAAGCCCGCCGCATCGGGCCTCCGATGATAACCGCTGGCGACCAGATCACCTGTCACACAGAGTTCTCCTGCTTGCCCTCGCTTCACGTATTTTGATGAATTCGATTCCAGGACGTGGACGGTGATATTTCCCACAGCGGTGCCAATATTGCGTACCGTTGACCAGGGCTTCACGGTATGGCTAGTGAAGCCTATCGTGGCTTCGGTTGGTCCGTATGCGTTGACGAGAGAAATCGATCGTTTGCCGACAAATCGTTCAATGATTGTCTCCGAAATCTTCTCTCCTCCGACTCCAAGATAGCGTAGATCAGGCAATGATTCCGCACTAACACCCGCATGTTCGAGAAGCGAGGGTACGAAGCCAGCATGAGTGATTTTGAAGCGCCTCAGGACTAGGAACAAATTGTCCAGAAGCATGCTTCGCTGGCCTGTGACTAGACGAAGCCCATGCCTCCATCCGAGCACCATCTCACAAATGTGCACATCAAAGGCTCGACTGGCATGCGCAAGGTAACTCCCAACACCCTTCAACTTTGGTGTGTCTGGAACATCGCGACAGATATAATTAGACTGTGCCTCGGCAAATGCGGATAGATTTCCTCGACTAACGAGAACACCCTTCGGAGCTCCAGTAGACCCAGAAGTATAAAGAAGATAGCAATCATCTGTCGGTTTCGGATCAATTAATTGTTTATCTCTGACAACTTCGGAGTTTCCACAGATCTCAAGGCCGGCAATATCGACCACTTCGCAATTTTCAGCGGAGAGAAGGAGTTTTGTGACATTCTTATCGGCAAAAAAGGCTGTCGCACCACTATCTGAGAGAAGAAATAGTTGACGTGCCTCGGGAAGATCTTCGGCGATTGGCACATAGCAGTTGCCACTTTTCCAGATAGCTAGCACCAGACAGTACGCCATGAATGAGCGATCTAAGCACACCGCTATTGACCTATTGTGCCATCCGCGGTTCACGATCCATGTGCAGAGCCGGTCAGAGGTTTCGGAAAGTTCGCGATAAGTCCATGTTCGGGATGCTGTATCGTTTTCGCTGATCGCATCGATGATCTCAAGCCCAACCCAAGAGGGGTTGGAAGAAGCCCAATGGTCAACCCAGTGAGCTGGGGATAGCAATGGAGCCCTTTTAACATCATCGCTCACCATCGGGGAGTGGATAGAGAGAAGTTCTTTTGGAAATAGATGGGTGAGTTCTTGAATCCGCTCGGTGGGCGCGGAGCACATCGAGGTGACCAAAGCATCGATTTGCTTCATGACCATTTCTGAATGAGGGACATCCATCAATAGCGACCGACATGAAAGTTTGCATATCGGTTGGTCCTTTTCTGACCTTTGAAGAGTGAGCTCCATCGGGGCTTCGAGAGATGTCCGGGATGCACTGTGTGAGGACTCCGGATCAGATTCATGGACGGCGCGCTGCTGATACGCGAATAAAGCATTGTATGGAGTCTGAGACGAGGGAATTTTGAGAATGTCTCGAAGGTTCTGCGCAGTAGGACTTGGTATGATAGACGTGCTTCGCTCGAATTTGTCAAGTCGACATAAGAACTCCTCAGAGGTATCTTGTGGCAAAACACTGACTGGGACCAGGTTGACTGAATTGTCTTGGGTCAGATCTGGTAGGTCTTGATCCCCCAAAATTATCTTGTCCGTCTCCGTATACTCGGCCAAGGTGTATGCAAATGCTCCACGGACCACAGAGACGCCAGATTTCAGACCCAGCTGCTGGGCGAGGTTGGCCAATTTCTCCCATGACACTTGCAAAGTGAGCTTTGTTTGGGTGCAAGTGGGGCTAGCTGGAGGCTCCAACGACCGTGTGCAGGAGAGCGTTGGGAAGTGAATATCACCAAGGCCGACAAACTCCTTCAACTCCCTTTCCCAAACACCTATTTTCTCATTCTGGTCCTCCTCGTGTTCTAAAATTGTCCCTAGTCGTTTTTCAATATCCGAGAGATAACCATCATTTGTCGACTCGACTCGGTGCGCGAAAATTGCTGTCGATGATTGCAGATCTATACACAACGCCACTCGGATCTGTAAGGAGTTAGCTACCAGTAGGATGCTCGCCATCAGGCCACAAGAGGACATTTATATTTCTATCTTACCGAAATTTTGAGGGATTCTTCGATTCCAGCTTCGTATCTCAGACATAATGCAAACTCCAAGGTCTCCAAATCCCCAGTAAGGCTTTCCAAGGAAATTTCATATATCTCCCACTCCAACATCTCATCTTCAGAGAGGCGGTTCGAGGAGACAACTGCACATCTGAGAGCTAGATCATCGCTCTGTTCAGTTACTAAGAATGCAACCCGGTTTTGTGCAGTCACTTCCATGATCCAACGTGAGTAGCCATTGATCAAGGATTTGAGGCCCTCCTGATTCTCAACTCCCTGAAGGAAAGTACGATCAAGTGATTTCAGACCTCCAAGCGAGAGATATTCAGTCACGGTCTCACCGGATGGAACAGGAAGCAACGTCGCTGGAATACTTTCATCTGGCAATCGAGCTGATGGCTGTAGAAAGCACTTCCATCGTGTGGTTTTAGACGACATCTTCGATCCGGCCAAACGGGAAGACCCTTGGCTGGCAAAACTTTTGGAGACTCTACTGCGACACAGTAAATAGGTTGGCAATGATAATCTCCAAGATTCTTCTCTATACTCATATGGACCCGTTACTACATAGTATCGATGTGTCTTGGCGGCGAGGCCCGTGTGAGTGATTTGAGCTAACTTCGGGATTCTCCGTTTTGACCCACTGTGATTCATGAAATTACATCTAGTAATTTTCAAAACTCGGAATCCTGAAAGCAAGGATCCAGCATGGAACATCGGAGCCTTGAAACCGAGTAGCTCCGTTTTTTCCTTGTTGATTCTGAGACATGATTCTTGGCAAAATTAATAGCTGGAAGACCCCCGAGACTACTCCAGAGGAAGTAGAAAATGACTCCCTGGAGAAAGTTGTGCACCCAAGTGCAATTCCTTTATGTATAAGACTAGATGGCAAGTAAGACCATTTTGAATCTCAAAATTAAGTAAGGTAGCAAATATAACCTCTAATGTTCAAACTTATTCATGGGTATTGGGTCCATTTAATTTTCTGCCGTGGTAGGCGCCACAAATTGATCGATAAGATCTTGATATCCCAAGCGAGACTCCCCTAGCCGTATTAGCATTAGAGCAAGGAAAGGAAAAGTAATGTAACTTCGAACGGAGAAGGAATCACCGAATCACGCCATAACTTTCAAGCAAATTCCTATAGCGGCAAACCTGCTTCGATTTCTTCGCACGCTGGACGGCGCTAGAAATGCTTCTTGACCAATCGTCTACCCTTGTCGCAAATACAATTCTTCGGCCCACATCATTTGACTAGAGCGAGTCGAAAAAATGCGACGGACTATGAGTACCATTTTGGTTAGATTTTATGTGAAAAGTACTTTGTCCCTAAGGCCCGGGGGTCAATATAACTACTAAAAGCTCCGTCAAAATCCGACGATCTTTTTCTCTGTCTGGATATCAACATTTCTTGCTCTCTCAATTCCATCCACGGGTTAAAGTCTGCCCTACTTCTACCATGATGGATAATCCTTCAGCCAGTCCGCCTCTGGATGGCGCAAAATCACCATCCAGGGGCGCGGACTCGGCGCCCATACCGAGGGACGACGAGCTTCACTCGCAGCGCATTTTCGGAAAGTCAGACCGTGAAAGAACGGAAACAGACTCTATTATGTCAGACGATGCTGCTGGCGTCAAAAAGGCCGAAGCAGTAGTTCTTGCGTGGGATAAGAACGCTGTGTGGGCAGTCTACGCCTGGTATGCGATCCAAATCTTTTGAACTGAAACTGCCCCTTTTAAGAGATATTTCCGAGGCATCGAGTTCTAATAATTATTTTCTGCCATCTAGGATTTGGGTCTGCTTCTTTATGCTGGCCTTTCATTCATCCATTCAAAGCAACGTGATCTTCTACGCATATGCCAACTTCCAAACCGCTCCTGAGGTTCCGACTTCAGCAATCCTGGGCAGTGTTGTGGGCGGTGTGGTGAAACTTCCCGTCGCCAAAATCGTGAATATCTGGGGACGAGCCGAAGCTCTTGTGGTTTTTACTTGTTTGTTCTTGTTAGGAATTATTGTGTTGGCATCTTGCACTGGGCCCAGTGGATACGCCGCGGGATACGTTCTCTACTATGTTGGATATAATGCAATCTACCTCATTCTTGATGTGTTTATTGCCGATACTTCGGGTCTCCGCAATCGAGCATTTGCATTTGCATTCTCGAGCACACCCTTCATCTGCACGGCATTTACGGGCCCATTGGCAGCGCAAGCCTTGTTGAGAATGACTTCATGGCGTTGGGCATATGGTATATTTGCGATTGTCTTCCCATTCGTTCTTTTGCCGCTCGCCGTTGTTTTCAAATTCTACGAGCGTAAAGCAGAGAAGATGGGGCTTTATCAAAAGGTCAAAAGCGACCGAACCTGGGTTCAGTCGCTTTTGCATTATATTCACGAATTCGATGGTGAGTCTTCCTGTATCACAACATTTGGATATGCACAATGCTGAGCTTTAATTTTCAGTTGTTGGGGCAGTCCTATTGATGGCAGCTTTTATTCTACTTCTTCTCCCCTTTAGCCTTTCAGCTTATGGTCGAGCCCAATACAGCTCTGCATCTTTCATCGCCATGCTAGTCGTTGGATTCTGTCTTTTCTTCGTCTTCGTGGCATGGGAAAAGTTCTTCGCACGCAAGCAGTTTATTCGGTATGACCTTCTTAAGCAACGAACCGTCCTTGGTGCCTGCGTCCTGTCAACTCTCTTGAACTTCGGATATATGGCCTGGGATAGCTACTTCGTCAACTTTGCTATGGTTGTGTATGACCTTAGCGTCTCCAATTCGGGCTACATGAACCAGATATACAACATTGGATCATGTTTCTGGGCGCCCCTGTTTGGACTATACATCAGACAAACAAAACACTTCAAGAAAGCATGTCTTTTCTTCGGCCTACCATTGATGCTTCTCGGCTCCGGTCTCATGATCCACTTCCGTGGCCAAGACGACGGCATCGGATACGTCGTCATGTGCCAGATCTTCATTGCCTTTGCTGGTGGCACTCTAGTCATTGGACAGGATATGGCAGTCATGAGCGCGGCAGATCATGACGGTGTGCCTATGATGCTCTCGATCCTCGGTCTTTTTGCCAGCCTCGGTGGAGCGGCAGGTGCCACACTTGCATCTGCTGTATATACAAATGTTTTCCCGAAAACGCTTGTGGCCAATCTACCGGAAAGTGCTAAAGCAGACTGGGCGGACATCTATATTGGTGGCTATCCTGCCCAGATGGTATACCCGATTGGATCGGAAATCCGCAATGCCATTAACAAGGCTTGGGGTGATAGCCAAAAGTATAGCTGCATTGCAACCACGGCGGTCGTTGCACTGGGCTTTCCATTTATTGCCATTTGGAAGAATGTGAATGTGGATAAAAAGCAGGTTCCCGGAACAGTACTCTAATGCGTCTACTCTTTCACTCCATGTGGACGATGCGACGCGGACTCGGATGACTCTACTGTTTATACTATACTACATAATAGTTTCTGTGTGAGCATAATATTATTATAGATGCTTTAATAGAGGCGCTTTGCTTAAACCTTTACGCAGTTAGTAGATTTTTCTAGTATTTCTCTTTCCCTTTTGTAGTTATCTTGTATGTGGTACCGGCCAGGCTGGAATGAACGAAAAGTTCAAATAGGTGCTCAGCGTCACATCGTCTACGAGGAGTGAAAGACTAAGCTCATGCCGTGACTAAGTCAACTGATCCTCGGATATAGTAGGTCTGGGTAATTTGATTACTATCAGTGGAGTGTTTAGTAGCGCTCAGGAGTCTAGTCGTCAATTTTATCTCTAGTGGTGGAAGTAAGCAAGTGATATACTAGTAAATATTTCCAATCAAGGCATTTTCTAGTTGAAAGGAAAGACGAAGCCGAATAAATAAATAGGTAGAAAATATAACAAAGCCTTGCAAAACACTGCAGACAATATATTTCAGCTTCATCTAGCTGTCAAGTGACTGATGAACCACAGCCTCGCGATACATCTCGCTCCGCTCAAAAAGCTGGGCATGACTCCCCTTATCAACACAACAACCATCCTGAATGAGGAAAATCTGATCCGCCCGGTAAATAGTCCTCAGCCGATGCGCAATAGCAATAACGGTAGTTTTCCCAGCAAGCCCAGCCAACGCGTCTTGAATTTTCTGCTCGGATTCGCCATCAAGAGCACTCGTCGACTCATCAAGTAACAACAATCCCGGTCGTCGAACAAGTGCCCTGGCGATTGATAGACGTTGACGTTGACCTCCTGAAAATTGCTTCCCGTGGTGTGCACAAATGGTTTGGTATTGTTCAGGTAATGATGTTATCACGTCGTGGATCTGGGCTAGTTTGCAGGCTTCTTCAATCTCGGTTTGCGTCGGTGTATAGCCTGGTCTTGCACCTAGGCCGATGTTGAAAGCTACAGTTCCCTCGAAGAGAACGTTTTCTTGCGGAACTATGGCAATGTCATCTCGGAAATCGGATGATGCAATTTGTGTTATATCTTGGTCGTTGATGAAGATGGATCCAGAAGAGGGGTAATAAAATCTTTCGATCATGCTGAAGATGGTCGACTTTCCAGATCCACTTGGGCCTACTAGAGCATAAAATCCACCTGGTTTGAAGGTAATGTTCATCTTCTTGAGGGCCGGGATATGTGGTGAGCTGGGGTAGGAAAAGTCTACCTGGGACAGTGCGACGCTAACTGCTGTATAGTCATTCTTATTCCCAGTTGATGAGGTTTCGGGGAATTTGTTTGCTTCAATGTCTGAAATCAAAGCCATCCCTGTCTTTGATGGTGTGAGAGCATAGCTATCACCAAGGCTTTCTTCAGCAGAATTTGTATTGACAAGTTCAACGATCCGGGATGTAGCCTTGCCTGCTTTTGAAAGATCTGGCGCGAGAGCAAGCATCTGCCCGCAAGATTGCGTGCTGAACAGCAAAGCTGGCAGAACGATGAAGAATTGAGTCTGGGAATATAGTCCCGAGGCAATTTGCTTGGAGCCCCACCAGTATGCAAGAGCACTGATGAGGTTGCTCACACTGAACGCGGACGCCAGCCAGAAATTACCCCAAACAATTGCTTTATTTGTGTCCTGGTGTGGCTTCTGCATTGACAAGAGGAATTCTTTGTAAAGTTGTTGCTCCAGCGAAAATCCCGCAACGAAGCGTAAATTTCCCAGTGCCTCCACGGTGATCTCCGTGGCCTTGGAGAAGGCTTTCTTGTGTCGTTCCGCAAACTGACTTTGTGTCCGCAGCTTCATCACTCCGGCCACGAGGAGAATAGGTATGGTTGGTACAAGGACAATTGATATTTTCCATGCGACCACAAACGAGATGATGATACCCGCGAAAAGATTAACGGCAGTTGCAAGGAGAAGGCCGATTGTGGTACCGGTGATTCCACTCAATGCCGATGCATCGCCTGTAATAAATGCGACCAGAGCTCCGGAGCTTCTTCCCTCTGAAGTATGCCACGTTATCGTTTGACTGAGGAGCGATCGGAGTGAAGCGACTCGGGTTCGATATAGTATTTGGTCTGCAGCCCAGCCGTATGCACAGCCGCCGATAACATTTGCAAAGAGTTCAACGATTCCGACAATAAAGAACATGAGGCCGAAGAGATTTCCACTGTGCCGAATGTTTGCGGTGCCCTTGCATGGACTGAGTCCTCCAACAGTATTTCCGAACAAAATCGCGTTTGAGCTATGACTAGCTCCGATTATCACCGACATGAATAGGCCAAGCACGATCAAAAGGAGGTTGGGTCGAACGAATGCGAAGCAAGTCTTTGCAGACAAACGTTTTGATATTTGAGGGGATTTTCCTATCTTTGAATCGGTGATGCTTTTCTCCGTTTCAACCGCAGCCGCTTCCTTCTCATCTTCCAGGAAAGGAGGCTGATTCCTTTCCAATATCGTCTCTTTCGATAACATCCGTATTGGGTCTTCGGAAGTTGGATCACAATCCCTGCTAACAGAGGTAGACCTTGAAGAACCGATATCCTCATTATCCACCTTTTGTTGACTGACCATGGCCGCGTAAGCGCTGTCACTCTCCAACAGTACCCGAGGAGGACCTATTTCCACCAAGCGACCTTGCTGTATAACAACAATTTGATCTGCATCCTTGACAGTAGCGAGACGGTGTGCAATAGACACGATTGTAACCACTCCAGATAGTTTCGCTAAAGCAGCCTGGATTAACTTCTCACTCATCGAATCCAATGCCGCAGTCGCCTCATCCAAAATCAGCACTTTAGGCTCGCGAACAAGAGCACCTGCTAGAGCAATACGCTGTCTCTGGCCACCGCTAAGTCTGCCACCTGATGTGCCCACCTGACTCGAGATTCCAAACTGCAAGGCCTGGATGAAATCGAGTGCATTGGCTCTTCCCGCTGCGCCTTTCACCAACCGAACGACTTCGGCAACTCTAGGCTCGCATTCAGTAAGGGCCTGCTCTTCAGAACATCCGGATTGAACTTTGTCGACGAAATCAGTCAAGCTCATGTCCAAAATGACTTCAGCGAGATTTTCATGTCCAACAGATCCAACTAGACCATACGCAATATTCTCCAGAATCGAGCGGTCCAAAAGTTGCGACTCCTGTTGCACGAATCCCATCTGGCCTCTTAGATTCGCCACGTTGACTTGTCGAATGTCTTGCTCGCCGATACAAACACTGCCTTCGAGTGGGTCATAGAACCGTTCTAAAAGAGCGACAATTGTAGACTTTCCACCACCAGATGGCCCGACGATAGCGGTATGCTGCTTTGCAGGAATTGAGAAGCTCAATCCTTGTAAGATTGGTATTTCCGCTCGTGCAGGGTAGGTGAAATGAACATCTTTGAAAGTGATATCGTGGTCCTCTAGATTGGCACTGCGCTCGCCAGCAGTTGATGTCCCGTCGATATTAGAACCCCGGTTGATCACATTTAATAGACGACCGGATGCAGCCGTAGCCGCACTGAAGACATGCATATAAGGAGATACCTGGCTGAAGATGAAGGTTGCTATGCGTGAAATTAGTCAATGAGCTCTGGCCTAGGTTGGTAACATCTTTGGGATATTCCAGCGACCGAAACAAAAAGAACTCACCATCGATCAAGACAAATATGACAGTATACACAGCACCGACAGAGACACCGTCGTTCAGACCATCAATCGAGTCCGCAATCAAATGCGCACCTTTCCAATACGCCAATGCATTCGACGAATAGACTATAAAGAAAAGCGTACCCATCTGCGCCGCGTGCACAGCAGCTTTCTTCAAGGCATCCTTTCGAGACTTCGATAGATGCGAAGAAAAAAGGTCTTCCAATCGTCTCTGGGCGTTGAACGCATGTACAATCTTCATGTGCGACAAACTGGACGACGCGATCGAAGTTGCCAAATCAACATTCTTACCCACTCGCGTCCCATACCGTGATGCAAGATGCCCTCCAATCATAGCCATTGCGAAAAAGCATGGAATCGCCGCGATCAATATACCCGCAATGACGGGCACCTTGATAAAGGCCACAACGTACGCAGTGACAAAGTATGAGATAGTAGCAATGTAAATGCCAACTTTTTCAGAGGTACCGGATTGCAATGTTTCGATGTCACTGACAAGTCGCGAGATGACTTGGCCCGAAGGCAGATTGTCGTGAAATGCTGCCTCCTGACGAATCAAGCTGCGGAAGTATGACTTGCGGTAACGACGCACTAGTCGTTCGCTCACAAGGGCCCAACATGATGCGTAAATGTAGATGGCGGCGAAATTGAAAATGGTGATGTAGATCAGGTATAGGACCTTTTTTCGAACGGAGGATGGGTCGTAGACCGTTGTCGAGCATGCGACTTCGTTGAGCTCGTTGATGAGCTGACCCAAAACCACACCGAGTAGTGGTTCCGGAACACCTGCAGCGATGGCGAAGAAGGTTCCGACTGTAATGAGGAGAACGTCGATGCGGGTGTAATTCAGCGAGAAAAGCAGGCGGACGAATTTGAAAGCAGTTTTCAAGTCCTTCCATTTAGGAAGGAAATTGACCACTCGCTCACGCTATTGCGGTGTTAGCCAATTTCTAGAACATCCAAAGAGTGAATTAGTACCTCTGTTTTCACTCGTCCTCCGAACCCCATCTTCCTATACGGTAGGGACTGAAGAGTCTCCGATGGTTGCAAATTATTCTGGACGCAGATGTCGTAGAGGTCAATGCATGGGCTTGAACTTGAGTGAGAAAATAAAGCCTTCCTAATACGAAACCACAAATGGGCGCTTTCTTTTTTTCCCGCGGCATGGAATTTACCCTTGCATTGTTGTCGCCATTCAGCTATTAGGTACGCACTAGCACTAACTAGATGGACCAGACTATTCGAATACTGCAGTCAACGTATTACATGACCAAATTTACAGCATCGCCCCCTTAGTGTGACTTAA